ACTACCCTTCACTCTACTACTACTACTACTACTACTACTACTTTGTAATATTACTATAACTATATAACATCATCAATCATGGAACTACTTGTACCAAAGTCAATAAGGAATGCAGTGTCTGCTTCATTTGTGGGATGGGCTCATAACTACTTGTTCTCTCACTTCTTTGTAAGATTGAGACGTGGAATGCTCACGGTGGTCATTGATGATGCCGCCTATCCATCACACAGCACATCCACTCCATCATCATTGGTCTATGGCAACATCAACAGTCCAGCCTCAGAGTGCGCCACACTCACCATCAACAACCTCTACAGATTCATGACCAAGGGTAAGTGCGTCTGGGCTTGGCTGGCTTGTCTGGCTTGTCTGGTTAGCAGGGAGGCGGGCTTGAGTGGATATGATGGATACTAACACCAAACATCCCTTGTCGCTCTAGTTCTCTTTGGAGGAGACGTTGGCTTCGCAGAGTCGTTCATCTTGGGTGACATCCAGGTCAGTGACATGACCATACTTCTAAAGAGTGAGTGAGTCAAGTGATTGATCGACCTGATTGATCAGATTGAGTGAGTGAATGAATGAGTGGATTGATGGGACTAACATACAATCATCAACTGGAAACAGTACTTATAAACAACAGATATAACTTGGATGGACTAGACAGCAAGTGGGCTTTCCTCAAGCATGGTGTGGACCGTGTGTATCACATGTTGAGGAACAACTCAATTGAGGGCTCCAAGGAGAATATTAAGGCTCACTATGACTTGTCGAACGAGATGTTCCAGTTGTTCCTCGACCCCACCATGAGCTACTCATGCGCCATCTTCCAGAGCCCCGACGAGCCGCTGGAGGATGCCCAGATGCGCAAGATCCGCACACTGATCGACAAGGCCAACCTGTCGCCCAACCACCATCTCCTGGAGATTGGCTCGGGCTGGGGTGCGCTCGCCATGGAGGCCGTACGCAGGACCGGATGTCGCGTGACCACCATCTCACTGTCGATTGAGCAGGTCAACCTTGCCAAGAAGCGCATCGAAGAAGCCGGACTCTCCAGCCGCATCGATGTCCTCCTCATCGACTACCGCAACCTCACCGACAAGTACGACCGCATAATCAGTTGTGAAATGTTAGAGGCCGTTGGCCATGAGCACTATGGAGAGTATTTCTCTTCCCTCGAAAGGTATGTCGTCCAAGTGGAATAGTTCCAGCCTCAGGCCTCAAGGCCCCAAAGCCTCAATCACACCACACTAACACAATCAACAAAAACATACAACACAAACTTAGATTACTTAAACCAGATGGTATTGTTGTGATACAATACATCTCTTTTAATGATCAGAGATATGAGGAGTACAGGAAGGGTTGTGACTTTATCCAAAAGTACATCTTCCCGGGCGGCCTGTGTCCCTCGATCAACTCGGTGATCAACGCCGCCACCACACACTCGCAGCTGATGCTGGAGCACCTGGAGAACTTTGCTCCACACTACGCCATCACATTGGACAGGTGGAAGCAGACGTTCCTAAACAACCGCGCGCGTATCCTCGCCAGCGGCTTTGACGAGCAGTTCATCCGCATGTTTGTCTACTACTTCTGCTACTGCGAAGCTGCATTTGAGACACGCACCATCAACCTGCTACAGGTGGTCTTCTCGCGTCCATGCAACCCCAACCTGCCCACCTACTTTGCCGCCTCGCCCGCCATCGTCCACCCCGCAGCCTCCAGCAGTGACAGCAGCAAGATGTGTGGAGACTATTGTGAGTCCATTGGCGACTCGCGATCATCACCATCATCGCCTCAGATGTCCGACATTGCCAACCAAGCAGTGCCAATCCAACAGGAGTAACTTGGCCACCCTGCTTGGGAACTAACTCCATACATACTTTGCGCCAGTGCGCGCGTAACATAAACTGTAATAAACGATTTATTATTAACTGAGCGATGGCGAATGAACATCGTTAGTTAGACACAAGGAACGAGAATGATATTGCGTAAGTGCGTGCGTGTCTAATGCCTGCCAGGTGTTTGTATCGCTTATTGAAGAAGAATGTGTTGGACTACCAATGTCAATTGATTGAATGAGCGTGCAGCGAGCGATTTGAGTAATAGTGTGTGTTGCATGTGTCCAATGAATGATCCATTGAGTTGTCTGAACTCATGAAGTGATGGACTGATTGATTGAATGTATGAATGAATGATGTGTTGCTGTGACTGCACTGGCAGACTACCGCAGTATACTTGTACTTGTACTTCCATGTCCCTAATGAATGATATCAACAATGAATACCAAAGGTCCGCTGGTGAGGATGGTCGTGACATTGTCCAGAGTGATGTTGGAGGTGCTGACCATGGCGCCAAACTTCATCTCGTGGTGGTCCAGATTCCATCGCAGACCGGTGGTTGTAACCTCGTCGACAGTGCCAGCGAATGGAATGACCGAGCAGTTCACACCGCTCTTGAGATGAATCGTGTGCTTGAACTTTGGATTGATGTACCAAGCAATGTTGCCCTCTGAAAAGAGTACCATGCGAGTATCAGGGTTCATATGCATATTGTTAATGTTTGCAATCTCATGTGATATATTGCCACCAAGTCCTCCACTGACGTATATGTTTGAGAACTATGATTGATTGAGTTAGTGAATGATCGAGTGAATGATTGAGTGGACCAAACATACTGTGATATCATGTGTCTGTTCTACTTCACGGACTAACTCCATTGCTTTCATAAGGTCTGTAGAGTCTTGTGATGGGTCTGTCGTGATGGGTACACCAATCTTTGTGTAGTACTCACGGACGGCCTCATCAATCGAGTCCAGATCTCCCTTTATATAGTCGGGTACGAGTTGGCAGTTGGTATCCAGGCAATACTTGAACAGTCTATTGGCACCTCCATCAGCACATATAACCAAAGCACCTGTTTGTCAACATCAATGTTAGTATGAGTTAGGATGATTGGTGGAATTAAGGTTATTTACACTTTGACCAAAGATATTGGATTGCCTCTCTTGGTATGTCAAAGTTGACAAAGATGAGACAGTTGAGTTCTGTTTGATTCTTGTTGGAGAGGGATGGTCTTGTAACTGTGTCTGGTGGTGCGGCTGATGCAGATGACCTCTCGGTCATCAACAAAGGTGACATCTCATGACAGTTCCAAACTTGTTCTTGTTGTTGCATTTGTATGTTTGTGTAGTAATATTATTTGTAAATAGTAATAGTATTATTATATCAAGTAGTGTGAGTGAGAGATAAGGTGTGTGTCTTTGTGAGTGAGTGAATGAGTGTAGTTGTTGTAAAAGGTCATTGGAATGAATGAATGACACTTAGTGTGTGGACATGGTCTGACCCTTAGGATGTGGGCCACTTTACTCGATGTCCTCATCGGAGTTTGAATTATAAATTAATTAAAGACGAGGGGTTGTGTTCCCACCCTGTTTGGGACGCCGATAGTTTAAACGAAAGTTATTTATTGAGTCTATTTCAATCTTAATGTTTTAACGTAGTTGTTGTGGAACTTCTTAGTCTTGTTATAATAAGACCCAAATATCAAAGTGAATGTTGTTGATGTTAACACTCATCATCATCATTATGGTTGTAAAATAATGTAAGTTTATGCGTGTGATTAAATGAACTAGAAAGGAGAAACGTGTTGTAATGATATCATTGACAATAGCATTCATAGGACCCACTAAAGTGCCAGTCGGGCATCGCAAACAAGGGCATCTAGTCAAGATCAAAAACGATAAACACACATTGTCGATGTGACCCGAGTATCACATCACACACATCAAAATACATCAGTCGTTGCCATTTTGATTAGGTTTTGAAAGACTCGGGTCATTGGACCCAACCAACTACATGACCGAGGGGTATAAATCTTGTCAATCAGTCTATTGGACATTGTTCACCATCTTTGCTTTAACATATTGTCCACACCAAACCAGGTCTATTTGATCAAACTTCAAGTGGTGGCCACATGATTAGCCATTTGCCAAGTTATGGCACCTGATCGCTTGGCGAGTCTCGGGCGACAGTGCGACAAAGAGCAAATGTAACAACAAGGTATATGTTTGATCAACTCGTCAATCATTCATTTAAGTACATTATCACTCATTCAAATATTTATTCATTCAATCATTTATTCAATCAATCATTCAAACATGGAAATTGGAAGATTATTAATCTTATTATTATTATTATTTGTTTTGGACTTTAGTAATGGATATCAAGTTAATAATGTTACATTCGAATTTAAGATGTTAAACTCTTTGAGTACAACATTGACTGGTTCATTCACAATTGGTCAACAATATACAGTACTAGTTAATAATAGAACATGTACAATTCAAGCACCTGGAGTCAACGCCACCAACATCATTTGCAATATTGCCAACTATGTCGAATCCAACTCTGATGTAACTTTAAATGTTATAACCAGTACTCAAAATTATACAAACAGATATTATCTAAGACGTAAGTAATTGATCATTGATTGATTGAGTGAGTGGAGTAGTTCCACCCACAACCCAACTCACACTCATACCATAATCATTTAATCAATTTAGCATTCCCATCGGTATCCTATGCTGCACCGATTGCAGTTGATGGAGGAGATGTACAACTTTATGGATACTTTGGCCAACATGTTATCAATTATGGATGGGTCACAAATGTTACTGTCTTGATTGATAATGTACCTTGTTTAATTGCAATTGGTGCGGCCAAACCTTATAACATCAATTGTACACTCCCAAACAAACAATTCAAACCTGGTTATGGCAACCTCACCATCACCGTCAATCAATATTCTTACTTCTCATCAAAAGGTGTCCAAATTGGTAAGTTATTATTATTTGTCCAACTTGTCCCATAATATATATCATCTTCGCCTACTCACACTAACATTGAATCACATCCAGGACCTGATTCACCAAAGGATGATTGTGGAGACAAGTCATTATGTAATGGTAATGGTACTTGTGTGGATGGACAATGTAGTTGTTTTGTTGGTTATGGTGGATTATATTGTTTGGATCTACTTAATCATGATGTGGTTATATTACCAAATCAAACTGATGGTTCAGTTGTAATATCATCAGGTGGATCACAATTCCAATTCAATATGGCATCGATTCAGGAATTGGATCAGATTGGAAATGTTTGTAAATGAGGTTTTGACCTCAACGATGGGTTTACACTCATTCACGAGTTGATGATGGTACGCTCACCAAGTACAACTACACACTTGACCCGCCACCCTTCCACACGGCCATCGTCACCGCACTGTTTGAGTCATCGACAATCCAAAGAACTGTACCATTTGCCGGCCACTCATACACCTATCCCGCCAACTCACTAAAGTTGACCGTCTACATCAATGGCTGGCAGTTCAAATCCAACCTCAACACGCTGAGGGCAGTTTTTGCGACACAGTTTGGCAATGATCGTCATGCCGTCCCAACCCCAACTCCATGTTCCGGCGGGGCCTCGCATAGTGGAGACAATACCGACCCATCATTCATCGGATTGGACGGTGATAACTTGCAGTTTGTCAAGTTGATCAAGGATAATGTGACGTTCTTTGGTCGATTCCTACCTTACGTGATGGCCAATGATCGTGCTGCCACGTCAAGGAATGAGTTGATCAATCAGACCAATCTGGATGCATTCATCGGTATCAACATGCCACAATGTGACAAGTGTTTGATTGATCCAGACTTTAGTGTGTTGATCAATCCAAAGAATGGCGACGGCAGTGACTCTGCCGACTGCAATCACAGCCCACCATCATCCAACCAGTTTGCCAAATGGAAGATCGCGACAATAGCCGTCATCCTTGGTGTCGTGGCCCTGGCCGTCGTCGTTGGAGCAGCAATCTTCATCAAGCATCGAGCAAAGTCCAACGCCCAGCGCGCTACAATGTCCATGCGCATCCAAGAATTGTCCAAAGACCAACTATAAATATACTTAACCGATTGATTGAGTGTGGAGGCCAATCGATTCGACCCAACACACTCGCCCAGCCTCGTCCCTAGTGCGGCGGGGCCAGTTTATTCTATTCTATACTTTACATGTTTACAACGTTGGTCGAGGAATGGGTCGGAGGTGGCTGGGCATTGAATATGAAGGGGAAGCCAAAGGTATAGTGTTGTTCGCTGTCCGCAGCATTGATGTTGGGTATTGGTGTGACCTTGCGTCGGGTATGGACGGCCAGACAGGCCACCAGCATGAATAGCAAGACAGCTACCAACGCAAACATCACAGACATGTACATTGTGGCATGCGAGTAAAGTCGCGGGTGGAACCACAGCGCATGAGTTGTGAGTTGTCCATCAACATAGAACTCATACGTCTCGTTGACCACGTATCGATGTGTGTAGCCAGCCACCCAGTTGTAGTTACTCGATGACAGGCCCACCAAGCTGGGTTGGTATGAGGACGACTTGAGCGTGACATTGATCGTCGTGATGCCATAGTAACAAGGTGCCAACATGTTTGAGTTGCTATTGCTACTGTCGTCTGCGCTGTCCGCGCTGCCACCGCCACCATCGTATCCAGAGGTCGCACTGCCGTTGGAGACATAGTGGAAGAACATTTGCTTGGTGCCAACACCTTGGTCGTCCCACCATAGTGTGTGGTCAAAGTGCTGGCAGTCATGTGATGTGTTGAGTTGGATGATCTGCTGGCGGATGACCGTGCCAGTTGTTAAGACGAATCGGTCCGCTTCACGTATACTTGGCAATAGATATTGGAACAGGAGGTACAATCCACCTGACAAACATAGTGCCGCCAACAAAGCGATGAGCAATGTGTAGAACTTGATATACTTTGTGCTACCCTTTGGAGGTAACTTCACCTTCCCGCAACAACATGTTCTTGACCCAAGTGATCTTGTACTTTGTGACTGTGATTGTGATTGTGATTGTTTGTCTGGGATTGTGTATGTAGTGGTAGTTGTGGAGGTTGTGGAAGTTGTGGAAGTTGTGGCTTGGTCATCATGAACATGATCATTGAGTGATTGCCGTTGCCCTCGTTGTTGTTGTTGATGATGTAGTAAAGGCTGATACTCTCCAACTCCATCATCACTATTTGTTCCATCTTCATTTACTTCTATTGTACTCATTTGTGGATGTTATATTATAATATATATTTACAAGGACTAATATGATTGATTGAATGATTGAATGAAGTATGAGTGGCTTCAACCATATTACCATTCTACGCTCAGCTTAGCTTATATTGCCCATTATATCTGTTTGCTTATGAACATTCTTGGTCATTACTAAAGACCAAAAGATCTTGGCTTGCGAAGACCCACAATGTGAGGCCTTTGCGGCCTTGTTTAGGCCCAACCACTCACTCATCAATCATGCGCTCACCCCATAACGCGTATTTACACACATAGTCAATCAATCAGTCAATGGTTGTTATTGTCCATGGATTGGAATCGTTCGATGATGAAGATGATGGTCATTTGTTTAAAAGGACATGGAATGGCGAGACAAGGATAATGGCATGGATTGGACTTAGTCGGTGGTCCTCTTCTTTGCGAGATCCGACAGTTCTGCATCGGACACCTTCTTTAGCTTGTGAACAAATGTTGATATCTGGTGAACTGGTTGCAGGTTGTACGAATGTAATTGATATGCTTCCACCTTGGAGATGATATTGTAGAGGTTTTGTCTGGATTGTGATTGATTGATTGAGTGAGTGGAATAGTTCCAATTGTTTGATTGATTGAATGGATGAATATATCTTACCTTTTAACAAAGTTGATCAGTTGACTCATCAAGGGTGGCTGTTGTGTCTCGATATAGGCAATCTCCTCTTGGATGACGTGCACGAGAGGGATGCAGGGAAGGGTGCACTTGGAGAGGGCGTCGCGATAGTTCTTGAACGAGTCGGTCTTGGAGAAGAGTGACTCGTACTCGGACATCACCTCCTTGGTGCGCAGCGTGAATAGGTCGGCGACGCTCTGCACGTAGGCGTTCTGCAGACCCTGGTAGATAGAATACAATGTTTGGAAGTTGTTGAGCGTCTGTCGCAGCGACTCCATAATCTTGAGGAACTTCTCGATCATCTTGACGCGCACCTTCTTCGACTCGAACGCCAGAATCACCGAGGCCACCCATCGCGCCACATCATTGCTCCTATTCAAGAATGACACCAAGTTGGGCGATGTCGCCATCGAGTACTGGAACTCTCCATAAGGTGTAACACGTACCAAGAACTCAGGTGGCTATGTGATTGATCGAGTTAGTCTTGTGGTCCATCAATACGCGTGCACTCATACTACTTACTGGAATGCTCTTGAACATCTTGTACTCAATGAGTGTGAGCTGGCGTGCTATCTCCAGGTCATCAATGTCGGACAGTGCCAACTTGGGCGAGAAGATGTTCTTTGGCACCTTGGGATCGGGTGGATTGGTGCTGTACACCATCGATTGATTGTGTTCATTGGATCGCACCTGTACCAGCACTCTCCTAATATTCTTCACACTCAGACTGCCATCCCTCGTCAATGATCCATCGATAAAGTTGTTGAGTGATGCCACCAACTTGTCTGCGGTAGGTCTATTCAAAGGAGTTAGGTTAGTCACTGAAGCCGCCACTGCTACTGCACTGCAAACTAAACATACCCTGACTTGAAGTCCCATGGACACTTGTCAATCCAATACTTGATGACGTCGCATACCCTCTTGCGGATGGGCTCGAGGATCTCTTGTTTGAAGCGTGGATCTTGATTGAGTGATGAGTTGACTGGACCTGAATAACGCTGAATCAGCTTCTTGAGCAGGTTCTCACTTGTAGTGAATGTCTGATGGGTGTACAAGAAGGACTTCATGAATGATACATGGTCATGTTGTCTATCCTTCTCCGATGTCAAGAACTGAATCAACTTGTTCAGTGATGCCGCCTTGACGCTTGGTTTCTTCGTGTCCTCCTATAGATGTGTGGCGAGTTAGTATGTGATTGATTGGTTGATTGATTGGCCGTCGCAGCCGACGGGGGCACTTACATTCTTGCGAAGGTTGCGATCGTCACCTTCCTCCCAGACGTTGATGTCTTCTTCGTTCTCGATACGTCGGTACATGTTGTCGACTTGTTGCACCTCCTCGTCAAAGGTCTCCTCTTTCTTGAAGATGGACAGCTCGGGATCCAGGACGTTCTTGGATCTTAGTCTTGGCTTGACCAGACGCAGCAGGGTGATCAAACGACTCTCACCAGTCTCGGTGGGCTGGTGCAGCACGCCTGTCTCCTCCTCGATGATCTTGATCGTCTTGTGATGCTGTGTGTGCGTCTCGAGATACTCCATGATCAGCTGTAGCACAAACTGATAGGTGATGGCCTGCTTGTTCTCTGTGAACGATGGCTGCGCCAGTGTGCGGCCATACGACTTGATGCCTGTCAGCAGCTGTGTCTTCTCCCTCAGCTCCAATATCTCTGGATGCTTCTTCATCAACGTCGACTCCCACAATGCCTTGGGGATGTTCTGCATCCTTGATATCTCGCCGTCTAGATTAGTTGGATAGTGTTAGTCGTTGTCCAAGCATGTGAATGGATCGCGAGGTACATACCATCTTCTTGATTGATGTCATCAAAGTCGTCTTTGCCAAAGCTTAGGTAGTCGAGGGTAGTGTCATTGCATCCGCCCCAGAGGTAGAATGAGGTGCCCTTGAGGATGAGACTGTGGCTGGCGCGGTGGTGACCTTGGACGGTGGTCTGGATACGGAACCATCGCTTCTGATAGATGTCCAACTCAAACACCTCGAGGTTGCTCTGTGTCACCTTGGTCGTGTTGCCTCCAGTGACTACGATAGAATCCTGAAGTAGTGCGGCGGCGTGATGAGAGCGCGCCGTGAAGTTGCCCTCGGCGACGAGTGGACGCCAGGTGTTTGTGGCCAGCGTCAGACAGTGGATGTCGCTGAGCGAGTTGGTCGAGATGTCTTGGCCGCCAATGACGTACATGACGCCCTTGTGTGTGGTGGCTGTGTGGAAGGCACGCGGCTGAGGACCGCCGCCACTGGTGGACAACAGGGTCCAGGCCTTGGTGTCAAAGTTGAGCGAATAGACATCGTTGGACAGCTGGCTCCCCGACACACCGCCAAATATCAGCATGCAGTTGCCGTCGACCACTGCACTGTGTCCGAAGCGTGCCGAGGGTCTCTGGCCCTCGGTGAACAGCTCCGACCACAACTGCGTCTCGAACGAGTATACATGTAAGTCGTTTCTCAAGCCCGACGCTCCGCCATCGCCTCCAAATATGTACATCGCATTATTGTATACTACAGCTGAGTGATATGATCTAGATGATGGTCCACTTGTGCTAACCATACTATTCCATGTCTTGGAGGCTATGAATGAGTGAGTTGATTGAGTGAGTGAGTGGCCGCGTCGTCATCGTCGTCGAGTTGAGCTGTCTCCAAGTCCTTACCAAAGTTGAATGAATAGAAGTCATTGGTATGTGCATTATCATTGTTTGTGAATCCTCCGTAGATGTACATGCTGTCGTCCACACTATGATAGCAGTTTGAATGACCTGATCTAGGCTGCTCAGCTGCTGGCGTGACCTTGAGTGCTGCGGCAAAGTCTAAAAGGGCAGTGAAGGAGTGGAGGAGGTTGTTAGCGCCACGCCCTGATCACTGGTCTTCTATCTAGCTACATACTTCCAAACTTAGTATTGGCATCAAACTGTTGCTGCTCATTATCTTGATATAGAAGTGATGACTCGTGCATTGGCGATGAGGACGAGGAGAAGAGTGATGAGGGTGGCGAGTTGTCAGAGTTGGAGGGGATTGAATGTGAGGTCAGCTGCGCCAGGGTGGTGCTGGCGCGGTAGGGCGAGGGCGAGCTGCTCTTGAGGCCAGTGGAGGTGGAGAGTGGGTTGCGCTTGTTGGCGCCCGAGTCATTGGCGTCGGTCTTGGCGAGGGGCGGACGTCCGCCCATCAGCGGTGAATGGTGATGTGAGCCGGTCGTCGAGCTGGTGAAGCTGGGCGACGGTGAAGCATTGCCCTGGTGGCTGCTGGGCGACGATGACGACGACGGTGAGTGCGACGCGCCGCCCGTCGAGCCGGACAGATGTGAGTTGTGGTTGTGGCCAGTCGTCGTCGTTGTCGATGACGTTGAATGGGGTGTTGGCGATGATGGTGGCAGCTTTACGATTGGCACCGTTGTCATTGGCACTGACGGTGCCTTTGACAACAATGATGAGAACTTGGCCGACGGTTTCTTATCTCCACCGCCGCCCGTACCTGTTGTCGATGATGCAAAGTTGGACATATTATCTTGCACTTTAAATTTTGATTGATTGATTAAATATGTTGTTGTTGTTGTTGTTTTGTTGATGATTATATAATGTACACTGTTGTTGTTACGCGCGCTTCAGGGTTGGTTGACTATCAACCCTGACTATCTTGAATATGATCGACACTAACTGTTGTTGTCTAACCTTGATTGATTTATTGATTGAATGATTTGAATGAGATATATATAAATAAGTATTAAAGTACTATTAGTTGTTCAACAACAACAATAATAATAATAATAATAACAATAATAATAACACAAGCGATATAATATGATGTTGATGAAAGGTGTTGACAAAACACACAAGATTCTTCAAGCTCAACAAGTTAGCTAACTTGGTGGTGTGTGATCACTCAATAAATCTAAACTATGTTTTTTTTTTTCACACTCACTCTACAGCCAACTTGTTGATCTCAGTCGCTTCAGGTGGTGTCATGCCAAACTTGTATCACTTCCGATTCGAATTTCGAGTGATCGAAAGATATTATCCAATCTATATCTAGATAATATTGATAAATTTTATATATTTAATATGAATTCATTCAACATTGATCTCATTAATATTGGTTGATTCATTGATTGATTGTATCAATGACTTAAAGAATTATTTGAATGATTGTTTTGAACATCACAACTTTGAAATGTTTATTACAGTTATGTTGGATGGATGATAGAGATAGAGTGTTTGATTGTTTGATGACTCAAAGACACCTTGAAAGGTGTCCTCAAACTCTGGGGTTAGGGGGTTCGCAAATTCAAGTTTATTAACTATTCATTCAACTTCAAACACAACCACTCACTCTATCTCTCTCTTTCTCACTCACTCATCTACAACAAACAAACAAACAAATACACATTCATATATATATAAATTACATGTACATATAATAGCAACTTATATAGAGATATATATATATATATATCAGATCAATCAATCAATCAAACAGACAAGTTAACATACAAACTATGTCATCAAGACCAATGATGTTAGTGGATGATGATGAGGATGGAGTATTGACAATAGTTAATAATAATAATTATAATAATAATAGTAGTAATAATAATGGTGATCGTGATGTAGGAGATATAAGCTCTGATTCACCTCCACCTGTTACTGCTGGTGTAGCTATCACTGCTACAACTACTACATCACCAACAACTACATCGACATCATCAAAGGCGAACAATATCGATCGTGTCTCACCACCTCTTCAGCCAACAATTGTACAAAGACAACATCAACAGCAACATCAACAACAGCATCAACAACAACAACAACAATATCAACAAAGAACATATGCATCAGTTGTACATAACAACATTATAAATGATGATGACGATGATGACGATGATGATATACCACAACAACAACAACAACTTAACAAACATCAAACATCATCACCAAAGATTGTATATAATCAACAACAACAACAACTACATCAACAACAAGCATCACCATTGAGCCAGACGACTTTTGAGAGTAGTGATGCAGAGGATGACGATGACGACGATGAAGAGGATGAAGACGATGATGATAAGGTCGTCCACAATAATGCACCATCAAGTGTCAAGAAGCATCCTCAATCAACATCGCCAATTCAGCAACACCAACCTCAACAGCAACCTCAACAGCAACCTCTACAACCAATGAAGCCACAGAGGAAACAATCATGGTTGACTAGTGCTGAATCAGTATCATTCTCAAAGCCAAACGTCATGTTCAAGATGGCCATTGGCACGATCTACATCACAAACCATCGAGTTGCCTGGATATGCGATCAAGCATCCACAACAATCTCTGATCTCTACCTTGACGTACAACAGATATATCGTATGTCTCATTCATTCATTGTACAACGCTCAATCACTCACTAATTCAATCAATCACAATGCTTTAGGATCATCAATGTCTGACAGTCCCAAGCTCAATTGGAAGGTGTCATGCAATGGAGTGGACTATCTATTCTTCCTCTCATCCCCAGAGGAGATAAAAGAGGTCAATTCATACTATCAACAGTCCAAACGTAGATTGAGCGAGGCTAATCAACCTAGGCCTCAACAGCAAGCACCACAGCAACAGCAGCCACCACAGCAGCATCCACAGCAGCCATTGTCACCATCCCCTCCACTACAGCAGCAACAGCCACATCCTCAGACGCAACAACCAAAGCAAGCTTCACAACAACCACCTGTCCATCATCAATCACATAACAAACATAAGGAGCATCAACATCAACAACATGAGGACATGCTCTACCCTAGCATTGATGGTGATGTCAATGCTCCTCAGCCACACAAGCCCAAGCAACAGCATCAACAACATCAACAACAACAACAACAACATTCGAATGGTCACTCTAATGGAACAAAGGCAAGACATTCAGTCGATGACGACTTTGTTAGCATTAATGGTCCTGGCAATATGGGCGGCGATGATACAGCTGCAGGCTACTTTGACTTTAACGTCAGCCATCCATGCCAGGTGGAGGAGGACGGCAGCAGCTTCATCACCTACGAGGTGTCCTGCAAGTTTAGGGACGACAAGGGCGTAGCCGACATCAAGGTGCGTCGTCGATACAAGGAGTTTGAGTGGCTGCACGCGCAGCTGTCCAACCCAACCTGCAAGAACTACACGTTCGTGCCACGCTTCCCACAAAAGTCAATGGTGCAGTTCTGGAACAGGTCGGACCAGACGGCCGTCGGCAAGCGTTGCTTCCACCTCGACGAGTACATGAAGAACCTGTCGCTGTTCAGGAGCAACCCGGCACTCAAGGTGTTCATGAGCAACCGTCCCATCTCGCTGCCACAGAACCCAATCGTCGACTTTATTGGCAACAACATCGCCTCACACCTCCCACAACACGTTGGCTTCAATGACATGCCAATGATTGATCAGAACTTCATATACAACTCTGGTATGTCGTCTTCATCATCATCATCAACATCCTCAGACATTCATTCATTCACTCACTCACTCATTCATACAGAGATTGAACGTGACTACTGGCTGATCCGCAGACTAATGAAGAAGTGGGAGCTATTGCCCAAGAAGTTGCCATTCCAGAAGTTCTTGTATGTTCCTCTCTTCCCTTGACCTCATGGTCTTGTCTTGCATGTACTAACCATCAATCAATCAATAGGGTCGTTGTGTTGGGAACTACATCCGCAGGCAAGAGTTCATTCATCAACAACTTCTTCAATATACAGATCAAGAGGTCGGCCATTGGCCAACTAGACACTCACTTCACTCTTGTGGAGACTATCCCCAAGGAACAGTTTGCAGCGTTGAGCGACAAGCTGACTGATCGAACCGTATGTATATGATTGATAGACATGTTCAGCAAGCCAGCCAGCGAGCAATGATCCTAACAACACCTTACTCGCACACACTTAGACCAAGTCCAAGAAGTTCACAAAGGAGCAGCTCAATGAGAAGATCACAACTGAGCCAATGAGCGATCCTAGATACGGACATGTGTTCCTTTACATGGACACAGCATACACACTGTCAAGATATGACGCGCAACTAAGTCGATACGACGACATTATATCCAAGTATGGTCTGGTTCGTTGTATACTCATCAACGAAGAGTATCTATCTGGTACACCAGAGGAATTGTAAGTCAACGATCCATCCATTGTCCATCATCTCAGACCTCCAGTCACTAACATCACATCGCCGTCACAGACTTTACCAGAAGAAGACCATATTCTTAGACTCACCTGGATTCGAATCCAAGAAGGAGAGCAATGAGACCTTGCTTGGTAACATCAAGATCATTCAGTTCTTCTACTCAACGAGTGATTTGACATTGTTTATGATGCCCGCCAAGAACATCTCATTGGTATCCCCACAGGTATGTTTGATTGAATGGGTACAACCTGTACGGCGACTGACTAACAATGGTATACATAGATACAAATACTAGAGATATGCGTTATGTATAAGCTTTATGGACCAGAGATTGTGGATCAGATGGTCAATAAGATATTTAGCCAGCGATCAGAGTCAAAGTCCATTCCATCACTGTCAGAGATCACAAGGGTCATTGTGAATCAGTTTAGACGCGAGGACAGACGACCCAATCAGGAGTACATTGGCACATTGGTGTGGGACAAGATCAGGTTCTTGCTGACACAGATCGATGATATACAGAGTGGCGAGGACACCAACTTACGCGAGCAGTACTTTGAGCTGGGCAGACTGCTTGGCAAGAGTCTGACATTCTTGGACCCGCCCACCTACACACAATGTATGGCCATTGCACTGCCACTGGATCGTGTCTTCAAGTCACCAGAGGAACGACGCGCCAAGTGTGGCGACCTTGACTCCCTTCTAGCCTACATCAGAAGCTTGAACAGTGAGAGCAGTTACCATCAGCGACTTGAGACTGCCATTCAAGAGATGTCCATTGGTCTCTTGCCACATATTCAGAGTATGTATACTTGGTACTTGGAGCGAACTCTGCGACTCGGTTCATTCATTAACTCATTCAATCATTGACACTTGTTTAGACTCATGGAAGAACTACTTGGACTGGAACCAATGGATCAGTAGCGACTCGGCCAGCGTTGATCTGATTAGAGAGCGATCAAACGCTAGAGTTAGAGGCGCAGCCCCACACACCTCTGTGAAGAGATAACAGGCCTTGTCCAAGCACATATACTTACTACCAGTTGGCGATGCTAATAAACCTTTTTGTAAAGAACTCTCTTTGTTATTATTATTATTCTCGTTTAATGTCAATGTCAAGAGACAACCTTGGATGAAGTGCTAGCGACACCAATTGCCGTCTTTAACTTGTCGACAACTCTTTGAATGCTGTCATCCTTCTCTGCCGCCTTGGAGTAGATGGCAGACAATTGTTGGAGAATGACAATGTCCACTGTTTCCAATGATTGAGTACGTATGATGTAGTCGATTGTGTTAAAGTAGGATTGATGTGTGAGGACATGGCTTGTATGTCGCTTGGCAATGTCGCTCAGCAGCATGGCCACCCTGCTACCACCTCCGCCTCCAATGTATTGCTGGAGATTGGCGTTGGAGCAGTTGTCGCAGAGCTTGGCGGAAATATCGTCAATCATCTGTTTCTTATCAGGCAATGATACATTGAGTAGGATCAACAGTCGCGCCATTGGTTTATCACATTGTGAAGATTGTAGTTGATCTGGAAACTTGTTGGCCAAGTGTGAAAGGACCTGGACAATCTCAACTAGGCAACGATTATTTGATTGATCGCTGTATACCACTTGCTGGAGATCGCGAAGCAGATTCGCCAGTGTGGTCTCATCGACAGTGCCAATGGTGCTGGTCATGTGTGCCAGTACTTGGAGTTGACATAACAATGTGTCTTTGTGTGATGGAGTGTTTAGCTCTTCTTTGATGCGCTCAGACAGCCGTGGCAACAATACAGAGCCCTTGGCAACATGGCCAACAATGCGACAAATCTCGGCCACCATTGTTTGAATGGTCGGCACCATGTCGTTGACCCTGACGATCATCACCTCGGTGATCGCATCAATGAATGGTGTCATTGCCTCGACACCAAGGTACATCATCATGAGATACAAGACGCCGATCTTCATCTCGCGTGATTGAGGATCGAGCTCGTTCTGATGGAGGTTGGCATAGAAGTGTCTCATCGTCTTACTAATGTGCTTCTGTAAGTATGCCCTGCACTCATTGTTGATGGACATTGTTGGTTGCCACCATGTTAGACGCGCACTATCTATCAGTTCCTGGGTTATTGTTGGTGGCGCAGGGAGGAAGAGGATTGTGCGTGTCCCCCATCTTGCTGGCAAAGTATGTGGATGAGATGATCAATAATGACTCTTGTGCGCTGACAATGACATCTGGCACGTTGGATGCGAGCAATGATAGCAGACACATGTTGAGCAATGGTTTGTGTTCGCGAATTGAGAGTCGAACATCAGAGGTGAGCCATCTCGCGATGCACTTGGAAAGTGTGATTCGAACCGACGGGGAATGATCGATCGCCAACAGATAGAGCTGCTCAGCAATGTTGTCCACCACCTTGACCGCGCCACAGCTGACAAACTCTGTGAGTGCCAGCAGCGAGGCGGAGCGAATGCGCTGATGTCTGTCTGGGAGATGTCTGATCAACGATGCATTGAGTGATCCAGTGAAGAGAATCATGCGCGTCGGTATCTTTTGTGCCAGATGTGTGATGACATTGCACGTCTGCTCGATCTGATGATGATTCTTATCGGTCAATGCCAGTCTGAGTATTGCCACCAACCTTTCGCAGTGCTGCGACACGATCACGTCGGAGCACGAAGTTACTACGATATCAATGAGTGCAACAATGTCCACTCTCACCTCCTCGACCTCCTCCTTTCCCAACTGTATCTCACAACTCTGTAGCAGTTGTGCCAACTGTGTCTGTACTACATTGTGAATATGCTCCACCAGGCTAGCATAAGAGTGAGTCAGTCATTCGAATAACTAGACTGTTTGATTGTTTGAATGAATGTATGAATGAATGAATACATACAGTTTCAGTATTGACAATGCTATTACCCTACATCTCTCTGTTTGATCACTGACCAGGGCGATGAGAGGTGAGGATAGGCATTCAGTCCAAAGCTTCTCGAGTTCTACATTGCCTCCGCTGCCATTCACTTTAGTTGTGATCGTAGACAATAGCCTCTCGGCCGCCTTCTTTCTCTGAAAGGTACTACTACCTCCTTGTGTGTTTGAGATAACAAGCACATCGTTGTGTACATTCTCTGTCATCCTCTACCTCTCTCTTTGTCAATGTTGTTGTCCGGATGTCTGTCCCATAAACGAATGACCAATTCGGTCATAAACACGAAACACAACTTGTTTCAAACAATCACACACTCACAATGAATGAATACAAAGATTACAACAATGACCCCAAACACACACAAACAAACACTAGATTATGTGAAGTGATGACGGCTGAATGAAGGCAATGACCTTTTATGGACAAGTAGTAGTGGACATCATCTTCATCATCACACACACACACACACACAGACACACACCGGGTGGTCGACCACTCTACTACTTCATTAGGTCAATGAACTGATCTACCCACTGGTGTGCGTGTATGTATGAATGTATGTGAAGAAAGAATAACTAATAAGGTCCTTAGAGATTGCCCTGGTGTGTTACCACCTCCAGACACCCCATCCACCTCCGCAATGGACGGATGGATGGATGCCAACTAGAGTTAAAGTTGGCCTGGACAGGCAATCTAGTCCAATCTCGGATGACTTCCTCTCTCTACTCACTCACTCATCCAAGCCAACAACTCTCTCACTCATTCAATCATCCAACCAACCATTCATTCATTCATTCATCCATTCAATTACTATCCTTATTCTTATTGCAACATAGTTATACTACAACATTAATAATAATAACAACATCCAATCAATCAATCAATTAATTAATAATAATATTAAATAATGTCTGAACAAATTAGTACCGAACATGCTCATCATCAGGATGAATCCAAGCCAATGGAGGAGATCAAGGAGTCTGGATATGAGGGCTCGCCAGAGTCCTGGAAGGAGAAGGGTGAGCCAAGTGGAGACCAACCAGAGAAGCACAAGAAGAAGTTCCCAAATCCAGTGACCGCCGTCAAGGAGAAGGTCCAGGAGATCCAAGAGAAGTCTCAGGAGAAGGAGAGGGAGAAGGAGAAGGAGAAGGAGAGGGCCCAAGATAGACAGTCCCTTGAGAGGTCCCAAGAGAAGTCCCAAGAGAGGGAGGGTGGATTCTTCCACTTTATGAGATCAAAAAAGGTTAGTACATTCTGCAATTTTGTTGAGGAGGCTGGAATCATTCCGACATTAACTAACAATTACTTCAATGTACTTCTACTTCATCACTTCCAAATGAAGCTTACCGAAAGCCAACTCCTACAACAACAAGAGAGGGAGAAGCTGGACAAGATGGCCAAGGATGTCAAGATCATGGTTGAAAACCTGCACTCGGCCATCATGACATCTCATCAGCAGGACCCTTCGACCAGGTTCGACTACACCCTCCCGACTCACTTTGAGACCGTGCTCGAGCAACTGTCCGTCATCTACGGATCCTCTGGTGACCTCGACAAGATCCTCAGGAGACATACCAAGGAGGTGGAGAACAGCAACCATGACCGTCACAAATACTGGAGCTTCTGGGCCAGGATCCTCCATGAGCGCACCGATCGCTTGGACATGTTCAACAACTCCAGATTCATCGCCGCGTCCCTCAATTCTGTAAGTTAATGTAGCTGTGTATTCATTTTGATTGATTGATAGACTAACATGTGTTCCATCAAACGTTAGGCAACCAATTTCAATGTCAATGAAACCGAGGTACTTGCCTTCAAGGATCTACTCACAGTGGCCTTCAATACCGAGGTAGAGGTTGAGCATGTCTTGGAGCTTGTGACACTCCTCAAGCGAACACAAGCAATTGGCTTTGTAACAGACGAGAATGATCGCAATATCCGAGAGGTGATCGAGATATTGAAGGTATGTATTGCCAACCCAGACCCGCTCCAACAAACAGTTACTAATTACTAATTCCATGGCCTCAAACTCAGAGACCCATTGAGACTGACTCGATGGATATCATTGAGGCAGTCTACCGTGATATGGACAAGGGCCAGAGGAAGTTTGATGGTATGCTGGACACGTGGCAGAAGCAGAGGGGAGAGGTCCTTGAAAAGTTTAAGGAATCGTCCACCAAGTATCAGAAGTCCTTTGAGGGCAGGAAGAATGAGATGACCCAGCTGGAGAAGGATATCCAACAATCCCAAGACACCATCAGAGCCAACAACATGGAGATTGAAAAGTTGGTCGACAAGATGGACGAGCTGAAGAGGCACAACAGCAGACTGGAGAACAGACTCGTCAATGATAGAAAGTCCATCGAAGTCAAGAACAAGGAGGACAAAGCGGAGATCACCCTCAAGAATGATCTCGATGGCCACAAGTACAGAAAGGACACTGTGGTCAGGTTCGTTGGCAACTTGGAGATCATGGACCGTGGCCTCAAGACATCAGTGATCAATCACAAGAGGACCATGCTTGAGAACCTTGAGCGATGCATTGAGAACTTGGTAAGTAGTTGTTGTTATTGTTGGCTCATCGTTCAATCTCATTACTAACATCAATCAATTTTGTACAGAAGGAGAGAATGAGACGTTCTGGAGATGACATCACCAAGCAACAACAGTGTGAGAATGAGTTCAAACGTATTGAGGAGTTCTTTGCAACCAAGTTCCATCTGGAGAGCAAGGATGAGAATGACGAACTTGGTGGCAACTGGGAGCGTGTCAAGATCAGCCTGGACCAGTTCAAGAACCCTCACGTACACCACGAGAAGATGGACATGCCAAAGTCCAAGGAGTCGTCGTCTTCGTCGTCGTCATCGTCCCACCTCGAGTCTCAACAGTTTGAGAAGCAACAGGAACAGGAGGAGCAACACGAGCACAGGAACTCACCTGTTCAAGAGCACCATGGTGAGCAACCTGAGCACCATGGCTCTCCACACCATCACCATGAGCATCATGGCTCCCCACACCATCATGGTGACCATGGCCAGCACCAATCATGAATAGTCTGATTTGTTACTAGTATCATTGTCAACAGGACACCTACTATACTACTACCAGACTCTGGCCTACCTGCCCATTGACTGGACCACGTCTCGTTTCGTCTTCGTCTTGTCAACCCCATCTTCATCTTCACAACAACACAAACAAAACATGGAACTTGCCCCCATTGCAATAAAGGGAAGCTTTTTTATCAAACCCCAACTTCAATGCTCACTTTCAACCGACAGACTTGGTGACATGAGATAGAGATACACATTATATATATTCATTACATACACATACATATACATATATATAGATATATATATACAATACATAGTTAAATCACTCAATTGAGATTGAGTGATGGATATGTATAGACGACAATGAGCAGCAGCAACAGCAGCACTACTACAAACAATAAAGACGACACGACTGAACATTCACATACCAATGGTAATGGCAACGGCAATGGCAATGGCAATGGAAATATGAATGGACGAGATGTAGAACAACAACAACAATATCGTCGCAGTAGGAGTAGGAGCAGGAGTAGAAGTAGAAGCCCACCACTGCAACGAGAGCGACCCTACAGACATTACCCACCACGAGATAGAAGCAGGAGCCCGCCAATGGGCCGCGATAGAAGTTATAGTCCACCACCTATGCATCCACGCGATAGATATCGTGGAGGACCACCAGGTGGCGGAGGCAGAGGCGGCGGAGTTGGCCTCAGAGACTCGCGAGACCAACAATACATGGATCGTCGCTATCCGGATGAGCCACCATATGGCCACCCACCAGCCCACCGTGGTGGGAGGGATTCTTATGGAGGCGCTGGTGACGGCGGCGGGTACGGCAGGGACCCTTATCGTGAGCGCGAGAGAGAGCGTGAGCGTGAGAGGGAGCGAGAGCGTGAGAGAGATAACTACCGACAGAGGGGCGACTACCGACATCCGCCGCCGCCACCACTCCGCGAGGACCGTCGCTCACCACCACCCTACAGAGGCGACGACCGTCGCGCGCCTCCCCCTGTCTACCACGAGAGCAAGAGTCCCTATGGATACAGAGATCAGATGGAGCGCGGAGAACGCCACCATCAACCCTCCAGCCACCCCAACGATCGTCACTCAAGCGAGTCATCAGCGCATCACAGTCACAGTCATTCATACTCTTTGCCAAGCGCGTTGGAGTACACTTCCACCTCTTCATCATACACATCCACTGCCTCTGCAAGTGCCACTGTCGACTCGATGCTCTCGACACCAACCGTGACAAAGAAGAAAGAGACACTCACATCGCCCAGCGAGACAAGGGATGGCCAGCTCGACACTCCGCCACAGAAGAGGGACAGGGCCACTGAGCTCATGTCCAGTCGACTGGAACAACAGAGACTTTTGAAGAAGCAAAAGACAGAGCACAGCGGCAGCAACAGTAATAATACAAGCGGACCACCAACACCAACGACGACATCATCATCAACATTGACAACCAGCGCAAAGAAGACACCAGCGACATCAACACCACCAACAACATCGAGTACACCCAAGCGCACACAACAATTGAAGAATGCATCCGATTCGAGCGATAGTAGTGGGCCGGATAGGTCCAGGGTGGCGCCAAAGAAGCCGGCAAATGGGAGCGCCAGGAAGCGTCCTGTTCGGACTATTAGCAGCAGCGAGAGCAGTAGTGGCGAGAGCAGCGATGGCAGTGGCAGCGACAGTGACAATGGCAGCTACTCATCAAGGTCGAGCAGTGGCGGAAGTAGTTACTCGGGCAGCGATGATGAAAGTGGCAGCGACTCCTCGAGCTACTCCTCATCGTCATCCTCTGATGGAGAGGACCACAAGAAGCATGCACATGGACGCAAGGTCCCCAGGTCAGTCAAACGCGGTGACAACAAGAAGGCGGATGTGAAGAAGTCCACATCCAACAAGTCCTCCAAGTCATCCTCAACTTCTGCGACATCCAAGTCCACCGCGACCAAGAAGAAGACGACAGAGAGCACCAAGACAAACGCAAAGACATCACAATCGACGCCTCAACAGAAGAAGAACTCTATCAAAACAACAGCTACAACGACAACAACGACAAAGTCCTCAAAGCCATCGACCACCTCCGGTGGTGAAGGTGGCAAAGCGACCAACAGCAACACCAGCAGCAGCGGCAACAAGAAGGAATCAAGAGAGGAGGAGAAAGAGAGGATCATGCAGCTGTTGCAGTCCAAGAAGCCAGCCAAGAAGCAGATCTCTCCAACATCGGCGGCCAAGAGTGGGGGTGGAAACAGTGCGAAATCAGAGATGAGCGCCATCGATGGACTTTCCGAGCCCCAGGCCATCAAGAAGATCGAAGAAATGATTACCAAAGGTCTTAGTCATTCCAAAGCAGCAGTACTGATACAAAAGGCCAGAGGCAAGGAGTTCAAATATACCAAGACAAGTAAGTTTGATTCATGGTCACATGCACATCGCTCATTCACTCACTCACTCAATCAATCAACGAATCAGATTTCTTTGCAGAGAGAAAGAATAAGCAGTTGCTGAAGGATGACATTGCAGCATGTGCCTGCTATCAATGGGGCGTGTCAAAGTGTGGACCAGAGTGCTTGAACCGCAAGTCATTCATTGAGTGCGATGGCAACACATGCGAGCTAGGCGACAAGTGCGGTAATCAACGATTCAATCGCAGGGAGTACGCCAAGATCACACCGTTCAACGCCGAGCGGAAGGGCTGGGGCCTCAAGGCCTTGGAGAAGATCAAGGCCAAGCAGTTCATCATTGAGTACTGTGGCGAGGTGATCAGCAAGAAGGAGTCGCTGGAGCGCATGAGCGAGGCCGATGGCGAGAAGTATTTCTACTTCCTCACGCTCGACGCCAAGGAGGTGTTGGACGCCTCTCGCAGGGGCAACCTGGCCAGGTTCATCAACCACTCGTGCGATCCAAACTGCGAGACCCAGAAGTGGTCGGTCGATGGCGAGACGCGCATCGGCATCTTTGCCATCAAGGACATCGAGCCAGGCACCGAGCTGACGTTCGATTACAACTTTGAGCGAGTGGGCGACTCCAAACAGTCGTGCTACTGCAAATCTGCCAACTGTCGCGAGTACCTGGGCAACAAGCCACCCTCCACCAAGACCAAGGAGCCCAAGCCGGCGCCTCCACCCGTCATCACAGTTCCACGCAGCGATCACATCGAGCTCGACCACACCGACCTGCTCAAGCACTTCCTCAGCCAACAAGACACACCACCGCCGTACCAATACGAGACGGAGCTGTCCGAGGAGAACCAGCAACTGTTGGTCAAGTTCATGAAGGTGTTCCTTCCACGCAATGTCCGATCCACCCAACGTCATCATTGTTCAATCATTGCCAGTGTATTCAAAGAGCATGGTTTGGAGCTGCCCGAGCAACTTCAACAACTATCCACCAACCTCGACAACACCATCAAGCAGCAACACCCACGACCAAAGACCATCCAGCAAGTGATGGAGAGGCTGGCAACAACACAAGCATCATCAAACACAACAAAATCAAAATAATAAGACTATTGTTGTTGGATTGACTCAGTTTGCGCAATTGGAACCCAGTTTGTAGTAGTTTGAATGATTGATTAGATGATTGTTTGAGCGCGCCGTTGTGTATCCGTTAACACTATAATTTGAATTTGAATTCATTAATTTGGAAAGTGGGGGAGGGAGAATAAATTCAGAATTAATTCAATAAAAATAAATTGTGGGTAAGGTGTTGTTTGGAAAAGTGAGTGTGTGTGTTGATAGTGAGAGGTGATAGCGAACACAACAACTCAACGCAATCATTTCACGCACAAACACATTACATTCAAACACGTAAGTTTTATTTATTTATTTATCTATTACTACAGCTAGCTTTATATATATTGTCGACAAAATAACAATCAAAAGACACAATTTATAACATATAAACTAACATTCATACATTTACTCAATCAATCAAATTTAATATATATAAATCGACTACATCGAAACAAACAACATTCGAAATATCAACAAACAATCAATCAAACAACAAATAATCAATATAATATAAAACAGATATATCATCAAATATGGCCCGTACCAAGCAAACAGCCCGTAAATCGACCGGAGCCAAGGTGCCCCGTAAGCACATCGGTTCCAAGCAAGCCCACAAGCAGACTCCAGTCCAGTCTGGTGGTGGTGTCAAGAAGGTTCACAGATTCCATCCAGGAACTGTCGCCCTCAGAGAAATCAGAAAGTACCAGAAGAGCACTGACCTGCTGATTCGCAAGCTCCCATTCCAACGTCTGGTTCGTGAGATCGCCCAAGAGTTCAAGACTGATCTCCGTTTCCAGTCTGCTGCCATCGCTGTATGTATTGATGCAACTTTACAATGTTGTATTGATGAAATGTAATGTTGTATTGATTGACTGACATATATATCCATCCAATCAATCAATCAATTCGATCGACTTTGATTTCTATTTCGAAACATAACAACAGGCTCTTCAAGAGGCATCTGAGGCCTACCTCGTCGGTCTCTTTGAGGACACCAACCTGTGTGCCATCCACGCCAAGCGTGTGACTATCATGGCCAAGGACATCCAACTCGCCAGAAGAATCAGAGGAGAGCGTACTTAAACTTGCTTGTTACCCGCCTTTGCCCAACTTCACCACCCTGTATTTACATTATTAACTAGTTAACAAAAAAAAAAAAAAAAAAAGAAAAAAATAAATATTCAAGGTTGGTTGACTTGGTTCATCGTATCCATTCAACCAAACCTGATCTGTTTGGGGGTCTTGTTGTCAATTTATTAGTTTGTTATATATATCTGTTCCAGATGTCATCGCTTGGAACAAGATGTAGAACTCGGGGAAACGACGACTGGTAGTTCGACGTCAATCACTGATCATTCAATATTCGAATTGTCGTTGATCGAAGATTGACAATCGACAAAGTTATAAAAGAGTAATCGAAGGTGATGCGCTGACGAGGGAGGTTCCAAAGGTCATGGGCACACACAACAGTTCGATCGAACAGTCCAAAAATCAGTTCGAAATAACCAAAACTGGTGTGGAACAGATGAAAAACGGGGACTCCCCAAGGTCCACATCAAAACCCTCCCGACATGTCTTCACATCTTCATTTACCAACACAGCAATCAAACATGTCATCGCAACAAATAATACAACAACTTGAACATCAACTTCAACAACAGCTGGTGTTGAGTGATGTCGATGATAGAGACCAAGGTCAAGGCCTGGCACTACCAGCGCCAATGCAGGCACTTTGGGTACGCACTGTGCTGGAGCACGCCATGCCACGCTCGATGGACGCCTCACCAATCCCCCAGGTCATGTTTGGAGACTACCCTTTCAATGTAACGTACGAGACCATTCGATTGGAGGGCCCCAGCTGGTTCTTATACTACGCCGCCTTGTTTGGACTCGTCTGTCGCTCATGGTACAATCTCGTCAAGGACTTTATGCACGCACGCCGAAACGACCTCAACCTGACATTGGTCGAGATCCATGGCACACTATTCGTGCCCTACAAGTTGGACCTGTTCAGCTACCCTCGTCTGATCATATTCAATCACAACTCAAAGCACTCACTCATACGAAGCGAGAACTTGGTCATGGCGACTATCGAGTCGATGGGTCATCCATGCTACACTCCGCACCTCTTCACCCAAATGAACAATCTCGAGTCGGTGTACATCACGTATCATGGCGATGAGGAGTCATTCATCGACACAATCGAGGCCTTGCTCGAGGCCTCCAACGATCAGATCAAGATCAATGTGACCTTCCTGGACGAGGTCATTGACTTTGCCGAGTACGACGGCCTGCGTGAACGACTGGACAACGTGACACTCGAGTACTTTGGCTGCTGTGAGGACCTTTTGACGATGGACAGCGCTTTTGAAGAGCTTCGTGGCGTCCTGCCCAACAACCTCATCGTCAACCTGTACAACGGTGAGAACGAACACAATGCACACTTTACCTACGCACCGCTATTCGCCATCAAGTCGCTCAGACGTCTGACAATCGAGCATGATCATATCGAGCTGGCTGACCTGATCGAGCTGGCCAAGTCACAGCGTATCGAGCAGTTCAATGGCATACTCCTATTCCATCACATTCTTAGACAGATCAATGCTGACCGATGCCGCACGCGCACACCCTCCGAGCAATACCCGCATCCACAACTCGAGTTGGTTGCAGACAGCACTGACGTGGTCACACTCAAGGTCGACCCAAAGGTGCACCAGCCGCTCAACGATTGCTCCGCACAGCCACTCAAACATCGCGGCTGCACATATCATCCAGTCAACTTGGAGCAGCATATCGTGGACTTTTGTCAAGCGCTCAAGTCCAACACGACACTCAAACATCTGGCACTCACCTCTTTCCAATGCGCCGAGATTGGTCACTCCATTGCCTCATGGGGAAGCAAGAAACAACACGTGACTGATCGATACACTGATGAACAGTCGTCGCCAGACTCGACCGCGGACGACGACGAACACGAGCAGGAGCTGAGGTGCCAGCCATTCATCGATCATTTCTCTACATTGTTCCTGTTCAACAACACATTGCAACATCTACATTTGTCCAACATATACATCATCAACGACGAATTCTTCAAATGTCTCGAGACCAATCAGTCGTTGCTCGCGCTGGTGCTCACTGATGGCGCGTTTGGACGTGGAGGAGTCCATCTCCAGGCGTTGGCCAACATGATCAGGAGCAACAAGACCCTACACACACTGTCCATCCAGAGGAACCAATTGAAACACTTTGGCGACCTGCCATCAGCATTGCAATCAAGCAACACACTGCGATCATTAGATATAAGTGGAAACAAAGTGATTGATATTGCATCAGTGGCAATGTTTGATGCATTGGAGATCAGCGATCATTTGGAATACCTTGTAATATCACCATGCATGAAAGATGCTTCCAATCACTACCGCAGCACATCCTCATCACTCAAGCGAGTGTTGATCCGAGACGATGAAGCCAGTCAAGACCCAACATTCTACACAAACACTGGACTGGTGTCCTATTCACCATCTGACTATGGATGTTTACAATTGGCAAGATATGACTGAGCTCAGTCATGCATGGTTCCAGTTTCCGTGTTTCCGGTTGGTGTTTCCGTGTTGCCACCTTGTTGCCGCCGCGGCGACAACTCCCCCACACATAATAATAATATGTACATGAGCAGGATATATATCCTGCTTGTTTGTTTATAAAGTATACATGGCATGGCGTCATATGAATCGCTCATACCTCCTCCATTTGGATCGATCCACTTGTTACATCTGAGTAGATTCCATCGTCGTTGGATGTTGTCTCGTTGTTGGGTGAGATGGCCATTGGGGAGACAGTGACTGAGGTGCCAGCGGCACCTTCATCGTCCTGTCCACCCATTGACTTCTTTCTCTTCTCCTTCTCCTTTCGTTCTCTACGCTCTGATGACACATCCAAGTTGATCTCACATGATGTACCTGAAGAGTTACCTGAAGCTCTCGACGACTTCTTTCTCTTGGCTGGCTTCTTTGACAACAACACGGTAACACCATTTGTCAACACCATGAATGATACTGTATCAAAGATCCTATATATATACATCATCCTCATATCCATCGTCCTCGCAGCATATATCATATACGCAGCTTGCAAGCATATTATAAGTGCCAGCACCAATGAGATGAAGAGTATCTATAAAGTGAGCAAGTTAGTTAGCATCAATGAATCATTGAATGAATTAATGGATCATACACTTACTCTATTATTAATCGATACTTTGCCGTTGTGTAGTGACTTGGTGTAGAGTAGGATACCAAAGATTAGGAATCCAATGGCTAGGACGATACAGTATCCTACGACATAGTAGAGGAATAGATGTAGGTAGAATACTGAGAATGCTACTGGATGTTTGTCATTATCCTTGAACAATACAGTACTGGCAACCATTATAACCAAGAATAATACTTGTACAATTATAAAGATGTACGTTGTATAATGTCGCATCTTGAATATCGCTTGTTGCACTTTGAAGACATTGTGGAATAGACGTATCCAGAAGATCAACAATAGACTATATGTTGTAAACATCAAGAATCTTGAGAAGAAGAATACAAAGCTCAATGATGCTAATCCACCATATCTATTAACAACATTGACATTAAAGTCATAGTTTGATATGTATACGTATCGAGCTAGTATTGAGGGTTGAGGGCAAGGGTTAGGGTTAGGGTCGAGGGCGAGGGTTGAGGGTAAGAATACTTACTAAAGTTATCCAAGAGTACAAGATAATATATAACTAATTTGAATGAAGCGAATGTCTTTAGATGTAGAACTGTTTTGACTGAAGTTATCAATACATTGACAATTGATAATAATAGAAATGGTTGAAGTACTCTGTCAACTAGAAGTGGTCTATGATCCTGGTCTCCAAATTGAGGCAGGAATGTACCTGGATTGATAGACTCTGAGGACATATATAAATAATATTATATTATCAATATTTGTATTTATCCAATAACCAATAAGAATAATAATAATAATAATATTAATATTGTAATTAATGTACTTTGGTGTGGATTATAGTTGAAGTTGATAATAATGTAAGTTAGTCCTAAGGTCACGTGCACCTGATGATCACAACTATTAGACTCAATTCAACATTAATAAGATATAGTGAATGAATATTGAAGAACATAGGTATGAATGAGGTCAAGGTACCTATCTTCACCTGAACAGGCCGTCTAACTTTGAAGGTGTTGGAAGCCTTGAGGTATATAATTGCCATCAATCACTATTTAAATTGGAAGTTGTGATGACACCCAACGGCATCAACAATACCCCTATTTCAATCTTATCACACCTACTCTGAGGGGGTTTATATGTTTGAGATGCATTGTGATGAATCTCGCTGAATAAGAGTGTGTTAGTGTTAGAGCGAACTGACACCCCTTTGCCTTATTAGCTCAAACTGAAGAGCACCCCTCGTTAATTAAATCAATTTGTTTTGTTTGTATTGTTATGTGATTCAACCAATTACATCTAATCTGATTATCACAATACTATTTTCCAGATACCCTGGCCATTGTCGTCGTACTTGTACCTGTCAAGGAAACATAGATTGAATTAATATAATATAATATCATGGTCAATATAATACCTTCCACTTTTCTGAACTTTGTCCAGACCTTCTAGTATCCAACTTATTTGAACAAACATATTAATACTATCAAATATTCAAAAGTGACAAACAAGACTTAGATAGGATAAAGGTTGGACTAGTGTCAATCCCCAAACCCAGGGAATTAATTAATTCCAAGAAGAGAGTCTTCTCCAGATCTCGATAGTCAATGTGAAAGTAAAAGTCACATTCTTTGTACATTTGGTCAATCATTCATTCTTGTTATAACTATTCATTGAATGACAGAGTTATGTTTAGTAGAATGTCTAATCGAATTGTAGCAGGTGTCAAGATTACTCGTATTGGTAGTGGTGGTGTTACTTCATCATCATCATCCAAGGACAGCAAGTCAATTGAGCAGACATGGTCTGCCTCATCATCAACTGCTTCACCTTCGATTGGCATCGGCAGAGGAATGCTAGACATTGATGATAGTAGAGTAAGTGAGAGACAAGGTAGGTACGAACGATCATCACATTGAATAGAGCACAATCAATCAGGTCTAACTAACATCAATCAATCAATCAAAGTTGAGATCAAGCTGTTGAATAGTAACAAGGTCACTGTGTTCCAATGTGGAGTCAATCCATCGTTTATACAATCATCCAAGCGATTCAATGAGGTGAAGAGTGCTACAACAGAGAAAGAGACTGCGACAACAACAACCTCAGTGTCAAGCCCAAAGCTCACTATGAAGGATCTTTTGGGTGACCAACTCGATCGGTTGAATGGACATGAGCTTCAAGATCCCAATGGTGAGGTTGTCTCCTTCCTCATTCCCAATCAAGACCCAATACACATCCTTATCCAATTGATCGAGGACAGCAATGACGACCAAGTCGTGTCATCATCAAGCTCCTCCGTCGTCGCCAAGCCTTCCTCGTCATCACCATCATCATCACAATCATCTGGCACACTAAAAGCATCGACTGATACAACATCGACTACATCAACTACATCGATTACATCAACATCAAAGACATCACCAACCAAGCGAGAATCTGATCAACCACCCATCCAACAATCAAAGAAGTACAAGGTACTCGATATTCAAGCGAGTAGTGGATCCGACAAGACATTGACCACAGCAACGACGAAGACGGCAACAACTTCAACACCTGCTCGTGTTGGTACATCTTGGAGCGATGCATTGTCTGCGTACTGTTTGGCACCAGCTGATCATTCATGTGTCAAATACTATGACGACAAGATAGTGATCATTCAAGACGCATATCCAAAGGCCAAGCATCACTATCTCGTGATGCCCAGACGTTTGATACCATCGTTCAAGGATCTCACCAAGGAGGACTTGGGATTGCTGCAACAGTTGTACGATCATGGCATTCACTTTATTCAAAACACACTCAAGTGCAAGCTGGACATATTCCAGATCGGCTTCCATGCCGTACCCTCGATGCGACAACTTCACCTGCACCTCATCTCCAACGACCTCAACTCTCCAGCACTCAAGCGCAAAGAACACTGGATATCATTCACTACTGACTTCTTTATACCTTTCCAATCATTCTATGACAATCTGAAACAGAATGGTTCAATAGTCGTACGTGTCCTCACTCACTCTTCATTCATTCATTCGTTGACCCTGGCATATACTAACCTCAATCTTCAAACCTTCATTAGTTGGACAGGGAGAAATACAAGAAGCTGAAGGAGGTAGCTACATTTGTATGTCCCAAGTGCAAGGCATCATTCGAGTCTCTTGCCAAAGTGAAGGATCATTATCAAAAGCATTGATCAGTCACTCATTCAATCGTTCAACCGTTCAATCAATCATTCAATCAGTTAATCACAAGGCAACTGCTCCAAAGAATGGAGTAGTCCTCAAACGACACAATGGAACCATTAGGGTTAACCAAGATAGACTTTAGCTTTGCCAAATCAAGTTGGATGTTGTTGTCCAGTCCTATGACTGCCAGTCATTTATAAATCATTGACTTTGTATTCCCCAACCCTCGCACTTGCCCTAACCCTCGCCCTCGCCCTCGCCCTCACCCTAACCCTCGCCCAAACCCTCGCCTAAGTTCATTTTGTTTGTTCAATCCCAGTCTTTGATGACTGAACATAGTTATATAATCACAGATACACATACCTTAGAGAGAGAGATATATAACGATGATGATCAACGAAGAGGATGTAAAGAAACCTGTTAACGAGTTGTTGGCAAGTGAGGACTTTCGTGTAAGGTTGATGTTGACTACTTTGGAGCATCCAGATGTGTTCACAGAGGATGCAGACGACACTCGTTACGAGAAGCTAAAGGACAGACTTGACAGAATGTTATCCGACCCAAACAAAGTATTACAATTACTTAATACATATAATGGTGCATTACTTGATGTACCCATCAGGATATTGTTATTGGGTGCACGCGATGGTGCCAATGCGAGTGACAGTGGCAGTGACAATGATACTGGACATCATCATGGTGAGCATACATTGTCGATTAACTTACGCATTATCGCATTGATACTTCGTCATTCAGAGGTGTATCATCAGTATGTTGTCAGCGAGAGTAGTAGACATCGTTTGTCAATACAACAGACATTACATGACATCTGTGTTGTGTACACTGTTGCCCATGCACCATTGGTACGAGACAGTGCACTCGCGGCCATCCTCTCCATGTTGACCTCTGGCCACGCCGCACTCCAAAGAGACCTGCTGCGGCATCAATCACACCTCATAACCAACATATTCGACTCATTCAAATGTCCCTCCAACTTTGTAAGTCGTACCCTCCCTCCCCTCCCCTCCCTTTCCCTCACTAACCCAATCAAGGTATCACGCACGGCTGTCAAGTTACTCTCATGTCTGGTCAGACATTTGCTCAATCACGACGATCAATCAATCACAACATCATCAGTGTCAACATTGATTGATTGCGCATTGCATGCAGACAGTCAACAACAGTCGTCTGTGGATGTCAAGTTGTGCCTGCTGGACATGTTCATTCATATATTGGTCACCAAGTCTGAACTTGAACTAGACACTGGATACCTTATCGCCAATCATTATGTACAGAAATCATGTATGATGCTACTGGATAATGACAGGCTGGTGCGCGAACGAGTCATCGAGCTCCTATCACTCTGTGTCCAGTCGTCCACTGTCTGCCAATCAATGCACAGTCTGGCACCGATGTTCATCTCACTTGCCGGCCGTCTCGTTCAAACACGTCAGCGTGAGTTCATCACCACCTCAATAGACCTGGTTGGCGTGCTAGAGGCCACGTCCCTCTTCCCCTTCACAACATCATCAACAACACTGGCGCTCTTTTCTCAATTGGACAACATAATTCAATCAATCAATCAAACGACATCAACAGAAACATCGACGCCCAGCAACTTCATCTTGACAGACTCAATACTTTACAGCATCGTCCAAGCGACACGAGTCATCTTGGCGAGGAACCCAAAGTGTGTGGCCGGACTCAGACCATCACTTCTCAATCTAATCTTTACAATGGCCACAACACCAAGTGGATACAAATGTGGATCATTCCAAGTGTCGACCAAAACAATCAAGGAATCACTGCACTGTCTTGTTTACATTGACTTGGAATATCTTAGCGGCAATACCATGGGCTTGGACATGGGTACTCGAACAATTGTCCAACAGTTGCTCAACGCTACCAAGTCATCACATCGACAAATTGTTCATCAAGCCTTCCAAACAATCGATCACCATCTACATCAGCTGAGCCTGGATATTGTGTCCGACCCATCATTCATCCAACAAGTGTACAGAGCGATCACAAACATACTTATGAGTCCGAGTGGAGACTTGCGCGAGGTTGGCCTGGCGTACTTGGCTCGCTTGTTCGCGTGTCCCACCTCCTCGCCATCGCCATCATCATCGCCATCACCATTCCAGTCAGTTGGTATCCCAGGTCTGTTGGAAAATGGCATTGCAAGTATGATCGTCAACAAGTTGGCCGACTCTGATTCTTATGTGAGATCAAGCGCATTGGAAGTGATCAGTGTGCTCTCAGCAAGCGAGCATGGATGGTCCAAGCTACTGGCCACCAACGATCACACTGGTAGCATGTTGAAGCGTGAACAACTTCAAGGTGTAGTGATTGATGATAATGCTCCAACAAAGGTTATCAACGAAGATGTGATGAATGCCAATCAGATCAACTTGGTCAAGTACACCGAAATGTTAAAGTTGGAGCATAATCAACATCAACATCAACACCAACATATACATATACAACATGATCTGGTATCTAATGGATCCAAGGTGGATGAGTATGATGGACAGTCATTCAACGCCGATGCCATTGACTTTGAATGGGATGACGAAGAGTTTAGAGAACTTGTGGCGAGGACTCAAGAGGAGACGACAACCTTCCTCACTGATGAGGATGATTACATCGACACGAGCATCCAACATCCTCGTCAGGCTGAACACAATGTCTATCCATTTCCATTCTCCATCCTCCTATTCTTTAGTGATGAGGAATCATATCCAAGAATGTAAGTTCCACACACCCAATCAATCAATCATACTTGGAACCATTCCACTTGATCAATCCTGGAATCATTCCACTGACTATTCAATCAATCAATCAATCAATACAAATATTTAGATCTTCAATCAAGTTATTCACAGATTGGTTAGGTAGACCTCATTCTTCAGATGTGATATCCAAACTATTACATGATCAAGACACCAATGATCAATATCAATTCAATCATTTCATACATAGATTGATGAACGATGCATCATGGGAGGTCAAATCAACATGTATCAAGTTATTCCATACAATCATGAACACACCAAATGGTCTGGAAGCATTATATAACATCAAGGCCATAGAATTATTGATCAACAACTCAAAGAATCATCTTGAAGACAACATAATACGTGTGGCATCAATAGATTGTTTGAAACAAGTATCATTGGAATGCGATAAACTTCATTCAAGTGGAAATGGATCTGGATTGGACAAGATAATCATCATCATGGATCTTTTAAAATCAATTGATTTCAATGTCATTGAATTGGAATGTTCAAAAGAGACAGAGTACACCGATGATGACGAAGAGGACATTTCAATATTCAATGATGTGGCCAGATCATTCAATTCAGACACCAACATCGAGGAGAACAACCGAATAGATTGTTATTAATTAATAGATAATAGGACCAAGTTCATGTCGGTGTCCATGTCCATGTTATTCAAACCCCCTTTGCAATGTCCAACTTCACCAACACTCGCGAATGAGCTTTTGAAAACAGTTTGGACTTTTCTCGCTTCCACAACTCTTTTGAAAAAATCTTCTGAATGGTCTCCACCAACTTTTTGTTTACATGTTCGCATTCCTTTGTTTGAATGAGTGAGTGTGTTGTTTAAACTAACATAACTTGTTTACAGATATAGTTATATATTATTTATTTATATATATATAGATAGGTATTGTAGTAGCAACAGCAGACAAATAGGATGGGAGGATCATTAAACCGTCCAATGGTCGCAGATGCCTATAATGGTGGACCCGAAGACTTGTATAATGTATCTCCGTCATGGGCTGCCCAACCATCGGTCACTCATCGTAGGAATACACATCATCTTACACCATTTGAAATAAGAATGATGAGAAACGTTCAAGTATGAATCATCATGTTGCTTATTCTAAAGAGATAGATAGATAGATACTGATTCATTCATTCATCCCATAAATCTAGAGTTTGGACTTCTCAGTCAATGACAATCTATTACTTCGCGAGGATTTAGAGAGCAAGACGAGATATGTAAGATCAACAATGTGTTTGATTGAATGAATGAATGACCTAACATTCAATCACACGCACGACAAACACAGAAACACTTGAAGAAGACATTTGGTAAATGGATAATATGTCTTTCAATGGGCATTATAACAGGTTCAATAGCATACATACTAAAGACAACAGTTAATCATCTCCAAGGATGGAAGTTCTCCGTCGTTCAAAACTGTACGTCACTCCACTCTCAACCTTGATGTTCACCATCAATCACTAACCCATCACTCACACTCGATCGATCACACTCACTCACCACTCACATGATCAATCATTCCCACTCCACTCACTCAAAGTCATCACATCAGAATCACCGACATATGCCTTCCTATCATTCGCCGGAATCAACATGCTATATGCCGTCATCTCTTTGTTGATGGTGCTGAGCGCTGGCCCAATGGCTAGCTCTTCGGGTATCCCCGAGGTCAAGGGCTACTTGAATGGAGTCAAGGTGCCCAACTCACTGGGCTTCAAACCATTGTTTGGCAAGATCTTCTCGCTCATCATGTCGTACTCGAGTGGTCTGTTTGTCGGACCCGAAGGCCCCATGATCCACATTGGTTCGGCGATCGGTGCCGCCGTCAGCCAGTTCCGTGTGGCCTCACTGGGCTTCTATCCCAAGCTCTTTTTGCAGTACCAGAACGATCGCGACAAGCGTGACTTTGTCACGGTGGGCTCGGCCTCTGGTATCTCGGCGGCCTTTGGCGCACCGATTGGTGGCGTGCTGTTCTCGATCGAGGAGGCGTCGTCCTTTTGGTCGCGACAACTGACATGGCGAACATTCTTCTGTTGCATGATTGCGACGTTCACCACCAACTTCTTGCTGCAGGGTGTTGGCACGTCGCCTGACATGCGTGACTCTGGCATGCTCACCTTTGGATTCTCTCGTCTCTACCTCTACCGCTACTCAGAGCTCTTCTGCTTCTGCATCCTCGGTGTCATTGGAGGTCTATTCGGTGCCGCCTTTGTATTTCTAAACATACATCTCAACAAATGGCGAAGAGACTACCTCAAGAAGAATGCTCTCCTTCGTTCAATCGAGGTATGACAGCATCACTGGGAATCGTTCCGCTCACTCAATCAATCATACTCACTCATTCATTCATTCACTTAGGTTGTTGTTGTCATGATGGTCACTTCAATCATTTGTTTCTACTCTCCCTCACTCTTCCCATGTCGTTATCAATCAAACATTGTTGTTGAGCCATCAGTGTGCCAAGATCAAACCAATGCCGAGATGGAGCAGTTCTTCTGTCCAGTAAGTTTCCCCTCCCATCCTCCCATCCCATCCCCATCACTCACTCAATCAATCAATCAATCCTAGGATGGAATGTATAGTGAGATGGCATCATTGTTGTTTGTCAATCCTGATCAGGCGTTGAGAAGACTGTACTCTAGGACGTACAACACATTCACATTGCCAGTGTTGGTCGTGTTCACATTCATCTACTTCTTCCTCTCGATCATCACGTCAGGTCTCTGGGTGGCCGGTGGTCTGTTCGTACCAATGATGATGGTGGGCGCCGGCTTTGGCCGTTTCTTTGGCCAGGTGGTCAGCATGTACTTCTCAGGCATCGATCCAAGCATCTACGCACTCATTGGCACATCGGCAATGATGGCTGGCTATTGCAGAATGACTATATCACTGGTGGTCATCATGGTGGAGCTGACAGAGGGCACTCAATATCTCGTGCCACTCATCCTGGCTGTGATGATATCAAAGTGGGTGGGCGACTTCTTCAACGAATCGGTCTACGAGCATTTGATGGAGCTCAAGTACATCCCTTTCCTGCAGAGTCTGCCACCGCACTCCAAGGCCGCCAAGAAGGTGCCCGAGATCATGAAGCGCCAGGTGGTGGTGCTGCCTGAGATCTGCACTGTGCGCGTCTTGCTCGAGACTCTGCGAACCAACAATCACAACGGATACCCTGTGGTGTACACTGGCGAGAACGGATCGAAGCGACAGTACCGCGGACTGGTGTTGCGAAATACCATCCTCGTGCTCCTCAAGCACAGGATCTACTATCGCGGACTTGGTCGCGAGATCATCCTCGACGACAACTTTAGACACAAGCAGTTCATCAAGGAGACCTCCAAGAAGGCGCCCAAGATCGAGGATCTTGAGTTCCACAAGTATGAAGAGGAAAGACTGATCGACCTCAGGCCATGTATGTATCTCATTCATTCATTTAATCAATCATTCATGGTCAATCACTGACCTTTCCCTTTCCACTCCATTCGAACACAACAGATATGAACAGCTCAGGCATTACAATCCACGATACATTCTCCTACGTTGAAGCATACAAGTTGTTCAGAACAATGGGTCTGAGACACTTGGCAGTCAGTAAGTAGCCATGTCATGGATAACTACACAATGGCATTGTCCACAAACTAACAACTCCATTCACTCAATCAACAGTCGATATCAACAATGATGTTATTGGAATAGTTACAAGGAAGGATTTACTTTAATGGCTATCAACAAACAAACAAACAAACACATACTCCCCTCTCTCCCCAATACAACCTCTTCACATCTGTCTTTAACAGCATCCACGCTTCTCCTTGTACTTTGTCTGAATGGATATCTCAGTTGAGATCACTAAAGAGAATGAATGAGTTAGTTTGATTGGCGTCTGTGACTCACTGACTGTATGATACATACCCAACAATTGCTCCAAACAGATGCGAACGCCTGTCTTGGGGAAGTTAACAATGACTGGCTTGAGTCCTGCTGTGTCTTTAGAGTCCTCGCCACCACCTGGTGTCATACCATCGTACAATGGGTTGACTCCTCTTTCGTCATTTTGAGAGTACATAGGATTGGCGTTGGACATGGTGTTGTATTGTACCTGCATTTGCATCTGCATCTGCTCCTGTGGGGCACGTGCGCGACCACGTGCACTGCTTAGTTGGCGGACGCCCGACGTTCCATCCTCGTCAGAGGGCGCACCATACAGGTAGCTGACCTCCTTGATGTTGCCTGTGCATTTGTCGTATGAGTAGTCCTTGGGCAGGAACAGTGAAATGTACAGATGGCTGATGGGGATGTCGATCGATGGGAACTTGAGCGCCACTGTGCCAGAGTTATGAAGCTCAAGATCTTCTGTGTGCTTGTAGACAATGACGACCTGGAAGGGCTTCTGAATGCCCCTCTCAGTTCCACTTGACTTGTTCAAAGGTATCATCACAGTGCCATTCTCATCCAATGCTGGCTTGACTGCCTTTGAGTCAACAACTAATGTTTGATTAAGGAGTGAGTGGGTAAGTGGAATGGTTCCAGATTCATACATCATGTTGGCTCTGGAACTACTACATACTCGTTGACCAGATCTCGAATTGATGTGGAATGGTTACACGAATGTACTGTTGTTGTGTGTTACGGATGGAGAAGATTAACTTCTTGAGCAGTGATCCTTCGGAGCTCAGTGTCGCCAGATAGTGTGCCTTCTCACAGATGGCCACAAGTACGGGGAGGTCTGAATGCTTGGTGATCTTGATCTGCAGACGATACTTGGGATCCAGGAACTTGTAGGACAGGAGCAGAGGGCCGCTGGCCATGCGCGCCAGGGCCTCTGGCACCTCTGTCTTGTCAATCATGGTCAAACCATCGCGTGCAATGTGCTCCACCTCGACGTTTGCGGTCGACTCGCACACTAAGAATCCCTTCTCACGAGAGATCTCGCTTCCACGACATCTGACGCTTGGGATGGTGATCTCTCCAGAGGTCGACTCCATCTCAATCTCAGAGATGATATTGAATAGATAGTGGTCCTCCACTGGCGAGTTGAGGATGATCTTGAGCAGCTTCTCCGTGACCGCAGTCTTGGAGCCTGGTATGTCGATCAGTGGGGCGATGGGGAAGCACTCCCACTTCTTGATGTCGTAGCCCTCGACCGAGAGCACATTGAGGTGATTGCCAAGAATGATTTCGAATGATGATATCTGTCCAGAGATGACGCTGTACTTCATGCTGTTGTTGATCACTACCACACCCTCGCCAATTGAACACATGGTGTACTGTTGAACTGTGACCTTGGTTTGCTCTGCCTGCTTTGGTGGCAATGCTGCCGATGTTGGTGAGACAGTGGCACCTTCAGAGACACTTGCTTGGACCGCCTCGCCTGACTCAAAGTCTGTCCATTGTATCTTGATGTATGAGGCGGGTGGCACATTAGCCACAGACTTGGTGATGGTGACTCCATTCTCGATGGACTTCTCCTCCTTCTGTCCTTGCTCGGACACTGGGTCGATCTTGATCTGAACGTCCTTGGGCACAGAGATGGCCAACTTGTTGAATGTTGCCTTGGGTGAGGCAAAACCAAAGCCATTCTTCTTGGCGGTCAGGTAGTTGACCAGCACCTCGAGTTTGACGAGGTAGCGACCGGGTGCCTCGGCAAAGAATTTGTAGGCATTTTGCTCGACACCAATGCATGACAATTGATCAACATGTGATGGATTGTTGTTGGATATCTGGTCCGAATATAATACGGTGGATGACTTTAGTGCGATTGATGCTGGAAGCAATGTGATCTTCTGATCGGATGCGAAGACCAAAATGTCAAACTCACACAACAACTCTGTAGAATGTGATTGAGCGAAACCAACATAGTTTGCCTTCTCAATGGAGAATGCCTGGACACTAGTCTTTTGTTTATCCGTCAACAATCTATTCCACTCTGACAATGGTAGTTTAACATTAATCTTCTTTGCTAAAAAATGATTGATTGATTGATTGAATGATTGAGTGAGTGAGTGAGTCATGTGACCATGTCCAAATGATGGATTCAAACTTACACTCATCAGTTGGTATCAGTGTAGCATGGGAGGGTGCAGCAAATTGACTCTTGGCTTGAGCCTGCATCACGTCAGAGTCCCACATGTTGTCATTGTAATAACAATCTTGCTCCTCAATGGAGGACTTTGACTTTGAAAATACTTTCTTTGAGAATCCCATCTTTGACATATATAATTTAATGAATATCTAATATCTGTATGATTGACTATGTTGAATTGAATAAATGATTGAAATATGTGTGTTCATTCAATCAAACAGATGATGACCATTCATCAGAAGTCTGTTGTCCCCCACTAAAAGATCAATCTTAGTTTTTTCTTCAACTTTTGCACACAAAAAACTTTACTATTCCTTGAAGATTTAAATATCAATATATTATCTCAATCCAATCTTAGTCAGCGACATAGTAATAGACAAAGTATACTTTTGGAACAGATAAGTGAAAGTGATTAATCCATTATTTTAAGGTTGAATAATAATCGATAGATTTATTTATTGAGATGTGCAATTATTTGGTCTTCAAAATTCTTGTACGATTACTTTGGCTCTCACTTTGGTATACTTTGGTAATTATTAAGGCAGTCACAAAGTATACTTTGGAGATTTCTTTGACAATATCATTGGGTCTATTACTTACCAAAGTGTTCTTAAGGTCTTAATGTCAGTTAGAAGTTGAACAAACAACTCCTTGGGTGTCGGACTTTGAAGTTCTTGTGCGTTTTGCATAAAAAAAACTAACTGGTCATTCACACATTACTTCACTGACTGATCAAACACAACACACAATCACACAACTCATCAAATTCATTCACTTTCACAAGAACATTACTAGTAGTAGCAACTTTATATATATATACATACAATGTACGCAGGAAGAACGATCAATATCCTCAACAACAGACTCACGTCTTTCAAGAACTATAACTCGGCTGTCGTTGGCTCAGTCTCTGCCCCACTGTCTCATGTCTTTGATCAGCAGGAGCATCAGAGCCTGTTCCCAACGGCCAAGAATGCCGAGATGAGAATCGAGTCGCCAGGCCGTCGCCTCTTCTCCACCAAGCCATTCACCATGGTCGAGACCAAGCTCGAGGATGTTCACACCCCAAAGCGTCCAACCTCTCCACATCTCACCATCTACAAGCTGCCACTCCCAGCCATCCTCTCGATCACTCATCGTGCTACTGGTATTGCCATCGGTGTTGGTAAGTCTCAGTTGTAGTAGTAGTTGACTCAACACTCAATCACTCGTTCATTCACTCACATCAATCAATCAACTTGATCAACAACAGGTCTTGCTACATTGACAGGTCTCGCAGTGTTTGGCGCTCATGACGTCCCATTCTACATTCAACAGTTCAAGACTCTTTACCCAGAGCTCATCTACCCAACTAGATTCTTTGTCACCTTCCCATTGGTCTTCCATACTCTTGCTGGTGCTAGACATCTGGTATGTTGACAGACAAACAGAGACAGACAGACAGACAGATAGATATCGATTGTATTAACATCATTCTTTATATATATTAGTACTGGGATACACTGTTGAAGGGTATCAACACCAAGTCAGCAGAGGTCACTGGAATGGTCATTGTCGCTGCTTCAGTAGTTCTTTCATTGGCTGTTTCATTCATCGAGTTGGCTTCAGCCTAAATGAATGCGATTGATTGATTGATTATATAACAAATAACAACAACAACAGCAACAGTAACAAGCCTAACAGCAATCGAGATACACAATAAACCCAACTATGCACATTATGTTAACAAACAACAGACAAACATCAAAGTCAAGACAAGCGAACAGCGCCACACAGCCAAACTACCAAACTTCCACGAACAGACATTGGCAACAGACTAGACATTTTGGGTAACGCGAGGAATCGGAGTTTATTGATCAATCGCAGACCTCTGCTGGATTGGTCTTGTAAGTTATATATATATGAGATATGTCCACTGACACTCTAACTCTGTGGAGTGCCATTGGCCAATGGAGGAGGTAACTGTAAGTTATTGATGTTTGGATTATTAATGTTGTTGTTGTTGCTGTTAATATTATTGTTGTTGTTGTTGTTGTTGTTGTTGTTGTTGTTGTTGTTGTTGTTGTTGTTGTTGTTAATATTGTTGTTATTGCTAGAGTTTAGCAAGTTGTTGTTGTTGTTGTTGATGACATTGTTGTTGTTCAATACGATGTTCTCCTCGTTGAGAGTAAAGTTGACGTTCTTCCAACCAATGGCAGTCCTTCTCTCGTGCAGCTCCATGACACTCCTCTTGGTGATGTTGTTCCTGCTCGAGTAGGACAATGACACCTTTTGAAGGTCTTGGCAATTGAGGAACAATGCCTCGACAGTCTCCAGGGTGATCTTCATTGGACCCTTGTTCTGAGAGGAGCCTGGCTGTTGGTCACGCGACAGGTCGACGTTGGCCAACTTCTTGCAGTGTGTAGCGATCAACACCATTGAGTGGTCAGTGACCTCGACACATGCACACAGCCTCAGATTCTTCAGGTTGGCTGCGTACTCTGTCAGCTGCTTGATGTCGTCGTCGTTGACGTCTGTGTAGGAGAGATCGATATTGGTCAGCGTGTTTAGCAGACGGTATGGATTCTTGGGGAAGATGATTGGATGCAGGTTCTTGAAGCTGCCCAGGTTGAGTGTTGTCAGAGAGTGCAGTTGCTGAAGAACATGTTGTACGCTGGTTCTGGTGATCTTGTTGCAGCTGGCCAAGTTCAGATCCATCAATTGTGGACAATCGTTGATCAACTCCAACACGCCATGATCTGTAATGAGCTTGCAGCTCTTTAACGATATGAACTTCAACTTCTTGCATTGTCTTGTCAATGCCTTCAAGTCGTCATCACTCAAGTTGTTACTTGAACCTAGATCCATCGATGTGAAATGGGCTGGAAGTTTGGATAAGTTAGTCGACTGTTTGAAGTGTTTCCGCCCCCACAAGGTAGTGATGACTAGACTACTTACCACAATATGGTGCCAGAGTTCTGATGTCCCAACCAGAGATACCATTAAAGTTGAGGAAGGAGAGGTTGGTGTTCTTGATGATGTGGCAGATGCCTGTGGTGGTGATGTTCTCTACCTTGTGAAGGTTAATGGATTTCAACTTAACGGCACCATTAGCCAGCAGCTCCAGACACTCGTCGCTGGTGCGACCACCATCCATGTAGACCTGTTCGAGGTTGGGGCACTTGGCCACCAGTAGCTTGGACGTCTTCTCTGTCAGACGCAGGTTGTGAAGTCGGACCTCCTTGAGCTGTGGAGTGTGCGTGACAATGTAGTCGATCGTAGCTTGCTTGATAGATGGGTTGTTCAAGTTGATCATTCTGACCGACTGTAGACGCGCGGTAGACTCCATCGATTTGAGTGCGGCGATAATCTTCTTGCGGGGCATGTTGGAGTTCATCGCCAGATTCCTCCAGAGTGTGGCGTCGTAGCAGCACTCTTTGAAGCGCTTGTTGATTCGCGCCAGTATACAGAGTTCGGGTATAGTCATCCATTTGAGTATATAAATTATCAACTCTGTGCTCAGTTGGTTCATATAGTTTGGGTTCTTCTCTGCCTCTGACAATTCCAACTGCATTTGTTTCTCCAACATCGCCTTCTTCTTGGACCTAATTCCAAAACATGCAAATGCTTCCATCTTCATTATTTGTTTGATTAAATATTTGTAGTTGGAGTTAACTTGTTATTATTGTGAATGTTTGAATGATATTGTGATATGTCGTTGGAGTATATAATATATATTGATTGAATGATTGAATATATGTATATATATATATGGAGTGAATTACTGAGTATAGAAATACAGAATAAGGTCAAATGTTGGTTTGATAAGGTGGTCTGAATAAACCTGGAAATATTGCTATTACTTAATATGCTGTTGTTGTTGAAGTATATAATTATAAATTATAAATATATATTAATGTATATGTATCAATGTCTTAAATTGGATACTGATCCCTATCTTGCTCAATCACCTATCACTCTCTTTAAACTTTAAAAATATTAATATGTGAATGGTCAACTAGATTGGATGGATGGAATGGATGGATGGTTGGATGTGAGTTAGTTAGTGATTGATTGATTGATCGATTGATGGATTGATGGATGGATGTATGGTCAATAATTGAGTGTATGAATGAATGAATGAATGAATGAACAGTGTTGTTGATCCAACGGGTGTTAGGAGTGAATGAGTGAGTGGTCGTGATTGTGTTGCGAAACACCAACAAGTGTTGTTATGAGTGAATGAGTGTGTGGTGACTGAATTGAGTTGAGTTGAGTTGATGTGGATGGATTGGATTGATTGATTGATGGTTGCCTGGAGGGTGTGTCCAGCCGGGTAGTGGTGTGGGTGGATGTCGTACCCGAGTGTTTTGGCAGTGCAAGTGCAGTGATTATTATACCTGATAGTAATAGTAGTAATAGTAGTAGTGTAGTAGTACTTGTAGTAGTAGACGGGTTTTTTGATTGAAACTTAATTATTATTGTTGTTGTTATTGAATAATATTTGTAGACAGAAACACTAAATATGATGCTCCTGTTTGTTGCTTTGATTATAATGACAATTAAACAACAAACATCACCCTTACCTTAGTTCCATTCAGAGTGTTGAGTTGGTGGTGATAGTGGTGGAGAGTGATCCGCAACATAGAGAACAATCACACAAATAACAGAACACACACACATACACACATCACACATATGTATCTTGAGATACACACACACCACCACTACTCTAACACTTCCATCACAATCACACAAACACTCACACACCCGTCTGATATGTGGAAAGGCATGTGTGTGAGTGTGGAATGGTAAGTTAATTTTCGTCAACATGCTTTAGGTCCTGTTTATTCCTTATTGACAACTAACAAACATACACATAAGTGGATGATGGATGGTGGGAGTGTGTATGTATGAGCTGCAGCAGCAGCAGGTACACATTGATGACATGGCACACAAATAAGCAAAGCATAGATGGATGGATGATTAAGTGATTAATTAAGTGATGAAGTGGTGGTTATAGGTGGTTCAAGGTGAAGTTGCAACTATTAACAACTTGTCAAGTCTTATTATTGCCTGATATGGATAGACTCGGGTCATTCTGTCACTCACACACTTCTAACTCTACTACTACTCTTACAATGACAACTACTACTTATACAAATTACTTAAATGTGCTTTGTTCTACTATTGTTTCATTAAAGTGTCATTGCCACTGTGGTTCTTTTAACAATTCAGAACAATAAATAAACGTTTGGTTTAAGTTGAATGATTGATTGATTGATTGTTCTCCGAGACATACCGTTGTCGTAACTATACTCAAATATACTGATCGTTATTACATTGATAATCTATTATTATCTTTTCACTCTACATATACTAATCCAGAGGAGATACCGACATGTTTAATAAATATTAATAATGTCATTGTCAGTTTGAATGGTTTATTAATTACTATTCATTGTTTCATATACTTATGAAAGGACCACCACATTGTACCATCGCGAGGACCAACACCCACTTACTGTTAATGGTTGTAAAGACTAGATTGAGAAGTAATGGATCATCATTATTATTAAAATTATTTTTATCCAAATTAGGTCATCCAACTTTTTGTTTTGGACATCCCATTGAATCAACAACTTCAACTGAATTGGACACAATGATGTGAATGAATAAACAAAGATTTACTACCTCTTTTAGTATTAATGCAATATGATTATTTAATGTAATAATATATGTTTGATTGATTGATTGATTGATTGTTGAACAAGTTTAGTTTAGTTGTCAATGATACATTTGAGAACATCACCTTGAGAGATAATTCTTGATGCTCTTTTGTTGTCATCCAACATGTACACTCTATGAACTTTGGTCAACAAATATTTCTCCAACAAGTCCTCGAATGTAGTTGATCCTTGTACTTGGACAACAGAGCTCAACTAATATTAAATGTATGTTATGTTAATAACTCTAAAATTATTAACCAAACTAAATATAGGCAATATACATACATGCTCATTCTCTGTTGGATCCTTTGGTATCATGTTAAGGAATGTTCTTACAGTGAGTTGGAGTCTGCTGGCAAAGGTGCCCTCAGGTCCAATCATCTTGATATCAGAGGCACTGATGTTGCCAACGATAGTACCATCTTCAATGATTACAGCCACAGCACTGATTTTCTTTTCTTTCATTATCTTGAAAGCATCCAAAACAGCGGATTCCTCTGTGACACCGATCACCTCACTAGTACCCAAACTCTCCATCTTGGAAAGAGTACTTCTAAGTAGTTTAGGGTCAATCTCTCGAAGGTTATCATTGATATAACCAATCACTCTTGATTGTGTCAAGATGGATACCATATTTCCTTCAGAGTCAATTACAGGTAAACGATGGACATTCCATTTCACCATTAGTTCAACAGCATTCAAAAGTGATGCTCTTGACTCAACTGCACGGTATGGATTCCTTCCAGAGGCATCTTAACGCGTAATGGTTAGTATCTATCTTAAAATGATATTGATAGATTGATATTAACAAACATACCGCATATATCTCCACACTTTGTATTGTTGAATATATCCTTTACGGCTAATATGTTGTCGACATTGTCCAACTTGTCTGATAACTGATCCAAACAGAAAGTTGTAATATCAATCATATCCAAGAATCTGTTGAATACTCTATGTTCTACATCAAATACTGGCACTGACAAAATATGCTTCTCTGTCATCAACTTTATAGCAGTGGCTACACTATCAGTTGACCTTACAGTATACAATTGTGAAGCATCATTTGGTACAATACTTCCAACTGTACACATAAACTTATTATTATTTCCAGTCATTATTAATTAATATATTAATATAATATTATATGTATTTATATATATAATAGTTATGTTAGGTAATGATTGATCTTTAATGAGTGAGAATGATAGTGCGAGTCAGAGTGTCATTCATTCATTGATGTTGTTGAAGTTGAATCCAAATGAAGTAATACAACCCCACACGACACTCTACACTACACACACAACACAAATAAAACACATCACCTCGCGTCTACACACACAAACATACAATCAATCTGTCAAACAAACCAGGCATCCCTTTTTTGGATAAACACAGCCAGGTGATGGTCGTTTTCCAACTTACAATCTCTGGGCGAGTGCGGTTCGCGCATGATCCATCACTTGTTTTACTCATTTATAAACGTTGGATCCAGTAATCCAGGGATTAGGACAAAGTTAAAAAACAAACACTGTTTTATGATGTTGTTGACATGTAATGATCATCTTAGGCCAACATTGGATCATTCCCACTGGTACTGGCAACACCACCATCATTGCCATTAATATTCGAGTTGTTGAGATTGTTGATATTGTTGATGATGTTGTTTGCAGCAGCCCTGTTTGCTATCGCTCTTTCTTTCATTTGTCGCTCCTTCTCCTCGTCTCGGGCTTGCTTGATGTTATTATTCAGTTTGTCGTACATCAACTCATCCTTCTTGGACACTGATGGCTTGGTGCGCGTCAGTGCATAGACAAAGTCGTCCATCGATACCATTGGCTTGATTGAATCGCCACGACTCTTTTCGCCATGTCCATTGATCTTCTCGATCTCAAACACCTTGTCCAAGGCAGACATGGCCGCCTCCTTGACCAGCAATGACAGATCAGCACCACTGAACGCGTGGCATCTGCTGTCATGACCGATCGCTGCCAAGTCGACGTCGCTGCCCAGCGGTATCTTGGATGTGACGGTCTTGAGGATCTCCACGCGCTCCTCTGGCGTTGGCAGCGGCACATAGAGCAGCTTGTCAAGTCGACCGGGTCTGAGCATGGCCGTATCGATGATGTCTGGTCTGTTGGTGGCGGCCACGATGAACACCTCTGATCGCTTCTCCAATCCATCCATCTCTGTTAGCAGTTGGTTGACTACACGCTCCGTTGCTTGACTACCCTCTGATCCTCTCTTTGGCGCCAGTGCATCAAACTCATCAAAGAATATAACGCATGGAGCTGAGGCTGATGCCCTCTGGAACACCTGTCGCACGGCCCTCTCTGACTCTCCAACATACTTGTTCAACAACTCTGGTCCCTTTACAGATATAAAGTTTGCCTCTGTTTGATTGATTGATGTATGGGTGGTCAGTCGCGATGCAAGCAAGACAGAGTGATTGGATTGAATGGATACTTACGACATTCGTTGGCGATGGCCTTGGCGAGGAGGGTCTTACCACAACCTGGTGGTCCGTACATGAGAACACCAGCGGGCGAGGTGATACCAACTCCCTTGTATGTTCCAGGGAATTGGATTGGTCTGAGGATGGTCTTGGTCAACTCCTCGCGTATAGGGTTCAATGCTCCGATGTCATCCCACGTGACGTTTGGTATTGTTGCAAAGCCCTCACGCTTAGCCGATGGCTGCACCTTCTTGACTGCCTTCCTAAAGTCCACCATCTCTATATACATGCTGTTCATCTGCTCGGGGGTCATTGGCTGCTTCAACTTCTTGATAAAGTCTGCGATTGATACCTGTGGCTGATCCTTCTGATCCTTCGGTTGTTGACCATCCTGCTGGGCATCGGCATTGACCATCTGAGTGAACACTCTGTTGATGGGAGAATGTGGCGGCCTCCTTGGCCAGGAGGTTGATGTCCGGCTCCGACATAGCCTGGCGTCAGGGAGGCGATCTCCTCATAGTCAAAGCCGGCGGGCAGTCTCATTCGCTTGGTGATCACTCTGAGTATCATCTCGCGAGAGAGTTTGTCGGGGACACCCAGCGCAATCTCCTTGTCGAACCTGCCTCCCATCCTCAGCGCAGTGTCGATTGATTCTGGTCTGTTTGTTGCACCAATCACAATGATGTGTCCTGTCTTGCCAGTGTCGGATGAGTTGTTGGCATCGTTGCCATTCTCTGTCTCGCCATTGTCATTGCCACCATTGTCCCTTGATTGGGTGTAGTTGCTGTTGCTCGATGCAGACCTCATGTTTAGCGAGTCCATGCAGGTGAGCAGTTGCGCCACGATTCGACGCTCCATCTCTTTGGAAGCATTCTCACGTCTTGGTGCAATGGCATCGATCTCGTCGATGAATACAATGCATGGTGCCTGCTCCTGAGCCGATGCGAACAACGAGCGAATCTTGGCCTCTGACTCACCCGACATGCCACTGGCAATCTCTGGCGCAGAGATTGCGATCAAAGGCACTTTGAGCTCGCCAGCAATGGCGTTAGCTAGCAACGTCTTTCCACAACCGGGTGGGCCGTGCAAGAGGATGCCGCGGGGCGGGTCGACGCCAAGATGTCTGTATATCTCTGGATGACACATGGGGAATTCGATCTGCTCTCTGATCTCCTTGATCACCGAGTCGATGCCACCCACATTAGACAGGTCGACCGAGGGGATGATACCAATCTTTGTCATGTTGCCACCTGTGTTCAAGCTTGGTGCGCCAGCTGGCCTCAGACGTCTCATACGCTTCTGTGGATCTGATGACGATGATGGTGTCTGTGGCACAGACACCGAAGTATTGTTGTTGTTGTTTGCGCTGTTGTCTGTGTCGTTCTTTGCTGGTGATGAGGTGGCGTTCAACGCCTCTCTGGGTCGTTTGCCAAGTGGATTGAGGCTTACGCCAGCCATGCCATTTCCTGCATCCTTTACACCAAATATTGTTGATGGAGGTGTTGTTGGAGGTGTTGTCGAAGGTGTCGTAGTCTGTGACTTTGTCGTCGTATTCTTTGTATAATTTGATAACAACGCTTGATTCATTGAGTTGTTTGCTTTGGTCTTCTGTTGCTTTGTAGTTGACTATGTTGGGTTAGATTGGGTACTCGCGCGCTAGTTGAGACGGTCGCGACTACATACTGTTCCGACGTATTCAACGTCACTATCATTGTCTTCAATCATTCTATCGCCATTGTTGTTATTGTCAACTGATCCACCATTCTCTTGTACTTGATCAACTGTAGCATCACCATCAATATACTCATCATCAACTGATCCATCAACAGACTTCATAATAATCTCGATTGCTAAGTCACATTTGTTAGTTTGTTAGGTTTGATTGATCGAATGAGTTGAATGAATGACAATGAACATACCTCTCTCAACTTGAGTCAAGAATGGTTTATAAGGCTTTCTGTTATACTCTGAGAAGTGTGATCGCAGTCTTGTAGCAATAGTATCTGCATCCAAGTATGCGTTGTTTGAGAAGTCCAAGCTCTCAATACGTTCCAATAACTTATTATCATACAATGATGATTTCTTCAATACCTTATTGACCATCTTTGTTCCTTTGTTTGTTGTTTATAATATTATATTATATGTGTGATTGGTTGATGATCAATGTAATGAATAAATGAATGAATACAATCAACATTCAGGTAGACGACTCGTCAAATTTGTCGTTTTATTTGTGAATTTTTAATTAATTTAATTAAAATGGTATTGATCAAGGCGAAGTCTCAATAACTCGGATAATATATGTTTTTTATCAATCAATATTGATATAAATAATATCCTAATATATATATTAATATCCTCAAAGTTAAATGAGTTCATTGGACTCACAATATATATTCCAAAGTGATCACTTTGGAATGAATGAATAATAATAATAATAATAATTCTTTGATTGATCTTCATCAATGATAAATATATACTTGCCTCATAGTAATAATAATGGGAATGAGAATGGGAAATGCCTTATGATCAAGATATTTGATTGCTTCTTGGATTGATCATTCTAAAGTTCAAACGAACTTGTGTTCTATGCCAAAATCAAAGTTTTGATTTGATTGGTGTGTTGCCCAACAAGTAAGCTGAACACGTTGAGTACCCCGTTGATTACATCGAGTCTTCACCTCTCAGGCACTACTTTGACATCATTCAATTAGTTCGTCGACGTTGCATCGCATCTCCCTCAACTAATCTCGCGCACTCATTCCAATTCCTAGGTACAACCAACATCAAACAATGTTGCAAAGTTCTAAACTCTTTACTCTTTCCGTAAGTTCCTTCTTCCGGCACAGTCGGTCCTCCTGAGCACACACTATAATTCAAAGGTACCCTGGTTGTTGACGTTGCACGTTTTAAACTAGGTAAAGATGGGGCAGGGTCACTCCACTCCCTCCCACTCATATAATACACTTCATTATTATTATTATGTTAATGACCATATTCTGTACAGGGGCGCCACCCAGTCGATCATGGTCTTGGCATCGGCGGCGAAGTCGACGAGGCTTTCACAGCCTCACATGACTGACTGCCTATGTGTTCAAACAAATCGAATGCATTCAGAACATTGGTCGAACCACGATTACCGGGGACCTCTTCAGTCCCACCCCAAACATTGTGAGCTTCCACCGCGTTCCTATATTTATCACAGGTCCATGGTTGATCCTTCTTCATTCATTCATTTATTTATTCATTTATTTCATTCATCAATCATTCCAACTAACAATCAATAACAAAGAAACAAATATATATAATAATTAATTAATTATGGGATTTAATAATAATATTGTATTGCCAATACTGTTGGTGTTGGCAATGACCACGGCCACATTGGCTATTGGTACGGGTAGACATAGACCAAGCATTTCACCAAATCACAGTGCGAACAGTACCACAAGCTTCACCACCGGAAATGGTACCACGACAAGCTGGAACAGTACCACAGGTCAGGCCACTACTGGCAACTGGACATCAGGCTCAACCACAACTGGCAACTGGACCACTGGCTCCACTGGCCCAGCCACCACCGGTAACTGGACATCTGGCTCAACCACAACTGGTAACTGGACATCTGGCCCAGCCACCACCGGCAACTGGACATCTGGCTCAACCACAACTGGCAACTGGACCTCGGGTCCATCAACCACTGGCAACTGGACCACTGGTTCCACTGGCCCAGCCACTACCGGCAACTGGACATCTGGCTCAACCACAACTGGTAACTGGACATCCGGCCCAGCCACTACCGGCAACTGGACAACTGGCTCAACCACCACAACTGGTAACTGGACATCGGGTCCATACACAACTGGCAATTGGACCACGAGTTCATCTACCACTGGCAACTGGACCACTGGCTCCACTGGTCCAGCCACTACCGGCAACTGGACAACTGGTTCCACAACCACAACTGGTAACTGGACATCGGGTCCATACACCACTGGCAATTGGACCACGGGTTCATCTACCACCGGTAACTGGACAACTGGCTCCACCACCACAACTGGTAACTGGACCACGGGCCCATACACCACTGGCAACTGGACCACTGGTTCGTCTACCACTGGTAACTGGACCACCGGATCAACTGGCAACTGGACTTCTGGTTCATCCACTACCGGATCTACTGGTAACTGGACTGGCTCATCCACTACTGGCAACTCGACTTCTGGTTCATCCACCACCGGATCTACTGGAAACTGGACTGGTTCGTCCACTACTGGCAACTGGACATCCGGTTCATCAACCTCAGGAAACTGGACTTCGGGTACTACCACTTCTGGAAACTGGACAACAGGATCTACTGGTTGGACCTCAGGATCAACCTCTGGCAACTGGACCTCAGGATCATCAACCTCTGGCAACTGGAGCTCGGGATCATCAACTACTGGAAACTGGACCGGCTCAGGATCATCTGGTAACTGGACTGGTTCGTCCACCACCGGCTCTACTGGATGGACTTCAGGAACAACATCCGGCAACTGGACTGGTTCTGGTTCCTCCGCCACATCTGGAAACTGGACAGGTTCATCGACCACTTGGACTGGCACTTCCGGCAACTGGACCGGATCATCTACCTCGGGTTCTGGAAACTGGACCACATCAGGCACAACTGGAAACTGGACAACTGGTTGGACCACATCCGGCTCCACTGGTAACTGGTCATCGAACGCCACTACCTCCGCCTCGACCGGTCAATCAAGCTCATCATACACTACCACTCAACAATCTACCACTCAACATAGCACTTCTGCTCAGTCCACCACTGCCCAGTCTACATCTGGCTCTGGATACTCGACCACCGCTCAAACCACCACTGGTCACACCATCAGCTCATGGTCCACCACCAAGCAATCATCAACTTACGTAGGCAATGACAATGTTGAAACCCTCTGTGAGCCAAATGACGACGACTGCATTGCCAGAGAGGCAAAGATGTCGCACTCATGTAAGTATACCCAACATTGATTGAGTGAATGTTTGATTGAACGTAGAACTAATAACTTTTCAAACACTTTAGCATCTGCAAGCAATGTTAGAAGCGCTGGAATGATTGTTGGAGGAGTGATTGTTATGTCTCTGCTGTGGTAACACTTCCATCATCAGCCATTCATACTTTATACACGCAAACATCAATCAAACAATCAATAAACCTATCACCAAAGCAATTCATGTACTTACTATATGTTAGCATTGGTTGATCAACATAGTTGATGGATGTTTAACATATGATTGAGTTGTTTTCTTTGTTCAAAGTAAACAAATGTCAAACTTGGGAGTCAACCTTTCAATTTCCAAATCAGGATATTTTCGTGTGAGGTTGATGATGATCCAAAGTCAAAAAATTACCAAATCGGGAAAAACCAATGGAGTGATGAGGGAAGAGACACAACCATTCCATCAATATTTCAATAAAGGTCTTCTTTGACTATTCATGAGTTTGATTAAAGAGACAAGTGTCATCAATTATCATTGATAGAGATAATAAAACAGGTCCTCAAGAATAAATGATCATTCATAATACTATACCCATTCATGAAAGAAGGAATAATACAAAATATAATTACTTTACTCTTATCAATATTAGTATTTGCATTAATAGTTATAATCCCAATGTACAACATTATATATTCAATTTTCAATTATATAATTAATTTTATTAAATCATTATTTGGTTATGTCAACAATATTGATGATATAATAATACCAAAGAAGTCAACATATCTATCACTACCAATTACTTCCAATAATATACATCATAACAAAGACCAAGTATTCCAAGATAACTTCCTAAATGAGACATTCTGGGCACTTTCATCTCAAGGTCCAGCCTACGCCATCGACCAAGATAATATCTACTTTGTCAAGGGTACCGTTGATTTTTATTCCAAACTATTCGATGGTATACGTAATGCCAAGCGTCGTATAACCATGGCCTCACTCTACCTTGGTACCGGAATGAATGAGAAGCAGTTGGTAAGCGAGTTGATGGCGGCATGTGAGCGATCACCTTCCCTCAAAGTCCATTACCACTTGGATGGTTTGAGAGGTAGTCGTCTAATGCCTAGCAAGTTCGATCCGAATATCCTAGCCAGTTCTGCTACAATGTTGCAACTACTACTCAATGCATATCCTACTAGAGTGACCATCACAATGTACCATACACCAGACCTGACCGGACTGCTGAAGCGTGTACTTCCACAGCGTACCAACGAAGTGATTGGAATCAGTCACATGAAGGCCTATGTCTTTGACAATGACTTTATGATCGGAGGGTAAATATACACAATGTTCCGGAACGCTTAATTGTAATGTTCTAACTTCCTATCAATCAATCAATCAAACATATAGAGCCAACTTGTCAATGGACTATGGCAAACGAGAGGATAGAGTAGTGTGCGTGTCGAAGACTGAGTCATTGGCGACCTTCTTTGACAATCTGGTCCGAACTATTGGTGAACTATCTTACAAGTTGGATATAAGTGGCAAAGTGATCAATCAGGGATCAGTTGATCCAGTGACTGAGTCATCTCACTTCAAAGCAGTAGCTGAGAAGAGACTTACATCCTTGCTCGAGCCCAACTCATTCTACTTGCCAAACAACTCTAAGCAGTCTCTGTCATCACCATTGGACGCACCAACAACTCGATCAAATGGTAAACTTACCTGGATCTTCCCAACTATTCAGATGGGCAGGTTCAACATCCAGCACGATCAAGTATGTTCATCATACATCTTTGCCAACATACCTTCTTCGTCCATGTTATACTTTGCCACTCCATACTTCAACATGACCAAGAACTACACACAGTTGCTACTCACATGTAAGCCAAAGATGGAGATGATCACTTGTTCACCGATATCCAATGGATTTGCGGGTGCCACTGGTGCATCCAGTATTGTACCAGATTGTTATGGATGGATCAAACGTCAATTCCTACAAAAGGTGTTAGACACTGGCAACGGTGATCGTATATCCATGCGTGAGTACACTCGTCCACAAGACCATAACAAAGGTATTTGGGTTACTCCGATCAATGAACAGACGCCAAACTTCACTATCATTGGCAGTCCCAACTTTGGCAAGAGGAGCCTGGAGAAGGACATTGAGGCACAGATCATCATCATGACGGAGAATGACACAGTCAGACAGATCATTGAGAATGATCGTCTATACATTTGGAATGTGTCCACTCCAATCAACATGGAGATGCTCAAGAAAGAGAGGAAGGCGTCACTCTGGGTCAAATTTATGTTGTACATCTTTGGAAACTATTTGTAATAATAATATTAATATAATTAAATAATAATTTAATATCTCACTTTAACTCAATCAATCATTCGCTCTCACTCTATCAATCAATCAATCATAAAATCCTGAAACTTTAAACCAACCATTGTCCATCAATCAATCTCGAAAGTATCAGCAACAAGTGTGAGTGACCATCCAACCAACGAACCAACTAACCAATCAACCAATCTATTCTCCGCTTGATGTTCAATTCATTTGAACATAGTTTGATTATTATCACAGCGTCATACTTTGACATTTAAAGTGTGTACTTACTTTAATGTAAGATGGTGTAAGTAATATGACGGATTGGTTGGCTGACAGACTTAAACGAGACATTATAAGTTAACAACAATGATCATAAAGTGTACATGTTCCTTTAATTCATCCTTCAGATATTCACCTGGCTTCCAAAACAATTCAAATAATCAACCACGACACGACGTCATCTGATCACACACCCACACATATTTTGAATGAAGGAATGAATGGATGATGGGTCTATTTATAACAACAAACAAACAAACAAACTAACCACTACGCAAACATTGATTGGATGAAGTATCACCTTCCACTCTCACTCGGGGTCAGCGAGATCCTGACTAACCGAGTGGAGTAATACCATGTTTGATTAGTCAACCATATGAGCCTCACACGCAGGCCCTATGATGGCCCCCCACAACTACACTAAAATATCCATTTTGATTGATGATCAGTCGAAAAGTGTCATTTAAGCGACGACTCCTTTCACCACCAAAGGGGCAAACACCCCGAACTCACTCACCCAGCTAGGTTCATATAATGGGCTGTTCAGACCATTTATGCAAACATTCAGGGGAAGCCGACGTCAATTGTGTGATGGTAATGACACTTGCGTGTCTGTGTGTGTCTGTCTGTGTGGCAGGCCAGCCATCACCATCATCAATCATGACAACAGGTAATACTTTAACCTTTAATGGTACTTCGAACTGCACCAAAAGGATTGGGTTCATACTAAACACTCATTACAATACTGATGATAATCGTGCAAAGGCAGTAGCCTTGTAATATTGGTGAGGGTTATGTATGTGTCTGTGTGTACGGACATCCATCCAGGTCTAGTCTGGGACCGGACTGGACTGGACTAGACTGGTCAGGAAAGGAACAAGATAAATAGGGCCATATTCAATCAATCAATCTTATCAAATCAATTATCTATCTCTATTGAGTAATAATAATATATATATATATTATATAAATAATTATTTATTTTAACATGTATTCCAACAACATTTTGAGAGCATCACTTTTGGTGATTGCTGTCACCCTTCTCTGTCTGTCAGAGCAAGGATATGCCCAAGATCAACCACCAGCACCTTGTGGATTTACTTCTCCAAGCGGATATGAATACGACCTGTCCCCATTGGCTCTGTAAGTATTCCCAACTCCCAAATAATATTATTAATACTAATATTAATTAATTAATCCAATTATCTCCAACAATATTTTAGAAACAACTCTGCATACTACTACCACATCAGAAATGTAAGTTATTATAAATCCACAATCTATTCACTCACTCTCTCAATCAATCAAACTAACTTATTAATAAATATATAGCTCAAGTACTACTGGAATGTATGTGAGCAAGTCCATGATCCAAAGGGATACTGTGACAGCCCATCTGGAAACGTCCAATCTTGCCAGGTCCACAACAAGTGGTCTGTCTCCACCAATGGTCTCCTGAGCACGGCTGCCTACTCAGAGCTTGGTATGTTGAACTACACTCACCCACTCATTCAATCAAATACCTAACACTTATTTAATCAAATTAGACTTTGGTGTTTCCATCTTGTACACTAATGGCTCTCAATGCTGGAACAGATACCGTCTGGAGCAGAGATCTACTCGCATCAATGTCTACTGCTCTGACTGTGAGACCGAGGTTCTCTACCTGACTCAGCTCAACGACTGTGTCACTCTTATTGGAATGAAGAGCAGAGCTGGATGCCCAGCCTCCGGTACTACCACAACTACCTCGACCACCACCGGTACCTCAACTACCACTGGCACATCCACTACCTCTGGTACCACCTCGACTACCACCGGTACTTCCACCACCTCTGGCAACGTGACAACCGACACTTCCACGACCACTGGTACCTCCACCACAAGCGGATCAACTACCACCGGTACCTCAACCACCTCTGGCAACGTGACCACCGACACCTCAACGACCACCGGAACCTCCACAACTAGCGGATCAACTACCACTGGTACCTCCACCACCTCTGGCAATGTCACCACTGACACTTCAACGACCACCGGTACCTCGACAACCTCTGGAACCACCACTGGTACCACTTCTGGCAATGTAACAACAGACACTTCAACAACCTCTGGTACCTCGACCACAAGTGGCTCGACTACCACCGGTACCTCAACTACCTCAGGTAACGTCACCACCGACACTTCCACTACCACCGGAACATCTACCACCAGCGGAACTACCACTGGCTCAACAACCTCTGGTAACGCCACCACCGACTCGTCCACAACCACCGGTACCTCAACTACATCTGGATCAACTACCACTGGTACTACCTCGGGTAACGCCACCACCGACTCCTCGACCACCACTGGTACCTCAACAACAACTGGCTCGACCACAACCGGAACCACTTCCGGAACTACCTCTGGTAATGCTACTACTGACACATCAACCACCACTACCGGAACAACCGACCCATCGACCACCACTGGTACTACCGACCCATCAACTACCACCGGTACTACCGACCCATCGACCACCACTGGCACTACCGACCCATCAACCACCACTGGTACTACCGACCCATCAACCACCACTGGCACTACCGACCCATCGACCACCACTGGCACTACCGACCCATCAACCACCACTACCGGAACAACCGACCCATCGACCACAACTGGTACTACCGACCCATCAACTACCACCGGTACTACCGATCCATCGACCACAACTGGTACTACCGACCCATCTACTACCACTGGTACCACCGACCCATCAACCACCACTGGCACTACCGACCCATCGACCACAACCGGAACTACCGACCCATCAACCACCACTGGCACTACTGACCCATCGACCACCACTGGCACCACCGATCCATCGACCACCACTGGCACCACAACCGGTACTACCGACCCATCTACTACCACTGGCACCACCGATCCATCTACAACCACTGGCACCACCGATCCATCCACCACCACATCCGAGACCACCGCCGCCGACACCACGACCACCGGCACTACCTCTGCCAACCCAACTACCACCGGTACCACCACCTCTGAGACAACTGCTGCCGACACCACCTCAGCATCGACCACCACCTCTGAGACCACTGCTGCTGACACCACTGGCGCCACCGGTACCACCACCACAGAGACAACTGCCAGCGGCTCAACATCTGCCACAACCACTGCTTAAATTAACTTGACCTGTCTATTTATCAATCAATCAATCAATCGTATCGTATATAAATATCAATCATGCTGCCTACTTGTTAGGATACCTTTTAAAACTTATTATTATTATTTCATTGTGTTGTTATAACTATGGCAAAGAGTAAATGATCTGACATGCATCAATTCGTTAGGGGGTGGTGCGTCCCGATTGACCAACACGACCATGAATGATGTTTTGATCACTTTTTTGAACGACTAAACGCGAAAGAGGTCGTTTCAAGGGGGGTGATCAGAAGTTGAAACGATGCAAAGAATTTAATTTCTTGAATTCTGGAGAATGGAGGACAAGTCCGAACACCTTGCACAACCAGGGCCCTACTCGATCTAATCAAGGGGCACAAACCAACAAAACATTCTTACTCAATGTGATAAACGATAAGGGATAACTCTAATCTGACATCACTTTGAATGAATTGGACGTGGTCACGTGTATTGGGCTCCCTGGGATCATTGATCTTTGTGTAAATGTTCAGTCAGAGAGTGGCCCTGGCACCACACAGAGACACATCACGACTGAGCTTTATCTCGAAATGAGGCACTGTGCCAAATAGGTCGACGGCGCTGGATCAGAGTCCGGACTCCCAATGCCAACGCTTCGAGTTCAGTATCAAATCAATTGATACTATACTATCTGTGTATACATTACTCTAAAGTGTGATCAACAACATAACTTGTAGTAGGTGACCTGACCTGAAGTAGTAGGTGTTTGCTACATCGAGGTTTGATAGGATACCATACAAGTGTACACATCATCATCAATATTAATAATATTAATTAATCCAATATATTTATATATATACAACTCAAAACATATCATTATACAATGACTTGTGTAACAGCAACATCAACAAATACATCAACATCATACATACATTGTCTTATGACAATGAACAACAACAACTGTAATATCTTCAACTACACCAACAACACTAATGTTGTTTACAACTTTGATGGCGGTGGTGATTCATCCAACAACCCAAACAATATTCTCCAAAATAACAACATCAACAACAACATCTACAACAACAACTATAATAGTATATTCAACTTCCATGCCTTTAATGAACAACTTCAACTACCATGGACCAATATTGAGAATGAACTGACCCAGGCCTTGACCCAAGAGGGCTTGATTGCCCATCCAGACCTAAGCCAGATTGAACAATCTCATAATTCCAATTCCCTGTACTACCAGCAGAATCCACAGAATATCCAGAATACCCAGACTCCTCAGCAGCAACAACAGCAGCATACGATGATCCTCCATAAGCCTACCAATGATTGCACTCCACTTGTTCAAGTGAACTTGTGCAACAACCAGATCCCCAACTCCCATTCATTTTTCCAGTACAATCTTTCCTCCGCCAACTCCTCCATCGACTATACACTGTTCCATGGATATAACGATAATCCCCCATCACCAACACACTCATCCTCCAGCGAATATCTTTCCGACATATCCTCACCGATTCAATCATTATCATCTACATTCACAGACGATCAAATGTATTCGTCACCTCGAACTCCTCAATCCCCCAATATAACATCCACAACATCAACTACATCAACGACATCAACAACATCAACATCTACGACAACATCAACAAAATCAAAAGTTCCAAAGACCAAGTCTCCCAATGCCAAGGAACCAAAGCCTGAAAAGAAGAAGGATGATAAGTCATTCAGAAGCAGTCGATCAATCAGGAATCTGGCAGAGGTGATCCTGGCAGAGTACAGGAATATGCCCGTGGGCCAGAGGATTGACATGTCCACACTGAGCACCCGTATCCAAGTGTCCAAACGTCGTTTCTACGAGATCATGAACGTTATGGAGTGCATTGGAATGGTGCGCAAAGAACTCCGTGATCACTACCACTGGCTTGGTTTCCAAAATGTGTCCGCGGCAGTCAAGTCCATCCATATCCTATCCAAATCCAACATCTCCATCAACTCCAGTAACACTACTACCAACTCCAACAACTCCAACAACAACAACAATACCAAGTTGACATCGATAGGCCTGCTCTGTCATCAATTTATCAGCATGTTTGCCAACAGTCCAACGTTGAGTCTTGTCGATATCCGCCGAGAATATAAACTGGACGCCATGCCAGCTCGTTGCAAACGTCTGTATGACATTGCCAACGTGCTCGAGTGCATTGGTATCATTGCCAAGTCCGAAAGATTGGGTTCCAAACAAATGTACATCTGGAACTGGAAGTCTGACTCCATCATCACAACCGATAACAACAATCTACGAACTGAATAAATATATTAATATATTATTATTATTTGTATGTATAAACAATTAATGTTTGTTTCTAATATCAATCAAGAATGAAAACGAAACAAATGGTGTCAATCGAGGGGAGGATGAGTGTTGTGGACGAAAAAAATAAAAATTAAAAACAACTAAAACAAAATAAAAGATAAAAATATAAAATAAAATTAGTGGGTTGGGTGTATGAGTGGGAAGTGTTTTTAGATCTCTCACGTCAATTTCATTTTTTCTTTTGAAAGTTAGAAAAAAAAAAAAATTAATTAATTTAAACATTTCGCTTTCTTTGCTCGTGGGCGTGAACACCTTACTTGACTTTCCTTCCTGCCTTCGACCAACTACAATATAATATAACATAATATAATATAATATAACTTGTTGTATACTTTACACATTCAACTCAACTCAACTCGACTTAGACAAAGACAAAGACAAAGACACATTCGTCAACTCACTCACTCACCTAGTCACCTATTCATTGGAACTCAATCAATCTCAACTTGACCCGAAGACTTCAAACTTGGAACTATCCCAAGTAGGGTACAAGCAAACACACATTATCAAAACAAACAAACAAACAATCAATCAATAAATCGTGCTCGAGACGAGAGAGAGAGAGGAAGATAGAAATGCAGATTGATCGCTCAAGATACCTGGAACTTCCTATATTCGTTCCGTCAGTCGAGAGTCTGATGTCATTCGACATTGATCAGTTGTTGGCCGAGAGCAACTTCAAGATGGCCCCAACACTGCAGTACACGGACGATATTAGTGAACAGACGATCAATCAATATATAATGGAGCGCGGCGTGCCCTTGGTACTGACGGGCACGATGGCGCTGTGGGCCGAGCAGGAGCAGCACCAGCTTCACCTGGTGAATCGGAACGACCCGACGCAGCAGGAGCTGTTCACACTGGAGTACCTCAGCAGGGTGTTTGGCCACATACCCCTGCACAACTCACCGCGCGACAATGAGAAGCACACCGACTGCTCCGACTGGACACTGGGCCAATACATCGACTACCTCGACATGATCCCCGAGGAGCGCAACCCCAAGCACCTCTACGGCAAGGACGTGCCCTGTCCCAAGGAGTGGCAGAACTACATCGAGACCAACCTGACCAAGCTGCTGGTGTACCGCGATCGCCGCGCAGACCTCATCGCCAGTCTGCCCGAGTATCTCAAGCCCGAGACGCTGATGCTGTACATAGGCGCCAACGGCACCTATACGGCGGGCCACATGGACAACGTTGGCACGCGTGGACACAACCTGATGCTTCACGCACGGCCCGAGGAGACTGACGTCAACGCCGACAACACATTTGCCTACTGGTTTGTCCTGGAGACCAAGTCAATGAGCAAGGCAATCGAATTCTGGTCGGACAAGGGTGGAGACATATTCAACGAGTCTCGATTCCTCAATCCCAAAGAGTTCATTGGTGCCCCCTTTGACGTCTACGTCATCAGACAACGAGTTGGCGATCTAGTCATCATCCCTCCAAGTGCCGTGCACCAAGTTATCAACATTGTAAGTCTAGATGATCACTCGACCCTTCCTCTCTCGCTCACTCACTGACTAATTAACTCAATCAATCTTAGGGAGGACCAACGATCAAAGTGGCATGGAATACATTGCCAGTGAGCTGTGCACCAATATCATACTACACGATGTTGCCTCTTCAGCGATCGATATCCAAACCTGAGATCTACAGAGTAAAGGCCACGATATATTACTCACTCAAGAAGATTATGGAGAAGCTGGCCGACGGCCTCGCCGGCAATGAGGAGGGCAAGTTGATGAATGAATATGTCGAGCCTCTACTCGGCATCCTGCATCACATCCTGCAATCAGAGTCCATCTTGATACCCAAGCCATCATACCCATTCGCTGCGCCCGGCGAGACCATCCCCTTCCTCAAGCCATTCAAGCTGATCACCACTGAGCTCAAACATGACCGCAAGTGTGATCAATGCAACTGTGACATATTCAACCGATGCTATACCTGTCCTCTCTGTGAATCTGTACGTATCCTCTCCTCCAACACCATACCTACCTCGCTCATTCATACTCACTCATTCAATCACTCAATCACGAACAGAGGGACTTCTGCTTCGACTGCGTGTCGCATGGCAATGGATGTGAGGATCACTTTGCACAGATGGAGTTGAGAGAGTTTATCTCTCATCATAAGATGCGCAAGGACTTGGACACATACTATGATATATACAAAGCATACCTCCTGGCTCAGACCAAACAGAAGAAGCAAGATCACGAAGATATCGACACACTGATCACCAACAAACAGAATGCCATCGTCCAAAAATGTGGATTCCTAACAACCGCCACCATTGCCTATCACGTCGTCTACCATGCCAACGTAAGTACCCTGGACCTGGTCCTACTTTGGACTCGATCACTCACTCACTCACTCAATCAATCATCATTCCAGAAAAAGGAGAAGTGCCATCAATGCACGACATTACTGCCCAAGTTCTCGGTGGTGTATTGTACACATTGCCGTAAACCTTATTGCGATAGGTGCGTGGCAGGATATAATGTGGACTTCTTCCAGATTGTGTCATCGGGCGAGTGGAAGTGCTTCAGTTGTCTCGGAACATGTTTATGTACACCATGTGTAACAGGTGTTTTAAAGAACGACAATGAGTTGAAGGCAGCAGACAGCAAGAGCAACAGCAACAGCATCACCGGCAACACCAGCAATGGAATATTCAGCAACAGAACATTCCACAACATCAACAACTTGATGTCGATATCAAACAACAACAACAGTGAGCAAGACAACAGCCATCACGAGAACATGGCACACAAGATTAGAAGCTTCAGTATGAGACGGTGCAAGGTCAACCCGCCACCATTCGCACCGCCACTGGAAGAGTACAACACATCGCTGCAGTACCAACATGTGTTGGCGTACCAGCCATCGACATTCACACCCAACATCCAACTCCTCACGCCCACCACGCCGCCACTCAAAGCAACCAAGACCAACTTCACCGACCTGACCTCATCGTCATCCGCCTCGGCAATATCCGAGCCAATATTATTAGTGGTACCGCCACCTACCAAGACTGAACAAAAGCCAACTCAACAACAGACACCGCAACAACAACAGCCAGCGCAACAACAACAACAACAACAGAAACAGCCACCACAACAACAACAACAGCAACAGCAGCAACAGCAGCAACAGCAGTCCTCGCTGGTCCAGAGCACCCAGACACCTCCGCAACAAATTACACCAAGGAGGCCAGGCAGACCAAAGGGCTCACTCAATCATAGCAACCCCAACAACCCCAACGCCGCGACCACACCTCCCAATAGCACCGAGAAGAAGCGACCATTGACAGAGTCGACGACGTCCAACAAAGGAAGGCCGCCAAAGATACTCAAAGAGACGACAAGCGATACACACAAGTCGGTCTGCGCGATCCTCGATGCACTGAGGTCGCATATCCCCTACCCTACACATGCAGTGACAGCGCCCGACCCACTGCCCACGGCCGTGCGACTCTACGTCAATCACAAGGACAAGCTGGGCGGGCTTCTCTGGGCCAAGACCGTGTCGTGTCCCTGGATGCCATGCGTCTGGGTGAAGGACCTTCACGTTGTGCCCTCCAGCCTCAAGCTGCTCCCATCACTCGCTGGCAAGAAGATCATCGTGGTGTTCTTTGGCCAGCCGGACGACTTTAGGATCGTGGGCAAGAAGTCGACGATGACCTTTGTCGAGGCCACCGAGACCAATCTGGTCAAGTGCGGCGAGGAGGTGCTCCAGCAGCTGGATCTGCTGTTCAACATCTGCACGCCGACCGTCGCGACCAAGGTGGAGTTCAACGAGTTCAACTATCAGTCGCAGATCGTCGAGACGGAGGAAGGCGCCCTCGTGGCTGGCACGCCAGGCAATGGCAACAGGATGATGGTGATACCAACGATAACACCAACACCATCGCCGGCAACCACCACACCCGTAGCGCATCAATCTCCAAAACTGGCTAGCTCAGCCCCTGTTGTGTCTGATGTAGCTGCCACTGCAGTGGCTACAACGGATACCAAGATGCAAGCGGTACCATCTCCGGCCAGTATCTCAACATACACGCCACTCGACACCACTATCTCTGCCGCCCTACATGTCCTCGAACAGGCCAGACTTTCAACTACTACCACTACCACCACTACCACCACCGCTACAAAGCACACTGCACCAATGGTCATCCAACGATCGGATGTCCATCATCCAAGTTGATCCATCAATCGTGATCACGATACCATATATATATATTTATATAAATTTATTGATTGATTGAATGGACATTCATTATCAATCACTGTCACTGTCATCACTGTCACTGTTATCATTATCCTGCTTCAGTAGACGTTTCAGTAGTCTCTTTGCTCTCTCCTTCTTCCAACGTTGATTGGTGAGTTCATCATCGTCCTCCTTATCACTATCATCATCCTCATCATCACTTGACTTATCAGCCACCTTCAACTTTGAATTAACGGTCGCCTCCTCAATAGTCTTTGTCCTAGCCATTCCTTGTAATGCCATCAAGTAGTCCATCGCAATCTGGAAGTACTTCTCAGGGATCTTGATTGATTATTGAGTATGAGGCGGAATCATTCCATGATCCATGATTGATTGATTGATTGAGTGATGGAGTGAGTATAAGCGCGACCAAGACATGACTACTCCCTCCATCGTAGCACTTACAAGTTCTCTGCTGTATATGTTGTTTAGGATTGATACTTGGATCTTCTTGTTGAACTTCCAGCTGGATCGGTCATTCTTCCAGGTGGACAGGTATTGGGACATCTCAGCTCGCTTCTTTTGTTTCTCCATATCCATCATCTTCTTCTTTTGTTGTTCAGTCTTGCCAGTCTTCTTCTCCTTTTCCTCCTGTTCCAACTTTTCAAACTCCTTCTCAATCTCCTTCTTCTGTTCCTCCTGTGTCATCTTCATCCTTTGTTTATCCTTTGCCTTCTCCTCCTTTAATTTCTTCAATATTTGTTCTTTCTCTTCTTCAACCTTTTTCTTTGTCTTTGTCTCATCATCTTCATCTTCATCATCATCTTCGTTGTCATTTTCGTCATCACTACTTGATTGATCATCTGATGCTGATTCACTCTCATTCTCACTCTCACTACTGCTATCACTATCACTATCACTTTGTACTTTAGCTACATCATCACTATCACTATCATTATCACTCTCATCACTGCTAGATGGAGTATCATTTGATATCTTTATCTTCTTTGTCTTTAAACTACTTTTGTTGTTTACAACTTCATCATCCTCATCATCAGAGTCTTGATTCTTTCTTCTCTTATCTATTGCCATTGTATATTATTATTAAATGTATATATTATGTTATAAACGAATGATATAAATGAATGAATAAACTCCAATTTTCATTCAAACAAGCTGAAGGAAAGACGAAACAGACGAATGAAACGAAACACAACCCCAAATCGACAAAACAACACACAAAGTTTCAAGATCTTTGGTTTTTTGTGAACTTGAAACACTATTTCATTCATTCATTTACACAACACAACTCACCTTTATTACTTGTACACCATCTTATAATATATTTATATTAAATGGAGACTACTAGTAATACAGCAACTATTGTACAAGAGTTTAACTCTTTGATTAGAAAGGCAAAGGAATGTGAAAGAGATAACTTCAAAGTATCATTGGATCTCTACAGGTAAGTTATGTCATTTTGAAAGAATGGATGAATGAATGACTAATATATGATTATACTTTAGACAAGCATATCAGTTGTTACCTACATCTCCAAACCTATTGAAAAAGATACAGTCATTGGAGAGGAAGTTGCAAAAGGTACAGGATGAACTGTCAAGAGAGGACTGGTTACAATCGACAACAAGTAGTGGTGAATCATCACCATGCTATGTGAATGAACAATGTGATGACCAACAAGAGCAACAACAAGGAGAGGAACAAGAGGAAGAATATGAAGATGCTTCCTATACTACACCAAACATTGATGACTTTACAAAGATTGATCGAACCAATGTAGAGGACATCAAGAACTATATCGAACGATTCAAACAATTGGGATTTGATCAAGCATTGAAGTTGTTAACAATCGATGACTTTGCACTCGTCAGGAGCATGTGTAGAGATGCTCAACATGTATGTTAATCATGATCTATACTACATCTGGAGACATGCACAATACTGACCAAACTGGATAGAGCGATGATGTCAACTATGGACTAGAGGTTGTAATGTTCTTCAAAGTGGTGTCAAGTCAAGTGGATGGATTGTTGCAGGTTTTGGCAGATGGTCAACTGGCGTGGATCATTCCAAACTGTTTCATGCAAGAGGATGAGACCAAAGCAGCCAATCATCTTCAATTAATGTCCGCCATCCTAACTCAAACAGGTCCATTGCCACCAAGTGAACTTGCCAAACTAGACGATATGTTCTTGGAGGAATTGATCAATCTTGGACTAAAGTATCTGGATTATTACGAGGAGGATTGGTTACATATATTCTATCATACATTGGTAAGGTTACCAATCAATCAATCATCATATACAACATGGATGGATTGATGGAATCATACTAATATCCATGTTGTCATCCAGCTTGCCTACCAGACACAGTTCACATCAGAGGGTTACTCTCCACTCATCAACAAGTTGTATACAATCAAGAAAGCACCAGAGTTGAGCACAGAGCTCATTGCACTTCTAAATAGAGATAGTAAGTGAATGATTGAATCAAGACCATTAGATGTTACATCATACTAACTATTAATCATAGAGTTTGAATATGGACTACTTCCACAATGCCTTTTATTCGTTGCCGACTTGTTCAACTATTCAACCGAGTCACAAGTATCTTGTTTCTTCTACACATCAGATATACCAATCGTCATTGATATAATGGTTCGCAACATTCATAATCTAGATGAAGTTGATCCAGTATGTATACATACTCTACTCCTCCAGCCACTCTGGATCAATCGAAAATATAAACTAACTATGATTCAAACTAATCAGTTGAGATGGAATTACTTGGAGACATTACATGTCATATTATCACATGATGTTTGGATCTCGACTCAGTATCATCGCGATGATATATCCACTGTACTTGGCGATTTGTTGGACGAGCGCTATGCAGAGAAGGATCCAAGGTCTGCACTAATATCACGTGCCATCCTAGATATGATCAATGTATAGATGATCAGTCAATAAATATATATATCTATGTACAAAGTAATAATTTATTATAATTATTATTATTTAGGATTGATTGATTGATGGTTTAGTATCAATCCAATCTAATCTACACCCAGGGAAAACTCTCTGGTTGTGTCTCGAGGAGTCTTGAAACCAACCTTCTTCTTGAGATTGGTGGCACTTGCCTTCTCGGGGATGACGGCACTGCCTTGTCTGTTGCCAACCATGCTGACATTTCTCTTGATGATAAACTCTAGAACTGGTACATCAAACTTCTCTGAATCGTTAAAGAATTCATTATCATTGGCACCTCCTCCTCCTGTTGCTGTTGCCGTTGACACTCTATTCAATCTTGACTGGCTCTGATGTGTAGCACCTTTTGAATTCCATAATGATGTTGTTGAATAGTATGCCAATGGTCCAATATAATTATTTACATTATATCTTACAAGTCTGTTAATGTTTAGTCTTTTTAATGTATTCTAAGATGATTTATCAAATATTAATACATAATAATAATAATAATATAATATATGTATTATTATTAATAATAAATCTAAATCATACCATTGTTATATATATATATCAATATATATTGTGATCACAGGGCCTAAGTCAAGGTTATTATTAATTAAATTAGTAAGTAAAGTATAAAATAAACAAATAAGTTATATTATTTGTTTGAATTTATGAATAAATAAATGAAAGTAAGTGTATCCTAGGATTTACACACAACTATATATCTAAAAAAGAATCAAATACAAGCAATAAATTTCCAATAACATCTATACGTCTATATCAATATAAATGTTGCCGAGGTTCCTTCCATGTATGGTAAATTGTTTCAGAATGGACACAAAGGAACATCGTTCCCAACACCCAATCTAGTCCTCATCTTGAATAAACTTCAAACTTTCACACACCACCGAGTGTTGTCTCACTGACAAATGGATAGCGAATGTGTGTGTTTAGTCTTCTTCGAGCAATGCGTCGCGTATGTCGAAACACTGTCCGTGGTGGTCGATGTCAATGGACTTGTCGATTTATCGATCACGTGTGTCAGTGACCAACTTGGACTGAATAAACTATTGTTGATTGGTCAGACATAATTAAATTACCCTTTTATGTTATTGTCGTCTGGACGTTTTAAGAATGAAGAGATCTTTTTAGTAAAAGACTCTAAGCAAGAGCCTCTGCTCGACTGATGACCTATCTACCCAATACCTAATTATCATAGTTGTGTGGGTGCGTGTAAAGGTTGAATGAACTATACGATATTATTATATCTGTACCATTAGAAAGTGATTGACGAACTAAACTTCACATGTTTAAGTTGTTAAAGAACATACTGGAGAAGCTTCTCTCATCGGCTTCAACACAGACAAAGATCTGATTGTTGATTTGTGTGTGTGTCTTTGGTCAATAAAAGTGATGCCCATGAGCAAACAAGCCCAAGAGTGGTGGTTTGGTGTTGGTCCCACAAAGCCCCAACTCTGATTTTGATCAATTTAAATGAGGTCCAAATATCTGGTTATAGGATACAACCTCTGGTACCCTTTGCTACAACGCGTTACTGAACCAACTTGATTCAATTTCGTTAGTCATCATTCAACCAATCAGTCAGCAAAACACTCATACATATTTATAAATACAAAAATATTATAATATCATTTAATATAATATGAAGATGATGTATTCTTTATTGATTGTTATATCATTGGTTGCCATTTGTGGCAATGTCATCAATGCCAACAACCCACCTAATGTTCCATATAGCCAAGAGATTGGAACACAACATGTTCTGATGAACTACGTCTCATACTGTGACACACAACAAATCTTGGACTGGACCTGTCCCAGATGCAAGAACTTCCCCGGTGCCACCAACATCAAGGTCGTCGAAAACAAAGAATTATCTACATTCGGAGTTGTTGCAACATACAATGATACAGGTAGGTGGTACTATCCCACTCCCCAACACGCTCATTCACTGACTCACTATCAATCAATCAAAAGTGTTCATTGCCTTTAGAGGATCGGTCGATGTTACCAACTGGATCTCAAACTTTGAGTTTGCTCACGTTGATTATCCAAATGTTACTGACGCCAAGGTTCACTTTGGTTTCTACCACGCATGGCTGGGAGTTGCTGATCAGTCCAAGGTTGCACTCACAGACTCACTCAAGGAGTGTCCAACCTGCACCATGATCCAAGTACTCGGTCACTCATACGGTGCTGCTGTATCTAGTATGTATTCAATCATAATGGCATATAATTGATTGATTGATCACTGACCCACCATTACCCCACCCTTTAGCATTCTGTATGGCCGAGGTCGTCCAATGGTTCCCCAACATTCCAGTTCAGTCAATGACTATTGGATCACCAAGAGTTGGTAACAATGTTTGGGCTGAGTGGTACAACCAACTCCAGCCAAACACATGGCGTGTGGTCAACCAAAGAGATGTTGTGCCACATCTGCCACCAAGAGAGTCAGTCAATGAGTACCATCACGTTCCAAACGAGATTTGGTATCCAAAGAACTCGACGACATATGAGGTCTGCAATGACAGTGGTGAAGACCCTTCATGCAGTGACTCCATCCTCCCACCATTCTACAGCCAGGCTGACCATCTCGACTACCTTGGTCAAGACTGTTGCTGTTAGTTGGAACTATTCATGTTGTTACCATTTGATAAATATCCAACAACTTGAATCAAGGTATCATTCATGTAGACAACATAAGTGATGCCCATTAATGACATGATAGAGATAACAAATAATGGGATTTCAGTCCCAGACTGATTGTATCGCGGGTGTGTTGTGGTGTGACTTTCGGGTCAAAGTACGATCAAATCAAGATATTTGCATCAAAATGACCGCCCAAAAGTGGGGGAGTAGGCCTAACAGGTGATCCGGATGAAACTTCAGTAAGCTCCAAATTGATCCCCAACAACTAATGTGTTAAGTATGCTGAAAGAACATCTCTGAAAGATATTTCCATGATCATTGATCGTCCATAGACTACTTAGTTGATCAACTTCTTTCCTCAATCATACTTCCAAAGTAACACTAAGATATAAAGATGTTAAAGTATATATATTCAATTATTTGTTTGTTGGTTGGATTGTCTGTTGTGTTGGCTTATGTGCCACCAAAGTCTCCATTCAGTGTTCCAACTGCACAAAAGTATGTGTTGTTGTCTGGTATCACACATTGTCCTTTACAAGAGGTAACTGATTGGAGTTGCCATGTTTGCCAACATAACTTCACTGCAGCTACCAACATCATACCAGTCTACAATAACTTCACATTAACATTTGGGTTCGTAATGACCCATGATGACACTGGTAAGTAGTATAAATCCATCTCAATATATTTTATAAATTGATTGATTGACGAACTTATCATCTTTCCAAACAGTATACGTATCATTCAGAGGATCAGTTAATGATGTAAATTGGATTTCCAATATGGACTTCTATCAGATGACTTATCCTAATGTTCCAGGTGCCAAGGTTCACATGGGCTTCTACGAGGATTGGTTGAGTGAGTATTGAATACCAACTAGAGTGGCCAACCCATGGACATGATCACTAACACTCAATCAATCATTCATTCAAACTAGGTCTCAGAAGTCAGGTTCAAGCAGCAATGATATCATCATTCAAGCAATGCTCATCATGCAACTCCATTGTTGTAACTGGACACTCCTTGGGAGGTGCCATCGCAAGTATGTTCCATCAATCAATCAAGGCTGGAACTATTCCACTCACAGACTCACTCAATCAATCAACTTAATCAATCATTTTAGCTCATGCCATGGCAGAGGTTATGGGATGGTTCCCAGATGTACCAAGTTGGTCGTACACATTTGGATCACCACGTGTTGGTAATGTTGCCTTCGCCGAGTGGTACAATTCCATCCAGCCAGACAATTACCGTGTAGTCAACCAACATGACATTGTTCCACATGTTCCACCACAAAAGGATACAACCTACACCTACCATCATGTTCCATTAGAGATTTGGTATCCAAAGAATGAGACCACCTACGTCGTCTGTAACGACAGTGGCGAGGATCCATCATGCAGTGACTCTGTGCCAATATACGAATGGACTGGTGCCGACCACGGCACCTACGTCGACCTCCCAGTAGGTTGCAATGACAACCTCTACCCAACTATTTAAATTAAAATATACAACATTATATTACTTCTTGTTTGGACGTCCATTCGCGTCGTCCAAGTTGTCAGTGAGTCTATACATTGGCAGAGGATGCAGGATCTTGAGCCACTTTGTCCAACTGCTTGGCAGAGACAAAGGCACCAAGTGCACCTAGGTATCCATCGTGCTGGAGGAACATTGCTTTGGTCTTGCCTTTGGACCAAAAGTCGATGGCACAACTGATCCTCTGCATGGTGACTGGATTGTCGCGAATGAAGAAGCCGCCAAAGTATATCTTGTGCAGACAGTGTATCTTGGAGTTGAGATAGGCGATCTGGCCAATGTTGTTGGAGATCATCTTGAGAAGACTGTGCGCAATGTCCTCCTTCCTAAATGATCCATTGTTGTCCTTCTGATGTATCACTTTGCCAAAGCTGCTGGCGATGGCCTCGGCCGACAGACCGATCTTTGAGTAGTCTGTGCCGTAGATGTCGCCCACGGCCAGGTCCACATTCCTGTTGTTGCCGCGTATTGTCAAGTCCACCATCTCATCAAAGTTGGTGGAGCCCGTGAGCAGGCTACACAGACCCCAGAACGTGCCGCCGCCCAAGCTGGTACCGTCCACTCTTTGAAAGCTTGTCTCGCTGTCCACCTTGATCACGCTGACTCCCGAGCCGACCTGCACCAGCAGGTAGGGGAATTGATGTTCTGTCGTCTCTGCATATTGTTTTGGCATTGGACTGTTCAACACTGGCGAGTAAGAGAATGATTCGTTGGGAATTGACCTCAACAAATAGTTTGTACCAATGATCAAAGTCAACATCTCGTCCTCCTTGATCAAGTTACATCCCAATCTCATCTCGAACAGTTCAGCATATTTATAAGCTCCTCCACCGGTCACTCTTACATCCCTTGGCTTTCCATTCTCCAAGTGAAGTTTGTTATCTAATATGGATTGATTGATTGATTGAGTTAGTGATTGAGTGACATGGATATATCAAGTATCAATCAATCAATCAATCATACCAATTATAAAGTTCAAACAGTCTTCGATGTTTGTCGTCTCGAACTTGATGAAGTGGAGCATTCCACTACCAGTCTGTTCTTTGATGACCTCTATATCATTATTGCCAGTGATTACACTATTATTATTGTTGTTGTCAACATAATATACTAACTTTGCCAATGAACCTCCAATATCCAATGCAAAGTGATTGATATGATGATGTGTATTTGATTGAGTATTTATAGATGGACGAAAAGGTAATGGCTTTGTCACATGTGATGACAAGTCCCTTGGTGAAGGATATGGATATGGTGATGAAACTGTTGGTGATATCATCATCTTCTCTCTCTGTATTATATATATTATGATTGTACAACAACAACAACAACAATATTGTCAATGAATGATATCTCTGTCTATTTGTTTGAATGGATTATCTCTTTGATGTCACTCAGAGATCACGACATTAATGTTGCTCACTCTCACTGAGTGAGTAACAGCAGAGAGACAGAGAGATACATCCGTCCATTCCTTCTTGTACAGAAGGACGCACAATGCAAGCAAGCAAACAAGAAACCGAATGAGTTGGATACCACCAACATAAACATAAACCCACTGGGACAACACTTATGTTTATGTTGGAAATCCCAGAGAGCGATGATGTGATTGTCACCAACACTGTTTCACACTTGGGGGGTGACCAGATCTGCAACACAACACGAACCCCACCACTTTGGGATGCCGATAGAGTGACGTTCATTCATACAAGATGGTCGTCGCGACGATAATGATGTTTGGTGAGGAGGTCGACGATGATGGAAGTAAGTGGCGAGGCGACGTAGGTGTTCAGCAAACAGATAGATAGACAGACAGTCTTTCGCTCATGCCAATCAATCGTCCACAATAGGTTTGCCTGTAGTGGAGGCTACAATTATAATAGTTTGTAGCAAAATGGTCGTTAAAGGGACGAGTATGTTTACTTTGATCCAGCAGCAATGACTGCGAGTGCTTCCTTGACCTTCTTTCCAACATTGACGACCTTTCCAAAGGCAATGGTCTTGTCTAAACACGTGTTTATAAGTATGTAAATGTTAGTGATTGATCGATTGATTGGATTGATTGGACTGATTCCATGTCTGTCTGTCTGATTGATACATACTTGACTCACGAAGAGTGAATCTTGCCAATTGTGGACTTGAAGTGAACTCCTCCAGACAGACTGGTCTGCTGAGGACCAGACGAACCTTGACAGACTCGCCATTCTTGGCAAAGGTTGGCTTCTTCTTGATCTCCTGGTTGGTCTTGACGTCGATCGTGGCGATCAAAGACTTGATCTGGCACTCCTCGACGGCGGTGTGCGCGTGGAACATTGCCTCGTAGTTGACGGTGAACAGCTGCTTCTCCTTGGGCAGGTCAAACAGCACGACGATGGCCTCGATCTCGGTGACGACGGGCACCTGACGGATCATGTCGGACAGGATACTGCCGGTTCTGATGAACTCGTCGTCGATGCCTTTCAGACCGATGCGCAGGTTCTCACCGGCGTGGCCCACCTTGAAGTTGCATGTCTCGTTGGAGAGCGACACGACCTCCACCTTGTTCTTGCCGGGCATGATCATGACCTGCTGGCCGACTGTGACTGTACCCGACTCGATCTTGCCCATGATGTTGACGACACCACGGTCCTTGAACGAATCGATGATGGGCACACGCAGTGGGCCGGTTTCATTGCGCTCAAAGTGCGGCAGCCCGTCCAGTGTGCCGATGAGTGAGAGTCCAGTGTTCCATGGGCAGATCTCCTTGGAGACGGTGTCCTTGATGTTGGCGCTGGTGAAGCCTGAGCCTGGAACGAATTGGAAGTCCTTGGCGGGGTTGAAGCCACACTTCTTGAGATGGCCAGTGACCTTGGTGACGATCTCGTCGTAACGCTCCTTGGACCAGGCGACGGATGGCTCGTCCATCTTGTTGACGAGCACCACCAGATGCTTGATGCCAATCATCTTGGCGAGACGTGCGTGCTCGATGGTCTGGCCTCCCTCGACACCAGCCTCGAACTCTCCCTTCTTGGATGACACGACCAGGATACCGACGTCGGCCTGTGCCGCACCGGAAATCATGTTGGGCACGTAGTTCTTGTGGCCTGGTGCGTCGAGAATGGTGTATCGCTTCTTCTCGGTCTCAAAGTGAGCACGACCAACCTCCACGGTCTTACCCTTTGATCTCTCCTCCTCGTTCGTGTCCATCACATAAGCAAAGAGCCACGACTCACGGTGGTGATCCTTTGCCTCTCGCTCGTATTTAGCCAAAGTATGGCTATCGATCTGTCCTGTCAACACCATTATATTACCAGAGATTGTTGATTTACCAGCATCTATAATGTCGACAATGTGTGATTGATTGATTGGAATAGTTCCAGTGTTTGATTGAATGAATGAGTATGCGCACGAACGCTCTGATTGACATGGTGCTACAAGTACTTACCGACGTGACCAATGAACACGATGTTGACGTGCTCTCTTGGGTCCTCCTTGAAGTTGGACACCTCCATGATTGGGAGTGCCTCGAGCTTCTTGCTGATCTCGTCGACCTCATCTTCGATATCTTCCTCCTCAACCTTGAACACAGACTCTGTTGGCTTGCTCTGCTCTGGTGATGTGACACTGGTTGTGGATGTAGTAGAGGTTGTGGTGGTTGTGGTTGTAACTGGCTTCTCCTCCTCAACAACTGGTGCTGGTGTGGCAACTGGTGCTGGTGCTGGTGCTGGTGCTGGTGCTGGAGTCTCGACTGGAGCTGGGGCAGCAACAGGGACTGGTGCAGCAGCAGGTGGGCTAGTGGCTGCTGGCTTAACCAAGAACTTTGGAACAAATGCTGATGCGTTTGGGTTCATGATTTCTATTGTGATTTATATATCTATTTATGTGATATAGTAATAGTATACAGTATGTTTGTTTGATTGAAACAAATATATAAATATATATCACTAAGTGAGAGAGACAGACACAAATGATTGAATGTATGAATGATTGTGCTCTCATGTTTGAGTTGCCGAATCAAAAAAAAAAGTGAATTACGACTCTTTCTCATGAGAATGAATGAGATGGTGTGGGAAGGGAGTCTTTCTCAATTAGTTGCTGGACATGTCCTTTTTGAACCAAACTGTCATTCACATTGAAGGACATGACATTAAGTAATACATAATCTAAAGTAATGTTGTTGACTTTGATTCATCCATATTAATATATGCACCCAACCAATAATAAGATGACCTTTCCTCGACAACAACAACCTTGACCTCAGATAAACATCCAAGTCAAGTAATGTCAACTTAGGTGGGGGGAAGTTGAACATCACGCGTGTTGAAGAGGATACATCTCACTGGAGTTAGGTCTATCAATAATAATTACGTGTTTCTGCTGTTGAACAACAAACAAATACACATAATTCATTCAATCACAATCATTCATTCATACCAACTATCTATCTCTAATCTAATAACAAGTTATACATAACTTAAGTAATAATGAGCGGAACACACAATTCATTCTCCAACTTCTTCCATGATCTCCTGAGCTTCAATGTCCCATTTGATGAGTATCAGACTAATGATGAATATGTCTTTGTTGGAGGTAGGTTGGTCACCAACGGCTGGCAATAGTATTGGCTTGATACTAATAAATGGATGGTATAAATAGATGTCGCTGGAGTACAAAAGGAACATATCAATGTTAACTACCTTAATGGTAGGTTGAAGATACAGGGCAACAGAGATTGTACAAAGAACATCAATATGTTTGCTGAACGTTGGTGTGGAGCATTCACAAGAGAGTTCACTATACCAACCAGTATCCAATCCGACAAGATATCAGCGTCCCTCAAGGATGGTGTACTGGAGGTACGCGTACCAAAGGAGCCATCAAAGGAGGGCAAGTCAGGAAAGAGCATCGAGATCAAGTAAATATCAATCAAAGTAAAGTAAAGGAGTTATATTATATGTACATGATCATTTCCAGATACGTATCTTCTTGGCCACGAACTTGAAGGGAGAGAGGTAGTCGCGATGTTGATCTTCTGTGACCAGCTTGTACTCTATCTCCAACACCTTGTCAGTGCCTTGGTTGACGACATTGACGATGGCATGGCAGCCTGTCTCTCGCCAATGTCTGTCGAACCATCCATTGGGCTGCTCGGCGATGGGCTCCGAACCCTTATACAACGCCTGATTGTTGGCCAGATGCACTGTGACATTGTTCAAGATGTGATGCTCCACTGACTTTTCAATGCCACGAACGTTCTCGCTGGCGTATAGTCGCTCCACATGTCGTCTGAGGAAGGCCATCGTGGCCTCCTGATTGGTGAGGGTCAACTCGGACATTCCCTGCAGTCTCAAAGATTGACAGAACTCTGATACCAAATGATACAACAGTAGCTCATCAGTCTCGCTCGCTGACAATGCACGGAATGGCGCAATATCCGTGACCAAGCTCATAATCTTTGTATCCTTGTATATCATATTGGAGAACCTTCACATTGTGATTGATTGATTGATTGATTGATTGATTGATTGATTGATTGATTGATTGAGTAAGTAATTGATCGCAAGGATGATGACAACAACACAACATACTTTATAACCATCTCAACTACCTCGGCAGAGGTCTTGCCTTTGGTCGAGCCCTCGAGTCCAAAGTCAGAGGTGAGCACATAGATGGCACGATTGGTAATGACATTGTTGGACATTGTCAAGCCTTCAAAGAATGGCTCCAATACACTGAGTACATCAGGATGTATCTTTTGTATCTCGTCCAGCAGTATGAGTGACTCTGGACACTTGTCCAACTGTGCCCTTATCTTGTCGTGCAGATCCCTTCTTGCTCTGGTCACTGCAGGCTCGTCATTGCCACGAACCAACCTATATTCTTCGCCATGTATAATGAGCAGACCATCGCCATTGTTATTCAAATGAGCATTCTCAAACATTGCAGAGTATAGCAACTTGGCTGACCTTGTCTTTCCCAGTCCATGATCTTTACATTGAATGAATGAATGAATGAGTGAGTGAGTAAGTATGAATGAGGCTTGGCATGCCGTGGACATATAACATACCTCCAGTGGACATGATGACAATGGGCTCATTGGGCTTGATAAGCTTCTTGGAGAGAGCATTCTTCATGATGTCTGTTGAATACTGTTGTGCAGAGAATGAATGAAACAGCTGCTCGAATGCCTTCAAGCGGTGTTCAGGTGAACGAAGTACACATCTTGAGAATCTATGTGTATCCACAAGGAATGAATCATATGTATCATATCTTGCACATTGAGATGACAACTGTAACTTGCTAGCCTCTGTCAATGTCATCATCAACATCAACAACACCATCATCATCAATATCATGGACTTCACTCTTAAAGTATCTTGTCCCATTTCTTATTCTTATTATTCTTATTCTTATTATTTGTTATTATGTTTGATTGAATAGAATGAACATGCATTGAGTCCAAACCAATCAAAAGAGTGAACTTCACGAGTCAATCAATCTGTAGTTTATTGTCCCCTTGTTCGCAAGTTGGAAAACTCAACTCAATCTTGGACAACTGCCAAGCAAGATGACTTGAATGAATGAATGAATGAATGAAGGAGATTGGATTGGTAGTCGGGGGAATGTAAGATAAAGAGTGAGTGGAACTTAACGAAATTTCATCTAAATATCAATGACTATTTTCTTAATTAGGTGACATTCAGATGAAATTTCGAATTTAATTTAACAGGTTAAAGTGCTTGGCTGTGTATGTTCACTCTCCTTACTCGAGTCCACGACTTCACTCACTATCATCTTGAACCTTGTTCAATAAAATTTAAATATCTGGACTTGAAGAGATAACTCGAATCATTCAATATATTCTTTATAACTAAACTAAACATAAACAAACACATTCACATACATATACAACAATGACTTCAATTGGAATTGACTTAGGTATGTACACTCGACAGTGGAAGACAGCATCTCGACACATTGAATAATAATACTAACATTAACAAACAAATAATTATATTATAACATAAACAGGTACTACATACTCATGTGTAGGAGTATGGCAAAATGATCGTGTTGAGATTATTGCCAATGACCAGGGTAACAGAACTACCCCATCGTATGTGGCCTTCACAGACACTGAGCGTCTGATTGGAGATGCCGCCAAGAATCAAGTGGCCATGAACCCAACCAACACAGTGTTTGACGCCAAGAGATTAATTGGCAGAAAGTTCACCGACACTGTCGTCCAGTCCGACATGAAGCACTGGCCATTCAAGGTCATTGCCAAGGAGGAGAAGCCAATGATCCAGGTCGAGTACCAGGGCGAGATCAAGACCTTCCAGCCAGAGGAGATCTCGTCGATGGTGTTGACCAAGATGAAGGAGACCGCCGAGTCCTTCCTCGGAAAGACCATTAACAACGCCGTCATCACCGTGCCCGCCTACTTTAACGACTCCCAGCGTCAGGCCACCAAGGACGCCGGTGTCATTGCCAAGCTTAACGTCCAGCGTATCATTAACGAGCCAACCGCCGCTGCCATTGCCTACGGTCTCGAGAAGAAGGGAGGCGGCGAGAAGAACATCCTCATCTTTGATCTGGGTGGTGGCACGTTCGATGTGTCCCTCCTGACCATTGAGGACGGAGTGTTTGAGGTTAAGGCCACCGCCGGAGATACTCATTTGGGTGGTGAGGACTTTGATAACCGTATGGTCAACCACTTTGTCGAGGAGTTCAAGAGAAAGCACAAGAAGGACCTCATGACCAACCAGCGTGCCCTCCGTCGTCTCAGAACCGCCTGTGAGCGTGCCAAGAGAACCCTGTCATCGTCATCCCAGGCCTCCGTCGAGATTGACTCTCTGTTTGAGGGTATCGACTTCTACACATCAATCACCCGTGCCCGTTTCGAGGAGCTCAATGCCGAGTTGTTCCGTGGTTGTCTCGACCCAGTCGAGAAGGTGCTCAAAGACTCCAAGTTGGCCAAGGGTTCCATCAACGAGATCGTCCTTGTCGGAGGATCCACCCGTATCCCCAAGGTTCAGCAGTTGCTCCAGGACTTCTTCAACGGAAAGGAGCTCAACAAGTCCATCAACCCAGATGAGGCCGTCGCCTACGGTGCTGCCGTCCAAGCCGCTATTCTCAGCAATGAGGGAGGTGCCAAGGTTGCCGACCTTTTGCTGCTCGATGTTGCCCCACTGTCCATGGGTCTCGAGACTGCTGGCGGTGTCATGACCGTCCTCATCCCAAGAAACACCACCATCCCATGCAAGAAGCAACAGACCTTCTCCACCTACTCTGACAACCAGCCAGGCGTACTCATCCAAGTGTTTGAGGGTGAGCGTCAGATGACCCGTGACAACAACCTGCTGGGCAAGTTCGAGCTGTCCGGTATCCCACCCGCCCCACGTGGAGTCCCACAGATTGAGGTCACATTCGATATCGATGCCAACGGTATCCTGAACGTGTCTGCTGAGGACAAGAGCACTGGAAAGGTGCAGAAGATCACAATCACCAACGACAAGGGCCGTCTCACCAAGGACCAGATCGAGAAGATGGTTGCCGATGCCGAGAAGTACAAGGCTCAGGACGAGGCTCAGAAGGAGAAGGTCGAGGCCAAGAACAAGCTTGAAAACTACGCCTACCAGGTGCGTAACTCGATCCGTGACGAGAAGCTCGTCGCCAAGCTCAGCGAGGACGACAAGAAGTCCATCGAAGAGGCCGTCGAGGCTTCCATCAAGTGGCTGGACAGCAACCAGACCGCCGAGAAGGACGAGTTGGAGCACAAGCTCAAGGAGCTGGAGAACATCGTCAACCCAATCATGACCAAGATGTACCAGGGTGGTATGCCCGAGGGTGGTATGCCAGAGGGTGGAATGCCCGGTGGTTTCCCAGGTGGCCCACAGGGTGGCGCACCACCAAAGAAGAGCGGTTCCGTCGATGAGCTCGACTAAGCCAAAGGTCCCCTAAAGATAGTTAGTCCCAGGTAGAGCCATCAACTCAACAACGTTCAAAAGCAGATCAATCAAATCATCTGTTTCCTTATTCACTCAAACATAGTTATAATAAAACAAACCATGTATATATAATAATAATAGTACCTTTTATTACTTTCCAATACAAAAGTCTTTGAATATTACATCCAACAAGTCATCTACATTGACGTGATGACTGATTGATCCAATGGACTTGATTGCACTTCTCAATTCTTCTGATGCCAGTACAATGTCATCATCACAATGATCTAGTGTGCATGTTTGATTGTGTTAGAATGATAGATTCCAGTCAACATGGAAACACTTGGACCTACATAAATATCGATCAAGTGATTCAACACAGTTCGTCAAGTGTTCCTTGTGTCGCAGTCTTGTAAGTAGAGGTGCTTCCACATCCTTTATCTCAAACCTGAAGTGATTGATCAGAGTTAGTCGGGTAACAATTGACATGGTATGACATGATACTTACATTTCCCTCAGGGATATCTCGAGTTGTTTTAAAAGTTGATTGATTCCTTCTTGTTTGGAACATGATAGTTCAATACTGTTGATTGGTGGAATGGATATATGATCGTGAAGATGTGTGTTGGACTTAAAGTGTTGTTCAAGTTGTTGTATGATTGATTGTTTCGTTCGAGTCCATTGTGATGATGTTGATGATTGAATGAGGTCTGTTTTGTTGAATATAAACAATGTACCAGGGTCAACAAGTTGAAGTAGTAATGGGTCCAGTGCATCTGGTGTCTTCATCTCCATTAATGTATTGCAGTCCAGTACACACAGCTTGATGTCAGATCGATGTAGACGCTCTTTGGCCATCTCTACACCTTCTTGTTCGATAACATCCTGAGACACTCTGATGCCAGCCGTATCACCAATCACCACAGGGTATCCACCAACGTCCAACATGACCTCGATGATGTCTCGCGTTGTGCCAGGTATTGGTGATACGATTGATGCCTTGCGCCGGGCCAACAGATTGATCAATGAGCTCTTGCCCGCATTGGGCGGACCGATGATTGTGATGACGGCGCCGTCCCTCAATCGCTCGCCTCGCTTGCCATCATTCAAATGTTGTATGATCCTGTCTCTGAGGTTGATTATACGCCGACGTGATTGTTCAACGACCTCTGGATCAATCTCTGCGTCGTCTCCAAAGTCAATGAATGCCTCCATATAGGCCGAGGCACGAATGAGGTCCTCGCGCAGTTGAAGATAAAATCGTGAGATTGAACCTTGCATCTGTGATAGGGCTACCTTGCGTTGATGATGCGTCTGTGCCTCGAGCAGGTCGGCCAGACCCTCGACCTCTGTCAAGTCCATTTTGTCGTTGTCAAACGCTCGTTTGGTGAACTCGCCCGGCTCGGCCATGCGAGTGCCATCGCAAGCAGAGATCGCCTCGAGTGTGTCATGTATAACCGCTCGTCCACCATGTATATGCAGCTCAAGCACATCTTCGCCAGTGAAGCTGTTTGGTTTGGGGAACCATACGTACATGCCCTTATCAAGCTGTTCGCGTGTAGTTGGATGATATAATGATGTCAGAGTACACATTCGTGGAACAGGTTCATTCTTGTTCTTGCTCTTGTTGTTGATGTTGTTGTTTGAGTGATGTTGTGTAAGTGAACGCAACACATTCATTGATGATTGACCCGATACTCTAATGATAGCCACTCCACTCTTTCCTGAACCAGATGACAATGCATATATAGTATCATTGAGTGTTGCTGTTGGTGCAGTAATATTGTTGTTATTGACATGACCTTGACCATGAACTTTACCAAGACTTGTCGATGAGAAGGGTCTTGACCACATCAATGATGAATGATTAGATTGGATGATACCATGTTGTTGACCTTTAAAGTTGAAGGGTACCCTCAACACAGACCTCCAATGTATTCGTGGTGCGGCTGATTGAAGTCGATACATGATGTAGTGTTTACAACTTTGACTTGAACACAATCAATCCATCTGTTGATTTTTGGGAAGATCCCAACTAAAAGTAGTCTTTGTTCGTGGTGAACATTCACCCAAAATTACCTTACCATATCGAGCCTATTTTTTGATAATGGGTACTCCAACTAGAAGGCCACTGGTTGTTGAGCACAAGGTCCAAAGAATGTTGGGAAGTTTGAATTAGGGGTAGAGAGAGTACCTATCACCTCTGTCCTCCTCACTTGGTCAGAGCTCAATTTTCAACAACAACAACAGCTTATTATGGTAATTAAGATGATGGATAAAGTGTTGCTTTGTTGTTTGTTACAAACAAAGAGTCATCTTCATTCATACTTTCATTCATTAATTCATTCAATTCTAACTTGCTTGATAGAACAACAACTTTAGTCATCTTGTACTTGAATGAAGCGTCAGACAGACAGTTGAAATTGTAGAATAGTAGTTCAACTCGATCAATCAATCTTACAACTAAAATACCAGGCTCAACAAACATATCACACATTGAAATAGTCCTAGACAAAATCCATTCAACTTGAATATGATGATAAATTTGAATGACAGATGAAGGTCGAGTTACTCAACTACTTGTAAATAATAATAATAATAATAAGAATATCAGTTCAGAACACAGACAGTAGTAGTAGTTGTAATTCCCAAGAGGTAAAAAGGACTGGAAGTTACAAAATAGTGTAGACAGTCTCAGTCTTACCACTCCACATCACTCTACAGTATCCACCTCCCACAATACAAATAGATCAGGTCGCCATCACTTATATTATATTTAGTACCGATCTCTGGATCTATACATTTAGGTCATATTGGTCAAGATCTACCCACTCGACACAAACTCAAACATACACATTCACACACACAGTTATAATTATTATTCCAGTTCCAGCACTCTCAATCACTCCATCAATCAATCAATCAATCAATCAATGTATATAATCAATCATAAAAAGATAGATAGATAGATCCAAGGCTGATTGAAATTCAAACCCTCAAACCTACCTACCTACCCACCTACAGCTATCTTTGTATATAATGTAAGTTCATTTTGTGATCTGGTCATCTCAACTCAATTCATCACTCTTCTCTGCATTTGATTGGTCACATCATATTCGGCAGTCTGATCGATCACCATTCCACATTCACCCACAAGTGTGTGTTATGTCAATCAATCAATCAATCAATCAATTACACACCACATGACCACATCCACACACTGTGGACATGGAATCAATCAACAACACATATTACAATGACACAAGACGGAATACAAGACATGGTAAACCAGTTCATCAACCTTTCCCAGCACATCTGTTCTCAACTTCTTCAGAGCATCATGTGAGTGTGTCATACAAACTCAGAGCAGGTGTCCTCCCTATACTCAGCGTTACATTATCAAGTTGTGGAAAGCTCCACATTCTATTCATCCATTCATTCATTCACTCATTCACTCACATCATTCAACTACATCATTCATTTACAATACATTGTTCTACTCTAGTTTGAATTATCAATCATTCATCCATTATCATCATTGCATTAATTTAGATTTATTATTAATAATTAATTAATTATATTCCAATCATTTCCATATCCAATCATTTCCATTTTAGTCATTCAATCAAACAAACAAACAGAACTCAAAACTCAACGACAACAACAACAGACAGACAGAACAATTAACTATTGATGTAAGTCCACACGAACGAATCAATCAATCAACTATATGTGATTATTCCAGGGATTAATGAGATGAGAAATTCTTTGATTGAAACTCGTTTTCCGAGTTAACATGACATGTTGCATTTTTGTTGTCGATTTGTTCAACAGGAATTGTCCTGGTAACGACGACATGGCGAACTATTCATCCATCGATTCTTCCTTCCATCCATCAATCCATCAATCAATCCACACTCTCATTCAGTAGCAATAACACACTACGCCGACGTTTCATTCACGATCAACCTATCAACAACAACACCAATTACGGTCAACGCGAACCTATCGCCAACAAACACATTTCCAGCGGTTTGGACTGTGGATCGATCCACAGTGTGTGTTGGAAGTAGTGATGGGTGATCAGAGTTAATGGTGTGTGTGTGTGTCATTCATCAATTCATCGTGTTGTGTGTGTGTGTTAGTGATGATCAGTGTGGTGTGTGAGTTGGCTTGATTGTGTACGATGGCGACAAAGAGTGGAAGGTGGGTGTCGGCACCGACCAACCTACCACTACTCCTGGGAGTCAGTGTAACAAGGCAGCGCATGTAAACATTGGACAGCCTCCCCACTCCATTCCTCTCTCCTCTCCCTCTCCCCTCACTCCTCCACCTCAACCGACAACATCCCCAACATCCATGCCAATCATGTCCACCAGTCTGTCTGTCTGGATTGATGGATGAATGGCAGTTGTTGGTGTCGTTGTTGCCAACCAACTTCCATCACATCTTGAAGAATAACTGAATTGAATTGAATTGACTAACTTATCAAGTCCTCGTTCCAACAACAACGACCAACAGATTAATCAATCATTCATTCATACGATCAATCAATCAATCAAACAAACTATCCATCAAACAAACAATCAATCAAACAAAGAATATTAGTCCAAAGGCCAGACCGAACAACTGTGCGAACGATCGAACGAATAGACGAACAAGAAAAGAAAAGATGGTCATCAAACAGGAGGAGAGTGTAGTGACCAACGGCTGGAAATTGGTTCCAACACAGGCTGCTTCGCCAGCGGACAAGGACGGACATCGTCCAATGGAGATCGACCAGCAGGTCACATTCAACATGGGATGCCTGCCCATCGAGCGACATGGTCACACGACATGCCTATACAAGAATATCCTGATACTGTTTGGCGGTACGCCCGACGGATCGTCCGGCCTCAACGACCTGTTCTTCCTCTACCTCGACTCGCTGCAATGGGTCGAGGTCAAGACCAAGGGTTTCGCCCCCATGGGTCGCTACCGCCACAGCGCCATCATCATCGAGGATAAGATGTACGTGTTTGGCGGCTATAGGTCAAAGTGTCTGAACGATCTCCACGTGTTGGACCTCAAGACGATGACGTGGTCCGAGCCACAACAGAAGGGCGACCCACCCTCAGCGCGCTCTTCACATTCAGTCTGCATGGTTGGCAAGCGTATGATACTGTTTGGTGGCAGTGGCGCACGCTACTCCAACGAGCTGTTCTCACTTGACACAATTACAATGCGCTGGCGCAAGCATGACATCCTGGGCACGCCACCCAGTGAGCGATGGTGTCACACCATGTGTAGCTTTGGCAAGAAGATCTTTGTCTTTGGCGGATCCAACGACAAGAGAAAGGATAACAAAGTATATATATTAGATACAGGTATGTATATCTCCAGATGTCATGTAGATTGATTGATTTTGATTGACTAACTTTTGTTACCATTATACACAGACACATTGGAATGGTCACAACCACCAACATCAGGAGTCTGTCCCAGCCCAAGACAACTACATACAGCTGTATCAATTGGAGAGAGTATGATAGTCTTTGGAGGATGGGGAAAGCATCAAGAACTTAATGATTTATATATATTGAATACTAGTATGTATTGCCACTTGTGTTGCCATGTGTTTCCACCTGTTGCCAGGTGTTACCACTCATCGGAAACTAACATCCAATCCCACTTCAATAGGAACAATGAGATGGGAATCACCAAAGATAGAGTCTAATGTTACACCTTGCTGTAGACAGTTGCATAGCGCATGGGTATACAATGGCAAGATGTATATATTGGGCGGATACTCAAAGAGCAAGCGAATGATCGATCTACATAGCTTTGCCCCGGAGCAGACAGTCTCAAGTCTGCGGGATCTCTGTGTGGAGAAGGTGATTGAGGACATTGGTCGCTACTCCGAGCTGCTACGCTATCTGCCCGAGGAGCTACTCTACGCCATCTACCTGCGTCTGGTTCAGTCTGGCAAGCAGATACCTACTCAATTGGAAAAGATGATCAAGGAATCTGATTGGGCCGAGTACGCACTAATGAATGCTACGACCAATAACCTCGGCACAATAGAAGAGACGTTCCAATATAATTAACATTAATAATATATACATTATATATAACATTAATATACCTTTGATTCGATCCATCTCTGACTTGAGTCTTTGGAAGAGACCTTCCCGTCCCATAAATATACTAGATGAGTTGAGATCGTTGGACAATCTCGAGAATTGCAATTCTTCGAAATGATGTTCAATGTCGACAACTTCACAATTACAGACAGGCATGTCATTTACACTTTTTACCTTAAACTAATATATATTATAACAATGAATACCATACCATCGAAGCTCTCAAAGATAACAGTGCTCTGCATTGAAGGCTGTCATGGTATGTTCAAGTTTCCAGGAGATTGCTCGTATCTTGAGATAATAACTCATGAATGACATCATACATGTGCAATCAATCAATGAATGGTAAGGCTCTGGAAAGACAGAGTTGTGTAACTTCCTTTCGAAACAGATGAAAGGCATTCATGTGTTGGACGAAGGATTCCTGAGCATGCCAAGCTTCTCACATATACCTCCTCAGTCATTGACGATGGAGTCGATCTGGGTATCAAACTGGTTCTCTCGTTTGTTAACAGTTCGTAATCAAAGATTGGAACAACTACAACAACAACATCAACAACAACAAGTTGAAGATATTATTTATGTTGCAGATCGTTCACCTTACTCTGCCGTACTTTATACAAGAGATCATGGACATCATTTGGAACCAATGATACAAGTTCAGATTGAAGAACTGCGTAAACATGCCAACATTGACATCAGGACGGTGTATCTGCGAGTTGACAAGGATTGCCTGTGGCGACGTATACAACAACGTCTGATCGTCGAGCCTGAACGTCGTCGCTTTGGTGAAGACGATCCATTGTGGCTCAACAACACTCTAAACTTCTACGAGTCTCGTCAATGGGACTTCACCTTAGAAAACGACGAGGAACAAAGCTTCGTAAAACGCGCCACACACATATTTGACGCGTTTCAACTTCAACATTCGCAAATACTCAAACAATCGGCCGCTGCTGCTAAGTAATCTATTGGCACGCGAACGAGCAGTATTGATAGCACAACACAACTTCAATCAATGATTGAATGAGCGAACAAAGGCAGTGAGGACATTGATGAGGTGTACACCATCTCACCCAAACTTTAAATATATTAATTAATTATTCATTATGGGGCGAGTTTAAAAATAATAATTCAAAAATAATTAAATAAACAAACATAAAAGGGATGGAAGTGGCGCCAAGTTCATTCATTCTTCTTCTTTCCGTTATTGTTTGACTTTTTTTCAAAAGTTTAAGGTAACTCACACACACAAAGAAGTTCAATTCATACTTCCACAAACCACACTCGCACGAACAACATTCCCTCTCAACACTCTCCTCCTCGCCACCCATAATTCATTTCATTTTTTTAATTAGTTAGTTACATACTTACTTATACATACACATAAATAAACACACACATAATACATACATACACACATATATATTCATACACACAGGCTACGTGGACGTCGCACTTCCTTCAAATACAGCCCACCCCCATCCCATTCATTCAATTCATTCAGTTCATTCAATCAACTAATCAATCAATCAAACAAATACATAATATATTAGTTTTATTAATATTATTATAATTATATGTATATATATATATATTGATTATGACTTTTATTTAATAGATTGGAATACAGCATCAACAACAACATCAATAGCAGCGCCACGCCAAAGCTTTGACGTTCTATCATTAGTATTTTTCAACAACATAACATATTGCTGTTGTGTTGGCGATCATCGATAGAGTTTGACAAGTTAGTAGATGAATATGTCAGATCACGAAGACAAAGAAATGGGAGGAACTTCATTACTTCCATCAGATCAACAGCAACAGCAACAGCAACAAGATAATGATACTCAGATGAGTGAGAAAAAGGTCGAGCTGCCACTGCAGCAGCAGAAGCAGGAACAGGCAGTTCAGGAACAGATGCAAGAACAAGAACAAGAACAGGAGAAGGAACAAATGCAGGAAAAGGATAAAAACGATCAACCTAGTATTGATCAAGAGATGGATACAACAGAGGAGACTACAGCCGGTGGTGAACACACGATTGAGGAGACTGCAACCCAGAATGTACAGTCTGTCACGTCTGACCAGAGCGCACCAACTCCATCATCGTCGAACGACGACGAGGTTCGAACCGATGGTGGTGGAAGCGAGCACAATGAGGACGAAGACGAAACAAAGTCTGGATCATCCAGCAAGAAGGGAGGAAGAAGCGTATGTTTCAACTTTATATTCAACTGATTGAATGTGATTGTTAGCTAACACGCTCTTTTTAGAGCCTCATAAAGATTACAACAACAAAAAAGACAGCAGCGCAAAGCAAGAACGAGGTGTTGCTGACGCCAACTCAGGCCAAGGAGCTCTCAAAGAACAAGCGATGGGTCTATGTCCCAGTAACAGAGGCCAAGGTTGAGGAGGCACCTCTTCCGGCAAAGCGCGAGAGGAAGCAGGTGCACATGGAACGACTATATCACAGGACCAGTGCAGCGAGGAAAGAAGGGCGAGCATCCTGTTCCAACCTCCCCTCCCCCAGAGAAGGAGGAGGTAGCAAAGCCCCCGGCGAGGACCAGGAAGTCCCTCAACAGCAGCAGCAGCACAAGCAGCATCACCACCACCACAACAACCGCCGCCACCAAGAGGATCACCAGATCATCGTCGAAACCAAACGTCAGTCATGATCATGAGGAGAAGACAGAAACACCAGAGAAGCTGGGCAGCGAGACAAACGTTGCCAAGCTTCGCGAGACCATCGCCGGACTGCAGAGCAAGATCAAGCATCTCGAGAGCTCGCCTCCCAAGCCAGGCTCACTCATGACATCACCACCGAGCAGTGGCCCAAGCTCCTCGCTCTTGTCACCTCCTACGCGAAAGTTCTCCAATCTCTATTCGGACGACGAGGACGAGATGGACGTCGACACCACGACCACAACAACAGCTACGACAACAGCGATGACACCATTGGTCACACCAAAGAAGACGACCAGCGACAATCTCTCTGACGCTGAGGAGGCCACATCTTCCTCTGCCACAAAGCCAGTGACAAAGACGCGAAAGAGAAAGCCGACGGCGTCTGCTACCCCACCAGTGCAATCGCGAGCACCACAGATCAAGAAGTCGCGTTCGTCGACGTCACTGCCCAACACACCACTCAGCAAGCCTGTGCCAGTCACATTCACAGGCCCGGGCGGAGCAGAGCGAGCACAGAGAAGCACAAAGGGACGACGCAGCAGAGGAGGCATCGACATTGCCCTGGAGGGACCGATGAAGCGATGCTTGGAGCTGCTCGACGTGCTGATGAGCCATCAATACTCCCCGCCCTTCTTGGCGCCCGTCGACCCCATTGCCCTCAAAATTCTCGACTACTTCACTGTTGTCAAGCACCCAATGGACTTTGGCACGATTCGACAGACATTGACTGCGGGCGACTACAACTCCTCGGACGAGTTTGCTGCGGACTGTCGCCTGGTGTTCTCCAACGCCATGCTCTACAACCCGCCAGCAAACCAGGTGCACGTGATGGCCAAGGAGCTGGGGGACATCTTTGAGAAGAGGTTCATGAAGGCCATGAACGACCCACCCTCGCCAGAGCTCAAGAGAGGCGAGTACACAGCAGAGAGCGATAAGATAAAGCAGCTGACTATGGAGGTGAAGAGCATGAGCAAGGAGATGGAGAAGATGAAGAGGGAGAGCTCGCGCGGATCGATTCGGTCGAGCAGGAATCACATCGAGGAGCCCAAGCCAATGACGTTGGAGGAGAAGACACAGCTTGGCGTGGCCATCAATCTGCTCCCACCCAAGAAGCTGCTCAAGCTGATCCAGATCATCAGCCACACACTCAATCAGAACTCGGCACAGGAGGAGATTGAGATCGACTTGGAGAAGCTCGACACTGAGACGCTGCGAAAGCTCGAGTCGTTTGTCGTGTCCTGCTTCCCCGCCGGACAGTACCACATCCTCACACAGCATTCGCAGCCGCTCCAATCACCGCCACTCTCGTCCTCAGGCAACTACCAGACACAGCGCGAGATCGAGAGCGTCACCAGGGAGATCAACAAGCTCAACCGTGGCCTTTCAAACTCCAAGAAGAGGCACAACATCTCCAAGCCCATCTCCAAGTCGCGTGGTCGCAAGCTCGTGTCGATGAAGCGAGAGGAGGACGTCGTCGTCGACGACATGGTGGAGATTAATCATCCGCCCGTGACCATTGAGAAGGACCAGGTCGAGGTTGTTGACGAGGGCACCAGTGGATCTGACTCATCCGACTCAGAGTCAGGCTCCTCGGACTCTGACAGCAGCAGCTACTCATCAGAATATAGTGACAGCGAGACTGATCAATCAAATCATAGACACAACAACAACAACAACAGCAGTGGCAACAACAGTAGTAGTTTAAGATCACAACAATCATCATCATCATCATTAGATAAATCAACATCAACAGCAGGCACTGGCATCAGCTCTACTGTTCCAACACCCAACATCATACAGCCAGCCATCAAGAAGTCCATTGGTGTACCGAATACAGTGGCGGCATGGAGCTTTGACAGTGGTGGATCATCATCATCATCATTATCATCATCGTCAACAACAACACCATCACCATCATCTGCATCATCATCATCAGCTTCATTGTCCACAACAACATTGACAGCAATCTCATCATCATCTTCTTCAATTCATACATCGACGTCGACAACAACAACATCCACATCATCTACATCATCATCATCAACATCATCAACTAAAGAGACCACTGCACTGCCACCAGTTGCCTCCAATGCATCACCTACACACGCCCAACCCCTTTCACCCAACTCACCTAGCCTCCCAACGCTGCCCTCACCATCGCACGGCTCTGGATCACCAGTGCACCAATCAAACAACAACAACAACGCAACAGGTGCCGATTCTACATGGAATCACTTCAAGGCCAAGAACCTCACTCTTATACAGAAGGAGAGGGAGCGTATCGAGCAAGAGGAGCAGATCAAGCGAGAGAAGGAGGAGCGCGAAGAAGAGGCCCGACGCGAGGAGGAGCGCAAGAAGCAAGAGGTGATCGAGGCTCAGAAGCGACAGAAGCAGAAGGAGCTGGACGAGGAGGAGGAAGCCAAAAAGCAAATCGAAGCATCAAGAGCTGCTGCTAGAGAGGCAAGAGAAAAGGTAAGGCTTTGCAGACATGTCTGACTGTTGTGTAAAAGACACTAACCAACCAATCAACATTACTAGGCTTCACAGAACGGCAAGTCAAACATGTCGTTCCAGCAACAGATGGAGATGATGGCCTCGTTTGAGAATGGCTTTAGCAACAATGAATCGACTGTAGAGATGTCGCTCAATCTTCAGTTCAAGCAGGTTGAGGACAACTACGACTCTTCTGCTGCAGCTGCTGGAGCCATCAAGGAGTAACCCAACAGCACCGACAATATCAACAATAACAACAACAATCAAACAAGCAATATAAGCAACAACAAGCAATAAGCAACAGTCCAATCACTCCTCACAGCGATAGCCATATCCATCCGTCCGTCCAGTAAAGATAAACTTGCACTTCGTAGTGTCAGAAGTCCATTACCGATCAATCCATTCATATTTGATCATCTTACGCGTCTATTCCATTTCAATCAATCAATCTAATCCATCCACTTCCATCCATCTATATCCTTTCAATTAAGTTCATATAAAGTGTTTACCTAACCTTGCCTTTACCCTATTCTCTCTTATTATTACAATGTTGTTGTTTCCATGTGTCTCCTGATTGCTTCCAATGATTGAGTGAACCTGGTATTAAGATCACCATGAATATGAGTATAGCTGATCGATCGTCGGGAGAGATGCTCTATCAATCTTGTTTGGAACAAAGACCGTTCCTTCTCTTCTGGTATCACTCTGAGTTGCTTGTCATCGACCCACTCCACTCCATGGCAGTCCAACAATATGTACAGATCATAATATGATTGACTAATAAAAGTGTCCAATGATTCATCATGTGATCCAATCAGAGTATCACTCCATAATAATGTCATTAAAGGACATGTATCGCATATTAGAACTGAACCAGTCCTTGGATCATCCATATACTTCTTCTCCAACTCCAATTGACCCCTTGCCACCTGTATAAAGTCATCGTTACCTAAGAAAGATCGGTAATGGTGGCGGCAACACCTATGTTAGAACCCATCCATCGGGCCATCAATGAATGAACGAATGAATGATACACACAGAAGGGCTTTGTATCTAGGTCTCTGGCTTGGAAGTACTCTCTAGCATACTCCTCTACGAATGTCGTGTTGAGATGTTGTGCTAGCCTGCTTGCGACTGTAGTCTTAAACACAGATTCGCCTCCAATCAAGCAGACCTTGATCTTTGTAACGTGCTCTCTATTGTGTCTGCATTCTCCTCCCTCCTCTATTGTGTCTGTGCCTTGCTCTGCTGCTGTCTGACTGCTTGGTTTGAGGTTGTGGTGCCGCAGCTGACCTGACTGTTGATGCTCGTTATCTTTCATAATGATCTGTTGTTTGTTGAACAATAAATAAAGTGATAAAGGCTTTCATACCACGCACGTCTGATCATTCCAAGTTGAGTTGGGTTCATCCATGACCCTTACATCCTGATCACAATCTTGTACAAACACATTCCCTTCATTCATTCATTCGTTGTACATCCACATGGATGGATGGACCGATTGTGAGTGTGACCAGGGGAAAGGTACTGGTGCACATTGGGGCCCAAAATAGACAAAGCGATGTTTCAGTTGAAGTTCGAACTATGTTATTATTATTTCTTCATTCATCTCATACAAGTGTCCTAATATGTGATGTTGTTGCTGCTGCTGCTGCTGTTGGTTGTTGCCTCTACTATCCCTACAGTGTCATCGGAAAGAAGACTCATTCATCACAAGAACCATTATATCTCCTTTTGTTGTTAGTTATACAACAGCAATGAAGCGTACGCTTCACCTTTAACAACCCCTTCCCGCCTTTAGGCATTCCACAGTAAGTAAATATATATCCACCTATTCGTTCCCATACTCTCCTCCTTATTCTCCATACTCTCTTCCCTGTATTATTATTATCATAATGACTGTCAAAGTATTTACTAAAAGTGTAAATTGTCCTCTCTCTTTGTTGTCCGACTGACTGACTGACTGCTGACTCTCACACAACTGGCAGTCATGTCATTGTAATATAACAATGGAGAATGGTTGTTGTGTTGTGTTGCTTTTGCGTGATGTGGATCGATGATGGAAGTATGTGTGTGTGTATGTGTGACTGTCATTCATTGTGTGTTTCCTTGTCGTGCCGTGTTTGCAGTAAGATGTAGTGCGTGTGTTCGTCGTGAACCGACCCTGTTGGCGTGTTGGCATGCTGGCTGGCGTCAGGAGAGAGTCGTTGTAAGTCATTGTGTTTGTATGAATGAATGAATGAATTCAGTCAGAATGAATATCATGTCCACATGTTAACATGTATGAGTGTGTATCAATGTGTATGTGTATAAGTGTGTATGTATATGTTATGGTTTAATGTGATAACATAATGACTAGTGTCTTCTATGCTTCATTAGTTTCATGACCTAATTTCAAAAAGGTATAGTAGATAGATACATAACTTGTTTGCAAAGATATATATAGCAATCAATCACAGTTCACTACAACTACAATAGTAAGTGAATCAATCAATCAATCAATCAATCATAATCAATCAATGACATCAACAACATAAGATATTATCTTTTATTGTGTACATGTATATGCCCCATGTTTGGGGCGACTGCGTGTAATGTCCAGCATCCCGATGCCACCCATTCATCCAAAAAGGACTTCCCACCTAGGTGCACCATTATGGGGATGCAAGCGACCGAAACCCATCAATCGATCTATTTTAAACTTTGCACTCGCCTCTACACCCTCCCAAAGCAGACGGAGGTAAGGTAAAGGAGGGAGAAGGATATTTTGTCATGTGACCTGACCATGGTGATACCCGCCATCATCATACACCCCTTCTGTCATGTCAATGGTCTTAGCTTTGCTTTGCTTCGTTTGATGTTGTTGTAGTTGTTGATTTTTTTAAGCACATCAACTCCTTTCGCTCATTCATCATGCTCCACACCTCCATCTACACCAACAACAAACCTCCTATCTTACGTCGAATCGCATCGCATCACTCTAACTAACAATCCCATCTCATTATTCCCTCCCTCTCTACACTTTGCTGCAAACATCTAGAGTTCATCATCAAAAGACATACTTATACACTCAATCAATCAAACATATAATATATATATACATATTCTTTATATAACATATATTATAACAACTACAACAACATAGAAAGATAAGATGGACGGTTATGAAAAGTTACAATCATGTGCAAAGAGAGCTGTTGTAAGCAGATCTGTTACGTACCAAGATTATCCATGTAAGGGAGTGGCATTCTCTGATCTGTCACCATTGTTCCTGTCGATAGAGGATATGGACGCCCTGCTGAACTACTGGCAATATAGATTCCAAGACGTCAATCTGGTCGTTGGCCTGGAAGCCCGTGGCTTCATCCTCGGCACGGCCATGTCACAGCGTCTCAAGCTGCCCTTTGTCATGCTGAGAAAGAAGGGCAAGCTGCCGGGCGAGACCCTTTCAGAGTCCTTCACCAAGGAGTACGGCAAGGACGAGTTTGAGGTGCAGAAGGACATCCTGTCGCATCTGCCCCAGCATCTGAGACCTTCCGCCAGCCACTGCTTCCACGTGCTGATCATGGACGATGTCCTGGCCACCGGTGGCACGCTGTGTGCTTCGATCGAGCTGGTCAGAAAGCTGCTGCATCACAACAACATCACCAACTTCAAGATCTCCACATCCATCATCTCTGCTATCAAGTGTTTAAAGGGCAAGCAGAATATCTATGAAAAGTACAACGATGTCTCCATAGATGTCATCAATGACGTGTAATGAGCTCCATCCCAGGTCGTCGTCGTCGTCTTCATCAACTTGTTCATTATATGCCATCCACAACCTAGCCAGCCAGCCATCAAGCCAGCCAGCCAATCTACCTACTTTACCACCTACATATCTAATGGCGAGTCCACCAAGTTGATCCATTTGCCGACAATAAACAATCAAACCTGTTGTAGAATGTCCAGACATGTGGTAGTCTTGACGCCAATCAAATGTCGTGTACCTGTCGTGTGTATCCTAATGATTGACTGTGATCATCACCTTTCCTTGTTCTACAATGTATCCTGTTGCTGCAACTTTATTGTCTAATCGAGTAGGCAATCATACTGCAGTCATCTGACACTGACAACAACTTGGTGCTGTCTGGTGACCATGCCACTCCCCAGACCTACATGTTTGTGTGTTCGCGTGTTTGTTAGTCCAATCAATCAATCAATCAATCAAACGTTGCTGCTGGATAACATACCTGATCAGCATGCTCATTGAATGTATGATCGCACTTCTTGGTGACGACATCCCATATCTTGACGGTACGATCGCTTGAGGATGATGCTAACTTGGTGCCATCCTTTGAGGCGCGTACACAGAGCACCCAGCTAGAGTGTCCCTGGAGTGAGCCGATCAGACCAGGGGACAGTGGATCGTACATATTGATCTTGCTGTCGTCAGAGCCAGAGAACAGAGTGGAGGAGTTTGGCGAGAAGCAAAGTGTCCTCACTGGCATGCTGTGATGTTGGAAGCGAGTGATCTGCTTGCAAGTGTCCACCTCGTAGACAGTGACCGATCCGTCGGCACCACCCACGGCGATCAACTTTCCATTGGGCGCAAAGGCGACGCTCATCAGAGCCTTATCGTTTGCCGCCTGTATAGCTTTCTTCTCGCCAGTCTCTGCTTGCAACAGGTTGATGGCACCCGATTGCGATGCGCTGACAATCTGTTCACCGTTTGGGCTGAATGCCAACATCCAAGTGCCAACTAAGGATGCACAAGTCAGTCAATTGTCGTCCAATCCACAAGTATCGCGCTGCACTTACAAGCACCAAAGTCGACGTCCTTGTGTAAGGTGTTGTCGGTCAAGTTCCAAACTCTAACATGTGAGTCCAATCCATTTGCAGCCAAGTCTGATGATATGAGTGTGATTGATTGAGTGTATGAATGAGTAATCTTGTGATTGATACGCTCGAACATGTCATCAATCAGCCAGTCAGTCAATCAATGTGACTCACATTTACAACCGAGATTGATGTCAATCGATGAAACACCAAGTATATTCTTATCCAATGACTTCTTCTCTGTCAGGAATGTTGCTGGTGCTGTGTTCCTGGATAGATCAGTCAGTATATAGATGTATGAACATTGCTCCACATCATATATATATACCTACCAGAGCTTAACCTTTGAACTCATACCAGCAGTAGCAATGAGCTCACCACTCCAAGACACTGACCAAATAGCATCTTCATGAGCATTAGATATCTTCTTTGAGATTTCAAACATCCTGTGTAAGTATATATATGTATATGTAATAATATCAATCAAATCTGATTTATGATAATGATCATAATCACATTGAACTTGAATCATTCTAAAAATACAAGATTATCATGAACTTCCAGACTTTCCCACCATTTGGAACTTCGAAGTTGTTATCTTCACGTCATTTTGAGGTGTTAATGTTGCTCAACAGTTTGTTTTGTGGGGTTACATACTTAAAACCCAAAGTTTTGGAGCGCCCAGTGTTGTCCGTCTCTCTCACAAAACAAATCTGGGAAGTAATAAGAGAGGAGACGCATCTATTTACTCTCCACACACTGAGTCATTTCATTTCTTTCATCCAAAGTTATCTCTCTCTTTGACTTGTGGTCGATTCAAACAAACAATCACACAAAACACTCATTGTTATTTATTAAATTGCTTAAGCAAACACACACAAAGATAATAATAAAACATTCATTATTATTATTATTTATATACTTATTTATAACTTGTCGTTCTAATTACCAACATATAATAATATATATATATTACGAACGACAACAACCAAAACTACATATATTTATTAATATTATCTTACACACTTTATGCACTTTATGGTCATTACAACAACAAATATATTATACTGTTATAGTTCAAGTAACAAATACAAGTAGATACAACAAGTTAGTTAGTATCAATCAACGAATCAAATCAATCAATCAATCAATCAATCATTCAATCAATCAATCAAACAAACAAAACAAACAATGTTAAACTTCTCATCAGACTTGATCAATATGATCGGAACCAATGAGATTGAATCATTCAATAAGACATTGAATGAGATGTTGGTCGTCTGGAATAATGGAGACAATACGTCACCATCGTCAGGATCATCGTCAACCTCATCTTCACATACACTCACTCAGTCCCAGCTGGATATGAACATCAACAGCATCATTAGCGGGGGGTCGGCCACGACCAACAACTCCAATGCCTTCCTCTCGATGCCTCTGCAGATGCCTCAACTGTCCAACTCCAACTCCAAGGTCAACCAGCGCGACTTCCTCACCTCCTCGCAGCAGCTCGACTCCTTCCTCTTTGAGAACAACAACCAGGGACTCTTTTCGCAGTCCACCGACAGCAACGGCAAGTTGTCGGCCAATGACGAGGTGACCAAGGTAATCCGCGAGATTAGTCGCGACAACAAGGAGTTCCAGCCCATCGAGATCATCCCTATCAAGTCGCTTAATAAAGCAACCGATCAAACAAATGTAGCAACGGGCGGCGAATATACATACGAACCAAGTCCTGTCAAGCCCTTTGGAGACTTTAGCCAGATCAATCTGTCGCCATTCGCCATCGACCCGTCGAAGCTCGAAGAACTGCGATCAAACACATCGGTCCTAGACCCCTTGTTCTCGTTGCCCTACAACACGTCAAACCCATCCTATATACCAACAATAAGCACACCAACTGCTCTAATCAACAGTATTGCTGGCGGAGGCAGCGGCGGTGTAAACACAATCAACAATATCAGCTACAGTGGCAACAATGCCATTGTCAAGCCAACAAACACAAGTGGAAGCAGCATTATCAACCTCACAAAGCAAGAGACAAACAACGGTCCAATCAGACACGTGCCTTTGGAGCAGTACAAGGACAAGGACGCATCCCTACCCAAATCAATGGAGACTGACAAGTCTGGCGCCAATCAGGGTCCTCACGACAAGAAGGATGTGAAGCGTCAGAAGCGTTTGATGAAGAATCGCGAGTCTGCACATCTCTCTCGCCAGCGCAAGAGAGAGCGTCTTACCGAGCTGGAACACAGAGTTGAGGAGCTCACTCACAACTCATCGTCACTTACCAAGGCCCTCTCAGGTCTTGAGAGCGAGAACCTCGTGCTCAAGGCCGAGGTGGACCAACTGGTCGATGTCATCAAGGATTCACCTGTGCTCTCTGCACTATTCTTCTCATTGGTCAAGAATGACAAGACAGCCATGGTCTATTGAGTTGTCAACCAACAGTCATTCATTCTTTCATTCTTTCATTCATTCAATCATTCACAACACACTCCTAATAGATATGTGTTCCTTTTCAATCCAACCTGGTCTCCTCTCCTCCATCCCTACCTGGATACGCCGCCTTGACTATCTTGCCAAGCGCTATTCATTGCTCAACCATATTGTAAATATATAATAATAAATGAAATGGTACTTATAACAACATCAATCAATCAACCAATGAATGAATGGTAGCAGTAGTGGTAGTAATGGTAGTAGTAATGTTATTGATTGAAAGATGTGATGAAATCTCTACGTCAACTCAACCTGGACATGAACAGCTCATTTGTTGATGAGTTCTTTTTTGGCTGGTAGCCAGCAAATACAAACATCCTGTTGGCGTGCACTAGAACCGAGTTCTGTCCAAGCCCCAGGTTCACCTGGTTAATGTTGTGCATCATCTTCTTCCAGTGAAAGGACTCAATGTTGAACTCGTATATCTCGTGGAAGTAGTTCTTTCGGTCCCATCCTCCAATCATGTAGAACTTGTTCTCGAACTGTACCATTGAAGCTCTTGACCTGCCCTTTGGTATTTCTCCATCGCAGGTTACTGTAGTCCACTTCTCTTTCTCTGAAGGTAGGGTAAGATAAGAAAATCATTAGATATGGTATCAAAGGCTGGATCAGGATATGACTTACTGAAGCAGAACTTGTGAATGGTGTTGAAGGTCTCTGGAGCATAAGCAGTATCAAATCCACCGAATAGATACTGCGCCTTGTTGTAAAGGACACAACAATGAGCTCTCCGTTTCAGAGGAGGATTACTATTGAGCATCTTCCTCCATTGGAATGTTTCTGGATATGGCGTTAGTATATTATGATTAATCAATCAATTGATCATTGTTGGGTATAACATACTTAGGTTAAGTTTGTAGGTATCATTGTTTGATTCCTTTCCATCCCATCCTCCAAATATATACATATGATCGTTGTAGCATATTGCCGAGTGTGCTGATCGAGGATTGGGAACGTCGCCAGTCGTTGGTTGATGGACCATCTTGTTGGTCTCAAAGCTATAAATATAAGTGTTGTTGGAGTACATTGGGTCTGCCCCAGTGCTTCCTCCAAACATAATAATCTGTCTATTCCACACGATCGCACTATGCTCGGTCAAGTTAGGTTGTTCTCCAGAGTAGAATATCTCTGTCCAATTGTTCTCTTTGGTGTTAACATAGTAAGTATAGATGTATAATGGATGGATGGAAGGATTGATGGAGGGAGTTGGACATACTCTTTATGTCGTAGCACCAAAAGTCATTCTTTACATCACCAATGACAGTTGTATGTTGGTTCTTTAGTCCACTGTCTCCACCATATACATATATTGCATTATTGTATACTACTGATGATGGACATAATCTAACTGATGGCTTCTTTGTAATAATGGATATTAATCTCTTTGTCTTGATTCGCAGGAATTTACCCTTCCAAAGGGATATATCATTGCATATCGTATTAAAGTCCCTGCAAACCAGTCTACACTGTAATAGATCTGATGATGATAATGTCTGTGCAATGTTCATAATGATCTCCCATGGCAAGTTGAGGATATTCATCTTGTGATGATGAGGATAATATTAATATTTCAAGTTGTAGTTTGAGTTTGAAAGTTTGAGTTGGAGTTGCATGGAACATACTCTTGAGTTTGAAGAATGTTTATCTTGATCATTGTCATTTCTTCTTGTGACACCTCCATTCTCTAATGAGAACTCTGTCTGCTTAATATAATATGATAGACTCTGTATGAATGACTTGAAAGACTGTTTCATTGGATTATTATTAATCAGTAGATGGTTATCCATGTTAATAAATGTCAGTCAGACTGAAAGTCTAATAGGAGTATATATATTATATTTAATCGATTGATTGATTGATTGATCAAGACACTACTGATGGTTGGAAAGATGGGGAGTGATTGCCAACATACCATTTGGAATGATTCATAAGCAAATATATACCTTGGAGGTAATATTGCACTGCTGGAGATCGCACTGATTGATACAGTATGTTTAATCAGATGGAGTGGGTAGAGTAACCAGCTACACCAGTATACCCTTTAGTATTATGTGTATATGTGTGTGTGTATATCTTTGATCTTGTCTGTCTCTGTCTGTCTCTGTCCACTTGTGATTCTTTCCGTAAGTCTGGCAGAGTCAAGTGTGTGTATGTATCTCTATGTTTATGTGTATATGTGTATGTGTATGTGTATGTGTATATTTGTATAAGTATGTCCTGTCAACTAAGGGAGTATGAGCATAAGCTTAAGCATACCGAGAGAGCAGTAAGCAGAACTTAACAACAGGCACATCCACTTTGCTACTGAGTGAGCATGGCTGGCTGGCTTGGTATTGTCCAGTTACAACTAAAAGGAGAGACGACGTGCCCTTACACCTCCATCATCAACTCAAGTTCTCACATTGCCGAGTAAGAAGATGAAGTATGTGTGTGTGTGTGACATTGGATGATTAGATGTCAGCCAACCACTTTATTTAGGGGATACAGATTCACGACGACACTAAAATGGAAGTGTTGTGTTCTTCTCCCCTATCCTCTCTAATGCTTGGTGTATAAGTGTGAATGAACATGTATGAATAAGTGTGTGTGTGTGTGTGAATGAAGAACAAACAAGTTGTCATCAACAACTAAAGTTCTCATTATTATCATTTGTTGTTGTTATTTGTCGAAGGGTGAACAAATATACGTATATCTATACATAATATATCATTATATTACACATAATAATATTTACTACGCATGGTAACAAGACTTGTATTGTAATAATATACAATGGATATTGGGCTTGACCCTCCAAATGCGCAGAACGACAACAACGATAGACATATTCGTCTAAGAGAGTTGTTTGGATTGGAGTTTAGAAATGCATCTAGTCTGACGTTTGAATCATACGTCATTTCTTATAATGGAGTGTTGACAATGGCTTTCAAGTCATGGACTCCATCATTGTCCAGATTGAAGCGGACGATCAATCAATCTGCTGAGTCCTTGGCCATGGCAAACCATGGAGAGAACATGGGCACAAAATGGCCAAAGATAACACTGGCCTGCCTCAAAGACAACCTTCATCTAAGTCGTAGTCAGTTTGAAGAGCTTCATGTACTGTGTCGTCAGATTACAAACTCCCATCTGTCCAACAACCATGTTCGATCAAGTCCAGACAGTGCCGAAAGTCTGTTTACCAATGAGGAATGCTTTTCAGAGGTGCCAAGGATAACAATCGACAGATTATCTTTGGTTGACTTTAACAACCGAGCTTTAATCGGTCCGCATCGATCCATTGTTCATATCCATCCGATAGATACTTCAATAGTGGACTCGGACCACGATGAAGACAATGTTCAGTTCGTTCGAACTGTCATCAACGAAACACTACATTCCACAACCAGCTCCAGCAGCAGCGGAGTTATTGACGAACTAGTTGTAAACAATAGAACCGACTACTATTCAAAGGTGACCAACCATTCACAAGGGAATGCCAATCATTCCAACCATTATCTCGAACAACTTACCAGTGACAAGTTCGAAAGTACATTGGTACACTTTGTTTGCCAATCCCACGACGGAGATGTTGACAAACAACATCAGCAGCAACAACAACAACAAGAACAGTTGATGCGCAATCGACATATCAGCTCAATGATCGAACATCTAAGGGAGACTATCGAGAGTAATCCAAACCTGACGGGCATCTACGATTGGATGCCATTGCACTCTGTGCATATATCTGTTCGAGCAATAAAGTACGCCAGTACCGACTGACTGTGAGCCGATCAATGTCAGGATGATACAATGATAATCGTTTAATCTCTGCTTTCGCTATATAAGTTATGAACACTTTGACTACTACTTCTACTTGGTTTCGCTTGCTGTATCCTTTTTCTCTTTCCTGTAGGTAGGTAGGTAGGTAGGTGTTAGAAGACTTAGCATGTCTTGTGATCAAGACTGATAAAACATACTTGTCTTGTGGGAAGAGGGCATCGTAGTATCTGATTGGGAACTTTAGCATGCACTTCCTCAGCTGTGTAAAGGTCTCCATGCACTTATCTCTATTGTCAGTCTCCTTTTGGAAGCAGACGAATGACTCGATGATCAAGTCTCCACATGGACCCTTACCCATGCTTCTGATGCAAGGTGGGCATGAGGCCTGATCAGCCAATGCTGGCAATGGCTTTGTCTCCTCTGCGTTTACCCAAACGGCAACATTCCTTTGATTGCTATTAAACAATTGAGACATATTCTATTCTTCCTGTATTATCTGTCTTGTCTATATCTTATAAGTTTTAAACAAAGTGTAATTTGATTGACAGGGTCTTCTATGTTTCGTTCCATGGAAGTGTGTGTTTGAGTGTTGGTTGAAGATGATCAATCACACACAAGTGCGTAATGTTTGGGTCATCAGTATTGGAATGGTACCATTCAATTATTGATATCTTGTTATGAACAACCAAGAAGTATTTATCCTAGGTAGGGAGACTGGAGTATATGAGGAGACTGATCTCATGTCCTTCTTCATACTGATCGATTGGTCGCTCTTATGACATATCAATCATATGTGGGACTCGTTAATCACCTATCCTTGATATGATTCCTTCCTCAGGGCAACCAGAGGACTACCATTAAACAGTCATTCTCTTCGATTCCCACTTTGGATATGATAAATAGAAAAAACGAGTGACAGGTAAGTTCAAGATTGTGTTGAAATGTGTTGTCATTGTTGTACAATTGAACAGATAATAACATATACATGCATACATACTATAATATATTTATGTAAGAAAGATATAGTATAAAGTAGTAATAGTAATGATTAGATTAGGTACAAACGCGAGTTACTTTCGCAGTATCTTCAAGAGGAAGCCACCTACTTCAAAGGAAGTAGGTGATAGATTCGAGGCAAGAGTCGTCAAGATGTTGCACAATAGGATGTGCTTCAATATTAAACGCAATGTAATGGTTAGAGATCACAATGGCAATCTGTCAGAGATTGATATTGTCTACGGACTGTTCAGACCCACCTACGTCGAGTGCAAGAACTATCAACTGCCTGTTCCCCTCAAGGATGTGGCCAAGTTCAAAGAGGTCTTGCGTCTGAATGGGGTGAGTCCGCGTCGCGGTCTCTTTATCACGTCGTCGTCGTACACGCCGCGTGCCACCACCATCGGTATAAGAACCGTCGATGGAGAGCAGCTGCGTCGCATGGAGCGCTGGGCTCTCTGGGTCGGCGGTGCCAAGTTTACATTCTACGTCTGTCTGTCAATCGTTGGCTTTGGCTTATTCACTCAGTATCACGGCTGAGCGAGTGAGTGACTATATTCACTTACTTGACGAGCGTCATTGGCCAACCCACTCATTCATGAATGGAGATATCAACGAGTCGACTCATTCAATCGAGAACGAATCAAGGTCATTCATTCAATCAATCATTCAATCCATCATTCACTTGTCCAACACACGCATTGTTTGGATACACAGAACACTACTGCCATCGATAGAGCAGTGGATAGCTTTACCATTCATTCATTTCATTATCACCTCCCAAATATATAAGTATAACGTATACAGCTTCACAAACAAACGGACTTGACTGTCAATTTATTGTTGAGAATATAATCGATATGTTGCTCGGATTGAGTATAACCAAGGTTGCTGCTTACAGGCAATGGCTGACTTTGACCGGTCGAGTGAATCATGCATGAGTCGGACTATAATGGTGACCACGAATGTTGACAGATTGTGCGAGAGAGGCGATCTTGGAAAGGTCAATGATTGAAAGGCGAAGAGAGTTGTTTGTGGCCGGTGGTCTGTTGATGGTAATGCTGTGGATGCCGCCTTGACGATGGTATGACCAGTCCATTGTTGATGAACTGGACCACTTGCTCCATCTTTGTGTATCGATAGATCTTCTCCTTCTGTAGATGCTCATTGTGATGACTAAACAGTATAGTCTGTGACCAATCCACTGTGGCGCCAGGAGAGTTGGTTGGCGGACTGCTGTCTCCACCACCAACACCAGCTCCAGCAACTCCAGTAGGAGGGGATGTTGACGACGTTGTGTTAACTGCCAAGTTGTTCAATGATGAGGAAGATGAAGGATGTGCTGGTGCAGGCGATAGCTTGCCCTTGAATATGAGGTAATCATCGAGATGTATCTCAAACTCTTGGACGCCACGCTGGAGCATCCTGCTGTAGTTCCAGAACTTGACCATTGACAGTGAGACGGGGTAGTCAAAGTATATACAAATGCTGACGGGGATGAATGTGGTCGAGTGGTCAGACAGGTGGTGCACCTGTGTCGTCCAAGAATGTCTCTCATCGTAGCTGTTGTTTACGCCGTCAAACAGTCTCTCTATCAATCGATCGTTGCCATTGGTGATTACAACATTGCTCGGTGATGGTTTGAATGCCAGTCCATTCCAATCATACAGCTGGATGCCATTCAGGCCGACATAGCTCGTGTCTCCCCATGATGACACTATCACTATCTTGATAATGAATCCAGTTGGTAGCTGTAGGGTCTGGTAGTCTTGAGGAATGTACACCGACTTGGGAAGAGTGAGCTGTCTCTCAAACGGCTCCAACTTGACTGGATGCTTGTCAAAGTGGACGAATGAGATTACCTGTCCAAAGTCGTAGAGGTCATTGCCTGGCGCCTTCCTGAATATGAATCCTTCGGGCGAGAGCTTCTGGCCATCCAATGTGATATCCACATGCTTGGCGCCTCGTGCGGCATCCTCCTGACTCTTGTTATAGTTCCACACCCGGATGCAACTGATTGAGGTCGCCTGGCCGAGGTCGATGGTCAGGTGGCGCTCAAGTTGATCTTGTTCAGTGCCCTTGTGAATGTGGTGCTGGTGGAATAGAGGGATCAGCCACATGTGCTGGTCGTTCATCGTCAGGTTGTGGCCGTCGATAAGCTTGTCCAACGTTCGATAGTCGCCGCTGTGTCCCGGGATGTCGTTGATGTCTTTGGGATAGGCCGACAGGTTCTGCATGGTCAGCTTGATGAGCTTATAGTTCTGGTCGTACACCTGGATCGATGTGAGCCCCAGGTAGCACTTGTCGCCCCACGTCGACTTGAAGTGGAACTTGATGCGTCGGCCCTTGGGCAGAGAGGACACATTGATCTCCTCGTAGCATCCATCATTGCCAGCGATCTGATGGCTTGTCTGCTGCGGCAGGTGCTCCAGCCGTGAGACAGTAAAGTCGCTCTCGCTCGCGCGTCGCGACGACAACTTGCCCTCCCTTTCAAAGTTGATTCGCGAGAAGAGGTGCTCCATGTGTGGGTTCAGGTCGCGCACTTTGAGCTGATCTCCAACGTTGGGATCAGGGCTGCTGCTGTCCTCATGGTCAAACTCCTCCTCTTGGAACTGTGATGGCGAGAATGGATCGTTCTGCTCGATCGTCTGAAGCACAACTTCCTCATTCGTGAACAATATGTACTCAGCGCACTCATCACACTCCCGCAGACTTCCAGGTGCACGCTTTATCGATCCTTTGAATATCAACTGATTATCCAACCTTATCTCCATGTCCTTTACGCCTCTCGCTGAGTGTATCCTTGACTTGTTGTAGTTCTGTTCATTGATTGATTGAGTTAGTGAATGAGTGGGCACGATTGATTGAGTGAATGAGCAATGCTTACCCATATCCTGATCATGGACAATGTGAGCACTGAATCAAAGATGACAGTGATGCTGGTCTGGACGATTGAGCTCTCTTGGAAGGGTGCCTGCCATAGATGGAGGTCGTCTAGGGTGCGTGGACATCGATCAATGATCTTGGCAATGTCATCGCCAGGAGGTGGTTGGCAACGGAGTTGGGTGGATATGTCCTTCAGTGTGATGTAGTCACCTGCGTAGTCAAACATGTCGATGCCAGACAGTCCAATATAATTGCTGTCGCCCCAGTTCGAGAGCAGTGTCAGTGTCATCACCTTGCCACTCGGCTTGGTTGCCACAAACACACTGCTGTCGGTTGAGCTGTGTGGAGATGACTCGGATGACATCGTGTTGTTGTTGGTGCCGCCTGTAGACAGTGACATGTGAGTTGGTGAAAGTGATTTGTTGGCCAGCATGGACTGCTGATGGTGATGATATACAAGCCTCTCAGGAGAGAAGCTGAGTGAGGTCGCTTGATTGGACGGCTCGACCAGGTCATGAACATTCGGTTGTTGTTGTTGTTGATGGTGATGGTGCTGATGTATCTCAATCGATGGCGTTGTGCTAGTCGTCGTCGTTGGCGTCGTCGTTGGTTCGTTTGATTGTGTCTCGGGTCTCCTTGGCGTGGGCGCATTGGCAGTGGACAGAAGCGCTGCCACAGCCTCGGATTTGGATGATGGTAGTGTGATGGTGGAGAGTGGGGTGGTTAGATGTCGATTGATGTTGCCCGACAGTCGACGACTGACTGTAGGCCGTGATGATGTGGTCGGGGCTGCACTGACTGTGGGCAGTTCCAACTTTGTTGCACCACCAGCGGGTGGAGGAGGCACAGTCGTTGACGACGACGACGATGTCGAAGTTGGTGTGGTGTTTGATGATGCAAGGTCGAGTGATGGTGACAGGGAGAGACGACCCGTCTTGCGAGGCGTCAGCGACAATGGTGATATCAGCGATGGTTCGGAGCGCTTGCGAATGGCTGATGGACGCTCGCGCGGGTTTCGCAGATCAGGAGTGTCAGAGTCGCCCGGGAACACCTTGATACCATCGGCTCCGAGATGACTACGTGGCGAGGGCGACTGTGACCGTGACGGCGAGTCGGAGGACGCCGATGAACTGGTCGATGACTGCGACGAGCTCTTGATACCACCATCTCCACTGTGCTGGCTTCCAAAGCCCAGACCGCCCAGTCCACTGTGTATGTTTGATGTGGACTTCCTCGACTGGAGTGGATGGTATTGTGACTTTGATGTTGGAGGCGCCGCCGCGCTGAGCGGGGGAGTTACCAACAGCATTGAGTCGTCCTGCTGCTGCTGTTGCTGTTGTTGCTTGTCGGTCTTGGCGTGACTCGTAGGCATCAACTTCATCCTCATCATGTATTCCATAAGCAATCTCTTCTTCTCGGGATCGGCTGCAATGTCTCGCACATGCAACTCAAAGAACTCATCGCTCATCTCAGATTGTGCGCTCACAGGCTTGTGTTGTTGTTGAGGAGACTGTCCCATAAATGTAGGATTCTTGTTACTCTGTTGTGGCTGGGCTTGAGTCTGTGGCTGTACTTGGGGCTGAGGCTGAGGTTGATGTTGAGGTGACACTGACGCAGTAGAGTTGGCACTGGAGGCATTCGATGAAGTTGGAGTGGATAGCTTGTTCTGTTGCAGTCTGTTGTTGATTGAGATGTCCAGGAGACTGGTCTTCCTCTGTGCAGTGTTGCGAATGACAGGTGCAGACGAACCACGCACCAGTGGGTGTCTCGACGACTTGTACTTCTTTGGCTCGCCATCCACTGAGGTCGCCGATGGTGGCACCAATGATGATACTACCTGTGGCAAAGGCTTTGGAGGCAAGCCTTGCTGCTTCAATGGCGCCGAGAACAAGGGTTGCTCGCCACTACTACTGCTGCTTCCTGGGCCAACAACAACAACAGTCTCATCGGTTGGTGGCTTGACGATGAGTGTGATCTTTGGGTTGCTGAGGTCAAACTCGCAGCTGCTCCCCACTTGAACATTGTCGTCGGACTCTTGCACCGAGTTACTGCTATGAGGCGATGTCTGTAACTGTTGCTGCTTCTTGAGATCACTATGAATGAGTTCAATCGACTTGTTCCAGCCAGAGAGTATCGACGATGTTGACTGGCTCTGATTCAGCTTCCTTGGTGATCTCTCCGCATCGCCCTTTGTGCCGCCACTGAACTTGACCCTCTGTTGCTGTTGCTGTGGTTGTTGCTGACCCGTTCCATCCTGTGACAGACCTGATAGATGTAACTGGAACATTGACTTTAAGATTGTGTTGTTGTTGCCGCCAGTGCCAGTGCCAGTGCTGACTGCTGCCGAGTTGTTTGTAGACTTGATATCATCCTTTGACAGCTCTGCGGATGATGACGACGAGTAGTCTGACTCATCGCCATCGTCAACATCGACATCGTCATCATCAGAGTACGAGGAATAGTCTGATTCATCTTCTCCGTCGGATGCCACTACATTATCGTCTTCCTCAATGTCGTTCGATATCTCCTCGTTGATCTTGCCGAATGTGTTGTGCAGGTTCGCCGACGTGCTGCCTGGCACGATGGGCGTTGGGGCACTAGTCCTTCGCTTGAGCTCCTTTAGCTCGTCCTGATTGGTGAACCTGGTTCGCGAGCCTGCAGTGCTTAGTTGGAACTGAATGGGCTTGGTCTTGGGCGATGGTGAGGGGTTGGATTGTTGCGACTGTTGCTGCTGGGCGTGGTTGGGTGAGACGGTGCGAGGTGATGAAAGGAGTGACGTTGCCGAGTTGGGAGGTATTGACATGATGTTTGGCGTGGACATTGAGCGTGGTGAGCTGACGATGCCGCTGGAGCGCGGAGAGTGCTTGGGAGAGTGTCGTGTCGATGATGCTGGCGACGTTTGACTCAATGATGTGGATGTTGGTGTCCGTGGTGGCTGTAAGGTGTCACTGCTGTTGTTGCTGCTGTTGTCGAGGCTTGACCCAAACATTGCTGATGAGGGTGATGTCGAGCGGACTATCGAAGAGCCACCACCCGCCGACGGTGTTGGTAAGAATGTTGGTGCATTCGTTGATGTCGTCGTCGTCAGCATAGCCGATATGGTCGTCGATTGACCAAGGTGTGAGCTATGTACAAAGTTCATTGTGGGCGGCAAGAAGAGCGATGTCAACTGATCGGACGACTTGCGCAATGTAGATGAAGGTGATGTTGATAATAGCGATGATGATGATGATGATGATGTTGACTTTGTCGATAATGATGATGATGACTTTGGAGGTGATGATGAAGGTGATGTACATCCATGTTGTTGATGTTGATTGTGTTTCTTTTGTTGTTGATGGTATTGCTGTTGTTGGGATAAGGTTGACATATCGGCCAGTGCTGTTACATTGAATATATCATTGATGAGTATAGGTATACTGTTACTGATGCTCGATGACTTTGAGTATGAGTCACTGCCTCTCCAATTCCTATTGTTTGATCTACTACTACTACTACTGTTGTTGTTGTTACTATTGCTGTTGCTACCGCTGCCGCCGCTGCCACTGCTATTGTTTGTCTGTTGTTGTTATATGTGTCAGTCCATCAATCAATCAATAAATCATTCATTATATCCATCAAACAAACTTACAGTATTCATTATTATTGATTGGATGTGTTCTGTTACTTTGACAGATTCATAACATAGCAGAGCAGCAGTGCATCATCGTCAGTCGACTGATTGTCAATAGTTCAACCGTTCAGCACTAAGATCGATCTTCTTTTCTCTTGTATGATTGATTGTCTGTCTGTGTCAGTCTGTCTGTCTATGTCAGAGTAAGTAAGTCTGTTTGCTATATGATGTCTTGAAGTTGACTGATTGATGTCGACTTTGATTGAATGATTAGCAAAGTAAGTTGGTTGGAGTAATAATAATAATTGCAAAGAATATGAACTTGGTGGTGGTTTGTTTGTTTGTTGTTTGATTGTTTAGGTCCACAACCCTTTAATACAACACACCCTCACTCAACCCTAAGTGTTGTTGAGAATAGAAGCGACCGACAGACACTCACACACAGACACAGACGCACACATACACAAACACACAGACATGATGTTAAGTGGACTTCGAAGTCTTAGACTTAGAGGTCATCATGTATCATTGTTGCGTCTAACTCATAATATACATCCAACATCAAACTATAACGTTTGTTCATACTCAACAAGTACTCATTCTGAACATGGACATGGTCAAGGACATGGACATGGACAACAGCATGGACATGGACAACAACAACATCAACAACATGGACAACAACAACAACAACATGGGCAAGGAGGAGCAAAACATATACCTAATGCAAGATCAGTGTTGAAGAAGTTCTTCTTGAAGGTTCATCCAGACTTGTTCTATCAATATCCTAATATGAAGAAGGTTAATGATCAGTCGTTGAGAGCACTACAGAGTTTCTTGGAGGAGGTCAAGAGTGGCAAGGTCACAACAAAGTCATATACATTGGAGTTCTTCTATCTTGACTCCAAGAGCGCCACGTCCACTGATGAATCAACCGTTCCTCACATCTCTGTATCATTCGATATTGACAACTCTACACCTCGTCGACTAAACCAAATGATCCGTAAAGCTGAGAAGCAGTTACAATACATGCTAAAGTATGTCACATTCAATCGTTCATACATTCATTCAATCAATCATACTCACTCAATCAACATCAGGTCGATTGGTATCAAGGAAGAGTTCCACATCAACTCATTGTTGGGCAAGTCAACAACAAGTGAGAACTATGAGTCGTCGGAGAGTCTACTTGGATTCCTCAAGAATAATGCAGAGCATGCTAGAGACATGGCCAAATATGTTGTTGATGGTATGCTCCTGGTGTCCTGACCATGATCATCCCCAAACTGACAAGACATCGACTCACCATCACTCACCATTAGAGGAACGATCAATTGACATCATGTACACATTCTTCTTCATGGAGCATAAGATACGAGTGCTGTTTGATCATGAGATTGAACTGACGACTGAACAGAAGAAGACGATACTTAGACATCTGGAACAGACATTGCATACTCTGTCTCCAAGAATATCTGATGAGCAGCTGGTGGACAAGGTATTCTATAGCAAGGACAGGGAGCGCGAGGATAGGGCACGCAAGTCCAAACTAGAGACATTCCACTTCACAGACGAACAAATCGATGACATGACCAGCGATGATAATACAGACTATAATAACATCACATCTGGATTCACTGGATTTGGACAACGAATCAAAGCGGCAACACCAGATGTTCGAAACCAGATGTTTGAACCATACTCTGTGTTCAAGGATAAGGACAGCTGGCGTGGATGGGACAAAATCAAGGCTGGCTTTGTCACACCAGAGACCACCGAGAAGACAGACGATTCACACATCAGTCTGCGGCTTGAAGGCATGACCCTATTCTTCACCAACAAGAGTGGCATCGACCTGGAGGGAAGGTTGCAGTTACATCAGTATGTACATCATCAGAGTGAGAAAGCGACTGGGACTAATACTTTGGCCATGACATGTCATGATAGTGATCAAGCCGACAAATGGATTGAAGACATCAATAATATTAAGCCATCATTGGTAATCGATAATATCAAGTCATGTAGGAATAGGAAGAAGTTGGTATGTATCTGGTTGGCTGGATGGATTGATGGCGACACATGAACAGACACATACTCACTCATACTCAATACCAGGAAGGAGAGGTGGCGGATAAACTTGGAGTAGGATGTATCTTTACAGATTATAATGAACAGAACTCACCAATGTATTTGGACTATCTCAATAATATGTTATGTGCGACTGTCGAGCCCGTTATGGACAAGTATGGAAACCAAGTTGGAGACACCAAACCAAAGTTGAACGATATTAATATAAGAGTACTGTCGCCAAACTCTACATTGATCGAACCATTCTCATTGGATGAACAGAATGGAGTGATCAATGTGCCAATGAATGGACAGTTTGGCGAAGTGACCAAGTTCATTGCACAGTGTGGCGATCATGTCATCAGAGAGTTTGTCAAGCATCAGAACCAAGTGCGCAATCTCAATCAGTTGGAGCTGACTGTGAAGCGACAGTTCCGTCTACTCAAACTCAAGCGTCATCCAGACATCACGGACTTGGACCTCGTGTCATGCCTGCGACGTATGCTCAACAATCACCAACCCTTCCTCCCGCTCCTCTACAACATCAAACTTGTCATTGGCAAGGAGTACGCAATGGGCAGCGATGGATCAATAACAATCAAATGGGACTTTGAACTGTGATCATTCAATCAATCATTCAATCAATGTACATTTACCAACTTCCACACATCATGTTTAATGTGTAGACTTCCTCCATCTTATCCTCTTGATACATCTCTGCCAAAGACACTGGCCTTGACCCAATCGAATGCTACGAGCACTCTGTTGCGAATGCTGAGACACTTGGAGAGATAGGCACTTCGCCAGAGAATGAATGTGGCCAAACCTTCGCTGGTGGTCGAGCTGCTCTTGCCATCGGCCGACTTGAGCTCAAACACTGCATTGTGATCGCCGACGTAGGCCAGTGTGCCCATGTGATGATACTTGAACAGTGGCTGCTTGTGAACGAACTTGTCCATGTCGGACAGCGACTCCTTGCCCTTGACCGACCTGTACATGTCTTCGGAGAGGTCGTTGAACAGACGACCGAGGTAGCGACCCTGCTGACTGGCCACCTGGGCGGTGGCGGCGTACGGTGTGACGCTGCAGTCACCGATGGCCCATATGCCATCGGCACCCTTCACACGGAAGTACTCGTCGACCACCAGACCACGACGGACATTCTGATCGGCACCAATCGATTGCATCAATCCCTTGGTAACGAGTCTTGGACCATTACCAGTGGCCCATACCAACACACCATATGGGATGACCTTCTCCACCTTGTCCTGATCCTTAACAATCAACTCTCTCTCCTTTACACTGGTCACTGCGGTCTGAGTCCAGACCTTTGTCTTTGGTGAACTGCGTAGTTTCTTCTCAACATGCTCTGTGTAGGGTTGGTGAGATAGAGTTAGCGACTGGCCTGTGCCAGCTGAGTGCTTGTCCAGATGCTTACCAACGATGGTCTTGTCAAACACTGTAAGGATGTGTGGCAGGGCTTCAACCAATGTGATCCTCACTCGATCAGCCAAGTGTGATGGATAATGCTTCTTGATGTCGCGCTCAATAAAGTCGTTCAACTCTCCAGTGATCCTGATTGGTTGATTGAATGAATGATTGAGTGTGAGCATAACATGACAAGATAGGACAGGAAAGTCAGCTGACTGATTGAATACATACTCTACACCAGATGGTCCACCTCCAACGATCACAAAATGTAATAGTCGATCAATCTCTGCACTTGGCTGTCCTGGATAGCCTGCTGTCTCGAGACAGTCAATGATGCGATCTCGTATCATTCTAGTGTCGCTGATCTCCTTCATGAAGCAGGCGTTCTCTCGCACGCCTGGAATGCCAAAGGTGGCATTGTCCGCGCCAACACCAACAACCAGCTGGTCATATGGCAGCTCAAACTCGGACACCAGTCCCTTGACCGAGCTGTTGTCAAAGCACTTGACGGTCTTGCGCACGGGATCGATGCTCAGACACTCAGCCTCGATAAAGTCCACTTCGGACGCATCGGATCTCTTGCAGTACTTGCGAATTGGTTCCATGATGGAGCGACTCTCCACGGTGCCAGTCGTTGTTCCGGGCAGCAGTGGGGTGAAGAGGAAGTAGTTCCTGGGCGAGACGATTGTCACGTTGAACTGGTCGGTGTGCATCTTGCGCAGCATACACAAACTGGCCCATCCTGAGCCGAGGATGACAATCCTTGGTCGATCCTTTCTCTCCTCCTCTGACAATCTATGACGGAACTTATCAGTTATAATATCAATGTCATCATTGATCACCAAGTCAAAGACTGTGAATGATGCCAGAGCCAATATACCAGTTCCAATCCAGAATGTCCAGCCTCTCTTTTTCTTTGTTGACTTTGATTCATTATTATTGTTGTTGTTGTTTGTATCATTGGATGTTGATGTTGAAGTTGATGTTGAGTAGTTGGCCAATCCTCCAACAAACTTGGATGATGATGATGGTTGTATCAACTGTTTGACTGATCTTGTCAATATATTTCTTGGTACAGATAACATTGTTATTATTTGTAGGTATATTTATATATATATATATGTAATACAAAGGTATGAATGAATGAATAGATATCAAAGATTAATTGAATGAATGAATCAACTGTGGTCATCCATCATCATAATCCTACCACATGTGGCTCAAGAGTTAAAGATGGACCCTTTGTAAGTTCAAATAATTGTGAACAAGAGGGAGGTAAGGTAACCCCTCGCAACAACATGTACCGTGATCTTCATCTCGATGGCAAAGCACAAGGTTTCGGACCGTTGGCCCATCACCATCACCAACCCAGGTCTAGATGATCTTGGCTCCCAAAATGTTTGAACATCAAATGATCACCATGACTTTTGGTCATTTGCCAAAGACAGACAACTCGCTGCAATGATTGTTGGATACCGGCATCATCATTCGTATTATCGCATGACCTGATTGTTTTCGACTCTCGCGGCGAGGCCTAGGCCAATACCTTCAAAGACCACTTTGAAGTCTCATGATGGACAAGGCTTTGTCCCAATCGTCCGAATGAGTTCTTAACAATCATATGTCGGTACAAACTTGGTAACCCTTGAACATTCTTGCATACATACAGACGAACCATCTCTTCGTTTAGTTGTATTGGTATGTATTTGGTGGGGAAGACTCTTCTCTTTGTCTTCATTATCTCTCTGTGGAAAATATTTATGAGTGAATTCTTGAATGTAGGTAGTCTGTTCAAAGTCAAGGATTGAGATAAGAGTGAATGGACACATGAAGTAGTACCGATCAATGTATCACTCTCTATCTCTCTCTTCACAGTGACTTGTATTGGACAACAACGAATGATGTGTGTTTTGTGTTTGTGTGGCAAAAACTCTCAAGAAGTGAGCTTCAGACACTCTCGGACCAGAGGCAGCAGTCGAACGAAACACATGTATTTACTCTGACTATTTCAATTAACCTTATTACATTATATTATATATACATATATAAATACAACACCAAAAGAACACAATGAACGAAGTTGATGCTAAGTTGGTCGAGATGAAGTTCTACACGAACTTGTTCACAAGGTAATCAATCATCATTGAATGAAAGAATCATTTAACGAATGAATGAAGAATGAATGAACAAATGAGCAGAAACAGGCCTACAATGGTACATTGAACAACAGACGACTAATACTATTATTTATAGTTTGCAGAGGATATGCGCATCAAAGTGCATCTCTAAATATAATGACAGCGAGCTGACAGTTGGCGAGTCTGTGTGCGCTGAGCGTTGCACAGAGAAGTGGATGGAGACCTTCAAGAAGGTTCAGGCCAAGCTTCACAACGCACCACCAACCACTGGAATGCAGGCTGCTGCCGAGCCAGAGCCCGTCGCTGCCAAGAAGGGTTGGTTCTAAATACATTCATTTCAGTTCAATCAATCACAATCCCATTCATAGCGATGATGACGATGACGAAACCTCCAATTAAACTTGCTGTTACAGCAATATGATATATAAGACGATTATTGGATTGACAACAGAGCAGACAATACATGAAAGACTATGATCGATCGATCAATCATTGAAGTTCAATCATCACACCACCATTGAATGAATGATTGATGAGGTGGTTGGTGGTGTGATCAAGGCCCACTAACTTGAAACAAGACTTTAATTGTTTAATTGCTATCTGTACATACATATACATATACATATATATCTAATTTGTTGATTGATTGATTGGACAATGTCTGCTGTAAAGAACTTGAGAAGGTGTACTCATGCTGGAAGCTGGTACAATGATAATGGTAAGTATGTTGCCCAGGCGCCAAGGGCAGAGCAAGCAGGGGAGCTAACATAGTTGGGACACAATCAAATAGCCACTGCATTGAACAAACAGTTGGGTGGATGGTTGGATGAGAACAAGCCATCAGGTCTAAATACAAGGGCAATAATTGTACCGTATGTATGATGAATGTCCATTCATTCAATCATTCAATCAATGATTGAACTGACCAACTATATGATGTAGACATGCAGGTTATGCTTATAGTGGTAGAGCAGCGGCTCATGGATACATCAATCTTGATGCTAACAAATAGTATGTTATGTTTGATTGACTCAAAGATAATGGATAATGCATGGCTAACTCAAAGGACATCAGCAAGCGTATCTTTATTCTTGGACCATCCCATCATGTCTACATGAAGTCATGTGGCCTTTCCAAGCTCACTCACTTTGAGACACCTCTTGGCAACCTTGAGATTGATACTGTTGGTGTGTATCGACCAATCAATCAATCAATCAATCAACATCCCAACCATACTCACTCGCTCACTTACTCCATCAATCAGTTATGAAGGAGTTGTTTGATACTGGAAGCTTCATATGGACAACACAGGACACTGATGAGGATGAACATAGTATTGAATTGCATCTTCCATATATTGCTCGTTTGGTACAAGGCAAGAACATCAAGATCGTACCTATTATGGTTGGCTCACTATCAAAGGACACGGAGCAAGACTATGGACGTATATTGGCCAAGTACTTGGACGATCCAGACAACTTCTTTGTGATCAGCAGTGACTTTTGCCATTGGGGCAAGCGCTTTGGATACACACACTATGACGAGTCGGCCGGTGCCATTCACAAGTCGATCGAGGAACTTGACAAGGCTGGCATGGCCAAGATTGAGTCTGGTGATCCACTTGAGTTCTCAGCCTATCTCAAAGATACAAAGAATACAATCTGTGGAAGGTATGATCATTCACTACATGGAATCATTCCAGTCACTCATTCAATCAATCACTCACACTAACTCAATCATTCAATCAAACTAGGAATCCAATCAGTGTAATGATGTGGACCGCCAAGAACAGTAGTCATAAGTACTCAATCACTTCATTGCACTATGAACAATCAAGCAAGTGTAACTCAATGACTGATTCATCAGTTAGCTATGGTGTGTTGTCATTCACTCAATTGTGATCAAGATTGTGAGAGGAGAAGGAGATGGAGGAGGAGGAGGATCACGAACCTATGCGACAAACATTCATTGTTGTCATTCTACCAATCAATGTACATTCATTCTACAAACCAATAATACATCAAAGAGTACTATAATGTGTTTCAATCATTCAATCAATCAATCAATCCAACCTAAATGATGACAACGACGAAGACCATCCATTCGTTGAATAGGATATTACTAGTATTACAAGAGAGGATGGATTGGTTGGTTCAACTTCTCTAGACTCTCTCAAATATCACCGAGATGAGAAACCTCCGTTGTATTTTCAAAAGTGAGAGTGATACTTGCAAGTATCCGCGCCTCCTTTTATTGGGCAACTCACACACAACAACAACAACATCAATATCCACAACACAATGCTCACTTGCTAATTCAAAGGGTTATCATCGTCTTTTGTTGTAATACTTACTTACTTACTTGTTTGTTCACTTTATATATATACATATTAATATTTGTAAATAAGTAGTTACAGGGCATAATAGAAGATGGATGAACCAAAGCAATTTAAAATAGTACTGTTAGGCAATACAGGGTAAGGACATTGGTTGAATGAATGAATGAATGAATGAATGAATGAATGAATGAATAGGTCAGTACTGACAATGACATCAACAACAATAACATAGAGTTGGCAAGTCATCGATATTCCACAGACTGGTGTTCAACAAGTTCAACCCAGAATACAGACCAACCTCTGGAACAGACTTCCTCTCAAAGCCATTCTACGTCAATGGTACAGTCTGTAACATACAGGTATGTTGTCGATTGATTCATTGATTGATGATTGATCAATCAAACATACTCACTCATTCATACCATATGTAGTTCTGGGATACATCAGGTGAAGCAAAGTATTGGTGCCTGACAGAGGTGTTCTGGAGGACGGCACATGCAGCTGTACTGGTGTACGACGTTACGGATGAGAAGAGTTTCAAGGATCTGTCGTTCTGGCTTAATGAATGTAAGACAAAGTGTCATTCTGTGGAGCAGGCCACATCAGAGAAGCCTGGCATCATCTTTGCAGTACTCGGTAACAAGGCCGACAATGATAGGAGAGCAGTGAGTACCATTAGTAGTAGTAGTGGAGGTAGTAGTCGTTCCCAAGATATCAGGCTTACACGCAGGACGCCAAACCAGGTACCATTTGAAACAGTTGGACAATGGTGCAAGGACAACAAAATCAAGCACTACTTCGAAGTCTCTTCAAAGGATGGAACAGGTGTCAAAGAGTCCCTAGTCAACCTGATAGAGAAGGTATTGGAGCAAGCTTTAGCCGAAGAGTATGGATAATTCATTCAATCATTCCAACCAATCGACATGTGACACTGACACTCTCTTCTCCACACATTCATTAGGTATGAAGACTCACTATCTGTTGAAGGCGCTCCACTATTGCAAGACTCTTCTTCAAGACGTAGAGAGTCGTCGGCTCCAAACTCCCCTCGAGCTTCATCATCTTCGTCATCACGCTGTTGTAGTCTAATGTAACATAGTGTTCCATGAGCCATGTAAACATATACACAAGGCTCAACTCGACAGACTCCCAACACAAGATAACCGATCAATCAAGCACATCAAATCAATCACATCAAATAGTAGCGGCACAGACGCCAATCAAGAGCAACACATGATCATTGGCTGGCGCGACGAGACCGCATTCCATCCATCCCTTTCACACTCCACCGCCTCACCAACTCCAAGTTGGTGACCTAGTCCAGGTCTGTGGTGGACAACATCCCATCTATCATCCATCTATCCAATGTAGCGCAGAAACAACACATTACTCGCGCGAACTCTCGCTCGAGCAAGCGAGATGAGATATCTTTATTAAATGGATTTCTCAACAAGCAACAACTCTTCGACGTAGATGACGTCGTTGTGGACATCGCTGCCAACATCGTAGCAGTGATTGGGACAGGTCAGCGCGAACAGGTTGGAGAAGTCCAGTGATGACACATCCTTGTTGTGGCTGATCTGTGTGATGATCGTCGATACGACCTGGAACTCAAACACCTTGTTCTTTCCACATCGCTTGCAGGCGTATGCCGTCTTGACGTCAAACATTTGGTTGCCAGCCTGTGACATGCAGAGTGGCTCGCCACCAAATCCATAACGTATCACTTGTTCTGGATAGTGATTGATCCTCTTGATGAACTTGCTAAATGCGCGATCCTTCACATACTCGTATGACTCTCCAGACCATTCCTCCATTTCACTATGGTCGTCCACATATCCATGTTTACCTCCCTTTCCACCTCCATGCATCTTTTGTTGTTTGATCACCTCTTCCTCAATCGTTACATAACATTCCTTGTATTGATTACCTATTATTTGATTGTGATTGAGTGAGTAAGTGATTGAGTGATTGAGGGAATGACGGTGTCGCCAAGGTTACTTACTTGGGTCTGAAGGTGTAACGAATCCTTCTAATGGTGAAGTCTCTGTTGATGATGTGTTGGTGGTCGAGGTCGATGATGTTGATGTTGATTGTTTGTTATTCTTCTGCTCTTTCTTCTTTGCCTGTTCTTCTTTCAGCATCTTATCTCTCTTCATTAACAGTTCATCTATGTTGTTGTTGTTATTATTGTTGTCTGTCTTTCCTGATAATCCCCAGTCATCTCCATCTTCTACTCCCCAGTCATCATCATCATCGCCATTCTCATTCTTTGTGTCATTCTGTACAACTTTCTCCTGGACTTCTTCCTCTTCTTCTTCATCCTCATCATATTCCTCTTCCTCTTCTTCGTATTCATTATACCCTTGTCTTGGTCTCTCCATTGACTTGATCAGTTTCCAACTTCCATTCAAAAGGTTAGCAAACCATGTTGTTGAACCTCAACCATCCCAACAATGAAACATACCCCTGTCTTGTAGCATTGCACTTGTGACAAACAAAGAGGTAGTAGCTCCTCTCAAACTGTGGCAGATGATCCAGTGGTGCGTATAGTTGCATTAAGAATGCCATGTCTCCTGAGCATTCTGTACACTTGATATGCGAGTACTTTGCAGGAGGTTGTGCCATCCAAACAGGTGAACCTCCAACCTTTGAATTATAAGGATACAAATCCTTAGCATTCAACGGTGCATCTATAAAGCCAACATAGTTAACAACCTTATTGCTCATCCTATTCTTGTTCCTCTATTATCTCTTTGATTGAATATGTAATAAAGTTGATTGATTGAACGACTCGTTCGTTTCTTCATTTTGACGAAAAGTTACAAACTTACCTCATCTTCATTCATTCATTCAATCAATGAAATAACAACCTTGTACATATACATAATCAAACAATCAATACAACACAATGGTAACCTGAATGATATGATTGATCTAGACTCCATCAACTAACACTCACTTCCGTATCAATCAATCAATCATTGAATCAATCAAGTCTAAACTATCATATATCACACCAGAAGGACTGCGAATCGATGGAAGACGCAGCAATGAGATACGAAGATTGAATATGAGAATGGGAGTATTTAGTAGAGCAGATGGATCAGCATATTATGAACAGGGCAATACAAAGATTGCGGTGGCAGTGTATGGACCAAGAGAGGTCGCTTCAAATCAGCGCGCACTACATGATCGCGCCGTTGTAAACTGCGATTTCTCCGTGGCGACATTCAGCAGCAGTTCAGAAAGAAAGATACGAGGCAAGGGCGATAAACAATCGTTTGAGATAGCAGCACTGATAAAGCAAGCGTTCGAGTCCACGATACAGGTGAATCTGTTCCCCAGATCACAGATTGACATATATATACAGGTGCTGCAGTCTGATGGAGGCCTGAAAGCTGCCGCCATCAACGCTGCGACTCTGGCCGCGGTCGACGCCGGCCTGCCGATGCGCGACTTTGTCTGTGCATGCTCGGCGACCTACATTGAGGGCGTGCCCCTGCTGGACCTGAACCACATGGAGGAGCGATCGGGCGGTGCCGATCTGCTGCTGTCTGTGCAGCCACAACTTGGCGGAGTCATCTCGCTCAACATGGAGTCAAAAGTGCCACAGGACATGTTTGAATCAGTCTTGGAGTTGGCCAACAAAGGATGCATGAAGATATTCGCTCTGATGCAGGCAGAGGTCAAGAGGCATTCAGCAGAGCTGCTATCCAATCAATTAGTAAAATAATAGTATAGTATTCGATAATCAATGGATGTTATTATATTTATTCCTCGCTATGGGAGTTCTCCTCTCGTTTGCGCTTGTGGCAAAGAGCTACCAGGGCATTCTCTAACTGTTTCTCGAGTTGTTCGACTCGAGCATCGCGATCTTCCATGACCTGGACCCAATTCCTCACGAAATCTTCCTTATTCAAAGGTCGAGCGAGAAAGGCCTCCTTGAATCTTTCGTCGTACCCTGGCTCGGAATCATTCATTGCCTCTTCTCTGAATAAAGCTGTGTAGGAACAGTCTGAGGGGGGCATGTCCTCTGCACCAAGTTTGATGGGCTCCTAAAATCGTGATACAATTGCTGGSCCCATACCTTGTACTCTTTAAATTGTCTAATGAGGAATTTTCTACATTCTTCAGTGCAATCCTCGGTCAACCAATTACGGCCGTAATCTTCGACTCGGGACGGATTGAAGGCTAATCCACATTCATAACTTTTATCAGCGCTTATTTCGTAGTAACCGTATGAGTGTTGGTAACAGAGTTTTGAACGCGATACTTTAGACATTGTTAAAATGGGAGGTATATCAAGCAAATGTGTTCTTGTTTGTCCCTCCCCTAATAATTAGTATGAGATGTTGACATATGTAGTGGTGACATACCACAAATAATATTTGCACAATATTTAAATAGACAGGCTAGCTGGAATGAAGAGAAGTGTGTGATGTCTGGTAATTGAATAGTTGGCGAAAAGATAGATTGGTCGATAATAGTTGTCCCATACACACTTGGTAATAAGACCATACACACATATATTGCCCCAGCCAAACTCCCCACCTGAAACTGTGTGAGCCAAGTTGGTGTTAACCAGTATCAATGGCATTCATTCATCCTCCTTCATTCGTATCACAACCATTGATTCTAGAATGCTTGGTCCAAACTTCAAACATCATCACTCCCACAATGCAACACTCTTCATCCAACTATGCATAGGAATGCTCTTATATAAGAGTACATCATGTTAGTCATGTGATCATTCAACTCCAGTGATACAATCAAATGTCGACATCACTTTATTGCACTTGGTCTTGGACTGGGACTTGAGATTTTATGAGATGAGGCTGAGGAATGAAAGATTGATCCATGGACTTGAGTAATTGATACGGAGAGAGGCAGCATAGAGGCAACAAGTACTTGGAGATGGATGGACATTGATTTTGTCTGGATCGGGTCCAAATTGTTTAACCTTTAGCTCGTTAAGTGGACAAGGCCATGGTTGACATTAGAATATGGTTAAGATGTTATATATATAGTTTGTCTGGATCGTTTGATCAATAAACATCCAGCAGGGCAGCCAATGTCCTTGAAGGTAATGTTAACTTTTGTTGTTTCTGTTATCAATTAAGTATGTTATGTTAGTATGAGTGATTGATTGATTGATTGATTGAATGAATGAATGATGCTTACAGATTGTCGACTAAACAGGTCTAGCCTCTGCTTAAAGTTCTCTACTTCTTTGTCAATCTCCTCTTGAAGGTCGGGGTCCAGCTGATCGTCGTCATCAGAGTCGTCGTCATCATCGTCTTCCAGCACGTCATCGTCTTCAATCTCGTATATCTTGGCATTGTTATTATTGTACAGCTTGTTGTTGTTTGAGTTGTTGTTACGCTTCTGATGCTCCAGTGATGTTGTATAAAGATCCGGTGAACTCTTTGATTGCTTTATCAGTGGATTGTTGTTGACATTGATGTTGCTGTTGCTCGAAGTTGATGGTGATGATGACGATGATGTGTTGTTGTTGTTGTTGCCATTCTGTGATTTCAATGTTGGTGACGATGTTTGATTTGGTAAAGAAGGCGGTGATGATGATGTTGTGTTGTTCTTGTTGTTATTCTTGTTTGATTGTTGTTGTTTAGTCTGTTGTTGTTGTTGCTTTGACTTTTTGTTATTCTTGCTGTTGCTCTTCTTCTTCTTGGAGTCCTCGCCCAAGAACTCTAACAACTCGTCAACTGTCCTATTGTCGTCCACGGCCGGTGTGTTCTGTATCTGCAGTATCTTATCCTTCTTTATCGTCTTCTTATGACTGCACTTTGATGAAAAGTATTGATTGTAGCCTGCCAAGTGAAGGTTGGTGAATGTCTCTCTAATCTCTTCTGAGCTTTTCTCTGTTATAAGTTTGGTTGATTGATTGATTGATTGATTAGTCGTCAGTCAGACATGTCTTTGCTGATGGATGATCCCCCGGGGATACACGTACGTGATATTTGCGCGGCGATCTCTCGCGATGTAAGACTGACGAGGGATTTGACATCGAGATAGTAGGAGGCGGATGCGAGTTCGCAGAGGTTTGATTGTTTCATTGAGATGAGTGCCTCGTCATGCTCGGTGATCTGTGCCGGCGTCGGGGAAGCCGAATGAAATTTACAATAGTCGATGATCGTTGCCAATATTTGTCCGCGAATCTCTGGGAAGCAGAGTATGCACTCGAGGTCCGTGTTGGAGTAGATGGTGGCCAGTAGCCGACCCTCCTTCTTGTGCAGCACGTATTTGCCCTCGATGTTGAACCAGCCGCCTAGACCATTCCTAAAGCCGACCTTTCCCGATGCAATATACTTCACTGTGCGACACATCTCTATTACACATTCCTCTAAATCATATTCATCGCCTTCACTACTAACAATCTTTACAATCTTTCTCGGTCCAATTGTTGATGTTACAGGCATTGCTGTCACTGTCGCTGTCGCTGTCGATGTTGCTGTTCCTGCTGATGTTGCCATTATGTTATTATTACTACTACTACTACTGCTATTGCTGCTATTGCTACTGCTACTGATATCACTGTTATTATTACTATTGTTTGTCATTTGTATATATGTGTATAAATATATATAATTAAATAATGCTAATAAGGACCCAAGAAGGACCTACTTTTACTAACTTGTCACTTAAGTGTGAATGTGTTATGGACACATGCACCTCTTTGAAAGCCTCAACTACTTCTTCTTAAAGTGAGTGTGTATGTGTGTGAAAGAGATAGAGATTGGTTGAGTTAAGTGTGTGTGTGTGTGTGGTGTGAACAAAGAATGAATGTTGGTTGAAGTCTTTGGTCTTCGTTTTGTTGTTGAAGTCTGCTTCCCTCCTCGATTTTAATTTTAATTTTTGAATTATTTGCGAACAAACAAAGAGATAATAATAATGAATGAATATGAATACAATATAATATCTATGTCTCATAAAGAATGAAAGAGATATACAATGTTTGTGTTGTTTATCTTATCTGTATGGGTCATTGTAACCAACGAGTTGGTCGAGTGAGTTGCATTGTGGCTCGAGTACATTGGCTTGGACAAAGGGAGTTGGTGCTTGGAAGATCATTGATTGATCGGTGTTGGTGTCGTAGTTGGGCCAGACGGTTGGCACGCTCAGTCCAATGTTGGGATTGCCATTGGCAACAAAGTTCATCCAATAGTTGTTCATGGCGTAGGCCAGCACCTGCTCGTCGGCATCAAAGGTGTAGCCGCCCAGTGACGCACTGTTGAAGATGAATGGCAGCTCGGAGCCGTGGCAGACGTGTCCCACGCAGTATGGATAGTCTGGTCCCCATGCATCAAAGGACAATACGTGCTGGAATTGGTAGGTGAAGACTGGCTCCACGCGGTTCAAGTATCTGGTCATGTTGCGGTTGGGACACACAAAGATGAAGTTGGTGCCGAGCACCGACATGACTGGACGGTTGTCCGAGTGCACAGGAGGGTATCCTGCAGCGATATCAACTGCCTTTTCATAGAACAAGAGTGCCAGCACTCCGGCGTACTCCTCCTCGGTGATGTTCTTGGCCGAGGCTTGATAGATGAACAGCAATGCCTCCTCCTTGACTGTACCAACAATCATTGGGATGTCCAGGAACTTGCCTTGCTCGATCAATGTGATGGGCTGATCGAGGATGTCGACCTCGTCCACAGTTGGTGTCCATGGCAGGAATGCGGCCAATGGGATAAGTGGGTCGACCTCTTGTTGCGCCTTGATCTGGCCCTGGATGACAGCATCAGCGTCGACAGCGAGCAGACAGGCGGGAGTGGCAGTGGGACAACCAACAGCCTTGGCAAAGTGCATAGAGTTTTGCTTGGCGACCGTACGTGTCTTGAGATCCAGCGTGAATGGGTTGCTCTCACTGATGGCCTGTTGGAACAGACCGAATGAGAGTGGCGAGGTGATGTGAGCGGCGATAGAAGTGGCGCCGGCGGACTGACCACAGAGTGTAACGCGCGATGAGTTGCCACCAAAGTAGGCGATGTTGTTTTGGATCCATTGGAGCGCCTGTCGTTGGTCCAGGAATCCGTAGTTGCCGGTAAAGTCGTCGGTCATGAGGAAGCCAAGCACTCCCAGGCGGTAGTTGATCGTGACGACGATGGCGTTTGAGCTGTTGACCATCGTGCCAGCGTTATACAACACTGATGATGCGGCACCCTGTTCAAAACGTCCACCTGGCAAGAATGCCATAACTGGTCTATTCGACTCTCCATCCACAGGCAAAGCAGTCAATGGTACAAACACATTCAAATACAAACAATCCTCACTAGTATTAGTTGGGCATGTTCCAGGTGGAAGCATACAGTTCTGTGGACATCCATACTGATTGTTTGATTGATTGATTGAGTGAGAGGTGATGTGAGTGAGTTGGTCACATGATCATTCCATTCATTCAAATTAACTTACTTGTGGATATCTCGCATCGAGTACATTTGGTTGCCATGACTTTGGATCAGTTGGTGGTTGCCAACGTGCATCTCCAACTGGTGGTGCGGCGAATGGAATCTAGTTTGTTTGATGGAGTAAGTATGATTGAGTGAATGATTGATGATTGATTGAGTGATCATTGATTGTAGCTTACACCATAGAACACTGCATAGTCATCCATGCGTAGACCTTGTACAAGTCCACCTGTAGTCTGAGCTTGAACAGTGTCATCCAACTCATTGTATTCAATATATTGGAATGCATTCATTGGCATGGCCAACATCAATGCCACCAACATCACCAAACAAACACTAGTATAAGAAGGCATGGTTATATCTATCTGTAATTGGGATTGGATTAGAATTGAATTGAATGGAATGATTGTGATTGTGATTGAATTGGACTCAATGAACACATCATCACACCTTTTGGAATGATTTGTAGAGGACGCAGACCGTCTTCAATCTTGGATATTTATGCAGATATCGGCAATTTTGGGAATTGGAAGCTCAGCCCAGGACGTGCACTCCCTCCCCCCTTGTACCAAATGTGGGTCCACACACGACCACCAATCAATCACAATCACGACCACCGCATTCCGATTACAATGTTGGATAGATAGTATCTATCTGATTGATTATTATTATGCACGCTTGGTGACCATCATTATTTGTTCAAAGTTCAATGATCCATCTCGTGAATAGTCTCCATAACTTTGATGATCAGTGATTGGTACCCGGTCAGCTGACGACTGGTCGTTGACTTGGTCATTGTCGTCATCATCATCCTCACCATCATCATCACTTCCATGATGTCTATTGAAGTGATTGTCTTTGATATTGACATTACTGATCAGTAATCTTGTGTGCTCATTGACCAATTGTTCGGGGTCCAGACTGGCACCATCACTATCTGTGATGGTTGGTGTGTCGTCAAATGGATCATACGACCTGCCCAATGAAGATGATGTCGTTCGCTTCCTTGATGTGCCTGTCGTGGATGTGGTGGGTCCGCGGAGTGATCGCAACTTGTCCACAAGGGGTCGGGTCACTTCTTTGACATGGCGCCAATAAAGATCGAATTGTAATCTTAACGCGGCAATGATGAACACGACCAAACTGAGCATGATGATCCATTGTTCGGTCGTCTCCCATAGTGCATTGTCAAGATATATACAACAGACGAATAATAACATCAAAGAGATGGTCTCCAAGTGATTGTCGTTGGCCTGCACGAATGGCTGGTACTTGAGCTGAAGGAACAGCGATCCAAACGACAGCACCACCAGCGAGATCGAGCGCTGTGGCGCAGCCAGAGGCAGCAGTGACAGCGTGACTATTACAAGTCGCTTACACAGCAGCACAACGTCCCAGAAGTAGAAGCGAGGTTTGTACTTGAGGAAGAACACTCCAAGCTTGCGTCCAATCTCTCGCTCTTGGTGCATCCTGCGGCGATAATAGAACAGTAACGCCATGATACCGCTTGGAAACAGGAATACAAAGGACATGAGGCCGAGGGTGACCTTGCGCGCTGTGTCGTACTGGTCGCCTGCACACTGCACGCCTTGGTTGGCGTTGAGCAGCACGTACGAGCCCACGTGGTAGCAGAACAGGATCAGCATGATCTCCGTGATGAAGGGGCCGTACGAGTTCATGCAGATCTTGATAAAGGCCGAGAACTGGCGCGAGCGGAAGTCGCGCTCACTCTCGTTAACGAATGTTCTGATGACGGGCACGCGGAACAGGATGCCTGTGCGGCGCAGCCCCCACTCCATTGCCACGATCACCAAGAGTATCGCAAACATGATGAGTGGCTGCATCAGGATGATGTAGTGATTGGTGTAGAATCCCATCGGGCCCATACAATCACTCATGAATGAGATGATTGATGACGTGCCGCCACTGCCGGTATGACTAGATTGCGATCCACTTATAGCGCTCATTATACTGAACTTGATGCCATTGGATATCACCACCAAGTTCTGGACAAAGTACATTGCGATGGTCACCAATCCCTTTGAATTATCAGACATCTGTTGGAATAGTACCAGAAAGAATGATATCAACAACTTGAGTACGATCACTGTAATATTTGGACCATCCACATCTGATTGATTTGATTGATTGAGTTAGTGTTTGATTGTGATTGGAATCATTCCAGCCCCAGTCCCAGACCCAGATACATACGCTTGCAACCTGATCCACAGTTGTAATAGCCTGGAATGCATTCGGCACAGAGCGGACCGGTGTAGTCGGCACTGCAGTTTCCGTCATGGCATAGACCTGGCGGACATTGGTATGCTACAAGGTCGTCTAGACTGTCCTCTATCCAGTATCCATCGGCAGGCAAGTATGAAGGTCCATTGCACACGACGTTCGACGGACATACACTGCACGTCAGTCCATTGCTACCGTAGCTGCCGGCTTGACACGGCGAGCACAACAAGTCGTTGGAGCTCGGCATATGTCCCGCGCTGCAATTATTGAACGTCACCTCTGAAGTCTGTTCTTTGATGTTTGGCTCATTGCTCGAGAACACTATGTTGGTCGTCGCGCCAATGTCTCCAAACAGTGTGATGTTGACAAAGTGTGCGGTGCCATCGGGCGTGATCTGGCACGACTGGAGGAACTGGCCGCCCACTGACACGTAGACATAGCACGTGGAAGTGTGACAGAACTTGTTGGTCAAGTTGTTGCCATTGGCGTCCTGCAGTTGGATGTCGAATCTGTAGCCGTGGCTGCCACTGTCGATGCTGGGTGGTATGCCATAGACACTATAGTTGAGCCCTGTGTAGATGATGGAGAAGTAGGCCGTGCCCAGCGCCACCTCATTGCCATAAGTCTGTGTGTTGTTGGTGAATGTCGACCCATTGATTAGTGGCCCCTGCACCAAGTAATATATGATCGAGCCTTCGTTGGCCCAGTTGCTGACGGCCATCACATCGTCCATTAGTACTTCCACTGTGGACGACGTGTAGACCAGGCCACCTGTCTGCTGCGCCGAGTTCAGTTCGAATGTCGAGTTGATCAGATTGAGCGTGCTCTGGCCGGACGAGGCCATCACACCACCTTGTCCAGCGTGATTGTGATCAAAGTTTGATTGAGTGATCTGGACGATTGCGCCATCGGCTGCGTGCAGGACCGGTGCCATAGGTGCCGAGTTGAAGCTGCCGGTGATGTTGAATGCTTGGACCTTGGTGGTGTCGTAGCAGCCGATCAGACTGACCTGGATGTTGCGCAGGAACTGTGTGTGGTAGATTTGCAGGTTGCTGGCGGCGCGAGCTTCTATGTACTGGCAACTGCTGTCCGAGATGATGTTGGACGTCTCGAAGAGGTTTGTTTCGTAGAGGTTGTAGAAGGATTGGCTGCTGCACACAATATGGTGGAAAATGTTGTTCGTGGAGTGTATCTCTGAGTTGAGTATATTGCCAGCTTGGCCCACGCTCATGTCCTCCATCCGGTTGTTGGACAAGTGGATCATCGATTGAGTGCCAGATATGAATGCTCGTGTGCCTTGGAACATGGTGTTTGAGATGTTGACCGTGGACATGTCGACTTGGAGCGGGTTCAGCTCATCCATGAACGTGCAGTTTGTGATGATCAGCTGGCTTGTCACCGCCATTATCGTGTTTGATGTGCTCGTGTTGAAGAGTGTCGCGTCGAAAGTGACATTGCTCTGGAAGGCCAGGATGCCATAGTTGGCGGCATACTGCTGGAACGTGCTGTTTCTGATGCGCAACGCAGAGTTCTGGACCAGGATGATGTTCTCGTCGTAGCCTTCACTGGCAAACTCTACATTGGTCATGCGGAGGAATGACTGCATGGCGCAGGTGGTCATTGATACGCGCGAGTCACTCACATCGACCGCGTCCACAATGTTGATCGAGAGGGCGCAGGGCACCTCGTCAATGCCCGGGGAGCCGTCATTCAATGTGCTGTTGCTGATCACCGCCCATTGTAAGTTGAGCAGGTACGCGGCCATCGAGCCGCGGAACACACAGTTGCTCATCGAGATGATCTCGTCGCCAAACAGGCCGGTCACATAAAGTGCGTAGCCAGTGTATCCTTCAAAAACGCTATTGTTGAACTGGATGTTGTTGAGGTAGTTCAATGTGATTGAGTTGTTGGCCATGCGTCCAAAGTGGCAGTTGTTGACGTATAGTAGCGACATGCCCGAGATGAGTATGGCCGAGCCTTGCTCCAGTGTGTTGGGCCGCTCAAACACCAAAGAGTCCAATGTAAGCGAGTGATAGACGTTGGTAGCAACGAATGATATCAGATCAAGTTGATCTTGACCAGTTATTATCGATCGATTGGTCTCATCATATGATCGCAATGTTATATCCTTGCCTTTGGTATCCAAATAACTGTTTCCAAGTCCACAGTATGAACCTGGCATCAAATAAATCGTCGAGTTTGAGTTGGCCGAAAACAATATCGCCTGTTGTACTGATGAGTATGGTGCCGCCATCGTTCCATTTCCAGTTATATCACTTCCATTTGTCGAGACATAGTATGCATGAGCTAGATTTGAGTGTGAGTAGCAATGGGTTAGTGTGTGATCATGTGTTGGAAGTTGGAGTGATTGATTATCCCTCGAATGATTCAAGGTGAGGCATCATTGAGGTATTGGAATGATTCCAGGATGGTATGATTGATTGAGTGTTTGAGCGAGTGGTGATTTGACTAACCTTTGCCAAAGTTGTGATCGATGTCAGATGTCGAAGATTGATTGCAACTACTGAGCTGGATGGGTATTCGCATGGCCTTGTAGTCCTCGACGTATATATAGTTTACAGTGGATGTTGGGAATAGTATTGCCATGGCCAAAGTATATCGTTTACCAGTTAGATAGGTGAATGGTATAATGAATGATTGAGTCGTTGACTCATATTGAGTGAATGTTGGTGTAATATCAAACACAACATCATCATCAATATAAAACAGTATATATACATTCATCAATGGTGTATCCAATGTGAATGATACCTCCACTGCTTCATTGGGTCCGACATCAGGAAGCGTGACAGTCTGATTCAAAAAGTAGACAAACTCTTGATAATAATCAGTGATCATTCCAATCTTTGCTGCGTAGTATCCAAATATAGTAGTCTCCTGAAATCCTTCGTCCAACTGTCTATGGAAGCTAATATCCACAACACCAGGGTCCACACTATAGCTCCAAGGTTGATCACTGTTATTATTGGCAATCATTGAGAAGCCCCAATCATGTATTATTCCAATATCTGAATATGTATGCTATGTTAGTATGATTGTTTGATTGATTGATTTGATTTGATTTGATTGATCAAACATACTACATGGTTGTTCAACATCCGATGCGTAGGAGTCGGGACCTTGGTCAAGGTCATCGATTGTGATTGACACATCTTGTGAGGCCAAAGATCCAATCGATGACCAACACAACAATGTCAATAACAATGTTATAATATATATTATATGTACAGTTCTCATTTGTTGAGAGATAGATAATGTAGTGATGAATCAATTGTTTGATTGATTTTTAATCTCTGATGACCCCTAAGGCCTCGGTTTTGAGTCAAAAACCAAGATGAGAGGACAACCTTCACACGCAGACCCAAGATATTTTGATGAACCCCGTCTTTGGTTTGAAGGACCTGCAAGGATTGCAAGGTATCAGAACAAATTTTATATATTGTTTTCTGCAATGATTGATTAATTGATTGAATGATTGAATGAATGAGGTCATTGTCCTGCGGGACAAACTACCATTTACTACTCTTGAATCCAGCATGTTGAGCAAGAAGGAATCGTTTCTCTTCGTACTCGTGTGCGATACATTCTGGGATGCACTTGTCAATTGGTAGTTCGCAAGTTGGTACACATCGGATAAGGTCTCTGATCGCCCATCTAGAGAATATTCGGCAATATGATCCATCTCCATTGACTTTATAATTTAGTCTAAGCATTCCTTTTTTAGAACAATCAAATACATAATTATTGTCATTATTATAAGATATTAAATAATCGAATAATATATCTTGTAAATCTTTGTCCTTGTATATGAATACGACATCGTCTTCTAACATCAAACAATATACTTTATCACACATCTTGAGTGCTTCGACGTATATACGCTTGATATCCTCCTCGATTGGACCGGTAAGATTATGTATTTGATCATTTCCTTCTAATGTATATGGTACTAATGGTGCAAAGTTTGTTCTTTTCAACATTGATCTAATATTATCAGTCCTATTACTTGTTATTACTATTGCTAATCTCTCTGTGAGTGTACCTGATATATCAAGTTTACTCCTTGATATCAACTTTAATGGTTCAACATATAAAGTTACCAAGAATCCAATCTGAATAATAACTGCCAATATAAACAATATTTGTATTCTTTGTTGACATGGAGTTTGTCTCCTTGCAATACAAAATATTGTCATACTTATAATTATAACTATTAATATTATTGATTGATTATTATTATTATTAATGATTTAATTATTATTCAACATTATGAGTTATTTATAATCATCTGGTCCAATGAATGAATGAATGAATGAATGATGAATGAATTCAAGTACGAGTGAACACGTTGACAGGTCAAGGTTATAATAATATGTTCATCCTATCCGGAAATGGAATATGATGTACTTTGATGATCCGATCGACGTTGCTAACCCCATTAGTGACCACCATTATTTTATAACTATTGTGATCTTTGACTTTCATCACAACTGAAATTGAAAGTCCAAAACCCAAAGAACTTCCAAAAACTCACAACTTCAACAACTTATACTTCCCACTCACACACACCAAGCACATCACTCCCTGGTTTGTTCGAACAAAGGACATCCGTCTATCATCGTTTGTTCATATTGTTATAATAATAATACTAATATATATATATTTATAATCAATCAATAATGACAAACAAGAATAGATCAAAACATCATAATCATCAACAACAGCAACAGCAACATCGTTCAACAAATGTTCAACATCAACAACAAAAACAACATGTTATAGAACAACTTCCTATTATTGATGATAAGGCAAAACAGGGATCATTCTCAAAGACAAGTTGGAGACAGTATATGGATATATATGATAGGGCTGCAACAGCGTTGGTTAATCAAAAGGTGCCATCACTCGATTTCCTTAGACCTTTGAATAGTGAGGAGAATGAACATCACCTGAACACTCAATCAGACAATGAACTCAATGATATAATACGCATGGCATTCTACTGTGCATTCACAACTACTACAACGACAACGACATCATCACATCGTTCACACAATGATGCAGCCGACAACAACATTGGCATCACATCTTCATGCTTTCTAAATCTAAACGAACATATAGCGATAAATGATAGTTGGTTACATTATTTCACATCGTTGATAAAGACCAAGAGCAAAGATACATGTATCTTTAGAATCAAGTCTTACAAGTCAAAGTTTACCAACGCGACGTCTGACAACATGTCTGAAAGTGGCGGCGGCTGGTCGTCATCTATTGGCATCAACAAGTTGCAGACGACCGATCCCCTGCTAGGCGGGTCCAAACACTCAAACAAGCGAGCGATGGAAGTACGCAATGGATTCTTTGTCGATGATCTGGACGTGGACAATGAGGAGGAGGACAAGGACATAATATTACGCTATCGTTATCAGAAGGACTTTGTGTTGGTCAAGGATGGCAGGCCACAGATTGTCACGCTGTGTCCAGACTGGGGACTACCATTCCATTTCAAGGAGATATCAATACCCGCTTCATCGTCCCCATCATCAGTTCCACCACCATCGAGAAAGCAAAGGAATGCCAATCACAAACAATCATCATCGTCCAATTCACAGTCCTCTTCTGGTTCATCATGGGGCAGTAACTGTTCACTTATGTAATACATGTGATATGTTGATTGACTTATATAATAAATAATTCCATTACTCTTATTTACTGTTGTTGTTGTTGTTGCTGTTGCTGCTTCAGTTGCTTCTTCTTCAGACGTGCTGCCTCCTCCTCTTCCTCCTGTCTTCTGAGCTCGGCCTCTTTGGCCTTGCGCACTGGCACCAACTCTGCGTACTTTTGGATCTTGGCATGTTGCTTGGCGTCCAGGATCGTGTTGGTCATCTGTGGATTGTTGTTGAAGAATGCGGTGAAACAATTGATCATGTACTCCAACTCGTCAATGTCGTCCACTGGTGTCTCGAAGCTGCCAGCATCGCCATCGTTCTCAAACAGCTCCTCTTCGTCGTCGCCTTCCAGGTCCTCGCCCTCGATCTCACACTCGTCGTCGTACTCCTCGTCGTCGCCGAGCTCGCCGCCCTCCTCAAAGTGCTTGGTCATCTTCTCGAGGTCGCGCAGGTACACCTCCTCGGCGTCCACATAGTCTTCGTTGTCAGGCACGGCCATCAGCTCAAAGTTTCCATCCTCGTCGTACATATCGTCGTCGTTTGCAATATCATAGTCTTCGTCGTCCTCCTCGCCTTCGTCTTCCTCGTCGCCAGCCACGCCATTCTCCTCGGCCTCCTTAGCAGCCTCGGCATCCTCCTTCTCGATCTTCTTCTCGATGAACAGCATCTCCTTCATCAGCAACATGATCTTGTTGAGCAGCAGCTGCGCGCCGTGCTGAACGAATGCTGGTGCAGGCTGAAGAGTCAGAAGTGACGACAGTCCAAGGACAGCAATCTTCTTGTCGTAGAAGCGCTGGAACTTCTTCAAATTGGCGAACCAGGTCTCGAACACGGGCTGGATCAGGTTGTTGGCCGTCAGACTTTGGATGGTGAGTGCGGCGTTGTAGTACAGACAGTTGGAGATGAGCTCCAGCAGGTAGACAACCAGCTCCTTGGACATCTGGTTCTCCTTGGACTTGTTGAGGAGACGGGCGGACGCGATCTTGATGACTGGGTCGATGATGTGGTCGACACGGCCACGGCAGCGCTGCAGAACCGACTCCATCAGCTTGCAGGACTCTTGTGTCTCGTACGATGGCATGTTGATGTCTCCAACCATCTTCTCAAAGATGCCTGTGATCATGCCCAGATAGGGTGTGCCAGGGGCCAGGAACTGTTCGGTGCCGTAAGAGATGAAGTTGTCGAGTGGGTTGACCATGCTGTCGATCATGTCGCAGGCGCAGTCGTGGAACACGCTAATGATCTTGGGGAAGAGCGACCAGACCTGTGGGGAGATGGTGCGCGGGTAGAATGTGATGAATGTGAGGATACGCATGGCCTCCTCAAAGAACATGATGTGCTCGGGCACGATGATCTTCTCGAGCACGGGAACAATGGTGCCCTCGAGCTGCACAAACACATCGGGAACATCGATCATTGCGCTGAGCATCGTGCGGAAGGTTGTGAGACACTCCTGGGCAGCCATGGCCGAGTCATCGTTGTCATCCTGGTCGACAAGACGCATGAACGACTCGGAGAGCTTGGCGGTGAGAGAGACAGCCAGTGGTGCGATCTCCTCTTTGTAGCGACGAATGATTGAGGTGAGCGAGGTGATGAGATCGTCAGAGTCGATCTCTCCCATCAGCGCAAAGATCTTGTCCAGAAGCTGAGCGAGCACGGGGCGCAAGTCGTTAGTGCCCTGCTTGACGCGCACAAGGTTGCAGATGGCGACACCAGCGCGCACACGCACTGCCAGGTCGGCATCGGACAGCAGGTGCAAGATCAGCTGCAGCGCGCTCGAGAAGTTGGCGGCGTTTGTGAACTGGATGTTGTAGAACTCGCTAAACAGCCAGACACCGTGACCACGCATGTGGCCCAGCGGGCTGGACAGCTCGGGGAACACGTGCAGCACCATCATCTGCTCCAGATTGGAGCGATATGGCTCCATCTTCTTGAGGTAGGTGGACAGCGCGCCAATGATCGAAAAGACGCCAAACTTCTCGCTGGTGTTGCGTTGATCGGCGGGCAACTGATTGTAGCGAGTCAAGTGTCCAATGCAGAACTGCATGATGCTGTCCAGGTTGGCGCGGCCACGCTTCTCGACCAATGCCAGCAGGAAGTTGTAGCACTCGCAACGCACTGTGTAGTACTCCTTCATTGTGTCAAACTGCGAGCGCAGGTACTCATGCTGGTCCTCCTCGTAGAGCTCGGCGTCAGCCTCGCTGTAACAGACGAGAGGGAAGATGATCTGCGAGATGAATGTGCCCAATGCGGGCTTGAGCACTGGGTACAGCTTGCCGTAGCCAATCGATGTGGTGAAGAACTCGACGACGAACTGCAGGTAGCGCTCGTGGAAGAGGCCCTGCTGTGCGGGGTTGTGTGCAGCGCGGGCCTGCAGCACTTCGGTGTGCAGCAGCTGCATGGTGGCCAGTGCATACTTGTCCATGAACAGCTCGGCCAGCAGACGCTTGGTCTGGAAGTCTGACTTGCGCAGCTGCATCTGTTTGCGTAGCAGTGAGTTGAGGATGTTGGCCACGCACTTCTTGAGCAGCCACCATGGGTGCTTGGCGAGCGCGATGGGGGTGGTCGCGGGCTCGGCGATTGGCGCGCGGATAACGCGGAAGAAGTGTTCCATCCACGCGTTGAAGATGGCGGGCTGCACGACGATGCTGGGCACGTCAAAGTTGATCGTGTACAGGAAAATCTTGAAGATCCTGCGCTGCATGACGGCGGCCTCGACCGAGGTGAGGGGCGCGACTACCAGCTGTGCGAGGATCGCCTGCAGCAGCGGGAAGACGCGGTCGCAGATGGCAAAGAGTGGCTTGCGACGAGTCTCTCCCTCGGGGATGAACTGGTACTTCTTGATGGCCACCTGCAGTGCGGTGAGGCCGGCCATGACCAACGCCGTGTCTGCCGAGCCGATGTAGCCGATGGACTTTCTCGAGCAGCGATGGCCACTTCTCGGGGAAGTCTCTGTTGGCGATGATCTCAATCATCTGCTCGACCTGGTTCTTGATGAGATGATGCGAGTGCACCAATGCCTCGAGTATATTCTCCTTGATGAATGAGGCGTCTGTGTCGGACATGATTGCCTGTGGCTCATCAGACACGTATCCACGCCACTTATGAACGATCATATTCTTCAGATACACTGCACCAGCTTGACGAATCGATACATCAAGTTCATTCGATGCTATAACTCTCAAGATCACCTGAGGGAATCCTTCCTGTGATTTAAGCTGTTTGATTGATTGACATGTGTGTCAGAGTCATTGTTCGTTCATTGATTGATGGGTAGGTAGGCCCCTTTGAGTGTCTCCTGTCATTCGTCGTCATCGATGTCGCTATCGTTGTCGTGTGGCCTACCTTTTGAAGTTGATCCTCGGCTTGTTGTCTGATTGTTTGATCATGATGCAACGTATGTTGCAGTGAATGAATAGATATTTGAATCAAATTGTCCATTCTTATCTATATATGTATGAATGTATATATTATAACAACAACAACTAAGTATATGTTTGATTGATTGAATGATTGATGACCATGAGCTTGAGTTGAGCACATGCATTCACCCCAACTCTCTCTCGCGCGAACAAGCCCACTCTCCCACTCGACTCGCGTCTTTGTTTGATTTATTCTTTTTTTCTTTCAAAAAAACGACCGAAAGAGTTGCCCTCAAGGGCAAGGGCAAGGGTAAGGGTAAGGGTTATTGTACATTGTATTTTTCTTTGATGTAGTCGAGTAGATGTTGATGACCTTCTTGCTTGGCAAATTGAATTGTAATGTCTATTTCTTCAGAGTTTGAATGCCTCTTGACCATCTCGAATAGGTCAATGTCACCAAGTTGTCCAGCAAGTTGCCATCCAGTGGCACCGAATATCTCTACATTGACCGAGGTCCACTCTAATAGATACTTGACCACCTGGAAATGACAACCAATATAGGCATAATCCACAAACACAGAGTTGTTGTCGAATATCTCTGGTCGATGCTCCACCAACAACATTATTATCTCCATGTTTCCACATTTGGCTGCCACTTGGCCGATTGTTTGATAGTCGATTTGATGATGTACGCGCGAGTCCCTTGGTAGTGACATAAGAATGTACCGCAGCAGGTTCATGTCATACACCACGACGTGTGACATGACGTCCAGATTGGGTTTGATTCGAAGTATGTATTGTAGTTGCTCCACAGTGGCCTTGAGCTCCAATGATGTGATCGTCGGCAATGTCATCAGGCTGACGACATCTCTTGATGGGAATAGATAGTGTAGTATTGACAAGCCGACCTGTGGGTCGGGGTTCTTGCAGGCCGACACCATCGCGTCGGTCAAATGCTGGCCAGTTGTGCCGCGTGCGATCATTATGTGATGGATGGCCATCACCTGGGAGAGTGTGCCAAACTGGCAGAACCATGACAGCACTGGTTGGCTGTCGTTAAAGTCCAACAAGTACGGAATCAGTCCTATCTCACGACTCTTGATGACCTTGCGCGCAAACATCACTGAGAAATCACTCAATCGTGCAAAGAGATTGGAGTACATCTTGCTGACGCACACCACCAGCTTCATCAGGTTGTACAGCTTCCGACTCAAAACACTGGCGTCGGGGTCCATTGTAGTGATGACAAAGTTCAAGTCGGCGCATTGTTGTCTGGCCGTGTGTGTTGACGCCTTGATCAATGAGTCCACAGTGTCGTCCACGTGCTGGCCAAAGTCAAAGGTGTCCTGGAAGAAGTATCGGCCAATCAAATGGACGACCTTGATGTGTTCGTCATACTCAAACTTGTAGGCCCTGTTGCAGATGGTCAGCAGGACATCCTTTGGTGAGATCATGCCCTTGGTGATGAGCCCGCGTATCAGGCTTGTCTGATTGTCGTGTCCAAACATCTCCTCGATGAACTCGCAATCCATCGTAGCCATTATATATCTCGTTTGTTGATGAGCGTGTTCGCGCATTGATGGTGCCAACTCGGGGAATTGCTCCAATACGCGTCGAATGAGTGCCGCGTCGCAGAGTGAGTACAACGCAGAAGCAGAGGTTGGTTGATGTCGGTAGTTGCGCGCATTGATGCCCAACAATGATTGAACAAGTTCGTCCTTGGTGAATGAGCCCTCACCAACTATGGCGTCAAAGTAGAAGCGAGCTGTGTCAAAGTGTTTGCTCATCCATGCGTTCTCAAAGACTTCGAGCCGCGAGAACTTTATCGGCTGCGTCTGGCCAAACAGCAGCGCGGCCACCTCGAGCGAATCGTTGTGCGTGGCGGCCAGCTGAAGAAGCTGAGAGTAGCGGAAGTGCTCGCGATGTGTATTGTAGATGTGCGTGAACAGGTCACCCCGGTTCACGTGTGAGACCACCGCCTCGACGGCGGCCATGTCGTCAAAGGATAGACGAGTAAAGTGCTTCTCAGCCAGCAGGCCAAAGTGTCCATTGCGGCAAATGTCGGCAACAGTGTTCCATTGATTATAATAGCGGCGTACACAACCGTGTGCGTACAGCCTGCCATGTGATCTCTTGAATGCCAATATATTGGAGAGGTGATGCATCTCCTCCAACCGTTGTTCATGCTCCATTGCATAATGTACAATACGTCTAAGCAATGTCCTATTACTCAGTACCCTATATATTGATGATGATGATGAGATTGATGGTGTCGTTGTCATCATTGTTGTTGTAGTTTTATCTTCATCGCCATTATCATCATTATTGTTGATGTCGATGCTATCGAGGTTGATTATTAGCTTATCGACTGACATGATTATATATTTGATTGGTTATACATGTACATGATGACAAACAACAATAAATATCACAACAAAGTGAACATTTTTGGCAAGAACAATAAAGTCGCGTCATGTCACTCCCTTCATTATTGCTCATGTCCAGATACACTAGGTTTGTTTCGATTACTTCTCTGCATGTTTACTTCCTAACCCTGGTTACGGACCAACAGGTCCATGAATTAGACCAATCTCTCTTTCGAAAAAGACCTGAACAGACGCCAACCATTCATATCCAAGTGCTTTTGCTACATGTATATTCTTATACCTTACTCATATTCATATCATACCGAGAGCAACAACCTCACAATACTAAATAGAATTTGAATGAAGTGCGGAAGAGCTCATGATTATTGATGACTTCTGGTTTGTTACTGATGCTGTTGCTGTGAGTGAACCATTCGGAATGAATGATTGTATGAATGCACAGGAGGGAGGGATGTATAGATACACACAACCCAACTCAATCTTAAACACATATCATCTAGTGTGGGCTTGTGCTGGAGAGGACCACTCACTCACTTACTCACTTCCACCTTACCTGACCTTTAAACACCACACCACATTGGTGATCAATGAAGAACTTAGAGTGGTGTTGCATGAATGAACACACTCACTCACTCACTCACTCACTCATTCACTCATTCATTCATTCATTAAGCCACACTGGAAATGTGCAGATCAGCAGCGAGCTAGATATATACGATCACCTCAGTCCTATCAACCATTATTAACCATAGCTGAGCATACTTCCTTCCATGTAGCACACGAGCATGCTGGCTGGCCAACTTGAGTGACCTAGGTCTAAAGGGGTGTGGGGGATCACACTCTCTTGCTCACCGAGCATGTGATAGCTAAGTAGTGTTTGGTTAACAATGCCCACACACAGTCCTCGCCTCTAGTATATATCATATACTACTCATTCGCGTGCATATCAATCACACCATGTGTATCAGCCATTCATCCATCCATCCATTAATCAATCAATCATTCAATCCAACACACTCACCTTTAGCCCCACCAGCGCCAAAGTAACCATGATGTATCCTATGCATCCGATGCATGCTCCTGCACTCACCTGGCCTGGCCACACGCGGCACACGGCTCACCTCATCCTACTATAGTAACAATCAACACAACAACACTAAACAACATCAACAACAACACATTAAGCAGGTGATTACACTTAAATTACACTTACAATGCATGTATGTATGTGCTCCCAAGCTACAAGCTGGTGTGGCACCTTTCATTTAATCCTTCCAGCTCTCACTACTCCTCTTCCTCCTCCTATACAACTCAATCACATCAGTCACTGATAACCAACTAATCAATCAATCAATCAAACAACTTAGTAGTTAGAACAAAGAACAAAGAACAACAACCAATTTGTAGCCCAGTCCATCACAACTAACAATCAATCGACGTTGCTTCCTTCTCCTTTATTATTATTATTTATATATATTATTATACTATTATATATAACAATCAATCAATAATATATATAATATACAACCAAACATGAAGCTACGCTACTGCTTACTTCTTGTTACATTACTATTTGTCGCAATCAATGCGCAGGGTAGGTAATCAAACTCAAACACATGTGTTTCCGCGTGGCTAATGGAAGTTTGACGGAAACACACTGGCAACACGCCACACACATGTCCACTGACACACATCCAACCAAAACAAACCATATCAACAGACAATTGTGAGTCCATAACGGACCTGCAAACATGTGAGGCGAACCCAAGTTGTGTGTTCCTGTTCTACAATACATGCTGTGGCAAGGAGGTGCACTACTGTGTCAGCAATAACAACTGTAACTCGGAGCTCAGCTGCATGAAATCAGACAATGGCGACATTGCAGAGTTCTGGAACACCTGTAGACCAAGCAAAGGTTTCTCTCACTACCAGATGCCCAACGCCACCTGTGAGAGCCTGGGCTGCGCCGACAACTGTGACTGGATCGAGTCGACCCCATGTTACGGAACATCCTGTTGCCCAAGAGTCCCAGTCTGCAAGGGTGCCTCCTCCGGAAGCTCATCCTCTGGCTCGTCCTCTAGTTCATCCTCATCCTCTGGCTCATCCTCGTCCTCGGGCTCATCATCCTCGTCATCCAGCACTGGCACTCTTCCAAGAACCTGTGCCGGTTACGAGTGTGCTAGCACCCACCACTGTGTGATGATCTCCAACGTTCCAGTCTGTATCCCAGTCTCCACCGGCACCACTGCCACTGGTACCTCTGGCTCATCCTCATCCTCTGGCTCCTCCTCCTCGAGCTCTGGTACCTCTGGTGGCGACCTCTGCCGCTACGTACAGTGTGACCCAAGCTCATTCTGCTCGCTCATCAACGGCAAGCCAAAGTGTATCCCACACACTGTCACCTCGACCTCAGCCACCTCCACCTCTGGTACCTCTGGCACCTCTGGCGGCGACCTCTGCAGCCACTTGAGATGTGACGTCGGCTTCCACTGCGAGTTGCTCGGTGCCAAGGCCACCTGTGTCGCTGACAAGCAAGGACTCTCATGCGCCAACATCATCTGCCCACTCGGCTTCCACTGCTCAATGTACACTGGCGTCCCAACCTGCGCCTGTGACAACGTCCCAGAGACCTGTGACAACTTCAAGTGCCCACCAAACCAGCACTGCGGTATCGTCAAGGGCAAGGCCACCTGTCTTGCCGGCGCCCTCGTCACCACCACCGCCACCACCACTGCCACCACCGGAGTCACCACCACCGCCACCACCACCGCCACTCTCGGTGGAACAACAACCGCAACACCACCAACTGACTGCTGCACCAACTTCCAGTGCCCACAGGGTAAGAAGTGTGTCGAGGTCAACGACGTGCCAACCTGCGTGGACATCCCCCACGTCTGTGCCTCCGTGGTCTGCCCCAACGGCCTCAAGTGCATTGAGCTCAACAACAGCCCAACCTGTATCAACGCCGACCAATCCATCCCACCCGTCTGTGTCAACGTCACCTGTCCATGGGGCAGAAGATGTGTTGAGCTGAACAACTGGGCCGCCTGTGTCCCCAACCCAACCCAGCCACCCAAGGAGGACTGCTGCGCTGGCGTCTGGTGCCCACCAAACCAGAAGTGCATTGAGAACAACGGAGCTGCCCTCTGTGTTGCCGCCCAGCCAGACTGCTGCACCGGAGTCACCTGCCCAATTGGCTTGAAGTGTGTTGACGTCCAGGGTGCCGCCACCTGTGTTACCATCACCCCAACCCCAAGACCAGATTGCTGCACCGGAGTTACCTGCCCAATTGGCTTGCAATGCGTTGACATCAAGGGTGTTGCCACCTGTGTCACCATCCAGCCAACCCCAAGACCAGACTGCTGCACCGGAGTCACTTGCCCAATTGGCTTGAAGTGTGTTGACATCAAGGGTGCCGCCACCTGTGTCACCATCACCCCAACCCCAAGACCAGACTGCTGCACCGGCGTTACCTGCCCAATCGGCTCCAAGTGTGTTGATGTCCAGGGCGTTGCCACCTGTGTTACCATCCAACCAACCCCCAAGCCAGACTGCTGCGCCGGAGTCACTTGCCCAATTGGATTGAAGTGCGTTGACCTCCAGGGTGTTGCCACCTGTGTCACCATCCAGCCAACCCCAAGACCAGACTGCTGCACCGGCGTTACCTGCCCAATCGGAGCCAAGTGTGTTGACATCCAAGGTGTTGCCACCTGTGTCACCATCACCCCAACCCCAAGACCAGACTGCTGCACCGGCGTTACTTGCCCAATTGGCGCCAAGTGTGTTGACATCCAAGGTGTTGCCACCTGTGTTACCATCACTCCACAGCCAACCCTCAAGCCAGACTGCTGCACCGGCGTCACTTGCCCAATTGGATTGAAGTGTGTTGACCTCCAGGGTGTTGCCACATGTGTCACCATCCAACCAACCCCAAGACCAGACTGCTGCACCAACGTTGCCTGCCCAATTGGCACCAAGTGTGTTGACATCAATGGAGTTGCCAACTGTGTTACCATCACCCCACAGCCAACCCCAAGACCAGACTGCTGCACCGGCGTCGTCTGCCCAATTGGCACCAAGTGCGTTGACATCCAGGGCGTTGCCAACTGTGTCACCATCACCCCAGCACCAACCAACTGCTGCACTGGCACCATCTGCCCAGCTGGCAAGAGATGTGAGGACCGCCAGGGAGTCGCCTACTGTGTTGACTTGAACCCAACTACCTTAATCCCAACTCAGCCACCCACAGACATTTGCTCCAGCATCGCCTGTCCAGCAGGAATGAGATGTATCTCGAACAATGGCAAGGGTCAATGCATCTACAATTAAGCATCGTCATCATATACACACAACACACAAAGCTGGCTGTATACCTTGTCCGTAACAACAAACTAACTACAATAGGCTATGAGGTACCATGTGGTGGAACACCTTTGGCATTTACATACACCTTATTATTAAGCACTCTCTTTGATTACCTATATATATGAATAAAACAAAGGTCTAAAAGTATATTATTACTGTTATTGTTTATTTATTTGTTTGATATTGATCCAAGTTGGCGGATTTATTTATTATTAATTGATGTGTTTCCAATGACTTACTCACGCCCAACTGACAAGGACACGTTAAAGATAGTCCATTAACAAGGACACGTTATTCCTGTTTACATACTAAATCCACTGGATAACCTAAGGTAGGGAATTGATTAATAATAAATAAATCCGCCAACTTGTGATCATTTACTTTTAAAAATAATGTTCCTTTCCAAACTTGATAATGTTATTTATTGAGTTGTAATTTGATTGTTCTTGATAGGTTTGAATGAACGATTCAAAACTATAGTTGGCATAATTAAACATAGATGAATCCTGCTGCCACATTGAAGGCCTTGCTCGAGTCGACTGTTGTAGGGGCGACAATGAAACAGTACTTGGATGTTCTGTCAAACTTATTGTCAGCACCAATTGGACCAGTTACGTAGGTACCTTGTGGGTCGTTCATTTTGATGCAGTAGTCTCCGGCGGTAATGTTTTCCAATCTGAAGCCATCATAAAACTTGGATGCATCAGTAGTGAAAGTCTTGAGAACATTACCAGCCTTATCAGTCAGCTCACCCTTCATGCCTCCCAACCATGGCTCGCCAGAGTTGGACACGCCATCTTTGCTTGTGTCTATCCATGAATATCCACGAATGGTATATTCCACTGGAACGAATCCTGCTGGCACGTTGAAGTTTCCGCTGCTGTCAACTGTAGTTGAGTTGATCATGAAACAGTACTGTCCAGTTGAGTCAAATTTGTTGTCAGCTCCAATGGGTGAGGGGACGTAGGCACCTTTGGGGTCGGTCAACTTGATACAATATCTGCCCTGGATCAAGTTGTCCAATCGGAAGCCATCATAACCCTTGGCGGCTTCTGTGGTGAAGTTCTGGAGCACATTGCCATTGCTGTCAGTTAACTGGCCATCAATCTTGTCGAGCCATGGCTCTCCAGGATTGGACACTCCATCCTTGCTGGTGTCGATCCAAGAGTATCCACGGATAGTATACTTCGGTATCTTGGTGAATCCTGCAGCAATGTTGAGGTTTCCATTGGCGTCAACGGTGGTCGAGTCAAGCGAGAAGCAGTATTGGCCAGCCGTGTTGAACTTGTTGTCAGTTCCAATTGGTCCCGTGGCGTAGTTACCCTGTGGATCGGTAATCTTGAGACAGTATCTGCCAGGAAGCAGGTTCTCGCAACGGAAACCATCATATCCTTTTGAGGCGTCGGTTGTGAAGTTCTGGAGCACCTTGCCATTGATGTCAGTCAACTCGCCCTTCATTCCACCCAACCATGGCTCTCCAGCATTTGACACTCCATCATTGCTGGTGTCAATCCAAGAGTATCCACGGACTGTGTACTTGGGTATCTTTGTGAATCCAGCAGCAATGTTGAGGTTTCCATTGGCGTCAACGGTGGTCGAGTCAAGCGAGAAGCAGTATTGGCCAGCCGTGTTGAACTTGTTGTCAGTTCCAATTGGTCCCGTGGCGTAGTTACCCTGTGGATCGGTAATCTTGAGACAATATCTTCCTTGGATCAAGTTCTCGCAACGGAAACCATCAAACCCTTTGGAGGCATCGGTAGTGAAGTTCTGGAGCACCTTGCCATTGATGTCGGTCAACTCGCCCTTCATTCCACCCAACCATGGCTCTCCAGCATTTGACACTCCATCCTTACTGGTGTCAATCCATGAGTATCCGCGAATGGTGTACTTGGGCACTTTGATGAATCCAGCGGCAATAGTGAGAGTACCATTGGAGTCAACGGTGGTTGAGTCAAGTGAGAAACAGTATTGGCCGTTTGAATTGAACTTGTTGTCATTTCCAATAGGACCGGTAGAAAAGTTTCGTTGTGGGTCGGTAATCCTGAGACAGTATCCACCTTGAGTCATGTTGTCGAATCTGAAGCCATCTTTCCATTTGGCGGCGTCTGTGATGAAGCTCTGGAGCAGGTTGCCATTGCTGTCGGTCAACTCGCCATTCATTCCACCCAACCATGGCTCGCCAGGATTGTCATCTCCGTTTGAGTTGGAGTCAATCCAAGAGTATCCACGAATGGTGTACTTGGGAGGTGGTTTGGGAGTGAATCCGGAAGGAATATTGAGAATACCACTGGCGTCAACCGTGGTCGAGTCAAGAGAGAAACAGTATTGGCCAGTTGAGTTGAACTTGTTGTCGGTTCCAATTGGTCCAGTGAAGTAGTTTCCCTTAGGGTCGGTAATCTTGAGACAATATCCTCCAGCAGGCATTTTGTCAAATCTAAACCCATCATATGCCTTGGAGGCATCAGTGGTGAAGTTCTGGAGAACTTTGCCATTGATGTCAGTCAGAACGCCCTTCATTCCGTCCAACCATGGCTCGCCAGGGTTGGACACACCGTCGTTATTGGTGTCAATCCATGAATATCCACGTATGGTGTAGGTAGGAGGTATATTGGATGCAACCTATTGTAATTGAAGCGATTAGAATTTTAACTTAAGTTGGGATCGTTCCAAGAGGGAAATTGACTTACAAATCCGGCTGACACCACGGGAAACTGATGGAATGAGTCTGTGGTGGTGTCGTCCACCTTGAAACAATACGTGGAGCTAGAGTTGAATTTGTTGTCGATGCCAACTTGAGAGTTTGAATAGATATTGTTGGGGTCTGAAATCTTGAGGCAGTAGTCTCCAGCTTCGATGTATTCCAATCGGAAGCCATTGTGTCTCTTGGTGGCATCCGTAGTGAAAGATCTCAATAGATTTCCTTGGGAGTCCAAAAGGACACCGGACATTCCACCCAACCATTGCTCCCCAGCATTGTCGGTGCCGTCATTGTTGGAGTCGATCCAAGAGTATCCACGGATTGTGTAGTATTTGGGGGTATTTACATCAGATACTGGGGCAGTCACAGAATTCGATGTCGTTGGAGAAGTGGTATAGGGGATGTTGAAAAAGGATATTATTAGTAATCTCAATGTGGAGATAGGATTTTCCCTTGAAATTAAGACATACAAATATTGGTTGCCAAATTGAGTAACAAAGTCAATACCATTAGGTATCGATATTTGTTGAATTTCATGGTAACAGAGAGTTTGGTGTTGTAGTTGTTGTTAAAATATTTACAATAAATCCTTCTAATTTAAAAAATAATTATTCTGTTTCAATACAATAAATGAATGATTTTATGTTTATATTTAATGAAAGCCAACTTCTTCTGGATCCAGATGTTTAAGTAAGTAATTCCCCCCCTACTCCAGAACTTGTGCTTGGATCACTAGCCCACAACCTTGGGCACAATAGAGCAAACACCTTTATGTTAAAATGCGAGCCAAGAACATATGCTTGTATAACTAGCCCCACACATTCTCCAACACTTTTGTTATTACCACGCGAGTAGTGAACATACGTTTATTGTTATATTCATCAGCCAAATCAACATCCAATAAAGAAACACTGCGATGTTACGGTCTCATATGAGGATTCATACATATCAAAGTTGATCATGTATTATCAAAATGACGACTTTGGTACCTGCGTGACTGACCACATTCAATTTTGATAGGTCGATCACGATCACAGGACCTTCTGATGCTCCTCCAATATAAATGACACCTTGAATTGTTGTAACCTCTGTTCGTTCATCAGCTGGGATGGAATTCTTTGAGGCATCAAGATGAAGATGAGAGCCTGATGGGTCGATAATGACAACTCTCTTGAATTTGACATTCAAACATACTTCCATGGCAACCCTCCCACCCTCGCTATTGACCAATCAATACAGGCATACTCAACATTAAATGAAATGGCAATTATAGGTACGAGGAGAATATTGGTATTTTTCTCATCGATGGTGAGAGCATGCTGTACTTTGCCACCACTGCAGTCGCCTGCTGCCCTCAGGTAAGCTTGCGGTCGGCTAGCAGCCCCGTCTACCGCCTCATCCTTTACACAATTTGGCGGCTCATGGAGTCTAACGCAGCATAAATAGAGTTGTCACAGAACATTGTCTTGTGCGATCTGGGAGTCATCATGAGACTGTCAGCTCAATCAATCTCATACTCTGAAATCTTGTGCCGCAACTGCTCGAGTGAGTATAGAATTGGATTTTATAGAACGAACTTGGAGCACAGATTGAAGGTCTCCTCTGCGAGTCGAGTGCAGGAATGGATTAGTCTTGATGTGGTAACAAGGGCCCTGTGGTTGCGAGCAGGAGTTGCAGGAGATTCCCTGTGCTTGTTTAATAGGTTATGAATTACCAACTAGCATCCAGAGACTCCAGTCCTCCATACATATGAACTCTTTCATTATATCTTATCCTCAATATTATTTACACCAAACTCTCCAATAGCTCATGTTGTTGACAATGGCATTGGCGAAGTAGCCCTCTTATGACTGATATGTTTAGGTATCCAGGAAATACCAATAATTGATTGTTCATTAATTGATAATGATCAGAAAGAAATAAAATAAAGTATTATTATTTAAATATTTAATAGAGTTGTAACTCCTTCTTTAGACTTTGCTTCCTCCATAGTGGTAACTTCTTGAACTCGTCCAAGGTCATCTTGAGCACTTCATAGAACTCCTCGTCGGAGAGATACTCCTCCAGCCTCGATCCATCCAATCCTTTTGGATACTGCTTGTTGACGATCTCATCATAGGTATACTTCTTTGTGTACAATTGTAATATGTCTGTGACTGGCACGATATCCTTGTCGAACGATAGCTTCTCACGTCGCTTGGCAAAGTCCCAGCCGTGGAAGAGTGCCGTGAAGATGAATGGCTCCTGGCCACTGTACGTGATGTAGCACGGTATGTTCTTGCGACCATCGTGCTTCTCCAGTGCGGCCGAGTACTCCAGTGACAGCTCCATCGACATCTTGCGCTCTACCTCGGTGGTGCCCGTGCCGATCCAAACCCAGATGTGCTCGATGCCATCGATAATGTACACGTCCTCCAGCAAGAGGTCGTCCTGAGCGAATGAGTGTATCTCCTCGACGACAAAGATGCCCGAACCAATCGAGCATGAGAAGAGGCGTGGCTCAGTGCGCTTGGCGAGTCCGGCCATTGGGTGGATGTCCTTGCCGCCGATGGCCTTCCAAAAGTCGGCTGTCTCCTTGCCCTCCTCCATCTCGACGATCTTGCCTGGCTGTGGACGCCACTGCACATTGATGATGTTTTTGGAGAAGGCACGCTCCTTCTCGTTGGACAGCCTGCCATACCAGATGTAGGCCACGCTGCTGCCATTGTTCACGAGCAGGTAGGAGCCGTAAGTGCTGAGACTCTGTGCCGAAGTTATTGTTTGAATGGCGCGGATGTTCTGTTCGGTGGTGCCGCGCACATGGTACAGGGCAAAGGCTTCGGGGTCTGGAGCCTTGTAGCCCTTTGCTGCCGGGTCCTTGCCTTGGTGCACAATAATCTTGTTCTTAAAGACCGAGAGGAAATGCTTGGGTTCCTTGTTCTGGACCACACGCACCTCCTTGGCCATGCCCTTGAGTGAGTCATCAAGCTCCATTGTCAGCAGGGCTGATGTGCCCTTCTCATTGATCGATGAGTTCTTGCCTTGCCAGAAGTAGATCAGGTAGCAGTCCTTGTTCTTGTAGATGTATGAGTAGAGGATGACGTAACTGTCACCGCTGTAGAAGTGTCCAATGCGCTGAGGGTCCAGAGCGATCTTGGTGAACTCTTCGACACGCCAGACTGTGATCTTTCCGTTGCCATCATCGATCATCACCTCCTCCTTCTCGGGCTTGGGTGTTAACATTGAGTTGACGTCGATCTTGGCCTGTGCCTTGGCTGATGCGGTGTTGAGGCCCACTGGTGTGGCCTGTACCATGATGGGGAGTGAACCACCCCAGTCGGGGAATCGCTCCTTGAACAACACCTGCTCACTGCCTGGGAACTCACGATGGCAGTGCGCCACCCATACGGAGCCACGTCTCGACTCGAGCATGTCCGAACCCATCTTGAGAGCAGTGTTTCTCATCTTGAGCTTTGAAGCCGAGCCAGTCCACACAAAGATCTCAGACACACAGTCAAGGATGTAGCACTCGCCCGCCTGCAGCATGGTCTTGGACAGGCGGCCGTCCAGGGGCAAAAGGTCGAACTGTGTCAGGTCGGACGAGACCACCTGGTACAGGTTGATGTGCTTGCGGATATTGAGCTCGGCCTCGCGATCGTCGCCAGCAGTGTCGGCTTCAGAGATAGGACCCTGGCCTCCGAGCACGGTCCAGAAGTCGTCGTTCTCTTTGCCCTCTTCCAGGATGATCACTCGACAGCCCACACGCTCCTTGTCCTTGATGGACTTGGCAATGTCCATGCCCTTGCCCTTCTCAATTCTGTTTGATTCGGAACCATTCCATTGATAGATCAGATTCTTCTCCTTGCCACAGTCCAGGATGAACACGTCTCCCTTGTTGAGTGAGAGGTAGGTGAGGTCCACCTGGCGCACGAATGGCGAACGTCTGCCCTTGACATGCAGCAGCTTGGGCTGGTCCTTGGGCTGCATATTGATCAGCGCAGCCACGCCACCCTGATTGTTGTTGGTGTCCATTTGCTCGCGTCGCTGTTTGAACAAGCCCTCATCGGCACCGAGTGAATGCAGTAGACCAAAGCCTGTGTTGCCACCTGTTGGCTTGGGCTTGGCAGGAGTGGGGTTCTCCAGAAGTCTAAGCTTGGCTGCCTCTTCCTCTGCTGCAGCACGCTCCTGTCTGGCACGAATTGGGTTCCTCGTTGCTGGCTTCCTTGCCTTTGATGCCTCGACCTTCTCGGGTAGGGGCGCAAGGAGGTTCACCGACTGCTCTGGAAGCTCGGACGGGCCAACGGATACAGCCGGTGTCTTGACTGGCTCCTTGGTAGCAGGCTGAGTGGCTGTGGCTGTAGGTGTGGTTGTGGGTGTCTTTGATGGTGTGGCTGTTGTTGGTACAGTGATGGCGGCAGCAGGCTTTGGCTGGACGCTGGTTGTTGTGGTGGCTGGTGTAGGTGTAGTTGTTGGTGTTACCTTGGCTGGCGTAGCCTTTGGTGGCTCCACCGATGGTGTGGTCTTGGGGATGGATATTGATGCGGTAGGTGTTGGTGTCGTAGAGATAGTGATTGACTTTGGTGGTTGTGCCGTTGTTGGAACGACTGGATCCTTGGTGGCTGGTGAGGTGGCAGTTGATGGAGATGTGGGAGCCGATGGTGGTGTGGCTGAGCCATCGAGCTTACCCGAGCTCAACTCTCTCAGCTTCAATCGCTCCCTTATCTTCTCCTTCTCACGCTCCTTTGCTTTCTCGCGCTCTGACTTTTCAGTCTGTGGCGATGATGCCTGTTGAGGTGGTGGAGTTGTCGTCACAATTGGTGTCTGATCCTTCCTTGGCACTGATGGTGAGGGTACCTGTTGTTGCTGCTTCTGCTGCTGTTGTTTCTGCTGTTCCCTCAACTCTTGTTCGGCCATCTCCCTCTCCTCCTTCTCCATGCGTCGCTGCTCCTTCTCAGCCTCAGCCTTCAACATTTCCTCGCGCTCATTGTCCAGATCCTTCTGACGCGTAAAGCTGACATCCCATGAGTTGTCGATCCAGTCAACAAAGTTCTCCTTGAACATCAGGGTCTCGACACCTTCCATCACCCACTTGATCTCTGAGCTGCTTGGTCGCTTGCTGTGCTCCATCAACTCCTCAGCCTTGAGCATGGACCATGACTTCTCGTTGGACGATGAGTACGTGCCCGACCACACGTAGATGTCCGAACCAGTGTCCAGGATGACGCAGCTGCTGCTGTCCAACATCGATTTGAAAAAGTCCTCGCCGGCAAACACCTGGATGTCGATTCTGCCACCCTCAGCCTCTGTGAACTTGAACAGCTTCATGATCATGATCATCTCCTCCTCGGCGTCGGCATCGTTGTCAAAGCCATTGCTGACAGTCTGCTTGCCGCCAAACTCCTTCCAGAACTCGGACTGGTCCTCCTTGCGCGTCTTGTTGTCCAGCACGACGACGTCACTGTTGCCGCCCTGCTCGATGCGCATCAGACCGGCAAAGTGCACGGCCTTTTGGCGCTCGCGACTGTTTGAGGTGGCACCGAGGAACACAAACAGCTTCTTGCCCGTGTCCAGAATGAATGAGTCGCTGTTGTTGAGGTTGGTGGCCAAGAAGTCGACGCGGCGCACCATGATCCTGTGCTTGCCCTTGAGCAGGTAGAGTGAGCGAGTGTTCTCCACAAACGTGAACATAGTCTCAAAGATCGTGTTGACACTCAGTCGCTTCTTCTCCTCGACCTTGTTGCGCTCGAGTGTGCGACGGTACTCCTTGGAGGTGGACTTGCGCGACTTGTTGACGACGTCGCGCTTGGTCTTGAGGTAGGCCAACAGCTTCTCAATGTCGTGGCTCTGATAGTTGTTGTTCTCCCACTGGTTGTCCTCGAGGTCGATCAGTGTCAGCTTCTGCAGCTTGTGCATGGAGGACGGCAGGTCGACCAGCTGGTTGCACCTGAGATTGAGCTCCTTGAGCTGCGCCAGGTTGCCCACCTCGCTTGTCAGCTCCAAAAAGTCGTTGTTGTCCAAGTACAGCTTGGTCAGTGTCTTGAGCTGGCCAATCTCGCGTGGCAACTGTCTCAGCTCATTCTCTGCCAAGTCCAACAATGTCAGCTGTTGTAGCTTGCCAATCTCTGGCGGTATCTGATTGATCTTATTGTTGTTCAATATCAGTTTGGTCAAGTTAATGAGTGATCCCATCTCTTTGGGTATTAGTACAATCTAAGGGTTGGGGTGAGGGTAAGGGTCAGGGTCAGGGCTAGGGTAAGGGTCGAGGGTAATGGTCCTTGCGGGACATACCTTGTTGAATGATATGTTCATTGTTTGTAGACTGATGGTCTGTCCAATCTCTTTAGGCAGTGCAGTCAGTTGGTTGTTCATTAGATTGAGTGTCCTCAACAGCTTCAGCATATTGATGGCTGGAGGCAATGCCTGTAACTGATTGAATGATATATTCAACTTATTCAACTGAACCACCATGAATAGCTCATCTAGTTGAGGCGGAGGGTAAGACACTTGTGTTATTAGCCCAACCTAACATAACATACCTGTTAGTTGTTGTAATGAGTTGTAGGAGAGATCCAAGTCCTCGAGCGTGACCAGACCGGCGATGCCATCCAGTCGCTGTATGTTGTTGTGCGCCAGACTGAGTGTGACCAGCCTCCTCAACTGGCTCAGCTCTGCTGGGAATGACACTAGATGCTTCTCACTGATCTCCAATGTCTCTGTATTCTCTGGTATGGTCATTGAAGATGGCAAGCCACCCAATGTATTTGGCTTTGAGTCTGTCTGTCCCATATTGGCTCTCTGCTACTCTGTCCTGTCCAGTCCTGTCTTGTCTTGTCTTGTCTTTCTCTAGACCATTGAATTGAACAAACACCAAACTTTAGTTAATGAATGTATATATTTATATTGTATGTATGTATTACTACTATATAACTACTACTATTACTATGACTTGATGTAATGTATGAATGAATGAATGTGTGAACCACAACCCTGAAGGTTTGATTGATTGATTGATTGAGTTGAGTTGAGTGAAGTGAAGTGAATGTGTGAGTGGTGGTGAAAGGGGTGACTTATCGTTTATATGTGTGATTGATTGATTGTGGCACTCAATCAATCGACTGATCTTTACTTGTTCTACATAACATATAATAAAGTTAGTAAGTAATTTAATAAATTGTTAAATTTCATTTCAGATCTTCGATCGAGGATCTACCCGGTCCAGAAATGGATCATGCAGGCATGCTTGTCTTTGGGACCGCACTCCGATGCCATCCCCGATAATATCTAGAAGTTTAAAATCTGGAAGTTTCCAAAGGAACTTCAATCATTTGGTGATTAACACTAACAAACAATAATATCTCTCTATCTCTTTGAATGAATAGATAAATTGTTGAAAGATCCATCACCACACTCACGACCTGAACAACCTCATTGCTTATCCCCGAGTTACCCCACACGCACCACACCACCTACGAACTATTCTCTTCGGGTCTAAGCTGCAAACATGTATTACACAATGTTGTTTGAGGGGGTATCATTGATAGGTCGCAACACTACACAATCATCCTTTCTTTCATTCATTCATTCATTCATACATCAACATCGCAACAATTACAAGTAAGATGCAGCACAGTGTCATTCAAACAACATTAACAACAACAACAACAACATTGTAATAGATGAATATTGATTGTCTTTGGTATTATTAAAGTTAAAGGATTATATTTATATATAAACAAGTAGGATGATAGAGTTTGTACGTGATGATTCCCCGCTTGCAATACCAGTCGCAATGCAGACTCCACTCATAACACCAGGTGGTCCACTTCAGAACATTGATGATGATCAACTACATGTTCAACAACATGTTGTTGAACAACAACAACAACAAATAGATAAAGATAATGTAAATAGTTTAGAATATAGTAGTTGTACAAGCAGTACTAATAGTGATAATAGTAATAATAATAGTAGTCATAGTAGTCATAGTAGTAATAGTAGTAATAGTAGTAATAATATTAATAATAATAATTGTAATTTAGAGTGTGAACAAGAACAAGAACAAGAACAAACAAAGGTGGAACAACAGCCACCTGTAGTACAACAACAATATCAAGTAACATCACCAAAGTCAATATTTGAGAAGTTAAAGTATGTATGATGGACCGACCGACCGACCGACCGAATGAATGAATAACATCACTGACACATCACTCAATAGACCACCAGAGTTGAGAACTTATGTCAATCAATTCCCAAGACTCGAGAAGATTACACCACAGGAACTGCCTTGGATGCAACAGGTGATGAATTGGCATACACAAGAGAGGGACTGTAGCAAACTGTGTCGTTTGGGCATCCCTACAAGGGTGCGTGGTTATATGTGGCGATTGGTAACAGGATCGATTGAGCTCGAGGAGAAGAACATTGGTGTCTATCATCACTTCCTCACAAAGAACAACGAAGAGTACGAGTACAAGATTTCAAAAGACATCTCAAGGACATTTCCCAAAGTGGAGTTCTTCTCAAATGATCAAGGGTAAGACATCGTGGCTTGGCATGGCATGGCATCGAGTGTCCACACTCACTCACTCAATCAATCATTGTAGACAAGTGTCATTGTTCAATATACTCAAAGCCTATTGTATAATGGATCCGGAGATCGGATACACGCAAGGCATGAGCTTCATAGCCGCTGTACTACTCAGCGAGATGGATGAGATTGTAAGGTGGCCACATGACCTCGCTCCTCTCCCGTTCCCTCACTTACTCACTCAATCAATCAAACAATCAATCAGGAATCATTCTGGACATTCACATCAATACTTAAGAATTATAGGTTGGCGAACTTGTACTCTTCCGACTTGTCATTGTTAAGACGTTACTTGTACGTCATTGATCGATTGATTGAGACATTGATGCCTCGACTATTCTCCCATCTCAAGTTGATTGGTGTAACGCCAGTACTGTTTGCAAGTGAATGGATCACAACATTGTTCACCTACAACTTTGACATTGACATTAGCAAGCGAATATGGGACACATTTCTCTTTGAAGGTCGATACTACCTGCATCGAGTGGTACTCAGTATACTGATGCTTAACGAGCGATTCCTGTCGACTGCCACCTTTGAAGAGGCCGTCGAGTTTCTCAAGAAGGTGGGCTTCAACATCAATCCCGATCAAGTTATACATCAGGCTGATAACATTGCACTGACAGAGTATGTACCTCATTCTTTCATTCATCATTGGATGGATGAACCATGCTGACCATGTCATCTCGACACTTTAGTAATCAAATCGAAAAGTTTGAAGAGGAGTTTGATAATCCTCACATAAGTAACGACTACTTCTAAGTAGTCAATGGACATTGGTAGCAATCAATCTCGTTATCCGCGATTGGACTATCAATGATCATTCATTCAATTAATCTATCAATCACTGACTGGCAACCAAATCCTATAAACTCCAAGTCGCGCTCATTCATCCATCCATCAATCATCCCCCCGTCATCAATCAATACAATGGTTGTTATTTGATTGTAATGATACATTGGCTGGTTTATTGTACAACATAAGATGTAATCTTATGGAGATTACAAGGTGATGACAGCACCGACACAGGCAGACACGCCAACGCCAACACCAATGCATCCGACATTGACGGCAGCGGCAACATTGGCATTGACACCAACACCAATGGTTCCAAGGAGGCAAGCATTCTGGTTGCTGGACTGTCCGAGCGACTGGCCTGATCCAGAGGCGAACGATGTCTTGGACATGGAGCTAGTGGAGGTGACGTTTCCGAGGGAGGAGATGGCAGCTATTCATACTTTTGTGTTAGAGAATGATTGAATGAGCTTGGGATAGAGATACATACAGATGAGAGTCATTTTTGATTGATTAGTATTACTTTGGATTAGATTATTACTTTGATTTAATGATTAATAATGACCTGGAATTAGATACTATTTATACTTGATGATCACATTCTGATTGAATGACAGATTGGTTCAAAGAATAGATTGGTGATGAGGTCATCTTAGATTAATTAATTAATAAATGAATATCGACCAATCAGTTCTCATATTCATTGGAAACAAAATATTGATTGGTCCAAAACAAATGACCACATTTGGACGAAGCGACACTGAACGAAACTTTGCCCTCAATCATGATTGATGTGCCTGAGTGTGTGATCAAACACACACACACACACACTCGTTGTTCACGACAACACATTGATCTGAGCAATGAATGCAAGTCACATTCATACTTGGCCAGTCATATGACATCAAGTAGGTTGACTACTGACTGTACCTCAAAACCAAGCGAGGGCCAGGGTTTGGCTAAGTGTGAGGAAGGCCACAGGGTCATCCACATTGACATGACATTGTATCCACTAGGCTGTGCACTCACAGCAGTTGATAATGAATGATTGAATGATTGAATGAATGAATGAATGAACGAGTTCATTTAGGTCCTGTGGATAACAGTGGTGGCAGCTTGATTGTTGGCCATCGTCTCGATGGTGGTGATCTGAACGTGCTCAGGTCTGGATGCACAGTAGAAGATGTTATCGGCAATGTCATCGGGTACGAGTGGCTCGATGCCAATGTAGGGCTTCTTGGCCTTCTCTTGATCGCCTGCAAAGCGCACCAGTGAGAACTCGGTCTCGACGAGACCGGGGCAGACGTTGGTCACTCTGATCTTGGTGGCAACGACCTCCTTCCTCAGCACATCAGAGAAGGCATTGACAGCGGCCTTGGTGGCACAATAGATGCTGCCGTTGACGTACCACTGATGGCCTGCAATGCTGCTCACATTGAATATGTGTCCTCTGTTGCGCTGGATCATTCCATTCAACAATGCTCTGGTGATCTTGAACACACCCTTGACATTGGTATCGAACATCTTGTCAACGTCGTCCTGTATATGTATGAATATGTTTGTGTCAGTCTCATGCATGCCATGGCCCAAGCATCACTTCATCACTTGAGCTTGCTCACTTACCATTGACACTTGTGAGACTGGGTCGACACCGAGTGCCAGACCAGCATTGTTGATGAGGATGTCAATGTCTTTGAGGTTGGTTGGGATGCTCTCGACCATCTTGTTGACAGACTCTTGACATGAGACATCACACTCAATGGTGACCACCTGTGACTTTGACTCTGTCTTCTCCATCTGTGACTTGATCTCATTCAATCTCTCGATTCTTCGTCCCAACAAGATCTATGTATGTAGATATGTTTGTTGTTAATCTCATTGATTGAATGATTGATTGATTGACCGATCGACAGTAGTTACATACGACATGGTTACCCTGTTGATGGAACAATCTAGCACATGACTCACCGATGCCTGATGATGCTCCAGTACTAGATAGGTTCTTGAGTTAGTCTATGAATGATGGTAGCCAGCCAGCTATAGATTACATTACATTAATACGACTCTGTTTGTGAGTTGTCTGAACATGTTTGATACCTTGTTATTATCTGTGTATATATATTTCTATTAGTAGTAGTCCAATCGGAATGAATGATTGAACTTGAATCGCATGTTTTTGAGATAATTGGAGTGAGAGAGGTGAGGAGAAAGTTCCCAAAAAGAGATATTTATATTAAAACAGTGTTCCATTGAATTCGAGAATATTGCCATCTTTAAGACTAACTAATAAAATAAAAACTAAGTTATTATTATCTTTATCATATCAATAATATCTCTCTTTCAATCTCCTAAAGAGGGGTGTGACATCACATCAATACACCCGACACTTACCACACCACAATTCCCTCATCCGTAAAGTCAATCAACCATCAATAATCCATCAATTATATTATCACCCTTCTACATCCCATCATACCCTAATATCGAATGATTCAATAATTATTGTTTATTCAAGTTGTTAAGTATGATTGGACTGGACGGACCAACATTGACCCCAATCTAACCTTAAATGTATATCTGTGTGTGTTTGTTATTATCACCAATCATGATTATAATGATGATGATGTGTTAACATTGATCAGACCAGATTGATTTATTTGATTGATTGATTGATCCATGTGATTGACCAAGTGATAGAAATGATTGAGTGCTCGTTCACTAAAAGGTTATCGTCTCAACACGATATACTCTATCCTACAACCTACAACCTACAACTACAACTACAACGCGACAGACAACACCTAAAGAGTTCTCTATACCCTCTACTCTACACTACTCCTTGGAATGGAATTCAACTGTAGCCAATACCTTCCGACACATGACTTTTGCTCGCCAAGGGGTTTTTGTATTGAGTCAACAGGTCAATGCAAATGCGATATATATTGGCAAGGTGATCGATGCAACCTATCCTTTAAAGATGACTTGGGTCATGGTTTCCTATTCTGGCGAATATTATTCATTATAATCTATACAGGTCTACTATCATTCATTATCTTCAAACTTGTTCATAAACATGCCACTCTCCATGCCAAAGTATCACTTGGCACCTATTGTTATTGCTTCCTAGGTATATGTGCTTTATGTAAGTATCAATCAAATATTCATTCATTCAAACATACTAACATTGGATAATGGATTGATCAGGCCGAATCTTATACTTGGCCATGGACCCAATGGGGCAGACTAGATTAGTCCCACCAGTCCTATCACAACTGCTTGGTGGACTTGGTCTTTACTTCCTATTTACAGCATATTTAACAATATTACTATATTGGTATGTCATTCTTTGGAACCATTCCATACCCCAACACACTCCCTAACCAAATCACTCGATCACAATCAATAACAACTTAGGGCTGGTCTATACCATCATATGTTCGCAACCAGGATGGACTTTACATTCAACCCAACGATAAAGAGGATATTCCTGGCGATAAGTGGAACTTGGTTGGCATTTGAGATAAGTGTGAGGGTCGTGTATGGATTGCAGATGATGAATGGACGTCATGACCTACCAGTGGACCTGATAGACTCGATATACAACATCTACATCTGTGTGATTGGTCTAGCATTCTCACTATTCTTCATGATCTACGGTGGATTGATATTCTATCAAGTGCGCACATCAAAGTTCCATAAGAAGACCAAAGAACGAGCAATACGCAAGGTATGTACATGTGTCAATGTCGTCTTCACCATGGTTGGTTGTTACTAACATGCATGTTCCCCCGCACAATGAATATAGCTGACGTTCGTGATCACTATCCTGTCGTGGACATTCCTTGTGGCCATCATTATATTGATCGTCATTGTGCTGTTCAATGGCATGCGTACACCCATTGGTGCCATCTTTGGTCTCAGTGCCCAGTTCACAATGGAGTCAGTTCTGATGATCGAGATGTTCTATGTCCTCAAGAAGAGTAACCATGAGAAGTAATGCGAAGTGAAGTGAAATGTTGTGTAGTGAAGTGAAGTGATCGATCGATAAGAGATTGAGCGAGCGCGTCGACGCGCATTCAATCCCGCCCGAATGTAATGTACATTAGTCCTCCGTCCGACTGGAATCCAATAAATCATCCTAGCGGGCAGCGTGCCGCCGCCAGGATGTGCTTCATTTGTTGCTGTGGTGATGACTGCTCTTTGCGTTGTGATGGTGCAGATGATTGTTGAACATATCGCTGTCCGAGTCTGAATCCGAATCACTATGATGGTCCTTGTTGTGATGGTTGTTGTTGGCATTGGCAATGTCAATGGTGGTATCTTGGTGGCCAGCAGCGGATGTCGGAGTGCCAGGACCAGCCGACGAGGCACTGTTTATATGTGGTGATAGGTGTAATGCATCATTGTGACCATTACTAATGACAGGTGCTATGCTATTGAGATTGACATGTACAGGCGGCTGTTGCTGATGCTGCTGTTGACTATTTACATTTGTTGTTGAGTTTGATGTTGATGACGATGAGAATGGTGACAAGTTGCTAACAGGTTGTTGTACAACAATGTCAATCTATTCATTCATTCATTCGTTGTTTGGTTCGAGACAAGTGAGTTAGTGAGTGAGTGTACTTTGGGCGGAGTCAGCTGACAACAACAACATACCTTTAAGAATCCATTGTTAACAGGGTTAATCCAAGATACTCCTCTATTATAATATACAGTGTCATTCTGTTCTTGAAGGAACATTGATATCTTATGTATACACTATAGTGTACAAGTTAGCAATCAATCATACTAATCAATCATACTAATCAATCAAACAAACATAGTTAGTTAACTGATAACTTACAACAGAGTACTTGTCTTGATACCATAGATATGATGTGAAGAATGTGAGACAACCTAGTAGTTCTTCACATACATTGCGTATGTCTATTGTCTCTGCTCGCTTGAGCCATGCATTGATCTTGTCTACTGTGTGCTCAAACTCGCTTTGTGTCACCTTGCCATTTAACTCTTGAGGGAATGTCCTATCAAACTTTGTTATACGATCACTATAATCACGAGCCACTGTTATAGTTTGAAATGGTGATGTTCCTCCCAATGTCTGAGCTGTTGCCATTATTACTATTTATTATCTATAATATCTATATTACAACAACTCTTAAACTAATTCAAGTTGAATCGTGTCTGTGTCTGGTTTGTGTGTTTGTCAAACAAATAATTGGCTCGAGGGTGTGTGTTTGAGCGAGACTCAAGGGCTAAAGAATCATTGGGCTAATCATATGACAATGACAACAGATAAAGAGACACATATTATCGAACGGCAATGTGATTGAATCAAAGCGTATGTCGTACCGGCACACGAAATGATCATTATTGTCAGGGGGAATCCCAAGTCCTCACTTTGTTCAGGCACCTGGCGTGATCTTGAATGAACACTTCGAACATACTCCAGTGGAGTATAGAAGACAGTAGCAGTTGTACTAATAGGCTGATTGGTCGATCAATCAATCAAACCTTGGATAACGGTTTCTTACAAAACTATGTAAATGATTTACAATGGTTTGTAAAATTCGGGACACGTCACCACCATTGACAGGCAGTTTCAGAAAAGATCTGGCGATGAGGGGCCACACGAATGAAGCTTGCAGTATCCCTTGTTCCGTTATTCATTCGTTAATTAATAATACAATTATACTTATATAATATATTTTTACAAATACAAAGATGCAATCAACCTTCAAGTTGTTTGTCACCATTGTGCTGGCAATCATTGCCTTGTCACTGTTGGTCCCACCATCCATCGCTGATGTGACCAATGAGAACGCCCCAATCGAGCTCGACCTCGATCTCAAGGGTGCCAAGACTCCACTCACCACTGACTCTGAGGTCGTCCAAAGGTATGTAGTGTCCTGAACTGTACACAACAACATGATCATCATACTAACTTGACAAACAGAGAGAACGAAGCAATCAAATCAGAGGGATACAGCGTTGCCGAGCAGAAGCTCATTCAGGAGAATGCCGAGAAGTTTACATTCCAGGCTGAGGTCAACAAGTTGATGAACATTATCATTAACTCTTTGTACTCAAAGAAGGAGATCTTCCTTCGTGAGCTCATCTCCAATGCCTCTGATGCCCTCGACAAGATCCGTTTCCTCGCACTCACCAACCCAGCACTCTTGGGTGATGGTGATCAATCCAAGCTTGACATCAGAGTATGTACATCCTCTCACTCAATCACTCAATCAATCAATCATACTTACTCAAACCCACCATGTTATAGATCATGATTGACAATGCCAACAAGGTGTTGCACATCATTGATAGAGGTATTGGTATGACCAAGGATGACTTGATTAAGAACTTGGGTACCATTGCACAGTCTGGCACCAAGGACTTTATTAACAAGCTGGCTCAGTCCAATGATACCAAGGACAACTCCAACTTGATCGGTCAGTTTGGTGTTGGTTTCTACTCATTGTTCTTGGTGGCCGACAATGTCATTGTCACCTCAAAGCACAACGACGACGATCAGTACGTCTGGACCTCCACCTCGGACGGCACATACTCCATCACCAAGGACCCCAAGGGCAACACCCTGGGCCGCGGCACCAGAATCTCCATGCACCTCAAGGAGGACTCCTACGAGTACCTGAGCGAGGGCGCCATCAAGGAGCTCGTCAAGAAGTACAGTCAGTTCATCAACTTCCCAATCTACTTGTACACTTCGCACCAGGAGGACGTGCCAATTGAGGACGAGACACCAGTCCCCACCACCGAGGACGAGAACAAGGTCGAGACCAACGAGGAGGAGGAGGATGGCGAGGACGAAGCCCCCGTCATGACCAAGACGATCGATGTCTACGACTGGGAGATGATCAACGACAACAAGCCACTGTGGACTCGTTCACCAAAGGAGGTCACCGATCAGGAGTACAACGACTTCTACAAGACCCTGACCAAGAGCTCCGAGGAGCCACTGGCCCACTCACACTTTGTCGGCGAGGGCGGGCATCAGTTCCGCTCGATCATCTACATCCCATCCACCCCACCAACCAACGTGTACGACCCCGAGTCAATGGTCACCAGCATCAAGCTGTTTGTGCGCCGTGTGTTCATCACCGACAGCCTCAAGGACATCATCCCATCGTGGTTGCGTTTCCTGCAGGGAATCATCGACTCTGACGACCTGCCACTCAACGTGTCGCGTGAGATCCTCCAACAGCACAAGATCCTCGAGATCATCAAGAACAAGATCATCGCCAAGTTCCTTACCATGGTGCAGGACATCTCCAACAAGGAGGACCGCAGCGAGTACTACAGCTTCTACAAGAAGTACGGCAACAACCTCAAGTTTGGCGTGATCGACGAGGCCAACTCCAAGTCCGTGCACATCAAGAACCGTCTCATCAAGTTGTTGATGTTCCCCTCGTCGCAGGAGGAGCACGCCACCTTGGACACCTACGTCAAGAGAATGAAGGAGGGCCAGAACCAGATCTACTTCATCTCGGGCAAGAGCAAGGAGACCCTCGAGTCATCGCCACTCATTGAGCAGGCCCTGAAGCGCGGCTACGAAGTGCTCTACATGGTGGACCCAATCGACGAGTACCTGATCCCCCAGATCCCCAAGTACAACGAGTTCACTCTTACCAACCTTGCACGCGAGGGCGTCAAGTTTGACAACACCACCGACGTCGAGGCCGACAAGCAGCTCCAGGCTGACTACAAGCCACTGACCGACTTCCTCAAGCAGCAGCTCGGCAAGAAGATCGAGCGTGTCGTCGTGTCCAAGATCTTGGCCGACTCACCATGCGCCCTCGTCACCAACCAGTGGGGTGTCACCGCCAACATGGAGCGCATCATCAAGGCCCAGTCATTCGGTGCCCAACAACTCGACGAGCGTCAGATGGAGATGATGAACAAGAAGATCATGGAGATCAACCCCGAGCACCCACTCATCAAGCAGCTCCTGGAGCGCGTCGTTTCCCACGGCGTCAAGGACGAGATGGCCCAGGTCTCTGCCCAGGTCCTTTACGAGACATCGGCACTCTCCTCCGGCTTCATCGTTGACAACCCATCCAACTTTGCCAAGTGGATCTACAAGATGATGGAGGTCAGTGGAGAGAAGATCTCTGAGGCCAAGTACCAAGCTGTCGTTCCAGAGCAGAGCGCCCCAGCACCAGTCGCCAACGAGGACATCCTCGACGTCAACATCGATGAGAATGACGAGATGAGCCTCCCCAACATTCCAGGCATGCCAGAGATCCACGCTGATATGCCAGAGATGCGTGCCAGACCAGCTCACGACGAGTTGTAAACGCATCCATCATCCAAACGTAAACAGTAACATTAATAAATCAAACAGTTCCAAACAATCATAACCTTGTGTTCCTAATAGGAGTTTGTTACCTTGACTTGTTTCCATGTTGCCACTCCAGTGGCCGCATTAAATATTATTGCGGCCACACTACTTCCAACTTCCAACTTCCAAACATACACACATTGTGAATTTATGGGTATTTAATGGGTCATTTATTAGAGAGATAGAACAAAGCTACAATGACGGACATGTTTACTTCTTCTTCTTCTGGATCTTCTTGGCGTAGAACTCCAACTCCTTGCCCTCAAGGACGACACCATCACACTTGCCAACCTGACCTGGACGGGAGGTGATCTTGGCGTAGAACTTACCCTCGGAAGCGTTAGCCTCGAGAGCGGCCTCGATGGTTCTGGTCTTCATGCGCTGGGCGATCTTTCTCAAGAGCGAAGCGGACTTCTTGGCTGGCTCGACCTTCTCCTCCTCGGTCTTCTTGGTGGCCTTCTTCTTGCCGAGGGCGACACCGTAGTGCTGCTCGTACCACTGTCTGAATGGGGTACAATCGATCTGGATGATTGATCCCTTGACCAAAGTGTTGGTACGCACCAAATCGTTAGAGGTGGCGTTGTAAACGACGTTGACGATACGGCATTTACGGGTGACTCCTGTTTAAATCCAAGTAATAAGTTTGATTGATTGAGTGATTGATCGCAAGTTTGATTGATTGAGTGATTGATCGATAGTATGAATGTTAGTTATCATCCTCCTATTCATTCATTCGGTCATGATGTATCTGTGCTGTGGACAGTGATGAAACATACTCTCGGAGGACCAGGAGAAGTTACCAGTGTCGAGACGGAGGGCTCTGAACTTGAAGTGACCTCCACGGACGCGAAGAGCGCGGACACGTTTCTCACCAATCTGAGTCTTGGCGGCCTGGCGACCCAACTCGTACTTTCTCTTCTTGTAGTTTGGCTTACGAGCAGCACCGGTGGCTCTGTGCTTGTGCAAATGGTCACGAGAAATACCTGTTACATATCAAAGGATCATCGTTAGCTCATCTTTCATTCATTCATTCGTTTGTTTGATATCCATCCACCATCCAGCATCCTCGATCTTCAATAGATCCCATCCATCCATCCATCGTCTGTTCATGTTGATCTTTGTTCATCGCATGTATAGTATCCTGCTGTATCGATTGACGTTGATTGATGTCATGAGATGACATGACACATACCCATGTTGTATGTATGTATGTATTGTGATACGAGGGATCAGCAGAAAGGGAGATAGACTTTATCAGAGCTTGTCCACAAAACCATACCTACCCTCATACCACTCATTCGCTTGTTCAGAAATCATAAAAATTGTTTTTTAATTCATTTTAAAATTGTTTTTCATCATTCCAAAGTAACGAGACCATCCAAGGGTGACCCAGTTGTCTCCACATCCTTTCTCTTGACAAGTTGTATTCCAATCTTACCTGGTTTGTGATGAATGATCAGATATATGCCGTATGGAAGATAGACGCCGTCGTCCCCAAGTAAAGAGGGAAATAACAAACAATCAATAAACTATACACATTCAATCAATCAATTCCAGTCCACCGAAGGAAACAATCAAACTTGAAATGTCAAGAGTTTGGAGTTGATTGTCCATTGTTGTTGCACAACCAAACATCCAAAGTTGGTTAGATCATACTGAAACTGAATGTTCATGTGGACATGGATGCGTCCAGGAATGATTCCAGGACATTGATACAAAACATTGGTATACGACTGTGATCATGATGACGTTGCCTCGCAATATTCGAATGTGGCTGTTTCTGTTCCTGCTGCTGTTGTTGAAGGAAATGAATTAAAAGTAATATATAATGGATGGGTTAGGGGAAGGTGCATTACTAAAGAGAGAAGGGAACCCTTTCACGATGATTTTGAGGTCATCGTTTATTTCTTGGCAGCCTTGGCGACGGTCTTGGCGGCGGGCTTGGCAGCTGGCTTGGCGGTGGCGGCAGCCTTCTTCTTCTCCTTGATCTCCCTCAGAGCAGCCTCACGCTGAGCAGCACGGAACTCTGGCTTCTGCTCTCTCTTCTGCTTGATGACCTCAAGAGAGGCACCGACGATCGAACGCTCGAACTTCTGGGTCTTCTTGGTCTTCTTCTTGGTGTTAGTCTCGACCGACACAGACTTGTTGATTCTGCGGTAGACAGAGGTCCAGGGGACATCTCTTGGGTTGATCTTTCTGAAGAACAACGACTCGTTCTTGGCGTTGATGAAGGTAAAAGTCTTCGAGTCGCCACGAACGTACTTGATACCCTTGGCTGGGTAAATCTTGAACTCTGAGAAGTTGCAAATTCCGGTCCTATATTATATTGATTGTTCGCCAATGATGTACATATTGTTAATCATCTGTTGTTCGAACAATCGTTCGATCCTGTCCATCCATCTGTGTATCATCGCATGTATCCAATGTTTCGTCGTCAATGACGAGTCGTCAAGCCAAGTCGCATCGCATCGTTATGCCTGTGATCGATTGATGCGAATCGCACTAAAGCAGCATTATATGTGCTACATACTTCATGTTTGAATGGATCCCCTGTGTATAATTGGATTAATGCGTGTGGAACAAGTGATCAAGAAGTAGGCGATTGGATACAAGGCTCCTCCATCCACTCTCACACACCACCACGCGAGAGATAGTATCCTCAATTCCAAAAAATTAAATTCAAATCATTTTGTCGTCTCCCATCTCAAAGTAACGTTCATTCATTCATTTGGATGATGTACTTGATGAACATGACAAGTCCAACAATGACATGACACAAGTACAACAACAGCAATATAAACAACTTGTTGATAGTGTTGTTGAACATTGTAATGTGATTAGATTGATCACAAAGAGTATTAGATCGACAAATGGACCATCTGGTGCATTAAAGGTATTGATCAATGTACAAGATGATCATCATAATGATGGTTCAAAGAATCTTGATCAACCATCAATGTTATCAACATTCAATACTGTATTGACAAAGGGTATGTATGCTATATCATTGCTCACGCAATCAATCAATCACTCACTCATTCAATCATTCAAGACTCAACTACTATTGTCCGTTCATTGAGTATTGACTCCCCTGTGTATAGTATAATATTGGAGAGAATGGTTATACATAAGAGGAGATATGGTGCTGGTGCTGGTCAGATGATGTTGCTACTTGGTAGCCTGATGGAGAGATGTGTCGATGTCATAAAGATGACAAACATCAATCCATTGTTAATTGCTCAGACTCTGAAGAAGTGTAGATCAATCATAAATGAACGTCTACCGGCATTGGCCATTCACATTGATGTACATTCAAATTTGGCCGCAATAGTAAGGACATCACTATCTGGCAATGTATTGCAAAGTCATTGGCAAGCGGCAACAAAGTTGGTCAAGGCCGTGATGGACTTGGTACCAAGTCTAAGCTCGAGATCATATCATATACATACTGTTGCGGGCGACAGTGCATCAACGTTGGATAGTCAGCTTGCCAACAGTTCAGTCATCGCCGGACTGCTCTTCAAGTCGACCTTCACATACGCTGGCGCAGAGAGTCTTTCAAAATCAATCGACAATGCAAAGATACTATTGTTGGACATTGATGTGGAGTTGAAGCAACAGAGAGAGCATTCATCATTGGACATCAGATCAATGGAGGACTATAAGGTGTTTGCAGAGGCTGAGCGCAAGCATCACTTGTCCAAGCTGGACACTATTTATCGGAACAACATCAATATTGTCATGTCGACCAAGAGCATTGGTGATTTGGCCATTCAGGAGTTTGCTCAGCGGCCAAATATGTCCTGCCACGGACGTATCGAGGCACAGGTCATGGAGCGGATTACACATGCCCTGGGAGGTGTTGTCCAATCATCATTGATCGAGTTGTCACCAAGTGATTCATTCTACGCCACATGTTCAACATATCGCCAAGTATTGATTGGAGGTGACAGCTACGAGTTGTTCCACTCCTCTGTGGAAGCAAAGCAGCAGGACAAGTACGCGACTGTGCTGCTATGTGGATCGACAAGACAGTTCTTGGACGAGGCCGAGGTTGGCCTGAGTGACGCAATCAAGACAACGCGAGCGATCATACAAGCTGGAACAAATGATGCACCACCCAATGTAGTTATTGGAGGTGGAGCACTAGAGACAGCATTGGCATTATATTTGGATCAGAGCAAGATGTCATTGACATCTGACAAAGAGTCACTTGTGTTTGGTATCGTGGTTGATGGCCTTAGATCAATGGTCATGACACTGGCAGACAATAGTGGACGTAATGGATCACTCCTTGCTGATGAACTGACACAACAACAACGTAATACTGGCAATCACAAGATTGGCATTGATGTCACTGCCAATGGAGAAGTGATTGGTGATCTCTCATCATCAACATCCACTCAAGTATATGAGAGTTATCAATCAAAGCGTGCACTCATCAATGAAGCACTGGATCTGGCAGTGCTATTCCTGTCACTCTATTAATCAATACAGTCAATCAGTCAATCATATTTATTTATTTGATCAGATCAGTCGCGTTGGGACAGATTGAACGTGAATGGCTTACATAGTGGCACGAGCTGGTAGGGATCAAAGTTGTCCTTGGCATGCATCCTTGCCAGCAGACTCTTGGTGTCAGTCGTCGATGTCAGTTGCAGTTCATTTGGAACTAGTTCAACAATGCTGATTCCAAGTGGAATGATTTCTTTTGGATAGTTCCTCCTTGGCATATTGATGAACAGTGGAGATGATACTGTGAACAATAGTGGCTTGATTGGTATTAAACAGTTGGAGGGTACTGGATGAAGTTGTGTCCTGTCAAATATTTTGATCTAGATGGTTTGGATGATTGTATTAGTCACTTAATCAATCAGTCGATCAATTAGTTGCCGAGCTTACCTTGAAGTAGAGTGACTCTACACTTGGGAAATTCTCAATGTTTCCATGGATGGCCAACTTGATTGGATAGTTCTCGATGTACTCCAATGGCTTCTCGTGAGGTGGCGGTGGTAGTATGTTGACAGACTTGCGCTTGATTTGATTGTTTACAAATAATAGTGATGGTTCGTATTCCTTGATGAATAATGATAGATGTTCAAGTATGTCTGTACTAGTCGACTGAGGATGAATCCTTTGCTGCTTAAGTGGAGGTTCTAAATGAGCTATACTGTTGCGTTTCGGTATCGATTGAATGCGATCCAGTAGTCTGATCACTGGGCTTGGCGTTTCGATTGAGTACTTCTCGTTGAGTCTGGTCGAGGGAGAGTGTGAGTGAGTGAGCAGTGAGGGCAGTGAGTAAGTACTACTTACGATTTGAATGATGATAGTCTCTGTCTTAGGATATCCAATTGTTGGTCTGCTGTCGAGGAGTTGGATGATTGTACCAGACTGCCGAGGATGAAGACAATGTCGCCAACAAGTTTGAGTCCATTGAGCGATGTCTTGATCGTGGCATCCAGGCCAATGAACTGTACTTGCATCTTGTAGGCAAGGCTTGATATCTTTCTTCCAACAGACTGTGAGAGCTCATGGATTGAGCTTCGTTTGATCTGGATGGGACATTGAGTAGGTTAGTGGGTGAGTGAGGCAAGGCGAGGCGTGACCCTGGATGGAGGGGTCAATCAAACATACATTTACAATGAGCTTGATAAGCTTAAGATACATAAGGTAGAAGTCGGATGTAGGCTTGAGTATCCTGTTGATACTGGATATTCTCCAGAGGTTCCTTTCACATTCTTCAATCAATCTGACTATATGGCTGTGCTTGTTTTGTCTCAACAACTCAATGATTCCTTGGTTCTGATGACTGAGTGATGATACATTGTTGCCATACAGCAATGCCTGAGTATCCTTTAAGAACTTGGAAAGGTCGTCTTGTGATTCGAGTCGAAGTTGATCTAAATGAGAATGAATGAGTGAGTGATTTGAGTGATTGAGTGAATGATTAAGTCTTGTCGACGACATGATCATTACATTTGGTATGGGAGTCCGATGATGTATCCTCCTGGATGGTGCCGCCAGTCTGTAGAGACTGAGGGAAATACAGAGGATACTTGTCCTTGAAGTACAGGTGATGTTGTATCCAAAATGGTGGCAATAATGATAGAATGGTGTTGTTATGCTTGGCACTATTGAGTATTACAATCATGATGGCAACGTCTATAATGCAATGTGATTGATGTTAGTACAGTCAGTCCACATCCGTGATCAGTGGCGGATACTACTTACAAAATATGTCGTCCATGTTTGGTTCGACAGAGGCGAACTTGTTGTCGAGCTTGAGAAGGTCTTCGACGATGAACTCTGTCGAGGTGTTCTTGGAGCCAAGCTTGGAGAGACATTCAAAGATTGAGTAGAGGTCGCGTGGATACTTTTGAAGGTTGATGAGGAGTGCCTGAACAGTTGCATGCAGACAGGAGAAGTTGGACACGTGGATGCTCGTCAGAAGTCGGTGCACCGCCTGGCGCTCAGCCGACGACGAGTTTTCCAACGAGGCCAATATGACATGTAGCTGCTCCTCCTTGATCGTGACCATGTGTCCAATCTTTCGCAGACTGTTTATCGAGTTGATGCGCACTGATTCGATCTCGTCGGTGAAGATGTCCACGAGGAAGTCGATGTTCTTCTGGGCAAACTCATTGTTACGCACGCTTAGCTCGCACATGCTGTCGATGGCCGATGAGCGTACCTCGTAGAACTCGTCCTCCAGGCCTTGAATGAATGCGCCCGTTGCACCCGAGTCCACAAGACTCATCGATGACTCTGTTGAGGACATGAAGTCAATGTCACCCTCTGGTACAGCAATGTGTGTATAGTTGTTGTTGTTGTTGCCCTGTTGTTGTGGCTGCTGTTGCTGTTGTTGTTGCTGTTGATTCTGCTTGCTATACCTGCTGTGTCCAATCTGGAACTTCTTGCGACCTTTGTTATCATAATCAAACAGTATCTCCTTGCTCAATGTCTGAATGAGTTGAGTGATGCCCACGTCATATATGCAACCAAGTAGCTTGCAGGCACAGTTCCTAACAAGTACCGATGGGTCATTGACAGCATTGCAGATCTTCTTGAACACGTCGTCCACCAAACGTATCTTCTCGCTCTTGTTCCTCTCGCCAATCGTGCCAAGAACATGATTCGGATACACATTGCTTATGATCCACAACAACTTGATGCACTCCAATCTCACCTGTTCAAATGCGTCCACAAGCATCAGTGTCGTCTGTTGGTAGATCCTATATGATTGTCGATTGATTGAGTGAGTATGATTGATTGATTGATTGAGAGTGCACTCCGTCACGTGATCTCAAACATACTTGTTGACAGAGAGACTGCCACATCGATAGAAGATGGATGAGAGGGATTTGAGTGCTGCCTCGCGCACACGGTAGTCAGGGTCTTTGAGGAAGTTGACCATGATGCCTTGGACATCCTCAGACTCTTGTTCGTGCGCACGATTGATGCATCCAAGCAGGAGGAGACACTCACGACGCACCATTGGACTGCTGTTGTGGAGGAGTGGCTCGGCGGCGGTCGAGATGAGGAGCGCCAGCTTGACGTTCTTGGATGCCACGATGCCTCTGATTGCCGACAGTGCCGCGACGATCACCTTCTTGGAGTGTGTCAGCTTGACGGTCGATGAGAGGAGGAAGTTGATACAGGATGTGCTGTCGACGTAGGGATCGAGTGCCAGGCGTCCAAGCAGTCGCACCAACAGCACCAACACATCATTGTTGGTCTCGACAGCCATCTGTTTGCGAACGTTATATACGAGGTCTGATGCATTGTCTCGATGATTGACTGGTAACAGAGGGAGCAGGCTGAGTACGGCTTCAGTTCGAGTGCGTACATCTCCATCTGACAGCAACGCCATGTACATCTCAAGTGGGGCGTACAAGTTGGCAGAGCTTGCAGCAGGATATATCACGGCAGGTGTCTGTTGTTGTCCCGCCGATGATGTATCATTGTTGAATTGCAATGGTGTATGTTTGATCTGTTGTTGAGGATGTTGTGGCTGAGGTATTGTTGTTGTTGATGATGAGGACATGTGATGGGCACCTTGCGGTGACCTTACTGCCTGCGCTTGATTCCTGTTCATTGATCGAATAGTACAATTATGTGTATGTTCACACGCGGGGACATTGAATGAATGAAGATGAACTCCTCACTTTGTTTTCATTCATTCATTCTTGAACTTGCATCAATACAGATAATAGTAAACATATAATAATAAAAATAATAGGTTGATATACATGTATATATATTTATTAATACAATATAATATTATAACTTAGTATGATTGAGAGACACAGACCTTGGCATCGGCTGGTGTGGTGGAGTTGAAGCCATAGGGTGTCCAGAGCAACTCGATGAGAGATGGTTGTGCATTGGCTGGAATGTTCTCGATGAATAACATAGTACTGTCATTGTTCTTGGGATCGGTATACTCGGGGAGTGCATCACCCTTTGGTGAGAACCAATCCCTCACTCCAGTCTGCAACAGCTTGACAAACTTGGAGCCGTCCTTGTAGGTGACACGAATGGTGAAGTCGCAACCAGATGAATGGCAGAACCAGGCAAGGTCGCCAGTGTTTGGCGTGATCAGCTTGATCTGGGCTGGGTCGGTTGGATCGATGTGACGATTGAGGTTGCCAGTCCACTTGATCAGAGGATAGATGATGTTGCAGTTGGTGCAATTTGAGCCGACTCCATTGATGTACTGGATGATCACTGTGTACACAGGCACATCGCGCAGCATTGGAGTACCACTGTCCAGTTCGTAGAGTCCGTTACTGCTATTGGCAATCACACATGGCACTGTCTTCAAGTCGATGCTGTCCCATTTGACGTAGGACTTGGTCTCGGGCACCCAGGTCCAAAGAGCGCTGATGGAGTGGGCGCCATCCTTGGTGACAGAGGTGGATCCCTCGTAGAACCTCTGGATCCTGGCGACACTGTAATCGGCATACATGGTGTATGGGTTTCCCTTGGATTGGTCACCGCTGCCACCTTGCATTGGGTCCTGTCTGACACATTTACCATTGTCCATAATGGCCGAGCTGTTGCAGCCCTTGTAGTCAGATGAATTAGATGGGATGTAGATGGACAAGAACTCGTTGGTGTCCATGTTGAAGCCCCAAGCAGAACCGTTCAAACTTCCCCTGACATAGGGGAATGCGCCATTATTGTATGCTTCACCAGCATGCTTCAAGAGTGGTTATGTATCACATTGTTAGTAAGATTGATTAAAGTGATTGTATCAATGGATACATACCGGAAGGTTTTGTGCATGACCAACCTCATGGATCATGACACCATTGCTCACATCACCAGTGCCTCGCTTGCCACCTAGACTTGCAAGTCCACCCCCACAACCTTCATACTTTCCCTTGCTGTTGAGGGCCATGATTGGAGCCCAGACCACCTTGTTCTGATCACCATCACCATTGGTGCCCATCATGCGACTGAGGATTCCCAAGGTACTGCGGAACACATTGAACGAATCTCCGTCGGGCACCTCATCAAGGTTGTGAACGATCTTGGCGTACTGACCATCGGTATGTTGGACAAATGTCTTGAACTCAATCTTGCCAATTGGATGGTTGGCCACAGTCAGTCTGGAGACTGGCCATTGTTGATAGATGAAGCCTGCGTTCTTGGCCTCAGACTTGACGTCGTCAAACTTCTCAGAGTTGGTCTCATTGGCGCCAAAGAAGTAGATTGGCAGGTTCCAGAGGATGGCGTAGGAGCTGAAACCAACATTCACTGGGACCAGCTCGGTTGAGTTGTGGTTGTTGTTCTTGAACGACACTTGCATGCGTGGCAGGACGTACTTGGCAGGAAGACAAACGCTGTATGTGTTGTTGGCGAACATAGTGCCGTTGGACTCAGTGCGTGGTAGCTCTGATGGCAGGTTCAGGTCGATGGTGGTGGCGAGATCATAGATTGATTGATTGTTGGCGGTTGGCAACCAAACTTGGAGACGTGGTCTGTAAGTTGGTTCAATGACATCCTCAAACTCAACCAACACCAAAGTATCACGTTCACCAACCAAATGGAGCACAGTTGTGTCATTGTTTGGAGTCGTCCACTTACGGCCTTGTGCAGGAATAACATGGGTCTGGGCGAAATTCAGGTTCTTGATGGTGTAAGCAGGTCCTATATTTTGTATTGGTGATAGAAATCAATGTTAGTTGGATCAATCAATCAGTCATTATCAATAAACACATACCACTTGGACCTGGTTCACCATTGTTCCTTGTTAGGATGATGGCAGTTGGGATCACAATGGCGGCCACCACAATCAAAGCGACAACCACTGAAATGGTTATTATTACAGTCTTCTTGACCATTATAATATAAATATTATTATTACAAGTATTGATTAAATTATTATTGATATTGATGGATCAGAAAGAACATATTTATAATGTTTGATTGATTAATTGATATTGGATCAAAGAAATATTCAGATCGAATTGATTACATAGAATAAGATTTGTAATTGGTGTAGGTCATTCTATTAAATTGGAGTCCTTCATTACCCATATCGGTACTTAAAGACATTAACCCTACATTCTAAACGACCATTTAGCTCCTTATAACGTCTGATCTGATCCCAATAAATAAGAGTATGAATTCTTTTGTTTCGAGGTTGATAATGGCAGCACTACAACAATTACAAATATCTGATTATGGTGTGACCTTTGAGATTTTAGGAGCCCAACCTGATTCAGATGCCCTCTTGATTTACTCCTGCCCAATAATAATTGTAGTGGCAATCCAAGCCTGAATTTATTACAATTATAGCTCCTAAAAGCAGGAGCCACCTTTAATTTAATTAGATCGATGTGATCGTACTCTTATTTTTATTGTTACCTTAATCTCATGGGATTGAGATCTATTTCTGAATGGAGGTGGATGGATGGCTCCCATATTCGGAAGTTATTCATGGATTTATTAGGTTACATTAATTCATTATTAAGGATACAGAAAATTATAATAGGAATTTTCTGTTTATACTGGAAATACAAATACATAAATATGTATTATTAATAAAAAATATTTATTTAATATGATTGGGAGACAAGAACCTGGGCATCGGCTGGGGTAGTTGAGTTGAAGCCATAGGGTGTCCAAAGCAACTCGATGAGGGATGGTTGTTGGTTGCCAGGAATGTTCTCAAGGAATGTCATGGTGCTGGAACTGTCCTTTGGATCAAAGTACTCGGGGAGTGCAGGACCCTTTGGTGAGAACCAATCTCTCACTCCAGTCTGCAACAGCTTGACGTACTTGGAGCCGTCCTTGTAGGTGACCCGAATAGTGTAGTCGCATCCAGATACATGGCAGAACCAGGCCAGTGCTCCGGAGTTGGGGGTGATCTGCTTTATCTGGGCTGGGTCGGTTGGGTCGATGTGACGGAGCAGGTTACCAGTCCACTTGATCAGAGGATAGACGATGTTGCAGTTGGTACATGATGAACCGACGCCACTGATGTACTGGATGATAACTGTGTACACGGGTACGTCACGGAGTGCTGGGGTTCCCATGTCAAACTCGTACAGAGCATTGCTGTTGTTGACCAACACACATGGCACATTCTTCAAGTCGATGCTGTCCCATTGGACGTAGGACTTGGTCTCGGGCACCCAAGTCCAAAGACTACTGATCGAATGGGCGCCATCCTTGGTGACAGAGGTTGTTCCCTCGTAGAACCTCTGGATCCTGGCCGCGTAGAAGTCTGCAAACATGGTGTATGGGTTGCCCTTGGATTGGTCACCGCTGCCACCTTGCATCGGGTCCTGTCTGACACATCTACCATTGTCCATGATGGCAGATGTGTTGCAATTCTTGTAGTCCGATGAGTTGGATGGGATGTAGTTTGACAAGAACTCATTGGTATCCATGTTGAAGCCCCAAGCAGAGCCATTCAAACTACCCCTGACATAAGGGTAAGAACCATCGTTGTAAGCTTCGCCAGCATGCTATATAAATTTGGTAAAGTATTTAATTGTAAGTATTTGATTGATTGACTGAATGATACATTGAATGAATGTATACATACTGCAAGATTTTGTGAATGACCAATCTCGTGGATCATGACACCATTGCTCACATCACCAGTGCCGACTTTGCCACCCAACACCGCAAGACCACCTCCAAGACCAGAATACTTGGTACGGTTGTTCAGGGCCATGATTGGGCCCCAGATCAACTTGTTCTGATCACCATCACCATTGGCATTGAGAATTTTAGATAGGATACCAAGGGTGCTGCCCATCAATCTGAATGTATCACCATCGGCCACCTCGTTAAGGTTGTGAACAATCTTGGCATCTGAGTTCTTGGGGTGCTGAACGAAGGTCTTGAACTCAATTTTGCCAATTGGATGGTTGGCCACAGTCAGTCTGGAGACTGGCCACTGTTGATAGATGAAGGCGGTGTTCTTGGCCTCAGACTTGACGTCGTCGAACTTCTCAGAGTTGGTCTCATTGGCGCCAAAGTAGTAGAATGGTATGTTCCAGAGGATGGCGTAGGAGCTGAAGCCAACCTTCACTGGGACCAACTCGGTTGAGTTGTGGTTGTTGTTCTTGAACGACACTTGCATGCGTGGCAGGACATACTTGGCGGGCAGACGAACACTGTAAGTGTTGTTGGCGAACAGGGTGCCATTGGACTCAGTGCGTGGCAGTTCTGATGGCAAGTTCAGGTCAATGGTTGTGGCAAGATCATAGATTGATTGATTGTTGGCAGTTGGCAACCAAACTTGGAGACGTGGTCTGTATGTTGGTTCAATGACATCCTCAAACTCAACCAACACCAATGTATCACGTTCACCAACCAAATGGAGCTCATTTGTGGAATTGTTTGGAGTCGTCCACTTGCGGCCTTGGGCTGGAATCACATGAGTCTGGGCAAAATTCAAGTTCTTGATGGTGTAGGCAGGTCCTATATATTGAATTTAAGTTGTTAGTATTGGATTGAATATATTACGATTGATCAATGAATTAATCAATTATTTATAACATACCACTTGGACCTGGTTCACCATTGTTCCTTGTTAGGATGATGGTTGTTGGGATCACAATGGCGGCCACTACAATCAAAGCGACAACCACTGCAATTGTTATTATTACAGTCTTCTTGACCATTATTAAATAAATATTATTATACAAATAGGATTATTAAATATTATTATTATTATTACACAAGTATTATTATATATAAATAGGATTGTTACAGAAGGATTATTATTATTACAAGGTATTATTGATCGATTATATAAATTATGATTGATTGATTTATAGGATTGGATTGAATTAGATTAATTGGATGTATTGGATTTTCAAGTGAAAGAGCGAGATTGAATTGATTTAATTGGTGTAGGTCTGCGACGACAACGAGCGTTCGGAGGACCGACGGGTCACTCACTTTTAAAAGATTTATAGGGATCTAGAATGGATTGGATCTCACACGGTCCCAATAAATGCCACTACATTTTGTAGCTAAGGTCGTCGAAAGGGTGTTGACGACATGATTGATTGCGCCTTGTGCTTGCCAACAACCCGGCTTTGTACCTATTTTGTTATTGACAAAATAAATATCTCACTTATTTTCGTGTGACCTTTGGTTTGCTGAAGGTCAATCATGTGATAGGACCCACATGATTTACTCTCCCCCAACATTTGATCCCAGTTGTGATTACAAAAATAGTTCCTAATCGTAGGTGCTACAACAAGATTGATTGAACGATTGATTGATTGTCAGTAAATCGAATATTTGAATGACTTTAGAATGAAGAAGAATGAAGAATATGAATGAGTGAGAGAGTGAGTTAAAGTACGAATGAATGAATGCCCTTGAAAGAGTAAAGGTGATATTGGTTGTAGCTCGAAATTGAGGTGGATGTCAGTGTTGAGGGGGTCTCGATTCATTCAGATGGGTGCTGGTTGGCTCGAAGGTTACCGATTTAAGGATGAAGAGATGGGTTTGATGTTGTTGGTACAACCCTTACCATATATATGTGTTATAGATCTTTCATTGAATGTGTTACCCAAGTGGGTAGGGTACATCCACTTGGATTAATACTAATATTTGTAAACTCAAACAAATAATTAGACAGATAGATAATGTATAAATATATAAATATATATATAGTGTATGTATATTATGTTTGATTGCTCTTAGAATGACTGGGATACAACGACCTTGGCATTGGCTGGGGTGGTTGAGTTGAAGCCGTATGGGGTCCAGAGCAACTCGACGAGGGATGGTTGTTGGTTGCCAGGAATGTTCTCGACGAATGTCATTGTGCTGGAGCTTTCCAACGGGTTGGTGTACTCGGGGAGGGCATCACCCTTTGGTCCGAACCAACCTCTGACTCCACGTTGCAGCAGCTTAACGTACTTGGAGCCGTCCTTGTAGGTGACACGGATGGTGAAGTCGCAACCAGATGCATGGCAGAACCAAGCAAGGTCGCCAGTGTTGGGTGTGATTAGCTTGATCTGAGCTGGGTCAGTTGGGTCGATGTGACGGAGCAGGTTGCCAGTCCACTTGACCAGAGGATAGACAATGTTGCAGTTGGTGCAGTTTGAGCCGACTGCGTTGATGTACTGGATGATCACGGTGTACACTGGAACGTCGCGCAACACTGGAGTACCGCTGTCCATTCCGTAGAGGCCGTTGCTGTCGTTACCTGGGACAGCTGGAACTGTCTTCAAGTCGATACTGTCCCATTGGATGTAGGACTTGGTCTCGGGTACCCAGGTCCACAAACCACTCACAGAGTGAGCGCCATCCTTCTCAACCTCGGTAGATCCCTCGTAGAACTCCTGGATCTTTGCTGCGTTAAAGTCGGCAAACATGGTGAATGGGTTTCCCTTGGATTGGGCACCGCTGCCACCTTGCATTGGGTCTTGTCTGACACATTTGCCATTCAACATGACGGCCGAACTGTTGCAGCCCTTGTAGTCTGATGAGTTTGATGGGATGTAGATGGACAAGAACTCGTTGGTATTCATGTTGAAGCCCCATGTGGAACCGTTCAAACTACCCTTGAGGTAAGGGAATCCACCCTTGTCAAAGGATTCACCAGCATGCTACAAGTGGAAGTGATCAAACAACTTAGTTAGTAATTGATTGATTGAATGATTGAATGAGTGGATGAGTTGATGATACATACTGGTAGACCTTGAGCATGGCCAATCTCGTGAATCATGATACCGTTGCTAACATCACCAGTGCCTCTCTTGCCTCCACCAAGACCACCTCCAACTCCGTCGTATTTGCCCTGGTTGTTGAGTGCCATTAATGGAGCCCAGATCAACTTGTTCTGACCACCATCACCATTGGCACCAAACACACCAGAGATGAGACCGAGCACGTTGCCCATGAGACCGAAACCATCACCATTGACTATCTCGTTCAAGTTGGTTACTTTCTTGGCATTCGAACCCGTTGCATGCTGGACGATCGAGTTGAGTGACACCTTGCCAAATGGATGGTTGGCAATGGTGAGACGGGATACTGGCCACTGCTGGTAGATGAATGGGCCGTTCTTGATCTCGGACTTGACGTCGTCGAACTTCTCAGAGTTGTCCTCGTTGGCGCCAAAGAGGTAGAATGGCAGGTTCCAGAGGATGGCGTAGGAGCTGAATCCAACGTTCACATTGACTGGTGTGGTAGAGTTATGGTTGTTGTTCTTGAAGGTGACTTGCATGCGTGGCAGGACGTACTTGGCGGGCAGACGAACACTGTAAGTGTTGTTGGCGAACAGAGTGCCGTTGGATTCGGTTGGAGGCATCTCTATTGGCAGGTTCATGTCAATGGTGGTGGCAAGATCATAGATGGTTTGGTTCTTGGAGTTTGGCAACCAAACTTGGAGACGTGGTCTGTAAGTGGGCTCAATGACATCTTCAAACTCGACCAGCACCAAAGTCTCACGCTCACCAACCAAATGGAGCTCAGTTGTGTCATTGTTTGGAGTCCTCCATCTGCGGCCTTCTGGGGCAACAACGTGAGTCTGAGCGAATCTCAAGTTCTTGATTGTGTAGGCAGGTCCTGAAATATGGAAAGTGATTGATTGATTGATTGAGTAAGTGTTAGTAAGTGGAACTTTTCCAAATTTAATCAATCAATTGATTGAATTATTATACATACCATTGGGACCTGGTTCACCATTATTCTTGTTGGAGAAGACGACGGCGACTGGGATGACAATGGCAGCCACCACAATCAAAGCGACCACCACTGCTATGGTGATTATAATAGTTTTCTTTACCATTATTATATATTATTATTATTATTACAAGTTATAATTATACAAAGATATATATATATATATAATAATTAATGAGTTAGATAGTTTGAAACGAATGATCAAATTTGATCAATAAATAACCGTGGTTAGAACCATGTGAGTAGTGTCACCTACATTGGTCCGAACATGGTCATTCAGTAGGTTAGCATAGGTAATAGGACCTGCCTATGCCTTATTCACGCGGTTATCTTTGAAAGTTAATAATAATGTGTGATTGATTGAGTGAGTTAGAGTGAGACGAGTCGGGTGGGGTGCGGATGGGTGATTTGTTAAGGTTGGGTAGGATGGCTTTTGTGTAGAAGTAGAGCAAAAATGATCATGGGCTAGCCTACAACATGTCCGATACCATGCACACACCGACGATGGGGGTGTTGACGCTATTCGACATTGGCATTTTTCTCTCTGTTTTGAAAACGATCAAATATCAGATATTGAGTGTGTTGCATGGTTCGTACTCTGAAAAAGGGTACCCCATCAATCAGCATTAGGCTACTTAAATATTTGATTGTTTGGTAGGGTATGGTTAATAATAATAAAAATTATTGTCCTGTTGGTATTAAAGAGTCAGTCAACTTAGATATTTGAATCTGTTACAACATGTTTGATTGATTGGGTTCGCATCATTGTAATTATTATCTAAGTTGAGACCACTTCCACATTTACTAAATTGGGTACTTTCCTACTTAAAGTTCTAAGGTAACATGATCAAATATGTTGATGTCATTCAGATACTTAGATATAAATAATTAAAGTTATAAAAAAGATATTAAATTAATGTGTTTAATGTGGTGTGATTGATTGATCAATGAAACGATCAGAAACTTCTGGATATCAACACTTGAGCATTGGATGGTGTGGGCGAGGCATAGCCCATTGGAGTCCAGAGTAGCTCGACCAGGGTGATGGGCTTGTTGCCTGGTACATTCTCGACGAAGAGGTAGGTGCTAGCTGACTTCTTGGGATCGGTGTACTGGGGTTCGGCAGCACCCGCCATATCATAGAATGCTCTGACACCCTTTTGGAACAGCTTGGTGTACTTGGATCCGTCGTTGTAGGTGACACGCATGGTGTAGTCACAGCCAGATCCTGCGCAGAACCATCTCAGATTGCCCGAGTCGATGTTGAGCTCGGCTAGTTGTGTGGCGTCGGTGGGGTCGATGTGGCGGACCAAGTTGCCAGTCCACTTGGGAGATGGAGGATAAATGACGCTGCAGCCAGTGCACGATGAAGTTGGTGCGTTGATGTACTGGATCATGATGGTGTAGACGGGGACGTTGCGCACAGATGGTGCACCCATGTCCATGCCATAGATTCCATAAGACTCGTTGATGATCTTGAGTGGCACCACCTTCTGATCGATACTGTCCCACTGGACGAATGACTTGGTGTCGGGGAGGTAGGTTCTGATGCCACTGATCACATGTGCACCCTTGACCACTGTAGTCGAACCTTCGTACAGACTCTGAATGCGGCCAGCACTGTAGTCGGCATACATTGTGTATGGGTATCCAATTGACTGGCAACCTGCACCACCTTGCATTGGATCCTGTTTGATACACCTTCCATTGTAGATCACTCTGTCCTCCTCCTTGCAAGCCTCATACTCAGTTGAGTTGGAAGGGATGTACAATCCCAAGAACTCATTCGTGTTAAAGTTGAATCCCCAAGCTGATCCATCCACACTACCCTTAGCATAGGGGTAGCTTCCATCAGTGTAGGCTTCTCCAGCATGCTATTATTAAGTGATAGAATGAGTATTTGTTTGAGTGTGATTGATTGATTGTTTGAGTGATTACATACTGGTAGTCCTTGAGCATGTCCAACTTCATGGATCATCACTCCATCACTTTGTGCAGCACCGGTACCTTTGAGTCCACCTCCAAGTCCACCTCCAACTTCTTCATATTGTCCATTGGAATGAAGGGAGAGTAGTGGTGCCCAAGTAATAATGTTTGAATCTGAATCACCATTGGCTGTGACAATCCTATCGATAAAGTCAAGAACCAATCCCATTAGCTTGAACTGATCATTCTCAACAATGTTGTCCAAACTTGTGATCTTGTAGGCATCAGCACCATCAATGTGATGAATGACAGTGTTGAAGACAATCTTGCCCATTGGATGGTTAGCATGGATCAGCTTGGACACTGGCCATTGTTGGTAGATGAATGGTACATTGGCAGCCTTCTCAGCCTTGACCTGGGAGAAGGGGACAGAGTTGGTGTCATCAGCTCCAAACATGTAGAATGGAAGGTTGTAGAGGATGGCTGTTGAGGCGAATCCAACAACTGGGGCAACTGGGACAGTCGAGTTCTTCTTGTCGTTCTCAAATGTGACCTCGAATCCCTGAGTGATGTATTGGGCGGGGATACGTGCACTATACAAGTTCTCACCGAACTTTGGACCCTTGGACTCGGTGGGTGGCATCTCAAAAGGGAGGTTACAGTAGATGGTGGTGCCGAGATCCAATGAAGATGGGTTCTGGGCAGATGGATTCCAAACATGGAGTAGAGGTCTAAAGTCTGACACAATCTTCTCCTTGAACTCAACCAATACCATAGTATCACGATTACCAACCAAATGTAGTACTGTAGTCCTATTATCTGGGGTGGTCCACTTCAGTCCCTTGGGTGGGAGGACATGAGTTTGAACAAATTGGATATTCTTGATAGTGTATGCAGGTCCTATATATGTTTGATTGTTTGATTGATTAGGTTAGTTTGATTGGTTTATTGATTGATTGTTTGAGTGTGTGATCACAGATACATACCTGTTGGGTTGGGATTTGGAGTAGGTGTTGGAGTTCCAGTGGTTGATGAAGTTGTTGTGGACGATGAAGTAGTCGGCTTTTCCGTAGTGGAGGTAGTACTTGCTGTCGGACTTCCAGTTGTTGTTGTTGAAGATGGATCTCCAGAAGTGGTTGTGGAAGTAAAGGTTGTTGGAGAGTCCGTTGTAGATGCTTCAGATGTTGACGAAGATGTATCTTTAACATCATTATTATTCTTATTATTTAACAATACAATAGTAGTAGGTACTACAACAGCAGCCACAACAATAAGTGCAACCACTATTGTGATAGTAATAATAATGGTCTTTTTAACCATTCTTAATAAATAAATAAATAAATAAATAAATAATATATTATACAGAGATTATTTGTTTTATTATATATATGATTGAATTATTGATTTATTAATACTTTGTGGGAGAATTTAAAGACATTGATTGGTCAGTCATGTTAGTTTGATGCTTGTCAAACAAAGAGTATCATTAAACCCATTTGATCAAAATGGTAGATGTGTTGGAGGGACTCGGGCCTTTGTTATTATTTCGGAACCATTGGCTTTGAATGATCGGGGGAGATTTGATTGGGTACCAGAACCATCAATGGGTACCATGCAACCACAGTGATCACTCGCATTTCGTGTGCCAAATTAAGGGCTACAAATATCTCAAATTGCCACTTTTTATCCATTTATAAAAGTGATGGTTCTTCCCCCATCAACAAGCCATATGAATGTCAAACATACATCATAGAGAAGAGATAAAGTATGTAGTCAGTGAGTGATAGTTTATTAGAATGATTGAGAGACCAACACTTTGGCATCGGAAGCCAAGATGGTTCTGAAGCCATAGGGTGTCCAGAGGAGTTCGACCAAGGTAACTTGAAGATCAGCAGGGATATTCTCGATGATTGTGAATGTACTGTCATTGTCCTTGGGATCTAAACAGTCGGGATCAACCTCACCATTCTGGTCGAACCACTTCCTAACGCCAACCTGCAACAGCTTGATGTACTTTGAGCCGTCCTTGTAGGTGACGCGCAGGGTGAAGTCGCAGCCGGACTGTTTGCAGTACCAGTCAATGTCGCCAGTGTTGATGGGCGAGAGCTGCTTCTCGTCCGTCGGTCGATGTGACGATTGAGGTTGCCCGTCCACTTGATCAGAGGATAGACAATGTTGCAGTTGGTGCAAGACGAGTTGATGGCGTTGATGTACTGGATGATCACAGTGTAGACAGGGACATCACGGAGCACGGGCATGCCATCGTCCATACCATACAGTCCATAGGATGTGTTCACAATGGGATAGGGTACATTCACCAAATTGACATCGTCCCATTTGATGTAGGACTGTGTCTCTGGCACCCATATGGGCGCGCCCTCATAGAACTGTTGGATCTTGCCAGCGTTGAAGTCGGAGAACATTGTGTAGGGGTAGCCTTTGGCTTGGTCACCACTACCGCCTTGCATTGGGTCCTGTCTGACACACCTGTCATCCCTCATTATATTACCATCATCCTTGCAATCATCATAATCTGATGAGTTTGATGGGATATAGATGGACAAGAACTCGTTTGTATCAAAGTTGAAGCCCCATACTGAACCATTCAGACTTCCCCTAACATAAGGGAAGGCTCCATTATTGAAGGCTTCACCAGCATGCTAATATAAGTTGAATATGGGTAAAAGTTAATGAGTGATTGAGTGAATAAGCGAATGATGGAGTGAGTGAATGATTCTTTTAATACATACTGGAAGACCTTGTGCATGACCGACCTCATGGATAATTAATCCATTGCTGATATCACCAGTTGCTCTTCTGCCTCCACCAAGTCCACCGTCAACAGTTCCATATTCACCATGCTTGTTGATTGACATTAAAGGAGACCAGATCACTTTGTTTTGTGAACCATCACCATTGGCATCAAATATACGAGAGAGAAATCCAAGTACTGTAGCCATTATTCCAAATCCATCATTGTTTGTAATCTCATCCAAGTTGGTAACCTTCCTAGCTTCGTATCCATTAACATGTTGGACAATTGTATCCAAAGACACTATACCCATTGCATGATTTGCAGTAGTGAGTGAGGACACTGGCCATTGTTGATAGATGAATAACTTATTCTTGGACTCGTCTTTGATTTGACTAAATGGATATGAGTTGGTGTCGTTTGCTCCAAAGAGGTAGAATGGCAAATTCCAGAGTATAGCAGAACTTGCCATGCCAACCAAGGGTTCAACAGGAGTTGTGGACTTCTTGTGATCATTCTCAAATGTTACTTGCATTCCTGGCATAACAAAGTTGGCAGGGATACCTGCACTGTATGTGTTATCAGCAAACATGGGACCGTTGGACTCGGTAGGGGGTAGCTCAAATGGTAGGTTGCAGTAGATGGTGGTGACCAACTCATTTGATCCAGGAGACTTGGTCGATGGATTCCAAACATGGAGAAGTGGTCTAAAGTCTGACACTATCCGATCCTCAAACTCTACCAATACCATTGTCCGACGTTGTCCAACAAGATGAAGTACAGTAGTTGAATTGTTTGGGGTTCTCCATTTCAATCCCTGAGGTGGCAACACATGAGTTTGGACAAAGTTGATTGTCTTGATAGAATATGCTTCTGTTTGAATATCCCAAAGGATTGAATATTAGTAAATTGGAATTATAATTAAAATACAGAATATATGTTAACAAACTTGGATCAGGTTTAGGTGTCAAAGTTTGAGTTGGTGTTGGTGTTGGATCACCTGTTGTTGATGTTAAAGTTGTAGAGGAAGTGGAGGTTGTGGATGAACCAGTTGAGGTAGTTGAAGTAGTTGAAGTGATTGAGGTAGTTGAGGTTGTTGAAGTTGTTGACGAAGTTGTTGGACTAGTTGTTATAGAGCTGTTGTTGTTGATCTCAGTTGATGATGAATCTGATTGGTCTTTGTCATCATTTTTGTTAATCAAAACTATTGTTGTTGGAACAACTACAGCAACAACTATCAACACAACTACTATAATTGTAATAATAATTATTATACTCTGCTTCTTTACCATTATTATTTTTTGATTAAGTAATAATGTGAAATATATAAAAGTGGAAATGATACCTAATGATGTACTTACTTGTCCCTGGACATTGTATGTCGGTGTGATCTGACTTGTAAGGGAAGATATTTGTTAAATGGCTTTGAATAAGTCTAAACCCCGCGGAATATACGACATTTTTGTGATGGTATCCAAGGTTAGTAGTGATGGCATCGTGTTCACAAGGACCATCGGCTCACCACACTTTCCCCAATTGATCGATTGCAGTGGGGCATGTCGTTCAGATTTATGATCAATCCAACACAACAAAAACAAACGAACAAAAGAAGATAGGACGGAAAATGATAATAATAATAATAAATTAATTTATTATATTTTAGAATGATTTAGATACCAATACCTTGGCATTGGCTTGTGTGGTTGTGTTGTATCCGTATGGAGTCCACAACAACTCGACGAGACGAGCGTCCTTGTTGGCGGGGATGTTCTCAACAAAGAGGAAGGTGCTTGCCGAGTCCTTGGGGTCCAGACAGGCAGGGTTCACAGGACCATCTCCATCGTAATACTTGCGAACACCCTCCTGCAACAACTTTACATACTTTGAGTTGTCGGTGTATGTCACGCGCAGTGTGAAGTCGCAGCCAGAGCCCTGGCAATACCATGCCAGAGGTCCCTTGTCGATGGGGATCTGGGCGATCTGAGCTGGGTCGGTCGGGTCGATGTGGCGCAGCAGGTTGCCGGTCCACTTGACCAACGGGTAGATGATGCTGCAGTCCTTGCACGCCGATGTTGGCGCGTTGATGTACTGGATGAACACGGTGTAGACTGGTACATCGTAGATGACGGGCATGCCAGCGTCCATTCCGTTCATGCCGTTGGTCGAGTTGGTGATGTTGAATGGCACGTTCTTGAGATCGATGCTGTCCCACTGGATGTAGGACTTGGTCTCGGGAACAAATGTCTTGAGCGCACTGATTGAGTGGGCACCATCCTTGGTGACGACGGTATCTCCCTCAAAGAAGTTCTGGATCTTGCCAACGTTGAAGTCGGCAAACATGGCGTAGGGGTAGCCCTTGGCCTGGGTGCCACTGCCACTCTGCATTGGATCCTGCTTCACACATTTGTTATTAAGCATAACCTTGCTAGTGTTGCAGTTCTTGTAACCGGAAGAGTTGGTGGGGATGAGGTTTGTGAGGAACTCATTGGTGTCCATGTTGAAGCCCCAGGCAGAGCCAATCAAACTTCCATTAACGTAAGGGTATCCACCATTATCGTACCATTCACCAGCATGCTATAGATGATTGATTATCAAGAGTTAGTGATCGGAGTGATTATGACGGAATAGTTCCAGGGTGTGTGATTGAGTGATGTGATGAGCGATGTGATAGAGTGATTGAGTGATTGAGTGAAATGAGTGATGGATGGAATAGTTCCAGGAAGTGATGAAATGATTGAATGTGAAATAGTACTTACTGGAAGACCTTGGGCATGGCCAATCTCGTGGATCATTACACCATCACTCACGCTTCCAGTGCCTCTCTTGCCTCCTCCAAGACCACCACCGGCATCAGAGAACTTTGATTGATTGTTGAGTGCCATCAAGGGCGACCAGATCAATTTGTTCTGACCTGCATCACCATTGGCAGCAAAGATACCAGAGATGATATTGAGCACGATGCCCATCAACTTGAATCCATCATGCAACACAATCTCATCCTTGTCCTCGAGTACTCTGGCATCATATCCAGTCTCATGTTGGACCAGAGTCTTGAATACCATCTTGCCGAGGCCGTGATTGACCACCGAGAGCTTGGACACGGGCCACTGTTGGTAGATGAATGGGACTACGGCGGGACGCTCAACCTTGACGCGATCAAAGGGCACAGAGTTGTTGTCATCGGCGCCAAACAAGTAGAATGGCAACACGTAGAGGAAGGCCGATGAACTAAAGCCGACGATGGGTGCAACTGGCTCGGTGGAGTTGTGATGGTTGTTCTTGAAGGTGACTTGCATGCGTGGCAGGACGTACTTGGCGGGAAGGCGCACACTGTATGTGTTGTTGGCGCCATACATGGTACCGTTGGACTCTGTTGGCGGCAACTCTATGGGCAGGTTCATGTCGATGGTTGTGGCCAGCTCAACAATTGATTGATTGTTGGCAGTTGGCAACCAAACTTGGAGACGTGGTCTGTAAGTTGGCTCAATGACATCCTCAAACTCGACCAACACCAAAGTATCACGTTCACCAACTAAATGGAGTTCGGTAGTCTGATTGTTTCTGGTCTTCCAATTGAGGCCTTGTGCAGGTATCACATGAGTTTGAGCGAATCTCAAGGTCTTGATGGTGTAGGCAGGTCCTAAAAGTATATAATAAAGTGTCAATCAATCAATCAATCAATGTAAAGTGATGATTAATATGATGATAGTGAACTTACCATTTGGACCTGGCTCATCATTATTTTTGCGGGATAGTACTACAGCAGTTGGGATGACAATGATTGCCACGACAATCAGTGTGACAACCACTGCGATTGTAATTATAACATTTCTATTTACCATTGTTGTATAATAAAATATATATATATATATATATATATATATAGATATTAAAGATAATAATAATAATAACTTAAACAGATCTAATATAAAATATATAAATAAGGGTAGGTACAGTACCAAGCATGGACATGCACACTACCGGCATTGATGTGATGAGGAATGTGGTACACTGTTTGATTAATTTGTTGGTTGGTTAGACTGGTCTGATGGTGGTGTCATACGAATGATCGGTCGGATGGATACCAACGTATATAATGAAGGCCTGCCTCGACCACTTGGGGGTGTTGACGCTATTACAATTGTGTAAAGATAAATGTGCGCTTTTCGCAGTCTTGGAAACCAAAATTCAAAACTCTGGTTTGACATCATGGTCTAATAGCATGTTCTGGGGTGTTGTTCCGCTGATTCCGGCATCAAGTTTGACTTTCATTCAGTGTCTTGTGTGTTGTTGTTGCATCTGTGTGTGTTTGATTCGTTATCCATCGTAAGGGGGGGGCTGAAGACAGCCCCGATGACAGTCTTCTTCTTTTACAACTCGGATCATCACCACAATCACATCGGGATTGGTATTCTGTGGATAAGATATTATCATGTAACTCATTGATAGACCCGAGTCCGATGATTCTTGATGATCGATCGGTGCAACGTGTTCAATTACAAAGTTGATGAATTGAATCGGAGATTGTCAATGAATGGATTATCCATTCAACACTTAATTAATTAATTAATCACATCTTTGTTGTTGTTGTTATAAATTGTCAATATATATATTATAAGTTATTTGTATAATAACAATAGTTGTAACTGACATAATATGATCTGAATGAAGTGGAGGGAACAACCTTCTTTTGGCACAAGCTCGTTTCAAAGAATGAAAGACATTAGAGGGGGTGGGTGTTGAAAGACCCAAGTTGGGTGATCCATCCTTCCTGCACAAACACACAATAAATCCAAATCTTTCTAATTGTGAGAACAACAACAATCCTGTTGTTTGTTTGACACTTGGTCTATGACATGTGATTTCATGCTTCGTTCATCTAATATATATATACATCATATCACTATAAACAAATAATTACTATATCAATAATAATATATAATGAATAGATCAATCATTATCGCATTGTTGGTTGCAACAATTGCAACAACTACAACAATAGTATCAGCTCAGACAAAGATCACATTTGGCCAACTCCAACAGTTTAACTTTACAGCTCCAAATGTTGGTGATAACATGACATTGTTGCTCGAATCGTCGCCACCTGCATTCTTTGGACTTTTGGTGCCATGCTTTGGTGCTGTCAATCTCTTTGTCGGTGTCAACCGCGTCCCAACCCCATCCGCCAACGACAGAGCTGACTATTGGGATCCAAACACTCTTGGCAGCAGTTTCCAGTTCCCAAATACCAATCCAGGTTATGTGTATGTAGATGTAGATCTAGATATCTGATTGATTGATTGATTGATTGATTGATTGATTGATTGATTGATTGATTGATTGATTGATTGATTGATTGATTGGGAGTATACACTAACATTATCATGTTATCAATCAATCAAACAGATCGTCTCTGGTTCAAGCCAATGAGTCTTACGCAGACAGACCAATCTCTTTCCAATTCATGATCGCCGCTTCTAATGAAGGTGAGTAGTTATAACAACAAGAACTGGAACAGCGACAACAACAGAGACTAACCGAATGAACGAACGATGAACACAGATATCTACAACAAGTTCCCAACTCCAGGCAACAGTGGTAAGATCGAGTTGAGTTTGTCTAATGGTGGAAAGTCCGCCACTGTCAAGTTCACCTCCACTGGTAGCCCCAACGACACCTATGCCATCTACATGTTTGATGGCAAGTTGCCAAAGGGTGCCTTCCCATTCTCTGCCTGTGGTGTTAGACAGCTGTCTCCAACCCCAGTCGCCAACCCCACCATCATCGACCAAGGCAACAACGTCAACCTTGCCACCTTCAATGGTCTCAACCCCAAGACACCAACAGGTATCTCTGTCGTTGTCACCAACCAACTAGGTTTCTCCACTTCCTACACCTATGGAATCTTGAACTCAAGTATGTTTGATTGATTGATTGAGTGGCAGTGCGCATGGCACATTAGTTCTAACCATCCATACTTCCCCCATTCATTCATAGGTTCCTCATTCATCCAGGCTGCACCAATGCTCATTGTGTCATTGATTGCCCTTGTCCTGTTCATGTAAATCAGTATTGTAGTAACACCTTTCCAAGTCCAGCCTCATTGCCACTCGCCTCGCTCATTGATGGGATGGATGATCATCCTCCCCAACTAACAATAAAACCTGACTAAAGAGAAGAACACTAGCTGGAACCAATCCATATCCAATCAATCGATCATTTCAAAAAAGCGAGACACTAATACATTGTAGTGACAGTTTACTTCCTCTCTTCGGCTCTCTTCTTCTGGTACTCTTCACAGAGAGTGTTGAACTGCTCTCTGGTGACTGGACTGTGCTTGGCATACTCCATTGTGAACTCACCCTTGCCCTGTGTGCATGAACGCAGCTCGGTCGAGTAGCCAAACATGTTGTTCAGTGGCACCTCGCACTCGATTGTGATGTTCTCGCCCTGTGCGCCAGTGTTGAAGATGGCACCCTTGCGACGGTTGATGCCTCCAATAACTGTGCCCTGGAACTCGATTGGTGTGAGCACCTCGACCTTCATGATGGGCTCGAGGATCATTGGCTCGGCCACCTTGAAGCCCTCCTTGAACGAGTTGACAGCGCAGATTCTGAACGCCAGCTCTGAGGAATCGACGGGATGGGTGGCACCGTCCGTGACGACGAAACGCACGCCAGTGATTGGATGGCCGATCAGCGGACCGTTGACGGCGGCCTCGTTGACTCCCTTCCTGATGGCTTCGATAAAGTTGGGTGTGATGGCGGTACCAATGACGTCGTTGACAAACTCCATGTTGGGGTCCTCTGGGCCGGTGGGCTCGATGTAGCCAATCATCTTGGCGTACTGGCCCTGACCTCCAGACTGCTTCCTGTGTGTGTATGTGTAGTCGCCACGCGTCTGGATGGTCTCGCGGTAGGCCACCAAGGGCTTGCCGACAATGCACTCCACGTTGTACTCTCTCTTCATTCTCTCGACGTAGATGTCCAGATGAAGCTCACCCATACCAGAGATGACCATCTGGCCACTCTCCTGATCGGTGTGCACTCTGAATGTTGGGTCCTCCTTCTGGAACTTGTTCAAAGCCTTTGTAAAGTTGTTCAATCCATCCTTGCCCTTTGGTGCAATACTCAACGACATGACTGGTGCTGGAACGTGCATTGATGTCTATGTTGTTTGATTGATTGGAATGATTGATTGATTAGTAAATGGAACTATTCCAACACTCGCTCCATCATACATACACAAGTATAGTTGAGGTTTGGATGAGTGAATGAGTTACCAGAGTAACAGTCAACACCAAACATGGCACAGATCTCACCGGCACCAACCTCTTGGACCTCCTCCATCTCGTTGGCGTGCATTCTGACGAGACGTGGCACCTTGATCACCTTGTTTAAGTTTACATTCTTGATCATGTCACCGCGCTTCAGAGCACCCTGGTAGACACGCATGTAGGTCAGCTGGCCGAAACGACCCTCCTCCAGCTTGAAGGCCAGTCCGACGAATGGCTTCTTGCTGTCGGGCACGACCTCGACCTCGGCCTCATTGTTGGAGAGGTCGAGTGCGATGTTCTTCTTCTGGCTGGGGTTGGGCAGGAAGTTGATCACACCGTCCAGCAGCTTCTGCACACCAATGTTCTTGAAGGCCGAGCCCATGAACACGGGCACGAATGTGCGGTTGATCGTGCAGCGACGGATGGCGTCGCCGAGCACGGTGGCGTCGGGCATGTTGTTGGGGAAGTCGTTCTCGATGATCCACTCGGCCAGCTGGTCGTCCTGGTTGGCCACGGTCTCGACGAGCTCGATCTTCTTCTCGTTGAACAGCTCGACGATGGACGCGGGGATCTCGACCTCGGTGATCTTTGAGCCCTTCTCGCCCGAGAACAGGTACGCCTTGCCCGTGAGCAAGTCGCACACTCCCTCCAAGTTGATCTCGCCTCCAATGGGGATCTGCACGGCGGCCGCGTTCAGGTTGAGCTTCTTGCGCAGCTGGTCAATGACGTTCCATGGGTTGGCGCCCACACGATCCAGCTTGTTGATGAAGGTGACGCGAGGCACGTTGTAACGACGCATCTGGCGATCGACTGTGATTGTCTGCGACTGGACACCCGACACACCGCACATGACCAGCACGGCGCCGTCGAGCACACGCAGCGCGCGCTCCACCTCGATGGTGAAGTCGACGTGACCTGGCGTATCGATGATGTTGATGTGTGTGTCGCCCCACTTGCAGTAGGTGGCGGCCGACTGAATGGTGATGCCCTTCTCGCGCTCCAGCTCCATCGAGTCCATCTTGGCGCCGATGCCGTCCTTGCCCTTGACGTCGTGGATCTCCTTGATACGACCAGTGTAGTAGAGGATGCGTTCGGTCAGCGTAGTCTTGCCCGAGTCAATGTGCGCGCTGATACCAATGTTCCTCATCTTTTGAATGTCATTGGTTGAGTATGGTCTGATTGCGCCTGTGAGACATGATGCAATGTTTCCAAACATTGGTGTTGTTGTGCTTCCAAACTGCTGCTGAGTGGTCATCATCAATGGACTGCATCTGTTGCCGCCACTCATGAGGCCACGAGAGGCCACTGATGAGAACATCCTATTACAAAGTAATGAGGCCATTTCCTTTGTATATATGTATTTTTGTATATATTATATGTATACAGTTGTGAGTCAGTGTTTGATTGGTAATGATGATCATTAATGACACACAGTTTGTGTGTGAAATTTGTCGTTCGTTCGTTTTTGTGATGAGTATGTGGTTGGAACTTTCAAAATTCAATAAAAATCCAGAACTTATTTTTTTGTTGGAACAACTGGACCGATTTATTATTGATTGATTGATTGATTGATTGGAATAGCTCCACGATTGATCGATTGATTGATTGGGATAGTTCCACAGAATGATTGACACATTTTATTTGATTATCTAATAGTGATACCTTTCATACAATATTGGAGAGTAGATAGAGAGGCGAACCCAAAATGTGAAGTCTCAATATGGAGTACAAAGATGGTTTGATCGTCTAACTGTCTGCAAATGATTGAAAAATGATGATCCAAGACTTTGAAGACAAACTTAACATTATCCGCAATTTTGATATAACTGTATAAGTCATATGCCCTATGTTGATCCAAAAAGTTGGTTGGCGCATGTTGATATTGTTTTTGATCGGGATCTCTGACATCATCATCATCATCATCATCATCATAAATATCATCATCATATTTCTCCTCTGGTGGTACATAAATTAATATGGCAAGTTTGAGCTTCTTTGCAGAGGTGGATGAGTGAGTGGACTCTGGAATTGAACATGTATCCAGATAGGACATGATCTTGAGTTTTTTGATCTCGGTGGAGTTGATCAATTCCTCGAGATGTTGATGAGGATTGCGTTTAGATTGCGAAAGTTTCAGTTCCTTGAGCAAAGCAGGAACATTGCTTGGTGTCAAAAACTGATTGAATCGCTTTCCAAATGTCAAATTTGTGACGGACGATGGGATGGCGCCAGGCTCCAGGGGCTTGTTGAAGAATTCATCGAATTTCAACTTGGTCACCGATGAGGGGATGGTGTTGGGCGCGATGGGCGCGTTGAATAGGTCCCTAAGTATCAGTTTGGTCACTGATTGTGGGATGGTTCCAAGTGATTGTTGTGCATTGAGTGATAAATTCAAACTTTTGACGGATGATGGTATTGGGATCCACTCCACAGCCCCATCTGGATACGTCAATCTCAAATCAACGATGGATGATGGAAGATGGATTGAATCAGCGTGCACTTCAGAATTGGTCATGAATATCAAGAATAATTTCTGAACGGAATCTGGAATGAGTCTTGGTGGCACTGTGCCTGTAGCGTCGTTGACCAGCATTAGATCCGTCACAGACGAGGGGATGCATCCAGGTTGTTGAAGTTTATGTCGAAACGGGCAAAGGAAACTCAGCACCGATAGTGATGATGGCAGGAGTCCAGGGGGAATGGGATGGTGATACATTTCGATTCTGCCAAGGGAGAGGGATGTCAAGCTGGGCGGAAGGCACCCAACTTTCAGCGGCTTGTTGAAGGAGTAGCCAAGGTTCAAATATGTGAGTGCTGTGGGAAGGCTGTCCGGCTTGAGAACTTGATTGAATGCTTCACCCAGCCACAATGAGTTGACGGATGAGGGGATTGCGCGGGGGGCAATCAGTTGATTGAATTGATTGCCCAAACTCAATGAGGTGACTGATGGCGGGATGGAGCCAGGCACAATTTGACCGTTCCAATCTTGGATTTCCAACCTGGTGACTGAAGAGGGAATAATTCCAGGCTCCAACCTAGGGTTCTTACACCTCAACACTAAATCAATGACAGAGTCTGGAATTGATCCAGGTACAATTATCTTTTCCTTGAAAGTCTCGGCGAAATCAAGAAATTCGACGCCAGGAGGAATATATAATTTGGATGATGATGATTGTTTGTTCGTGATGTTTCGAGTTTGATTTGGCTTGATTACATCTTTGTCTGAAGTTGATGATGTTGATGATGTTGATGAGGTTGATGAGGTTGATGAGGTTGATCGATTGAAGATATAAGTTGTATTCTGTAGTAGTATGTAATTTCTAATACCATTTGTTCTTGATTTCAAACAATCAAATGTATGTGTACATGTTAACATCAAACAAAGTACATCAGCGGGATTACATGTCATCAATGCTATCTTCTTCAAAAGTGAAGAACTAAGAGTATCGAGCATTATGTATTTATTTTAAATTAGAGAGATAGATAGAGATAATGAGTGATCTTCATTTAATAATAAATATCCAAAAACTACTCTCAGGTTGTTTGTTTTGGAGCCAAAAATCTGATCATTCAGTCAAAAAAGATTGGAATCTGGGTTCGAACCAAACGTTATGTTTGAAAAAGGGTTACAAAAGTGAGCCCGAAGCGAAAGTCCACTTTGATTGTTTTTTTTTCAGCACTTTGCAAGAGGTTTCAATGAATCAACTTCTTTTCACGATAGATAGATACTTGGGATGAGGATGAAGGGTTGGTTAGGTTAGCATTCATAACTCCTCATTCAATCTATCTATATATATTTATAAATACACACACACATATATATATACTCATTATTATTATTATTAATTGTATTTTTATTATTATTAACAATCAAAAGGTAATATATCTTATCCATCTCACTCACATTAATCAATACATTCAATCAACACATTCAGTCAAATAATCAAATAGTCGGTATCAATCAATTGTTTGATTGATTGATTGATTGAAGTTGAATGAAGAAGACGACAACCGACTACACTTTGTCAATACCCACCCAATCAATCTTGTCGATCTTTGTCATAATATCGATAGAGACATACAGATAGACAAACAGATAGACAGACAAGCACCATGGGTCCAATGCCTTTGGCCCCCTCAATAACATGATCAACATACATGTCTGCCGTTTGTCTGTATGTCGGAGGAGGGAGTGTGTGTTATGTTGATCTAAATAACCATTATTATCCACTCTACGCATCGCATCCATCGCACTAAACACAAATATAACAACAATAACAACACAACAACATAACATAACAACATAATCACCTGATAATACTCATTGCATAAATTTATGAGGTAGAAGCGATCCACCACATTCTGATCAAGTTGATCAATTACACTCCCCCTTTATATTTGTTACATGCGAATGACCGACCGACCAACAATCAGATGTCATACTGTTGATCAACAACAATCACATGATTGATTGATTGATTGGTTGATTGGTAACCCCAGTATCTTCGTATTAAGTTATTTATAGTTGATTGATCAATCATCTCCTGTCACACTCACACTCACTCACACACACAACAACTACACTGATCTGTGTTGGTGATGGGATTGGCGCGCCAAGCACAGAACACACATCTCAGATATCACTCAATCAATCAATCAATCAAACAAACTCGTGTTATTGATTGTTATTTCAAGCACCGCCATCACTACTTCAAGTTGCCCATGATAAGCAAACAATTACCAAACATTGTTTACTAACATTCCTTTTATCTCAACAATTGTTGTGTGTAACAACAACAACAGTAGCAGCAACAGAATAGAATCAGCATCAAGCATCAACCATCCATCCATCACATCCACAAACAATCCATATTGACCATTGCAGGCAGTTTCCAACAAGTGCCTGCCTCCATCCCATCACTCACTCCAATCATTCAATCATTCAATCACTCATTCAACTTGGAGTACATACATATATTTATTATCCTTTGCCCTGTAACACTAGACAACACTTCTCTTTACTCTTGATCATCAAAGAAGTTGGTACCACATCATGGCACGTAAGTATCCCAATCACTTTGATTGTTTGTTTGATTGATTGGTCACCCTGACACTGCCCTCCATTTAGCGAACAATGTCTCCACCCTGAGACAGAAGTTTGAGCAATTCCTCAACTCTCACAGGCAGAACAAGCAGGCAAAGGACAGCAGCAATGCGCAAGCAAGCAACGATCATACATCCGCTGCCGAAGAAAAGAGTAAGTACTTGATCACATGACCCATCGTTCCAGTCAACTCAGTCACTGACTCACTCAATCAATCAAATGAATGAACAGAGAAGAAGAAGCAATCTGTTAAACTATCGAACAAGTCTATGATACCAACATCGGATCATAAGAGTGCTGAGGAGGATGGAAAGAATAGGAAGCGTCCACAATCATTCTCTGCATCGAATCCAAGTGTGCCACCACAGATGATCAGTATGGACACACATGATAATAATGGTGCGATCGCCGCAACAATCACCAATGGTGACTTGAAGAAGGAGCGTGAGCAGTACTACCGTGGACAAGAGGAGTTCTCCCTCCCACCCGCGCAAGAGGACGTACATGTTGCCAGCAACAACGACAATGAGGGACAACTGCAGGCCAACGCCACATGGGATGCCAACAGAGAGAAGGCTGTCAAGCGCCTGCTTGGCAACATGTCTGAGGATGCCATCCGCGCCCTACTCAATCAGATTCACGAGATATCTGTTGCCGAGGGCAGAAAACAGCAGCACCAGCAGCCAACAGCAACTGTCGATGTGGCTGTTGTGTCCGCAACAGCACCAACCCCAGCGTCAGCCCCATTGGCCTCGCTGCCAGAGGAGGAGGATGAGGAGGAGATGGAACGCCTGGAGCAGCTGAGGAGACAGCGCGAGATTGAGCGACTAAAGGAGGAGGAGGAAGAGGTCAACGACGAGCGTACAGTATCTGAGATGGCCAGACGACGCCGCGAGGAGGAGGAGCGCATGCGACGTGAAGAGGAAGAAGAAGAGGAGGAAGAGCAACGCAGGAAGCAGCGCGAGATTGAGCGACTGCGCCAGATTGAGGAGGAGGAGGCCGCCGCCGAGGAGGAGATCCAGAACTCCCGCGCTTCCACCCTCTCCTCGCTGTCGACATCGTCCGCGTCGTCCAAGCGCGTGAGCACAGAGAAGAAGTCCAGCTCGTCACTGCTTTCCTCGTCCAACGCCACACCAAACAACAAGGCGGCGTCGGTCAGCGGAGGAACGCCCAATGAGAGGAACAGAAGCTACACGATGGCCACCACCCAGGTCGAGGGCGAAATGTCGCCCGCACCTGGCCAGGAGTCCAAGATGCCTCGCTCCCACAGCGGCGGCAACCTTTCGGTGATGGCTCATCTGCCCTCGCCGCCACCACACCCCCAGAGCACATCCAAGTCGTCAGTGTCCAACACCCCACTCACCTCATCGTCGACCAGCAACATGGGCTCGACAACTCCATCGTCCATCAACAACTCGGGTAGCGCTTCGCAGCCAAACCTGGCCGCCACCGGCTCGCCCTCGCGCAAGGAGTCTGTGAGCGCACCCGCCGACAACATGTCCAACAAGGACAAGAAGCGATCGGTGAACATCAGTGGCTCGTCGTCACCCTCCACCACAGGCAACAAGGCAGAGGTGAAGGAGTCATTCTTCAACAAGCTGTTCCAGAGCAACAAGAAGTCGACCACCTCTTCAACATCGTCGAGCTCCAAGAAGAGACTCTCACCAAAGGTTGGCATCCCCTTCAACGTCAAGCACGACGTGCACGTCAACTTTAACGCCGACACAGGCTTTGAGGGCCTTCCCAAGGAGTGGGAGGTGCTGATCAAGTCCAACTTCCAGGAGAATGAGGTCATGGCCGCTCCAGAGGAGGTGCTCAACGTGGTCAAGTTCCACGCTCAGTACAACAACCTCGAGTCCGCGCCCGCACCAAACCCCTCACAAATGCAGGCGCCACTCACCGACGAGGCGCCCGTCACGCTCAACGAGCTGATCAGTCTAGACGACCCACGCAAGATCTACATCAACATCAACAAGATTGGCGAGGGTGGCGCCGGCGAGGTGTTTGAGGCGACCAACACGCGCACCAACACGACGATCGCCATCAAGAAGATGAAACTCAAGGCGCAGGTGCTCAAGACGGTGATCAACGAGATTGGCATGATGAAGAACTCGAACCACGCCAACATTGTACAATATGTCGACAGCTACATCGTGGCGGACGAGCTGTGGGTGGCCATGGAGTTCATGGGCGGCGGCTGTCTGACAGAGGTGCTGGACCAGCACCGCGACGTGCAGCTGACCGAGCCGCAGATCGCCTTTGTCTGCCACGAGGTGCTCAAGGGCCTGGCGTACATCCACAAGTTCAACCGCATTCACAGAGATATCAAATCGGATAATATCTTAATTGGCGTCGATGGCCAGATCAAGCTGGCCGACTTTGGCTACGCGGCGCAGCTGACGCAGAACAGACAGCAGCGAAACTCTGTCGTGGGCACGCCCTACTGGATGGCACCCGAGCTGATCAAGGGCAACAACTACGACTTCAAGGTCGATGTCTGGAGTCTTGGCATTCTCACACGTGAGATGGCCGAGGGTGAGCCTCCCTACCTCGAGTACCCACCACTCCGTGCGCTCTTCCTGCTGACGACACAGGGTTTGCCACCAATCAAAGATGCAGAGAACTATTCCAAGGAGTTCAACGACTTCTTGTCACGTTGTCTTGAGAAGGATACTGAGAACAGACCATCTGCTGCTGAATTATTGAATGTATGTATATCCACAATCATTTGGAATTATACCAATCACTCACTAACTGACACTTAATCAATCAATCAATCAATCAATTTAGCATCCATTTGTTTCCAAGGCTTGTTCTGGACAGGAATTTTATAGGGCAGTGGAGGCATCCAAGATTGCCAAGGATAAGCAAATTGAACAGTTGAACCAATTTCAATGAGTAGGACCAAGGACCAAGAACCAGGACTGGTCCATCAAGGACCAACCCCATCGACCAATCACGCAAATTGGACTTCAATTGTCAATAAAAACATGAATACTTCTACAACTTTATATAATTTTTTTTTTTTTATAGATCGTTGTGTTGTCGAGTTGGAAGATCTGATGTCTGGGATTTCCAGACTTCCATTAACTTAATACGATTTTTTTTTTCTGAAGTGCTTGTCTCAAAACAAAAGACTGTCGCCCATTACAAGCTGTTGAAAGAAACAAAAAACATGTTCACACTTCAAGTTCAAACTTGCTCGCATGAATCCATCATCATCAACACTAAAAGTCAAGTGTTCGTTACAATCATTGATAATATATCAATAACATTCATTTATTATTTATATATAGATAGATAATATAGAAAAAAATCAATAATAGCTTAGAATAATATATATCGCATAACTACATTTATTACTATTATTTATTGATTTTATTATTATATTTATATAAAACTTATTCATTTTCTATCACAGACATATATGAGCAGCATCAAGAATAAGAGTCGCCCTTCATCATCATCTTCTTCTTCTTCAACAGCAACATCATCAGAGTCTTGGGTATCGGGAGTTATACCTGTGATGAAAGGATACCCTTTTCAAAAGAATAAGATTATGACCAAGCCACCCGCAACAAACAATACAACTTCATCATCGTCAACATCATCACAGTCATCGACAATTTCATCATCGACATCTTCATCAATGTCATCATCATCATTGCTAACCAGGAAGAGCACGTCTGGAACCACCCAGCCAATCTTTCCCAAAATAATGCCAAAGAACTCTCCCATGCTTCGCAAGTCCACTGTTACATCATCCACCGCATCTGCATTGGCCAAGCAGGTGGAGCCCAGAAAGTCGGTGACCTCTATCACCAGATCAACAATCACTGCCACTCCTCAGAAATTGGCTCCGGCCAAACCCACTCAACAGAACGACTCGGAGGACGAAGACGACGATGAGGATGAGCACATGGTCGAGGTGATTCACAAACCAAACAAGCCATCAACCCCAACATCCAAGAAGACTGCCGCCACTGTCGCCACTGCCGTCTCCACACCATCAAAGACAACGACAACCACAACGACCACCACAACCAGACAGAGCCAAAAGGATTCGAAAATGCAAGACTCTGATGACGACTCGGATGATGACGACTCTGACGATGAATCCAGCGAGGATGAGAAGGTTATCCACATCAAGACTCCAACCAAGCCAACTACATCAGCAAAGACTTCCGCAAAGACTCCAGCCAAGTCCCCGGCAAAGGAAGGGGCCGCCGCCGCCAAAGACGCCACCACCACCTCGACAACAACAACAACAAACGCGGAGACTCCTGTCAAGCGTGGACGTGGTAGACCACCCGGTTCCACCAAGAAACCTCCAGCACCAAAGGAAGATGATGAGGAGGACGCAGAGCCCACTGTCAAGCGTGGTCGCGGAAGACCAAAGAAGAGAGCACTCGAGGATGAGGAGGAAGCCGAGACTTCCGCTGCCGCTGCTGGCCCAGCACCCGTCAAGCGCGGTCGTGGAAGACCCAAGGGAAGTGGAAAGGCGGCGACAGAGCCGCAACTCAAGCGTCTAAGAATCGGCGAGCTGCCAATTGATGAGTCATTGCTCGTCAAGTCCTCGAACAGCAAGGTCGTTCCAACCAGAAGTTCGGCCAAGGCGTCAATGGCCACGCCACTTCATGCCACCGTAGTGCCACGTGCAAAGAATCCAAAGCCCAAGAAGGCTGCAACAACACCACCAGTTGTGGATGGTGTCAAGCGCGGTCGTGGAAGACCAAGAAAGGTGGTCATAGCCCAGTCAGACAGCGAGGATGAGAAGGACGACTCGTCAGAAGAGGACGAATCAGAAGAGGAGTACGAGGTGGAGTCTGTCCAGGACAGGAGAGTCAATGGCGAGAAGGTCCAGTATTTGATCAAGTGGAAGGGTTTCAGCAAGGAGGAAGCCACCTGGGAGGACGAGGAGAAATGCGACTGCAAGGAATTGATCGCCAAATACAACACACAGCATGGTATCCAGTCCTCAGAGTCCGAGGCTGAGTCGGAGGATGAGTCCGATGATTAGTCCATTTAAATGACAAGCGCCATCCATCTAAATATAAATTAATTAAATAACCACCACAATGCATGCCAGAGGCTAGCTACCATAAACCCTACTACTACATGTTAGATCATGACATTGGTAGTTGTACAATAACGCCAACCAGGACTTTATTCCTTATAAATGGATTGTTGTTGTAGTTGTTGGTTGTTGTTGTTGTTGTTGAGAAGGTTCGATCGACGAGAGGGATGGTTGGATGGATGGATGTGTATGGTCTGGATGTTGTTGATGTTGACGTTCGCTTGATGTTGTTGTCTTTACAATACTCTTGGATAGTTGATGATTTGATTGTTTGATTGATTAGCTAATTACATTGTTATAGAGTAACTAAATGAATGAGAGTATGTTAGTTATTGATTGATTGAATGAATGGTACTACTACTACAACTACTACATACTCTGAATGAAGCTCTAGATGTAAGGTATTCCTTTGTGAATCGTTGGAGTGTTGCTGAATGAGTCCGTGGATGTTGGCCAGTTGTGCCATTGTTTGTTGGCTGTGATTGGCAGCACGTGCCGACTTGGGCGATGGGAAGATGGTGCTAAAGTTTCCACAGCAGCGCTGGAAGAAGCGTCCAAAGACCTCGACCCATTGCATATGGTTGACCTGATCAAACTCGTTGTTCATCATTGCCAGGTAGCCACGTGTGAGGAACTGGTCGATGATGGTGATGCCGTAGGGCGACTGGAAGAGCTTCACGATGAACTGCGACTGGTTGAACGTGACGAGGAAGTGGAAGGCGCGCGTGAAGAATGGCACGGGCACCATCATGATCCAGCGTGCGACTATGCTGTATATGTGGCCAGTGGCAGCCTCTGATCCCTCGGGCAAATGCAACAGCAAGAGCAGGGGAAGGTTGCGGCACACGGCAAACAGTCCCGACACGGACTGTTGTGGCGTCAATGACATGAATGCGCGGCTCAGCAGCTTGCGTCCCTTGCCAATGACCCACAGCGACACAAACAGCAGGTCCTCGGGACAGACTGAGGGCCACTTCTGGTCCGGCAGCTGTTGTGGCAGCTGAGGTGATTCGCTCTTGAAGCATGGGAATTGGTCCAGGTGCAACGATTTGAACAACTCTAGCGAGATCTGCTCGCGCTTTGTCTGGTACTCAGCCAGCAACTCTTTGGACTGTGGGTCCTTGATCAATGTGTCAATGTCCTCCAAGTCCAACAAGTGATTGTAGGATGATTCGATCGCTAACTTTATCGTCTGGTCTGATGATTGGACCTATTGAATGGATGTCGTGTGAGTGATTGAAAAAGTGGAGACCGAGGTCGAGGCCTTTAGGACTTACAGTCTTGTCATATTGTTCATTATCTTCCTTGTCGAGGATGATCTGCAATATTGGTCTTGGCGCACGAATAGAGTGTGATGGGATACGTCCCAATGAACCCAGGAGTGGGTCCACCTGACGTGGTGGCCTCGCTGGCATAATAGTCTTTGGCAAAGAGTCACATATTGGAGTATGAGTGTAGCTTGATGGCTGACCTGTTGTTTCTGCAAGGATAGAGAGTGGTGTGTCAGCATACACAATCATGATTGATTGAAGGTGTATCAATACTTACTAATCTTCAACTTCTGACAGTAGTAGTCTTCGATGTAAGGGTTGGTGAAATGGATTTGGTATGTCTGGAGTCGATGAATGTTCTGGATCTCATCGGCTGTCATGTATTTCTTGTCTTGGAGCGATGATGCTGGCTTTGGTGACTTGCCATTCGACTGTTGATGGTGGTGGTGCTGCTGTCTTGGACTGTGATTGCCCGACGAGACGCCGCTGACACCGCTGCCGCCGCTTGGTGAGGTGGCAATCTCGTGATCTCTGATCTGTTGCAGCTGTCGCTGGACATCGGCGTTACCAGCCATAAAGTTGCCCAGTGGCATGCCCCTGTCAATCCTCTGATCGTTGCGATGTTGTCTGTTATTGTATCTTTGCTGTTGCTGATTCTGATGCTGATGTCTATCATCTGTGATTGGTGATTTGGACTGTGACTCCAACTTTGCCTCGATCTGATCCACTGATATAGCACCCTTGAGCGTGTCCGATTCTTGATTGAAAGGGTTAGTATCTGTGTCCTACCTACGCGCAGACTAAACACACAAACATACTTGGTAGAGACTGATCAGCAGCACTCATCTGGAACAGCTTGGTAAGGGGAACGTTGGTGATGGTGGGCTGGGCGGCAGTCACTGGTGGGACGACTGCTTGAGCTGGTGAGGATGGTTGAGCAGTAGCAGCAGCAGCGACGATTGGTGGTGCAAAGAAAGCAGCCTGTGGTGAAGGCTGCGATTGAGGAGCAACACGGCTAATGCTTGGGCTGCCACTTGTAGCAGGTGGTGGCCTATAGTTCTCGCCCATTGCCATCTTGAACATTGACTCCAATTGTTCATCGTCAGCCTAATGCATGAATGCGTTGTTAGATCAATCATTCAATCAAGAGAGTCGTTGAGGTGAGTGTGATCGATGTTTACCTGAGCTCGATGATGGTGATTCTGATGGCCTGCATTCTCAGAGTCGTTGATTGAGAGTGAGCTGAACATTCCGACGGTTCTAGAGCCGGTTGGTGTCTTGGTGACATTGTTGTTGTGGCTTGGTGGTGGTAGGTTGAAGAATGACGCCTGTTGATTGTTCGATTGATGTCCAAAGTCGTCGTCATCATTGCCATTCAACTCATCCTCTTCATCGTCATCCTCTGCTCCAAGATCCTTCCTCACAATATTATCTCTAATCTTCTTATCACTAACAAAGTGTTCATGTTGATCTGATAGCTTTGTATGATTCTGTTCCCATTCGTCATCTGTTTGTATGTTGTTCGTTTGTGTCAATCATCCAATCAATCAATCACTCATTCAATCATATATGGTTGATCATACTTAGAGGACCGACATCACCAAATGTTTCATCGTCGTCATATGCTACTTCACTATCGTCGTGGGCCAGCAGATCGCCGTCATCCAACAGACCGGTCTCTTCAAAGTCACCACCGTTAAATGATGCTGACATGTATGCTTTGTTTATGATCTAATATGTCAAATATATTATATATATAATATATCTATTCTTGTTTGTTCACTAACTGATGTATTGAATATGAATGAATGAACTGTGCATCCATCTTCAACCTTTCTCATTTCACACCAACTCTTGAACTCAAACATTCAAAAAATTAAAAAACGTTACATCTTTGATTGATTGATCATGGACTGGATTTGTAATTAATATTTAATTAATAGTAATTAAAGACGGATACCAATGTTGGCATCAATGTCAATGAAACTACGACAACCAAGGTTGATATCAACATCAACGTCGACATTGATGTTAATACCATGTCCCCAGAAACAGGCATTGGAGTTGGATGATTGGCCACCAGCAGAGAATGATGAGCTTCCAACAACTGACTTGGACTTGGAGATGGAGGTGGTTGGGTTCAACTTGGTAAGGGCGGCTGAGAATATAATGTTAGACCAAAATGTTCATCATATTTAAAGTCTTGGAAATGAATTACTTACAGATAATGGTCATTTTTGATTAATAGTTTAATTGATTGTTAGTTTGATTGAATAAGACTTTTAGACTTGGTTTGATTGAATACTGTTTACTCCTTTCAGACCTTGAGTATTTATACTTATTGTTGAAGGTCTATCAGTCAAACAATATATAACACATGTGACCATTCCATGCACTGCAGTGCCATACCATGCCATGCCATGTGCGGAACGCCAACTACCCTAAGCAACTTATAAATGCATGAATCAGTTTGATTGACATGATAATAGAGTTACCCTACCATTGATATGAGAGTATGGGTATATGATGTCATATGTCAACCAAACTTTATAACTCATCTAATGTCAATGATCATCATCATTCGTGGAATCATTTACTTAAAAGCCAGTTGTGATTGATGCCTTTGCCATCAACAGGTATATATCTTAAACTGAAGTTGGTTGATGAATGGAACACACACACCTCACCAAATCAACACACATACTCAACAATATTGATTGGTCGAGATGGGTTCGTGATGAGATGAAGTTAGGTGTTGTGTGGTTATGTTAGGTGACCACGAGCACTACCATTTAAAGAAAGAGTAGAAGTAGTGGATGGAGATGGTTTGGGAACAATCATCTTAATTAAATAATGGTCCTGTGACATCATGTAGTGTGTTGAGTGGATTGATATTGATTGAATCTGTTTATCTGTGTGAGTGAAATGAATCAAATCATTGAATCAATTAATGGATTTATTTAATTATTATTGTTTTATTGTTGAGTGAAAGATACATTGATTGATTATCACAACATCAATAATCAGTCCATAGTATTATTAATACACACACACAAACATACACATATACTTCAAAGATAATATTTGTTGTTGTGGAACCTGGATCTTGGTGATGCAAAGGAATGACGAAACAATGAGACCTTTGGTTGTAAAATTATCTTTGGATCGCAAATTTAGACTGATCGTCACATACATCGTTAACACATCATCAGTTTTTTTTTTGATCAAACGGGGTGTCCAATCGAGAGAGAGAACCCCAATCACAGGGCCAATGGATTATGTAGCAGAGCAATCAGAGGCTTCACATTGACTGGTTGTGAAAGGGTAGATAGGGGGTTGAGTGGATTGATACTCTTGGCCAGGCTGTGACAGGGACAGCAAGACCTTCGCAAACGGTCTACAGACCCCATTCGGTTGTGTACACACCAAACGAGGTACAAGCCTTGGACATCATCATCATCAACACCAACATTCATTCCGCCACCTTTTAATCAATCACTCCATAATAATCAATCAATCAAACATTCTATCGATAATAGATGAACATTGTTTGATCATTCATTAATATTAGATATATAGATATAAGCAGGGACATCAATGATGGCTTCGAACAACACACACTTGGTGTTGTCCATAACCATCATCACCATCTTGACAATTATAATTGGATGTTGCACAAATGTCACTGTGGCCGATGAATATACAGTTGATACTGGTGCAGTGTGTCAGCCGTATATAGGTGATCCACCAAACACTACAATGTGCCAACCATATCTAACTTATAATCAGATCTATGTTGGAACTGGTGACACTCAATCACGAATGATGAACGACGTCGATGTCTACATGTCAATGCTCAACTCAGCAGGTAGCGCCTCGTGCAAGACCACAGAGACCTACCGTACCCTCTGCTCATTCGTATGCATCATCATCATCATCATCATGCTACTCAATCATCAATGCTGGAATCATTCCAATCATCATCAATCACTCAATCAATCACAATGGAATCTTTCCAATGAATAATACGCACTCCATCAATCACTCAATCAAAATTGGACCGGAATGATTCCGATCACTTAATCACTCATACTAACTCCCTCCTCAACCCACTCCCCCCCCATAATACAGTTCTTTATGGAATGCCAACTCTTTGCCAGCAATGTATCAAGTCAGCAGCTTGCGATACCAGTCCGAACTTGTCGCGAGAACTGCCACAGATCAATTGGACAATGTGGAGTATCGGATTATTATGACTGCGATCAGACACATAGTGATAATGGTAAACAGGTGCCAACATACCCGCCTGTGGCCAACCCACAGACGTTCAATATGTCGGCGTTTGGATACTCGGGCGAGGCCAACCCCTTGACCATCCAATGCTACAACTCCACCTCTGGCAACATCACCATCGTCGAGAACACATTCTGTCAAGTTCCACTGGTGTACAGGAACTCTTCAATCTACAATCGCCAGCGCGACAATGACTACCTTGGCTACACGTTCGTGTCATACTCGAGCGATTGCGCCATACCATGTCCGGCGCCAGTCTTTACAGGTCGCCAATGGACGGCATTCTACACGATCATCGACACGCTGTCCATGGCATCGGCCATCGCATCTCTGTTCATGATCGTCTCGTACGGCCTGCTGAATCGCAAGCGCACCAATTATGAGCTGATGCTAATCTTCCAGAACATCGCTATCTTTTTACGCTCGTTGGCTGGAGTTATCATCACATTCAACGGCGGATCCAAGGCGACCATGTGTCCTGACCCCGGTCGCAGTGCCACCTCTTACGACCCTATCTGTGTAGCAAGTGGCATCCTATTCTATGGTTTTTCATTCAATGCCATCCTCTGGTGGACATTCATGGTCTTTGATCTTTGGTGTATCTTGCGAAAGAGTATGTATCTTTGGAGACTACGTCCACGCGTCTATCCATCACCCTCGCTAACATTCATGTTATTGTTTCGCCAACGAACAGAGAAGCAAGCCAACCTCAAGTGGGTATGGGTAGCATTCACTTTGTTCACATTTGCCACGACAACAGTAGTAACAATCAAGGCTGGATACATTGCGGACAAGGGCAACGTCATGTAAGTCAATCAATGGGTCCATTGATGGACCACCTCGCGATGACCTCACCTACTCACACTCAATTCTTCCATCCATCTCCAGTTGTTGGGTAGCTGATAATGATTATGGATATGGACTATTCTGGGCACCGTAAGTTAATTGATTGATTGATTGGATCACGTGATCTTCCAGCCTCACTCACTCACTCACTGACCCACTCAATCAATCAAACAGTATGGGACTATGTTTATTACTTGGAACAATATGGTTGATATGGATCATTGTTGACCTACACAAGGTATGTTTGGACGGACCTGGATCATCTGACTACTTGTCCACTCACTCAATCATTCAATCACTCAATCAATCAATCCATCAAAACATAATAGATGGTCAAGAAGGCACATGTAGACACTGAGATCCTTAACAAGTTCATCAAGTCACAACTTGGTCCACTGGCATATATCATCATTCTTTACGCGACATACCTTTATATCTTCATTTATAATCAATCCTATCACTTGTCCTACCAATCACTCAAGGCAGAGGGCGTTGTCCAGTTCTTCCAGTGCGTGGTGCGCGCGTCCAACCAACACACCGACCCCTCCGACTGTCTGGTGGACGGCCCCAAGATCGTATCCTACACGATCTTTGTCTTGACTCTTCACATCTTTGGCCTCTACACGCTGTTCTACGCATTCAACGCCAAGTTCACCAAGATCTGGAAGGACACCTTCAGTCGTATCAAGATGTTCTTCCTCACGCTGTGTGGCGGCAGTGGCGCTGGCAACAAGCTATTCGTACCGAGCACAGGTACAAGCACCAGCACCAACACTAATACGGCCTCAACAGGTACATCGTCGGGCAGTGGTTCATCAGAGCCAATCTATCCATCGATGATATCACGTACACATCTATTGGGACCTGGACAACAAGACATCCAACAACAACAACGATCATTTGACAATGTCAATGTATCGATTAACAACTTTGATAGTACTACTACTCCTCCTGTATATTATGACAACAACAACAACAACAACAACATCAACAACAACATCAATAATGACTCAATCAGTATCACAGAGGAGAGTAGTGATGATGATGATAATGGTGAGATACCAATGAGCACTTTCAACAACAACAACAACAACAATGACAACAACAACAATATCGATAACAACATCACACCAATAGTTAGCCATAATGATGATTCAAACATTACAACAGAGCAACAACAACAACAACAACAACAACATAACGACATTGATCCAACACTTGGAGCACCACCACCTCCTCCTACTTCTACTACTTCTCCCTCCACAACCTCAGATGTACCAACTACTACTGCTACTACTACTCCAACAAACCTTATGGACTAATATTAAACAGATGATTGTGAATGAACTGTTTGATCGATTGATCGAGGGTTTGAGGTTCATGATGCCACTAAATCGCTTACCTTTGGTCGTGGCCTCGTTGGACATGGACATGGACTATCAACCATGGTTGTTTTAAGGATTGGAATGAACCAAACCATACTGGGTATTAACTTGCAATCACGAACAAGTCCTTGTTTGGGACCGAAACTTATTCCTCCATCGATCGCAACATATATGGTTGGACAAACAGACATTCAAGTGTCTGTATGTATGGACAGACAGACGAACAGACAGAAACATACAAGACGACACACGAAAGTCTGGATACGAATTTGCGAGAGAGTTCCAAATATCATTGTGATGGGTGGGTTGATTATTAAGGCAAAGAATCGAGAACTGTGGTAAATCTAGTGATAAAGCCTTAGTTTGACCTTCAAATCTTCGTTATTGCCGTGAATAGATCGGGACAGAAACTTCTTTGACACGGAATGGGAACAGACCATCCCAGTAAGGCCTTACTTTAAATACACATTTTGCAAACATGATGGGTCACAGTATTTGTTGGGATGTATTAATGTTGTTGGATTTGAACTACGTTGGAGTGTGTGTGTATGAGTTGGAAGTTAACACTTATGAAGTGTGAGTGTGTTGGTGGTGATCGTTGATTGATCAGAGGCACGTGGTTGGGGCACTCTATCTGTGGTCTTGCAAAGGTCCTTTGCCAATCACAGTGTACAATGAATGAGACAGGTGAAGCAACAACGAGAGAGGAGAGAGCTAGAGAGAGACCCAACGTTCTTATCAAACTATTCTCTATCAATCAATCAATCAATCACACAAACATAAATAATCAATCAAGATATATATATTAAATATATAAATAAATAAATAAATAATAATAATAACATACCAAAGTAATATATACAACAAATAATAACAAATAATAATAATGTCATCTAGTTCAACAAGTACAGCAGCAGATGTGGATGCATCAAGTAGTTCACTGTCGGCATCGGCTATTGCGATATTTAAGGAACAAAAGATGGTGTCCAAACAGATTGAGAAGCAGCTGAAACAGGATAAGAAGCGTCTGGATCAGGAGTTGAAGTTGTTGCTACTGGGCACAGGTGACTCTGGCAAGAGTACCATCGTCAAACAGATGAGAATCCTGCATCTGGATGGCTACACACAAGAGGATCGCATCAATCATAAATCATTAATATATCGCAATGTTGTCGAAGTCCTTTGCGCACTGATCGAGGGGTGTCAAGTACTTGGACACACCATCCAGCCAACATATAGTGATCTTTGTGATAAGGTATGTAATGTCTATGAGTGTGGACGAGGCTTGATTGAGGCTTGAGGCTTGAGGCTTGGAGGCTTGAGGCTGACTCGTCATTGATCACCTTCATAACAGATCCTGGACATAATGGAAGAGAGGAAATATCAGAAATTGGAAAGATCATTGTTGTTGGAGATGGTGGCCTTGAGCAAGGATGAGGCCATCCGCAAGGCCTTGGTGTCAAGTGGCTCAAACTTCCAAGTTCATTCATCAGCCGAGTACTTCCTCAATAGCATCGAGCGTATATCAGGTATGGACTCATATGAATGATTGATCATGGAGGTCTGGAATGATCCCAGTACTGACCCACCCCCCAACCAACCCTTCAAACGATCAACAGAGGCAGAATATATACCAACTGATCAAGATATATTATGGACACGTGTATCAACTACAGCTGTGACAGAGACTAGTTTCAGCTCAAAGGGGATGCACTTTAGGATGATTGATGTTGGTGGCCAACGAGGCCATCGCGATAAGTGGATTCATCACTTTAGTGATGTGACCTCTATCTTCTTTGTAGTGTCGTTATCTGAGTATGACCAGGTGCTGGAGGAGGACACCACCACCAACCGCATGCTCGAGTCGATGAAGGTGTTTACCAATGTCATCAATGGCAAGTGGTTCAAGGATGTGCCCGTGCTGCTCTTTCTCAACAAGCGCGACTTATTCATGGAGAAGATCAAACGAGTCAATCTCAATGTCTGTTTCGAGGAGTATGATGGCTCCAACAACTACGAAGAGGCCTTGGCCTACATCAAGAGGAGGTTCCTTGCCTGCAACAAGATCAAAGGAAAGCGTAAGTCGCGGCGACCATGCATGATCGCTACACTTGGAAATATTTGGAAATTATTGGCTAACATCACTCAATCAATCATTGGAATCATTCCAATCAATCAATCATTCAATAATGGACAGTTGTATATACTCATGTCACAACTGCAACCGACACCAACAATATTAGAGCAGTGTTTGATGCAGTCAAGGACATCCTGACGCGCCAGACCATGGAAGAGCTTTGAGAGTGATCAATCAATCAATCAATCATACTCACTCTCTTACACACTGGACGCAACAACGCCTCACTAAATGTTGGGGGAAATAGACCCAACAACTACAACAACTTCAATCTAATCTAATCTAATCCTTTGATTAAACAAAGTATATAGCCAGGCTATTTATATTTATTTCCAACCTCCGCACAGATCCAAATCAGGATCTTACTTTATTCATCGATGTTCAATTTGTGGTGTGTGCCACATTCATTCAGATTGATCATAGTTAGTTGTAATATCCTATCTGCGATGTTATGACACTTATTATTATGTCATTGATTGATTGATTGATTGTGTGTGTGGTAGTGGGGGTGGTTGGATGCCATTGAGGTTGATTGATGGGTGAGAGTGTGGGTATGAATGGAGTGCACTGAGGTGCTTTCGTCACCCAACGCATTGGAATGTGTGTTGTCATTCTAATAGGTAGTTTTTTCAAAGATTAAAGATATTTTTAATTAATTTTACATCAGTCTCATCATCCCATCCAATCATTGTGCCTAAAGTCTCCACATCCATCTATCTCCATCCAACACAAACACACACACTCACTTTCATTCATTCAAACAAAACAATCAACAACATAATAATAACATTAATTAACTTTGTTGTTGTTATAACAATTACTACTTAACTTAACTTACATTACTTATTTATAACAACTTAATCAGTCATCAAAACCAAGATTTATTGGATAGTTGGAGTGGCATCGTCATTGTTGTCATTCATTCATTCATCACCAACACATACACACCAACAAGGCAATCAATCAATCAAACAATAAACACACTCAAACACAACACACAAACATAACACGACATTCAAACAAATAACTCCCTGTTGCCCTATCACTACACTTCATTCATTGTTTGTTCGAACAAACAAACCATTCACACTCTCACACTACCCACACCACACTCACACTCACACTCACACACCACACACAACGCCGTTGAACCAGACTGCCACGATCCAGCCCCGAAGCCTTTCACGCAGCCACCAATCGACCCCCTTCCCCTTCTCCTCCTTCTCCCCAACAAACACAGAAACAGTGTCAAGCAAGCAATCGACTAAATAACCAACATCAACAACATACAAAGAAACAAACAAATAGCAGCTGCTTCAACTACACATTGCCGTGCATATATTACATCAATCCCATCACGTGACATTGTTGTTTTAAGTTAATCGATCAATCATTCAGTACATTCAATCCATTCATTCAATCAATCAATCAATAAGTTGATTAAGTTAGTTATTACAGATTAGAGATATATAGAACAGGGAGATGGATTCATTCCTCACATTTGGTCTTTGTGACCAAGCACTGGACTTCACGGTGGAATGTGAGTTCCCCGATCAATCCAGCAAGCAGTATCAATTCCAAGCCAGGCATACAGTTGATAAGATAAGGGTAATATATCATATCATATGTGATTGTCATCCATTCCTAACTCAAACTCAAACTCAAACTACCAAACTCAAACAAAACAGACATGTATATTACAGGATTGTCCAGTAGAGTATAATAGACAGGACTATGCACTGTCCATTGATAATGAGGAGTTGTCAGTGGATTTCAGTAGATTCATCGTGTCCAATCCAAAGATCACACAGACATTGGAGATGGAACCAATGGTCAGGATCAAACTGGCGCCCAAGTCACTGTTAATCAATCCATTCGTTCAAAGAGAGAAAATGTATATATATCTTGGATGATGATGATGGAACCATTCCATGATTGATCAATCACTCACACGATCAATCAATCAATCAAATATATAGCTTTGTAGGAAGTGAGAATAGGACATCAATGTCCAACCTGAAAAATACATTGGAGAACTCGCCAGTCGTGTCTAGATTGGCGGGTGGAGGCAGGAGTCTATCACCAACATCAGATTATATTGCGATCCAACAACAACAGCAGACTACATCTCCAACGAACAAGCCATTGAAGAAGAGCCCATCGATGGTGCCTCTGCCGGGCACGACACCAAAGAAGATGCTGCCCATCAGTGTCTCGCCGCCAATCTCACCAGAGTCGTCAAAGGATGTGACGTCGCCGGGCAAGAGCAACGGCGATGGCGAAGAGCAAAAGTATTCGCCACTGTCCTCACTCAAGAACCTGACGATCAGCTCGGTGCCACGCATCAAGTCGTTCATCGTGCACTCGCTGGACAAGCGCAAGACGCTCAACCCCAAGGCACACAGCAGCAGTGACGACCTGCGCACGCCGTCGCACCTGGCGTCGCATTCGCGGTCCCGGACGCACGAGAATCTGCACGCCAACATGTCGCTGTCGGCACCCAGCACGCCGCCCGAGTCGGTGACGCCCCCCGGTGGCGAGGTGCATCCACACCTCCAGCTCCAGCTGCAGGAGGCGGCCATCGAGCAGCAGGTCAAGGACTACACGCTGGTGGACAACATGCGCGGCTTTGTCGTGGAGCCCTATCGATCGCTGACAGAGTTTGACTTCACGCTGGACCCGCTGATCACCAGTGAGAGCTGGTACACCAATCACTTTGCATCGACCGAGCATCAGAACTTTGTCGGAGAGGACGATAAGAATGGACCCTACATCATATCCGTTCTCAAGACATCCTCTGGCGATGATGCTGGCAATGGTGGTGTCTTCAACAAGAATGCTGGATCCTACAAGATATTACTGAGGACAAAGTCTGTAAGTATCTTGATTGATTGATCACACTCACTGGAATGATTCCAATCACACCCAACCCTTACTAATCATTCAATCAATCAAACGAACAAAGGATGATATCTTCACAACAGTTAACCCAAAGGCCAGCTTCTTGATGTCATCGAACAAGATACCTATTAAGGAGATTGTGATGAATGTATCGCCAGACTTATCAACAAAGAACATCAGACAGGTCAAGAACACAGACATACAGAAGGACCTCACCAACTTTGAAGTGAGACAGCGTATCAAGTCTTTCAAGTTTGGTGTACTCTATTGTGCACCCAATCAATCAATGGAGGAAGAAATGTTCTCCAATGGTATGTGTTTGATTGATTGGTTGATCAAGTGTGATCATGACTAACTCATACCATCATTATACAAACAGAGCATGGTAGTGAAGACTTTAACGAATTCCTTACATTCCTTGGCAAACGTATTAAGCTGGAGGGATGGACTAATTATAGAGGTGGACTGGATGTGAAGAATAATACGACAGGCGCAGAGAGTGTCTATGAGAATTATCAGGGATTCGAGATCATGTATCATATTGCACCGATGTTGCCATATAGCACCGTGGACAACCAACAGGTGGAGAAGAAGCGTCACATTGGCAATGACATTGTTGTACTAATATTCAAAGAGGGCGACCGACCATTCAATCCAAACATCATGCAATCAGATTTCAACCGTATGTTATATATAACATGGACCATGGATGGATTGATTGATCAATCACACGACTAACATCACTCAATCAATCAATCAATCAATCAATCATAGATGTATTTATTGTTGTGGCAGTGGACTATGAGAATATGACTATTGGTGGACCCAAACGATATAAGCTGTCAGTGGTCTACAAGGAGGGAGTGAGTGCCAGTCAACCTGCACTACCATATCCATGTTCATTCGAAGCCAACCAAGAGTTTATAGATTATTTATTATGTAAATGTATGTATTTACCCTGCTGGTCCAAGCCCAAGGTCCACCATCAAGCCTCAACTTCCACAACCCACTCACTCAATCAATCATATCAAATCAATCAATTTAGTGATCAATTCTGAATGCGCGTCATATGATGCACCAAGCTTTAGGATTAAGATACAGAGAACAAGGACAGCACTGCTAAAGGATATCATTGGAACTTATGGCAAAGAGTAATACATGATTCTCTTCGATTGTTCCAGCCAGCCAGCACTCCAATAAAGTGGACTGAGTGTGCCATCATCTCTCAACCATGAGTGAGGTGAGGTAATCAGTCCAAACAACTATTATTATTTATTAACAATCATACAAACAATCTATTATTATTATCATAAACCTTTTATTAGGTGAATGGGATACAGGTCCTTGGAGAGATAATGGTCGATGGGAAAGAGTGTCTACACTTCATTTCAACTTTGGATGACAAAGTTCCATTTTGATGGACCGATTTAAATTTGATAATTATATTTTATTTATTATTAGTTAAAATCAATCGATAGATAAGTTTCCACTGGATACTATCATCAAGAGCTCTTGTTATATTTATCCTCACTATTATAATATTTGCAAAACCTCCACTTGTACATTTATTTCCATTAAAACTAATTATTATTTGTGTCAAGTGGGTGTTCTAGTTCAGACCGAACCAATCCCCCTTTTTTTGACAAAAGTTGTTCCTTTCTAAAATTGAACAAAAATGATTTGATGTGGGAGGAGGCGAAGATCTGGCATTCGAATCTTGCTTTGAAGTTTTTGCAAGGTCATCAACGGAAAGACATGTTTGATCAATCATCTTGTACACATACACATATAACACAAACATGTATAACAACAACAACAAATATAGTCAAACGATCATTCTCGTGATTGTGATGATATGCATCACAAGCACGCATTTGGCAAACGCAGATACTCAACAATGGTTGACAATGTTGCCAAATAACTTGGCGGCAACATGTTCAAATGTTAGTGGCATTGGTTACTCATTCCAGATGGGTGCGTGTCATCAGCTGGCCGACGCATCGTCCGGCACCTATCTGCAGGTGACCCAGGACAAGAACAACTACTTCCAATTCAACTTCTACACCAACGAACAATGCACTAATTTCCTGAGTGGTCCACAGACCGTCTCCACCAACTGCTCATCATTTAGCATGCTGGTGGCGGGTCCCAGCCAATTCGTGTGGATGCGCGAGCAGTACTACTCATTCGCGCTGTCTGCCGCGCCACTGGTCGGAGTGCCACAGGACGCTGTGGTGATGCAGTTCTTCAATGATGTGGCAGGCGCCGCGCAATGCAACACTGGCGCGTCGTACTACCAGTTTGTCAGCAATGGTGTCGTGTCGACCGATCTCTACGCACAGTCAATCATGCAGTTCCAATGTGTGGATGGTAACAAACCATTGGTCAACCTATGCAAGGCCAAACAATGTATCTATCCCATCGACCTAAGTACCAATTGCAATCAATGGCCACAGTCCAACTATCAAGGTTTCAAGATATCATGCAACACCAGTTCATAAGTTCCTTCCACCCGTCCATTCATTCATTCATTCAAACATTAAATATAATCATGTGTAAATAGAGATAATGATCGAGAGTGTGTAAGTTTGTATGTGATGTGATGAGATGTGGACTGATGGAATCATCCCATCACCATCACAATCATTTGTAAAGTGATATGTTGTTGTCGTCCTATTAAGGTATTTAATTGGAACAGAACTGGCCAGGTGGACAATAATGGTCTAACACTAAGGGACAATTTTTCTCTTTCAGCCACACAACTTGACATTTGACTTGTCTTGGTGCCAGTGCATACATAGAGATAAACTAACGAGTCAGGCAAGTGTGCACATAGTTCGATATCATGGACGAGATAAACAACAACAACAACAACAACAACAATAACAACAACAATGACAACAATTTCAACAACAACAACAACAATATCGTTGTGCTGCACAATAGCTTGGTGCTGCGGATCATTGACATTGCTTGGCGCCAGTCTGAGCAATTTGGAAGAGTCAGAAGGATACATAGGTGGCGATTATCACTCTCGCAGATCAGTTTGACTATGCACCAATATGTGGTCACACGACTGAACAACAAGAAACACAGACTCCAAGCATCTTACCTCGTCTGTGGCCATCCACAAAAATCACTGGTCACCAAGCAATCGCTTCTCATCCTGCCAAGGCCCCATCCAATCACTCTCCGTCCCTGATGTCGTGTGTTGGCGTAGTGGGCCGTACGCCCTCTATGACCAATTCCTCACGGACAACGCGCCCACCCTACAGCACCTGAAGGGCAAAGTCAAAGACATCCGACACATCGTCAACACCAAGGGTGCCAAGTCCGTCACATCATTGTATATCTTTGCAGATGGTTATGAACACGATGACCAAGTCGAAACCTCTGGCGCGAACGACACTCACCTGCAGTTGGATCACTTGGCGTCGCTGACAATCCATGGGTATAGTGGAGATGGTATCGTTATCACTCGCCACTATGTTCGCGCACCTTGGGCGACCACCATCAAGCTCAAACTGTTTGACGATCATACCGATTCACCATTTGGTAGAATGCTTGTCTACGATGGACAGTCGTTCAGTGATGTGATCAACAACAACATGCCAGCATTGACCACACTGGTGTTGGATGTGATGTTCAGTCCAGGTGACTGGGACAGGTACTTTCATCAAGGCATTCCATGGCTCCCGACACTTCTCAACAGCAAGCATTCATTACGAACACTCAAACTAAGTCCTCCACTGCGCGGCGATACCCTGGAGTATCTGTTGCAATCGCCCGACTGCAGGATCACAACAATGTCGCTCCGCCTCCTGATTGGTGAGCCGATCGTGGCCATCACCCGGCGCGACATTGACACGTTCAAGTTCGTCCTTGATGACGAGATAACCGAAAGAATTGAGCCAGGCGACCTGGATGCGTTCCTTCCCAGTCTGGACAATGTCAGGTGCATCAAGGGTCCGATACACTTTGAAGGCATCGAACGAATGTTCTCGTTGGTATCCCGTCCGACCACCATCTGGACGAGAACACCACCATTCAATACATTCACAACTACGAGGTCTCCACCTGCACCTTTGAGAGCAAATACCAAACCTTCCACGATGAGGACAGTGTCGATCATGCCAAACTTCAAGAGTTCAACAACTTTGTGGACAACCATCCAAGCATCGTCAACAAGTCGTCGTGGCACTGGCCGCATCCCAGGCACTACGCCACCAGAGTCAAGAAATAATAACAACAAACACTAGAAGTGTATGCCATTTGTAAGTTAGTTACACTGCACTCAAACACGCAATGATCAGACTGACCAGGTTGAAAGAGTGCTCGATGGACTTGTAAGTCTGGGCGAGCTTCTGGCAGTCATCATGGAGAGTAGAACTTGAAAGTCTTTGTTCCATCATTCACAGTGTCAAATGATAAAGTTGCCATCCTTCCTTCCGGGTGCACGCCACTCATTGACGCGACGATCTGCCTTGATGTGACGGATGCCGTGTGGGAACACCTGTATGAACGATCGATGAGACATTAACATCAAAGGTAAACTTTAATCAATCAATCACATACACATACAATCAACAACGAATCAACATGATTTACTAACAATCCACATATATATATGTTGTTTAATAGATATGCCATATGTGCAGACAATCGATTGATCAATACGTTGATGATCCACAAGGTACTCCTCGTCCCAGATCCCTTTACATGCATTGCCCGAGGCCACACTGTATCCAAGGGTGATCACACATGACCGAGATCGTAATGCCTCTTCCAACATAACGGACATTGACACATGGACTGCCTAGACCATCTTCCCTTACCAAAAAGGCATTTGCTGTCAACAGGCTATTCAAGATGACTGCTCCCGTCTAGTTACTTGATCCACCACCAGCAGGTCATGGACATGACCATGATAATCTGTCTACAACTACACCAACGACAACTAGATATCACAGCACATCTGATCAAGGTGGAGCTGTTGATATATCATCAAAGATGGATAGCCAAACCATCTCACCATTAATGTGCTCGGGCGGAAGATAGAGAGTTCGCGCTTTGAGGGTTAAAAGATGGTCAATCAGAAAGAAATAGAATCATTTTGGGTTGCAATGCATCATAAATCACTTAACTTTACATCTATATATGCCTTGGAGAGGATACTGTCTACCTCGCTAGGTCCAAAGGGATTGGACAAGGTGATTATAGATGCTCAGCTGAGGGAGACGACGATAACAAATGATGGTGCGACTATATTGTCTTGCCTCCCTTTGGAACACCCTCTGGCTATCATTCTGAAACAGTTGGCACAGGCGATTGATACAAAGATAGGTGATGGTACAACATCTGCAGTACTACTCGCTTGTAGATTGATTGCTTCAGCAGATCGATTGATCTTGGTCAGTAAACTACATCCAAACACCATCATCACTGGTTATCAACTTGCATTGGATCATTGCAACATATGGTTGGAGCGAGCATCTCAGTCCATTGCGACATCTACAACAACGTCGACGACGACGACGGCATGGCTCTCACAGATCGCTTCAACTTCAATGTCCTCAAAGATCTTGGCAAACTACTCGTCGCAGTTCTCTGCATTGTGTGTTCGCGCTACACACATCATTGGACATGATCATCTTGTGCATGATAATCTTGCGGCGGTCAAGTACCTCAAGATACAGGCTGGTTCAATCGCCGACTCTTATCTCGTTCATGGCACGGTCATCAGTGGCCGCTTCGCATCACCCAAGATGAAGAAGCTAGTCACTGGCGCAAATCTTGTACTCTTGGACTTTGAACTCGGCTACATCTCAAACGACCTGAGTGGAGCCAACATTGATGTATCATTGAGTCTACAACTGCGCGAGTCAATAGAGAATGAGCAACGCGAGATTGAAACCAGACAAGCACAACAGATAATAGACAACTTGATGCGACTCAAAGCCATTGGGGACAATTCAATCATCAACCTCAATGGATACATCGTCGTGTCCACCAAGCGAGTGTCATCAGGTTGTCTCGCACTACTAATGAAGCATGGCATCAATGTGTTGACATCGATCAGTTCCCAGGACATGGACAACGTGGTGAAAGTGTCCAATGGCTTCCTTCTGCGCACACCTGCGCTCGAGACAAAGGATCGCTACAGTGTAGTCGTCAGCCAATGCCGCGAGTTTGTCGAGAAGGACGGACGAGTATATATCGAGCTGATCAATGACACACCCGCCAACCATCTCTGCACACTGGTATTGCGAGGGCCCAATATGTACACAATTGACGAGGTCCAGCGATCACTGAACGACTCGCTGTCAGTGATGGCGCTGGCCATGGAGAGTCCTGTGATCGTTGCAGGTGGTGGTGCCACCGAAGTTGGCCTATGGTGTCACCTGCAGACAATGGCCACTCAACAGCCCGATATCAAGTTGGCCAAGACCATATCAATGTTTGCCGAAAGCCTTCTCTCCATCCCCCTTCACCTATTCCGCAATGCAGGCTTTGACTCCTTGCAACTCCTGGCACAAGTCAAGGCACTGCATCAGACTCAGGCCCCTTCTCCCAAGGACGAAGACCAAGCCCAGGAGGCTGGGACCCATGTATCATCAAACCCATACCCATATCGTAATCATTGTATCAACTTGTCCAATGGACAGGTGGCCGACATGGTGGAACTTGGAGTGATCGAGTCACTGAGGTCCAAGAAACAACTGATGGCAATGGTCATCAACACAGTATCAATGTTAATCCGAGTTGATCAATGTCTGATAGACAGTAGGGCACAGGATAATCATTCGATATAAATGAACGATGAATGAATGAATATGATTGTTGACATGTATAAAGATTGGTGTATTATTGTATCAAGGGATGGCGATGGTTGAGATAGGGTAGGGTAGGGTATAGGGTAGTGTAAGGGTTGGCGGTGTGATGAAGGACCATTGCAATCCAACATGCATGTTATCCAACGTCTGATAGGAGTGAGTGAGAGTTGATGTGTTCTTATTACTATTAACTGTGCTGCTTGCTTGCTGCTGCCGCTGTCTTCCTGCTATTGCTGCCTGCTGCTGATGCTGCACCTGAATATCATCGTCTTTTGTCTTAAGTTTAGTCCTTGAACTCGATCTTGCGGGTCTTGATGGTGCTCCACTTCAAACGCTTCCAGTAGAACATGGGCACGGCGATCAGACCAAGTCCGAGGATGATCTTGAAGCCCAGCTTCTTTCTGTCGTCGTGCTCGGGCTCGGAGGCCCAGGCCAGGAAGGTGCTGACGTCCTTGGCCATCTGCGACACAGAGTTCTCAGTGCCATCGTCAAACTCGATGGCGCCCTCAGACAAGGGTGGTGCCATGGCAATCTTGGTGCCTGGGAAGTATGGGTTGAAGTATTGGCCACCGACGATCTTGACACCGGTGGGTGGATCGACGTAACTGGTCATCAGCGAGAAGACGTAGTCCTCGTGGCGGGAACGAGCCTTGATTACGAGCGACATATCGGGTGGCAGAGCACCGTTGTTCGAGAAACGAGCAGCGTTTGCGTTGGGGTATGGTTTGGGGTGGTAGTCTGTGATGACTGCCTTGCGCTCGAACATCTCTCCTTCTGAATCAGGTCCATCCTCAACCTGTTATTTAAATAATTGATTGATTGATCGCATCGTATGATTGATTGATTGATTGAGTTTGTTTGATTGAGTGTTAGCCGCGTGTCTCCACCCTGTTGTTGTCGCCACTGTATGCTGTATGATTAACTTACGGTCAGCTCAGCTGTGATTGCCTTCATCTCATCGGTGGTGTAGGCAACGTCGATCAAATGACGATATGAGATCATGTCAAGACTGTGACAGGTGGCGCACACTTGAGTATATACTTGATGACCACGACGGATTGAAGCATGGTCGAACGACTGCCATGGGAAGCGATGGTTCCATGGGTATTCGGGGGGCTGAGCAAAGTCGTCCGACATGAAAGCGACGCTGCCAGCGGTACCTGCTGCTGCTGCAGTGATTGTTCCCAAGAACAGCTTAGACTGTTTGTTATGATATGAGTGTGTCATATATGTCAGTCATTGATTCATTCATTCAATCAGTCATTCAGTGTCATCCAACTTGTTGGTGGTGTGGTGATCGATTGATTGATTGGTCGCGAGTGTCGCCTGATGTGTCATGTGTCTGCACCTACGTTGTTCCTAATAGCGTTGAACATTGTTATCAACTACTGATATAGATAAGATATGTGTTGATTATTGGTTGTTAAGTTATGATGTTGATGTCTGACTGACTGAGTGAGTGCGGGAGTGAGACGCGAGAGTGAGTGTGAACCTGAGTCGCTTTGCCAGGGCAACAACAAAAAAAAAGAAAAACAAAGTGCGTAGTGAGTTAGTGAATGATGCAGACTCATTCATTCATCATCAAAAAAAAAAGAACCCACACTTCAACACAAGTCCAATCAAATGTAACGTTATTGTTCATTTGAAGGATCTTTGACTTTAATCAACCCAAAGATCATTAAATTACATTGTTCTTGTAATACATTAATTATAACATACATATACATATAATAACAATGCCAGCTGGAATCATTCTTGCAACAGCTAGCTATGATCATACTATCAAGTTTTGGGACCCTCCAAGTGGAGGTTGCTACAGGTCAATAGACTGTGGAGACTTTGTATGTTTGAGTTGGACCCTCATTGACTCGACTGACTGATTGACTGATTGACTGATTGACTGACCATGACACTATATACAGCATATAAACAGATTGGAGATCACTGCAGATAAACATTATATAGCGGCAGCGGGTTATCCCCAGACAAGACTATTCGAAGTCAACTCAAACAACAACAACCCTGTATGTCTTTGATTGATTGATTGATTGACTCGTTGATCGATTGATATACTCATACATACATATAGGTCACAAGTTTCGATGGACACAAGGTCAATGTAACAAGTGTTGGATTCCAGAAGGAGGGCAAATGGATGTATACAAGCTCAGAGGATGGAACTGTAAAGATATGGGATATAAAGGCACCTGGATGTCAACGCGACTATGAGTGCAACGCCCCTGTAAACTGTGTTGTACTACATCCTAATCAAGTATGGTTTAAACATTGAATGATCGATTGAACGATTGGTCGCGAACAAGATACTCATTCACATTCACATTGTTATATACACTCACAGGCTGAACTAATCTCTGGCGATCAAAGTGGAAGTATTAGAGTATGGGACTTGATATCAAACTCTTGCAGTAGAGAGTTGGTTCCAGATGGAGAGAATGGTATCACATCATTGTCGATATCAAGTGATGGATCAATGGTCGTGGCATCAAACACCAAGGGCAAATGCTTTGTCTGGCGATTGGGCGAGGACGACACCTCCCGCTTCGATCCATTGACCAAGATTGAGGCTCACAACGCTCCAATCCTCAAGTGTCTATTCAGTCCAGATACCAAGTGAGTATCACAATCAAGTTTGTTTGAATGATCATTCAATCACTGACCCTCCCTCCCTACCATCTCCCAATCACAGACTACTGGCAACAGCATCAGCTGATCATACAGTCAAGATATGGAACACAAAGAAGTTCAATGTGATACAGACACTGACAGGACATGCGCGATGGGTATGGGACTGCGCCTTCTCCAATGATTCAGCATATCTGGTCACTGGCAGCAGCGACACCTTTGCCAAGCTCTGGGAGCTACACCAGGGCGAGCCTGTCAAGACGTACTCTGGCCATACCAAAGCTGTCAATGCTGTGGCTCTTAACGACCTACCTCGTTGATTGATCAGTCATCACTGATCCCTCCCCAATTGTAATGATAACTATATCTCTCTCCTCTCCCTCACTCTCCAAATGAAGACACGCATGGATGTTTAGGCATTCATTATCCTTCTCTTTATCTATCTCCTGTCTGTGCCTCTCTCTATCTCAATTGATCCACTTGGTTGGACACATTATAGAATGGTGTATGGATCCCAACAGACACGACGATTGCAATTGAGGTTGTCCAAAGTGGTCATGTCTTCATCTGGGACGACAAAACCAAAGATGTTGGCATTCTCTTGGATTCTCTCTGTCTTGACGGACTTTGGAATGACGATTACATTCTTTTGAATTGCCCATCTCAACAAGACCTGAGCTGGAGTCTTCTGAAGCTTGGTAGCAATCTCTACCAATACCTTGTCTTGAAGCTACATGATATGAATGATTGATTGGAAGTGAGTTATTGAGTTGATTGAGTTGATTGAATGATGGTGATCGTCACAACTTACAGAGTCTTGCTTGGTTCTGACCAATGATGCGTATGCCTCCAATGCCACGCCGTTGCTCTGGCAAAAGTCCATCAACTCCTTGTTGTAGAGGAATGGATGGAACTCGACTTGGTTGACCATTGGTCTCACCTTGCATTGCTTGAACAGCTCCTCGAGATGTGCGATGGTGTAGTTGCTGACGCCAATTGAGCGACACTTCTTCTGCTCGTACAGAGTCTCGAATGCGCGCCAGGTCTCGGCACGGGTGGTAGAGTTGAGTGGGTCAGTTGGCTGGTTGCCAGCAACGCCTGGCCAGTGAACAAGGTAGAGGTCGACGTAGTCCAGTCCAAGACGCTTGAGTGAGTTTGCACAAGCTTCCATCGCTTTGTCATAGCCTTGTTCGGAGCTTGATGCTTTGGTCGTAATGAACAGATCCTCACGCTTTAGAGCACCTGTACTAAACAGCTCTCTAAGCACAATTCCAATTGCTTCCTCATTCTTGTATACAGAGGCAGTATCAATGGATATATATCCACAATCCAATGCACTGATCAACACATTCTTTACATCATCAACAGGAACCTCATAACATCCCACTAACATATTATCATCATTAGTATAATGTATGTTATAACTATCTATTCATTCATTCATTCATTCATTCACTCATTCATTCATTCAATCGTTGATTGATTGATACATACAACCAAAGAGAGGCATCTCTACTCCATTGGTGAGAGTGACTGTTGATCTAATTGTAAGTTGATGATGAGTAGTAGCAGTAGTAGACATGATATATAATTATGTATAACCTTAATTAATTATGTGTTCTGAGTTTGATAAAGTGATTCACTTTCAAGTTAAGCAAAGTTGATGTTCATTCAAATCAAAAAAATATCTTTTCTGTGTCGAGGGGGTTGTGTCTTCGATGGATTCGGAATACCCAACACATCCATCTTCCGCCTCAAAGGACACAAGTTGCTCATATGGTGAATTATTCCAAATGGAATCATATCACATATATTATATTATATTATAGAATTAATAATAAATAAATAAATATATATATACAATATTTACAAATCAATTCAAATGTGAATGACAAGGTGAAGAGGGATGGAAAAGGAGTGATGATGGGAAGTGGACATGGAAGGAAGGAAGGAATGGAGAGAAAAGGGGATTAGGGGAATGATGAAGGGAAGGAGGAACGGAAGATGGGATGGGGAGAGGGAAGGAGGAAGGGAGGGGGGATGGGTATGAAGAAGAAGAGTAGTTTCCTTTTTACTTGGAGACGGTGAATCCATTGGCCTCGTTGAGGGAGTCAATGATTGAGTTGATGCGGGCAGTAACCTCAGCCTGGACGACTGGGTCAATTCCCTTGGCGATCATGTACTCCTCAGAGACTGGTGGCCAGTGTGGGAGTGGCTCCTCGGAGGCGGCGTCCATGGTCTGGGATGAGAGAGCAGAAAAAGTGGCGGCGGTCGATGGGGCGTTGCCATAGCAGTAGCCCATGGTGGTGGTGTTCATGACCTGGGTGACGGTGATGCCGGGGTAGCCAGCGAGGACGTCGTTGAGGGTGACACGACGGTTGGTGTTGTCACGTCCGTTGTAGGTGTTGGCGAGGGCTGGGTTGGCATCCTGCCAGTTAGCCCAGAGACGGTCAACCATGGCGTGGTGAGAGAAGAAGAAGGCATCGTTGGTGGAGATGGCGGTGGTCATGTCTCCTCCGATCGATCTGTGGACGAGGTTGTGTGGGCCGACCTCGACGTTCTGGGCGAGGGTGGAGAAGGTGGTGGAACCGGCGATGAGCGAGTTGAGGGTGGCGGGCGATGGGTAGTTGTTCATGTCGGAACCGAAGCTACGTGGAAGACAGTGGTCAACCAACTGTCCATTGCTGTTGTACTTGGGTCTCCACTTGCCGAGCTGGCCGTTGGTGACACAACCACCGGAGCCTCCGTTGCCTCCAAAGTAGGCGTCGGTCATGAGGATTGAGGCGGTTGGGTTCAAGTAGTCGAGCGACCAGTCCCAGTAGGGGATGTAGATGGTTGGGTCGTTGGTGACGGACTGGAGCAGCAACTCGAGCTGCTTCAGGTAGTATCTGTGCCATGGGAGGAAGTTGGCGCCGCTGTGGATGCGGTTGTTCTGGGTGACGTGGATAACGGCAAAGGTGTCGTATCTGGTGACGGTTGGGGTGGTTGGCGAGGTCAAGTTACGGAGAAGCTTGACGGCGTTGATGTACTTGGACAGCTCGGTTGGGGTCATCTGGCGAACTTCCTTGCGGACGAGCGAGTTGGAGGCACAACGGGCAGAGGCCAGTGGCAGCACGACCATCAAGGCGAAACATAAAACGAGAAGAGTGTACTTCATCTTGTATTATAATTATATAATTGTTATTATTATTATTATTATTTGATGTGGATGTTTAACATGTCAATAATGATCAGAAAGTGTCCAGTTTAAATAGTGATCGTTTCCAGACAGGTATCAAATTATTTACGCAATTATTATGAGGTGTGGAGGCCGAGGTATAGGATGTGGAGGCGGAAGATAGGTAGGCTGGGGGTGCGGATGTGTGTTTCGGTCGTCGGTCGTAGTTTGGACCATCCTTTCAACATAGACAATACCGTGTAAGGGTCTAGGTTAATAACATCCTTGCCAAGGCAACACTCACTCACTCTCACCACGAGTTCCTGGATCATCAGTGGGCCACAACACACCTTACTCGCCAGAGTCTATGATAAATGATAACACAAGTCAATCAAAATTGATCAAACTGAGACCTGACAGGGTAATACTGACTCCCTATTCTTAGGGTGTTGTTGGGGGCTAGAAGGCCGCGCCAGGGTAGTAGGTGCACCAAAACACCTTCCACATGTTGAGGAGGTAGGACATCGCCCTTACCTTGGAAAGGAGTGATGTGGGGCGAGAGCCCCGCATAGGGAGACACCGAAACATACATGTCTGACGATGCTCAAATCCGAGATCATCCTCCAAATTGATTGAGCTCCTCCTTTGGTATCTTAACCTTGACGGTGTCGCCCCTGCGCGCTTCGTTCATAGCCACTCATCTCACTTACTCATTCATTCATCAACGATTGCGATGAGTGGATTAGGGTCCACTCCCATCTTTGCTATTCGACGAAACACAAGTGATTGAGAGGTTATAGGGTCCCGAGCATTCACTCTGACGGGGCGGGAACGCCCATTTCAAACGTGTACTTGTACCAAACGAGTGAGAGGTGTCTCTCGCAGCTCCACCGTTGTGTCCTGAATAATAATGAGAAAACGATCACCTTTAATCACATGACCTGCCTTGAAACCAATCAAATCAATCTCTTTCTTGCCCGCCCTCTAAAACATAAATTAATTCGTTTCGCGACTTGTGGGTGGTGCAAAGGGTTTGCGCCCTTGTTGGGCGGAACACCACCAATGAGTGAATGGCCCCACTCCTTCAGAGCCCCGCCCTCCCCCTCCACCTACGTTGACCTAACTCGGACATTAAACATAAATTATAACCTATCAAGATAGAGAAAGATAAAGAAATGTTTCGACATGATGAATACCCAAAAGTATGTCATTAGGGTATTAAATGGACCTTGGTAATCAAGTGACATTGTTTGAGAAATGTTACTTGGGACCCAAGTCAGATTAGAGGTGGTATCATCACTCAACAGGGTATATGTTTGATCGTCATCATCTATTGGGATGGAGTTGCATATGAGTGAGTGATCACAAGAGAATGATCCTGATTGAGATCACACATCCCAACATTCTTTTACTATTGGTTCCCTTTTGGAGAATGAATGAATGAACAAACATCACATCATTGATGATAGTTACTTACTTAAAACTCCAATTGGAATGAATGATTGAATGTATTGGCAGGCACCTGCGAAGATCAACCAATGAGGACATGTCAATCTTTTGTATGAATCAATGTGGTTTGATTGATTGATTGAGGCGGGCCCAATGAGTGCTTGGATGGGGTAAGATGGAATCAAAGATAGAAGACCAAGATGATCGAAGGGTCTCATGTTGGTGATCATATGTCCATCCACATATAACCTATCAATGATGACACAATCTCACCATCTATATTTGACGCTAAGGGGAGATTTCCAAACGAGGTCCCTACACACTAAGAGTCCTCTCTTTTGGACATTTCGAGATAATAATTATTATTATTATTGAATGAACATTGTTATTATTTTATTTGATAGAAATATTGAGTTATTGTTATTAATGATCGATCTAGCGATTCATGGAGGTAGGAGGTCTTAAGTTTTGATCAGTCCAAAGTGTGCATCGGTCTTGGATGGTCCAAGAGTAGTGCAGAACTTTCCTTTGTCATCAAAGACATTCTGGTTGGCGAGGGCAGTGACTCTGTATCCTGGCTTGGATCCAACGACACAGTATTTGCCTGGGGGCAGATCCTTGAATGAGTAGGTCTTCTCGGTGGTGGAGTCGATGGTCTTGAGAACCTTGCCAGCAGAGTCCTGGAGCTCCAACTTGAGGCCAATCAATTGAGGACTGCCTGGGCCATAGGTACCGGTCTTGAGCATGGTGTCATCCCAAATGCCACCACCCAATTCAAATGTTGTGGTCGAGATCATACCAAGATTGGCACCAGTCTTGGATGGTCCGAGTATGATGCAGAACTTTCCTTTATCATCAAAGACATTCTGGTAGGCGAGAGCAGTTGGCTTGTAGCCAGCCTTGGAGGCGACGACACAGTAGTCACCAGCCTTGAGACCCTTGAATGAGTAGGTCTTCTCAGTGTTCGAGTCGATTGTCTTGAGTACCTTGCCAGCAGAGTCTTGCAACTAAAGCTTGACGCCAAGCAGTTGAGGACTGCCTGGACCGTATGTACCGGTCTTGAGCATGGTGTCATCCCAGATGCCACCTCCAAGTTCGAATGTAGCGTCAGCGGATGCAATCATACCCAAGTGTGCGTCAGTGACGGATGGACCGACCTTGGTGCAGAACTTGCCATTGGAGTCGAAGGCCATCTGGTTCTTCTTGACAGTTGGTGTGAATCCTGGCTGGGAGGCAACAATGCAGTAGTCTCCAGCCTTCAATCCCTTGAATGAGTAAGTCTTGTCCTGGTTCGATGGAATGGTGCTCAACACCTTGCCAGTGGAGTCTTGAAGCTCCAACTTGACGCCAACTAAACGTGTACTGCCTGGGCCGTAAGTGCCTTGCTTGACCAATGTATCATCCCAGATACCTCCACCAATCTCAAATGTGGCGTCAGCGGTGGCAATCACAAGGATAAATCATTAATCTGGCAAATATGATGTGATTGAAGTGAATAATTGACATTCGAGTCCTGGAGAACCAACATCGAGTGTCACTTGACATTATTCCATGGACCAAATCTTGATGTTTAGTAAAGTTGGATACATATTGATTTCATCAAACTAGTTTGATCATATCAACTTGATCCTTATTTAATGAGAATGAATGGTTGGTAGGCTGGATATATATATATAAATTGAGTAGTTGATAGATTGTTTGAATGAATGAATGAATTGGATGAATGAATGAATGATTGAATGATTTGTAACAGGTAGGTCATGCGTTGCCTTCTCTACTCATGACAAAGTTCAATATATCAGTGATACTGATGACCTTGTAAAGTGTTGAGTCTGTGTTGGCAATAAATATCCTATGTATCCTATGTGCCACCATCTTTGAAATTACATCTTTCAATGTATCATTAACTGTACAATATATAAATGGAGTCTATATAATTATAAAGTAATTGTTAGCAACGAATATCATATGATGTATCGTATGATTCAAGACAAACAACTTACAGCATTGAGCAGTCTGATCTTATTGAGGAACTCCATTATAGGCAGTTGGAGAATGGCCGTCGATGGATTGTTGATGAACAACTTGAGATCGGCACTACTCGTGCTTCCAATGAGCTTGCCTTGCTCGTCCACAATTGCCACGCCACTCTTACCCTGTACATCCATCACTCTAAACACATCGATCGTCAAAGATGTATTCTTGGCCGAAGTCACATTGGAGATACCAAGTGAATCCAATTGGGAGATCTAGATCGGTATAATGATGCATGAGTGAGTGAGTATGAAACATAGTTTAAGAAATGTTCCATGTCATCCATTACCTTTTGATCCAACTCTGGCAACATTGACGAGTTAACATTCTTGTCAATGAACTGGATGATTGATGATTGTGAGATGATATCCACCAGCTTTCCATCTTTATCAACGATGGGCACACGATGTGTTCCCTTTGACAGAATATCAACGACCTTTAGCAGGTTGGAACCAACCATTATTGAGTTGAAAGGATTCCTGCGAGACAAATCTAGATAGATTGAATGTATGAATGAATGAGTGAATGAGTGAATGGACGAGGGGACGAGGGGAGAAACCAATGAATCTTACATGTTACTGATACATCTGTTTGATGCTTAAACATCTTGACACCAAAGTTGACTAGATCCAAAAGTGTCTCTGCCTTTACATTGTTGTCGTAGAGGAACAATGAGAATGATACTAAATCGCGAATGTCCAAGAATCCACTATACTTGTTGGCAGTAAGGTCAAACACTGGAATTGATTGAATCCTATTATCAATCAACAACTAAATAAACATAATATTAATATTATGAACCGAATGACATGTCATGATATCATGACGTGACATACATTGAATCCTTGAGCTGGTTTTGCATTTGAGTCTATCTGTACAATATGATTCTTTGTACTATGCAATGACTCTACTTGCACTGTTTCAAACACATGCTTAACAGTCATTGTTGTTTGGTTGTATTATGTATCTGTGAAGTAAGTATTATAATGTATGTATGTATGTATGTATATGTGTATGTATGAGTTAAGAGTAATAAATGAACATTGACTAACAATGCAAGTTCACTTAAATTAAATTTAAAGTGTGTGGTTGCGGAAGGTGTCAAACAAACCTTTGACAAGATGTGCTGTTGATGAGACTCATTCACAATACTTGCGGTCTACTTGGTGTTGGTACTTTGTGTATGTGTTAATAAATGTTCACTTCACAAGCTGCGCCAATGATATTGGTATTGTCATTACAACAATGTTGTTATGTCATATCATATGTCATGTCTCGTGCAGTAGACCAGACATCAAACAAACAAATACACTATCCACAGAGTTTATTGTTCAAAGCTTTAAAGCAATGAATCTAAGCGTAGTGTAACATTCATTTATTCATTCATTCATTCATACATTCATTCATACATCTAAACAATGTTGTTGTTGTTGTTGTTGGAGTCGAGTGATCGCGACTCGTGTAGACACAGAAAGTCAAAGAAGATAGATGGTAGATAGAAGGTAGGTAGCTTGTGGATTAGAGAAGACAAGGTCGCGACTGTTGCACAACCAATCATGACTCGTATGATGATGATCATTATTAAGTGAACAAGTTGTTGTACCCGAGTCTTCAACGGGGACCGGTTATCGCCCTCCTCCTAATTTGGTTATCGCCCAACTATCCAGTGTCGGTCCTTTAAAGGGGCCACTACTTCACTACTTCTACATTCGTAAAGTGACTTACTTACCAGCCCCTTAACAACTTCATTCATTCATTCATGCATTCTGTCTCTCTATTTATAGAGTAATATAATTAAGTATGTTCCTGTCATGTTGTTTGATTGATTTTGTGTGTGTTAGAGTGTGTTGTTGTGATCGATCACACTTTCAACAGACACCATCACACACTCATACACACACAAATATTGATGTGATTGGCTCAATCAATCAATCACACACGCATCTCTCCAAAGATGGTGGCGACTCCCACGTTTCAAGAGGAACAGGACCACACAAGCATTGCATTCATCTCCTTTTGCGACAGATCACAGAGTGATCCATTACTACTCCGATCTCCATCCAAACAACTTTTGACTCCTTCCATTCTCAACCAACAACGTCCAACCACCCAAAGAAACACCGGCAACCTTGTTGCTTGCTTGCCCATCCAAAGTGTGACACCCTTCATTGGTAACATCCAGATGCGCCATCAGGAATAATAATAAGGAATAGATTAAGAGAGTTAGAGTTAAAGATAGTGATTGAGTAATCAATCAATCAATCAATTTACATCAATCAATCAATCAAACAAACAAATAACTGTAGGTCACATAATCGCTGGAACTATTCCAACAATCAATCAACACTTGGAATTGACTAACACTCTGTCTGGCACACTCACTGTTCATCCAGGATGATAACAGAGACCGACAACAAACAATAACATTGTATTATTATTATAAGTGTGTACATTATATCTTGTATTATTATTTAAAAGGAAACGACGACCATGATCAATCAAGCATCAGGTGATCTAGTTGATGATGCACGATCACCAAGTGTTGGAAAACATCAACAACAAACTCAAGCAGAGTTTGCTCAAGAGTCGCGAGACACAAAGACCAACAAACAGCACACGCCATCAGGAACACTATCATCCAAACTGACATGGTTCACCAACATTATAAACAAAAGACGATTAAGACAAACTAGTAGCACGAGCAATATCCATAATAATAACGACGACAACAACAGCAACAACAGCAATGATCAATCAATGCCAGTGCGTATCAGGGCATCAAACTCAATGCCATCACTTCATCCAGACAACCCAAAGACATCAAATCATTCAAAACAGAGCAGTGGAAGCAGTGCCAAACGACTGTCCAAGCAAAGATCATTGAAGAACATATTCTCATTGCTGTCACCTTCATCATCATCGTCTTCGTCGTCATCTGGAGCCAGTGGCAATGGTAACAAACTTCGACACTCTGGGGACGTGATGGCCATGTCGAACCCGAATGATAGCGAAACCAATCCCAAGAAGTTGAGCAGCAGTCAGAGTTGTGGTGACATACCTAGCCAACAGACACGCATTAGCAGGAGCAGTACTTTAAGCAAGTTGATCAAAGGACGAAAGGACTCTTTGTTGTCCAAGAAGGACAAGTTCAAGATGCCCTCGCCCTTCGAGCCGCCAGTCAAGATCACCGAGGCCCTCAACATTAGTGGTGGCCCATCGACTCCAGGAGCAATGTGGATCGATGAAACAGACGCCGTCACTACTTCCTCAACATCTCCGCCATCTGCACAGCAAGACGAGAAGCCTACACTGGTCCGAACATGGTCGCGACCAAGTGGCAAGGGCAAACTGCTACACTCTCGAACATCGGCTCCGCAACTTATGAGTGACATTAAGAAGCTTCAATTGGACTTGTCACCAACACTACCAAAGATTGGCACTCATCATTGGTGGGGCTCAGCCAACCCCAAGCCACCAGACAACTCCAATGCCCTGCTCCAGCAACAGTTAGACGCCGACACATCGCCAAATCTTATAGTTAACAACAACCTGGCCACCACCTCACTCAACAGATCAATATCAGAGTTCCACTTGCAGCGCAAACCATCGAAGTGGGTGATGGCAGCGCCGTCGACACCTCCATCAAACGGCGCCACAGGCAGTCACAATGGCTCGCCAGTGCGAGGCATTAGCTCCTCGCCACTCAGCTCCTCTCCAGAGACACGTGGATGTACAGCCGGCTCGTCACCAGTCTCATCAATCATTCGTATCTACTTTGTGCCGCTAGTGTTTGAGGAGGTTACAGGTGGATCATTCCCCGACGATGAAGGTGATCAGCCCACGCATACAGCCGCGGCAATGGACTCGCAAACGCACGCCGATCCACTCAACGCATCCTCGCTCTGTCTCAACTCATGCCAACTTTGGACCAACTATTGGACACAGGTGGTCACCAGCACGACGATGGCCAAGGACATCATCAAATACCTGGCGCCAAAGATTGACAGGAACGAACAACTACTCAAACTATGCAGCACACCAAACATATACGACTATGTCGAGGACGATACATTGTTGATTGGACTGCGATCCAAGAAAATCTATCTGATGGAGATGCCCAACGAGGTTGTCGTGCACGAGTCTGAGACACTGCCCGACCTCCGCGGCCTGGTCGCCGAGACACCACGCCCCAAGCCCGCCTCACTAACATCCAGCATGCTATCCATCAGTCGAAGTTGGTCGCCAAGCTACTACTGTCGATTCCTTTCTGGCTCCCAACAACAATCAGGGCACAGTGGCAACCAGCCCCTCAGTACAATGTGCGCCAGTCCAGACTCATCCCGCGACGATCCATTCCTCCTCACACCCCGCAGCAGTGAAGGCGGCAACACATTCTCATACAGCAGTTGCAGCAGCTACAGTAGCCCTCTGATGATGAGTTGCACCGAGCTGAGCACCAAGGGTGGCGGCAGTGGTGGTGGAGGTGGCTCCTCCAAGTCGAACGATAGCGTGGAGATCTCATCCAAGTGCAAGGAGCGCATCAAGATCTTGGACAACTACTTTCATCACTACTACCAGGAGCTCAATAGCTACTTGGCCCAGCGCACTCGGCGCATGGATAACCTGCTGGAGGCACTGCGCGAGTCGGGCATCAAGGAGCACTCGATCGCCTGGCAGCGCTGTCTGCGAGAGTACATGGACAAGGAGAGCACATACCTGCGCCAGAAGCGCGCACACATTGGCTCAAGCGACTTCCGCAAGCTGTCGATCATTGGCAAGGGCGGTTTTGGCACCGTGTATCTGGCCACAAAGAAGGACACTAACGAGATTGTGACACTCAAGGTGATACGCAAGACGGCGTACCATCGCGCCAACCAGATGACATCGGTCTCTAAGGAAAAGGCAGTGATGATGATCCCGACTACGACGCGCGACGACGCCAACCAGTGGATTACGCGACTACTCTACTCTTTCGAGGACTCACATTACCTTTACCTGGCGATGGAGTATCATTGTGGCGGTGACTTCCGCTCACTGCTCACCAACCTGGTCACGCTCTCTGATGACATGTCGTCATTCTACTTTGCCGAGATGGTGTTGGCCATTGAGTCACTTCACAAGCTTGGCTACATCCATCGCGATATCAAACCAAGTAACTTTGTGATTGATCGCTGTGGACATATGAAGCTCATTGACTTTGGTCTTAGTAAGGATGGCTTCCTCTCTCACAACTCAAAGTACTACAGCACCTGGAAGAACTTGCTCAACAGTGTAAGTGTACCTCTCTCACTGACCATGGCCTGGCATGCACTAACCTCCATCCATTCTTCACACCCATCACAGAAGGACGACTCTCATCCAAAGATTCCAAGATTCAAGAGTGGCAAGAAGTTGGTCAAGCATGTGGTATGTTCATCCAAAGTGGACTGGCGATTGATCACATCCTGGAACGATCCCACTGACCCAATCAATCACTCAATCAATCAATTCATACAGACGTACGCCAAGGTCGGATCACCAGAGTACATGGCACCAGAGATGTTGGCAGGCAAGGGATATGACATGACGTATGACTACTGGTCGCTTGGAGTGGTGCTGTTTGAGATGTTGTTTGGAGAGACACCTTTCGCCGCAGAGACAGTGGAGGAAGTGTTCAAGAATATAATGGATTGGAAGAAAGTGTTGGACTGGGACTACCTCGGACAGTACTTCTCGCCCGTGGCCAAAGATCTCCTGCAGAAGTTGTTGTGCGAGCCTGAGCGACGACTGACCTCACAGGAACTCAAGGCGCATCCATACTTTGCCGACATCGACTGGGACAACATCAAGAACATCACGCCGCCATTCATCCCACAGGTCAAGAGCGAGTCTGACGCCAGCTACTTCTCAGACGCGATGGATATCATTGATGAGGACGCAAACAATGATGTCCACTTAGAGGGCGACTATGATGAGGCCGTGGAGGTGGCCACGCAACAGCCCCCTGCCTCGCCCGCTGCGGCGGCAGTGCCTGTGACACCCGATACCAGTCACCATCCTGACACGACTGTCGATGACATTGACTCATTCAGATCGATGCCCTTTGGTGGATTCACATTCCAACGCTTCCCATCCGTTGTGGAAGGCGCTCGTGCCAAAGGTTTGATCAAATCATTCTACGTCGAGGAGAAGAGTCTCTCGCGGGCTGCCAGCAACTCATCGCTAAACAGTCCATCAACTGGTGGCCTTGGCCTTGGTGGACTTGGTGGACCTGGTGGACCTGGTGGCTCACCAATCATTCAATCAGATATTAGCGGTAGTGGTGGAAGGGTACCGATGATTCAAGTGCCATCTGGATCAAGTCCTCAATCATACACGCCTCCACAGATGAGTCCACCCGCCACCTCTTACAAACAACATTCTCCATTGCCCATACTACGCATGCCTTCACTACGATCCAACAACAACAACAAGAACAAATAGAACAAATAAACCACAACCCATAAAAGGGTGGCGCCCTTTCTTTGTTTGATCAAAGTTTTGCTGAGCTCAAAATCCTGTTGCGGCTCCTGGAACTCGAACAAAAAGTTTTGATTGTTTTTCCCTCATCACGATCGGAATGAGGCACTCTCGTTGGATGGTCCATCCAAAGGGTGGTTCACAATCTATTGTCCATTCATTCATTCAACAATACGGATACGTTAATCAAACAGATAATATTTATATAAAGGAAGGAAGGAAAGAAAGAAGGAATAATGACAGATTGTTGCGAAGTATCAGTATTCAATGATGATTGTGGTGTATATTATGGTGCAGGATTCCAATGCCAAGGCTTCCTAAAGAAATCAACAACATATCCAAACACTAATGTGTGCCAGCTCTGTGTGACCAATCCTACTTTCCCACCCGACCCTTCACCCGGCTTGACTGGCGCCGTGATCGGCCTCGAGATCGTCCTGCCCATAGTCATCTTCCTCATCATCGTTGCCATTATAATCAGAATAATCTTGGGTATTAGATGGAGACGTGCAGCCCTACTGAGCGCAGGCGTATGTATTAGCGTGGAGACCACCCACTGTGCACCACCACCATGTCCTCCACCCATGTACGTCCAGCCTGCACCAATGTACGTCCAGCCTGCACCAATGTACGTACAGCCGCCACCCGTTCAAGTGTGTCCAATGCCATCCGCACCAGTCACATATCAACAGACTACCTATCAATTCATGTAAATTATAATAAACCTTAATAACCTTTATTATCTTTCTTTATCAGTATCCATATGGTAGTTAGTTATTTGTCAATTGATAGTCTTGGGAATGGAAGGAGGGGGAGGGGGGGACATTCCCTGGGTATCACACTTACCATTCTTGGACATTGATGATCAACTAATCATTGGTAGGATACATCCCTCTCGAGATACCAAGTGACTTTAACTAGGGAACAGGATTTGGTATTGCCATTGGGAATGACTGTCTTTTTGAAAATCAATCAAAAAAGTGATCAAACTGAGTGATCACTTGCCTCCCCAAGATGACCAATGAATCCGATGATTGTTAAAAGGATATACGGGATCTACTGACTGCATTCACTCATAATACTATAATCATTAACACTCTACACTACATTCTAGATTATCATTATCACTACTACACTACGACTACCATTAAATATATCATATTTAACATATCAAAACTACTATGACATCAACAGGAACAGCTGTTGGAATATCAATACCAACAATAATAGTTATAATTATATTTATTATACGATTATGTTATGGTATTACTAAATGTTATTGTTGTGATCAGCCGGAAGAGAAACCATTAACTTGTTGTCAAAACAATACTACATCATCAACATCATCATCTTCATCTTCATCATCCTCATTTTCACTTATTATCTCCAATACATCATATGATTGTTGCCGAAACAATACAACACAAGCATTACCATCATCATCATCAAGTGGAGGATATCAAAGTTTAGTTCCTACAATTAATAATAATAATTATAATTTCCATGGACAAGATACCCAAATCTATATACCACCAAAGACGACTGGAAAATCATTATATACTTCAATCGATATTTAATAAATCTCTAGACTTCCCATTGAAGGGTCGTCACTTTGTACATTGATCGATTGGTTGTGTTTGTGAAAAAGTGGTCCCAGGGACCAAACTCTATCTTAACCAGTCGAGACAAAACTTTTCGTCTGGGCTTTTGATCATGCCGCTTGAATTTCAAAGTGATTGTTCACCAATCAAATTATAAATGGAACCTAGGGTCACCCTTTAGTTATAACAACTAAATGAACTTAATTATTAATGTTCCTTGATTATTACTTTAATATAGATATATTCCATGTCAATTTTATCATATATACTAATGCCCAAAGATTGTATGTATAACAACAATCTCACTCAGTCAATCAATTGATCAATCAATCTATATTAACACATCCTGGCAAACAATAATAAGTGTTGGACTCTTTTGATCAAACAACATATTCGACAACAAATAATGTAGATGATGTTAATCCATTGACCGATGTAAAAGATAATAACTCCTCACCAAAATTTATTGCACTTATTTCCGTTGGTACCATACTATTTTTTATATGTATAATAATTAGACTAGTTTATGAAGTAAATAAGTGTAAGAAGAAAAGGGAGTTAAGGGAAGCTGTCCACAAGATTGATTGCTTCGAAGAACAACAAAGATCCAATGCCATTGCCATTGCCATTGCCTCCAACAACAGTCCAGGTCTAGATCCATATGGTCCACGTCCAGGAACATCATACATACAACTTGATACCTATCAATCAGTGCTCAAATGACCTGCTTCCACGTGGAAGCAACAAACATGTATAACTTATAAATATTATCTTAACAAAGTGCAATCCAAACCTTTTATTCTTCTTTAAATTATATGATTAATGAGTCTAAAATGTCGATTGATTGAATGATTGATTGATCGAATGAATGAATGAATGCTATGTTAGTAAATGGCCATCATTGTCCTGCTGCAGCTGCAGATCCTCCGGCCGTGTGCAATATAATAATAATGGATGGAGTACTTACAAGGGCTGGAATCTTCTCTGCGCACTCTTGCAGCAGAGTCTTGTGCTCGGACTCGTCGTCCAGATCGACCAGGGTGATACTGGTTGGTCTCTTGGTGGCGCTGGCAGTGCCCAGCTCCTCCTTTGATGGAACGTAGATATACTTGATATTCTTCTCCTCACACATGATTGGGATATGAGAGATGACATCGATTGGTGAAACGTCTCCAGCAATGACACAGATCCTAAAAGTTATTAATTATAACGTTGTCAGTATTCATATTCATTCGGTATCATCGAGCATTCGCACAATCAATCAAACAATCATTCAGTCGACAGTGCACTGTTTATCATGTTTTGTTTGTTTGATCATTTGATTGAATGATTGATTGATTGAATGATTGAGTGTGTCTGCTAATGTATACATACTTGTTCTTGTTAAGCTTCATCTCCTTTGGTGACTTTCTGACAGCCTTGACGACCTCCTTGACACCACGACGGACCTTCTTGTCACCTGAGGCCTTCTTGACGAGCTTGAGAACCTTCTCTGTGAGCTTCTTGTCAGCCATTGGCTGGGAGATTGGTGAAACGAACAATTCCTTTGACTCTGTCATTCTTTATATATTATATTATCTGTTTTGTTGGTATTTATATATATTTATCACAAACTCTCAATGATTGCTAACTTAATCAACTTTGATACCTACCCTCTTGTTCCTCCTCGCTAGCCAGCTCTTCCTCGCTTTGTCTTTTTCGTTGACCACACATTATTTAATTTTTGATTTTTGTAACTATTAACGAAGTTCGTCAATACTCAAATGTCTTCCAAATTAAGAGGTGAAGTTGATCATCGCTCAAATTGGCATACAATCAAACGACCATAGGATAAATACATATACATATACAATATATGTGATCATATACATTACAATATAGAGATGTCAAGTAGGAAGTTGATTGTTATGTCTTGGACGACAACTCTGATGTTGATGATAATGTTGATGATGGTGATGATGACGAATGGAGAGGAGACTGCGACACCAGATAATATAAGGATGACGACGAATAAGTTGAATCGTGATTGTTCAACAGACTTATCACAAAAGGTCAGAGCTATACTGGACAATGCATTCTATCCAATTGTATTGGATCATTCATATCAATTGCCCGACAACTGTCAGTTCAACCCTAGATCAGACATGCTGGCCTATCTCGAGACACAAAAGATCAACCTATACGGCACTTGGAAGTGTCGCAATTGCACCAAACAATTCAAGTCTGAAGACTTCCTCGATCAACATCTAAAGAATGTTCATGCCAACTTGGTGCCAGAGGTATGTCTCAGACTCTCTCTTATCTCTTCATGTTGACATATATTCATGCTAATGATGATGCGGATCGATCAATCAAACAGAATGTTACAGTATGTCTTGGAGACTTTTGTGAGATATTCAACTGTAGAGAGGATGTTGCCAACATTGCTTGCGATACACAAAAGATGGAGAAGCTCAAATACTTCTGCCAGGGTATAATGTACAACTGTTTCCCACTCAATCAAGAGAAGAGCAAGAGTCTAAATGTAATATTCAATGCACAGATATGTGATCAACTGACATGCGATGAGGACAGGAAGAAGAAGTCAGTCCAGAAGCTTAAAGACTTGGTATGTATATCATCATTGCTAGCGATAACTTCCAATATTGACTCTTGACTCGTCAACTTCCAGAATCAATTCACCAACAAAGTATACTCTTGGAGTCTGCTCAAATACATCGCAGCGTTGGTAACAATCATCATACTTATACTATTCTACTTGATAGTATGCTTCTACAAGAAGTAAGTTATAACTTGTATTATGTATTATTACATTGTGGATTACTGGATGGATGTATAACTAATCACCAACTTATTATTTATAACTATATATTAGGGAGACAACATTACAGAAGGACTTGAGAAGACTGCCTAGCAAGAGACATCAAGACCTACTTAAACACTTTGAGAGCAAGAAGAAGAACTTCTAATAATAATTATTATCTCTTTCAAACTTTCAAAAGATGTAATGATGTGAACAGATATTTGTTTGTTTCGTTGATAGTGCTAGTACTGGCTTTAGACCCGCGAACACGGCACTAACCAGTGGCCCATCCAACCCCCAAACTGGGACTTGCCCCTCAGACCCAAGGATCTAGGTGACTTTTGGTGATAACGTCATCCTATTTTTTTAATTTGAACTATTAGTTTTCGTTTGAAATTAGAGGTCTTTGGGCTTGGTCTTTGAATGGTGGTGTTGAATGGATAGATGGTTGGAATGGACTGGACGACAACGTGAATACGATATGTAAAAGTGTGTTGTATCTCCAATTTTTGCAGGATACCTTACAAATACATACACACACAAACATACACACAAATTACAAACCCATCCTCCACTTCTTCTTATTCTGCAGAAGTACCATTCATTCCATTCATTCATTTGTAATTGTACTTGTATTATATATATATTAGTTATTTATACTATTACTTGTATCAATTATTCGATCAATCAATCAATCAAATCACGCAATTCCAGGTCCCTTGTAGTACTATATCAATCAACCAACCCAACACACATTCAATCAATCAATCAACACTTATTGTAACAACAGGCGCGACAATCAATCAATCAAATAGGACATGGGTCAAGAAGGCTTTAAGAAGTATTGGGTCAATGATGGACCCAAGTTGATATTCATCATCCTGTTCATTGCTGCAAACATCGTTGTGTTTGTAGAAAGATTCATATGTATGTTGATTGGACCTATCGATTGAATGGCAAACGAGTTGACAGTTAGCTAACCACATGGTGATAATCAATATATATAATATATAGATTACAGATATAAAAGACCAGACTTGTTTGATATGCTTGGATATGGAGTTTGCATTGCCAGAGGATCTGCAGCGATGATCAAACTGGACTCGGCTTTGATTTTGATTCCAGTGCTGAGGAACTTCTTGTCATGGCTCAGAGGTACATTCGTCAACAACTATATCCCAATCGACAAGAACATTCACTTCCACAAGATGATTGCATGGGTCATTGCTGGTGCAACCTTTTCTCACGTGTAAGATCAGTAGTCTCCCCGGCCACCTCATATCACGCTTACTAACTCATTCAATCAATCATAGGATGGCACATTATCACAACTTCTTGGTGCTGTCTGAGTCACCCATTGAGCAATTGGAACCATTGGGATTCACTGAGGTGCGAAGCACTTGGTCTCTGGCCTTTTTGTCACTGTCTGGTTCAACAGGCCACGTTGCAGTACTGGCAATGGTGCTAATGTTCTCATCGGCCATCGAGTCCATTCGTAGACCAATGTTTGAGATCTTCTGGTACACACATCACCTGTTTGTCCTCTACTTTGTTCTAATCTGTGTTCACGGTCTGGCCAAGTTGCTTGGTGACAAGGCCAACTTTTGGATGTGGGTCGTTGGTCCAGTGGCCTTCTACCTCATCGAGAGAATCGTCAGAGTTGCCAGATCCAAGCAGGCATGTCTCTTGCTCATGGCCAGACAACATCCATCGAGAACCATCGAGCTGCGCATGAAGGTGGAGAAGTTCAGATACAAGCCAGGTCAATACCTGTTCCTCAACTGTCCAACCATCGCCAAGAATGAATGGCATCCATTCACCATCACCTCTGCTCCAGATGAAGACTTTGTGTCTTGTCACATCAACGTAAGTTCCCTCGCTTCACTCACTCAATCAATCAATCAATCAAACTTGATTCTAATCAATCAATCATTATTTAGGTTGTTGGTAACTGGACTGGAAAGATATCAACACTGATGAACCCAGAGAAGAGAATGGGCATCGTCCAGGAGAATGTATTGAATGCCCCGGATGGAAAGGCCATCCTGCGAATTGATGGACCATTTGGAACGGCATCCGAGGAGGTGTTCAAGTACAAGTACGTCATGCTGGTTGGTGCCGGCATCGGTATCACACCATTCGCCTCCATTCTCAAGAACATTAGATTCCAACTGTCCAGACAGTACCAGACGACACAGATGATCGAGAAGGTGCACTTCTTCTGGATCTGCAGAGACAGGTCTTCGTTCGAGTGGTTCAGTGGCATCATTGGCGCGCTCGAGATGGACAATGTCAACAATTTCCTCGACATCAACCCATATCTGACAGGCGCGCTCAGCTCGCAAGAGGTCAGAGACGTGATGTACGCCGGCGGCGATGAGGAGGCGCGCGACCAGATCACCGGTTTCTCGGCACCCACCCACTTTGGCAGGCCCAAGTGGAGCGAGATCTTTGCCGACTACTCACAGAGATATGCTGGCAAGGACGTCGGTGTCTTCTTCTGTGGTCCAAAGATGTTGTCCAAGGAACTGTACAAGAACTGTACATACTTTACCAAATCAACCTCTTGCCGATTCCACTACCACAAGGAGAACTTCTAATACATTTGTCGAGCTGCTTCTCAGCAGGTGCGGTTCATTCTCGTTCATTAATTCATTCATTGCTTTCATTCATTTGTTGATTAAAGACGCCCTATTTATTACATGTCTCCGCGTGTTTCCGCGTGTTTCCGAGCGTGTTACCACGTGTTGCCAAACACAAGACTCTTTAGTGGATGTTGGATAGAGCGAATGTGTAGACTCCAAATGGAGGATACTGAATTGGGTTGAGTAGTGGCAGTTGAATCTTGATACCAGCTCTGGTTGGTCCATTACCGGTGAACTTGAGTTTGTTACATTGGCTGGCGGCGTTGGTGCATCCCAACATTGCAACCTCTGTCTCCTTGGTGGTGATTGGTGTCTCCAGAATCAATACATTGTCCTCTGGCCAACCAAACACCATGGCATAGACCACACCCGTTGTGTTCTGGACTGTGTACCAAGTTGTCATGGCCTCAGTATCATTCTGGATTCTCCAAGGTGATGACTTGTAGATAGCATCTCCACTGTAGCTCAACCACTGACCCATCTGAAGTAGTCTCTCTTGCATGATCCATGGAATCTGTTCGTGTCGTATGATAGATTGATCAAGTGATCGAGTGAGTGACTGGGTATGGGCATGGTCGGCATGCTACTACTTACCAAACCATCCTCGGTTGGACCAACGTCCAAGAGGAGATTGCCTCCACAGCTGACAGTTGAAGCCAGCTCCCAAAGAAGTGAGCTGATATTCTGCATTGCGGCAAGGTCCTCATTGGCATCATAGCCCCATGAAGATCCAATGGTGTAGCAGTTCTCCCACTTGTGGCCAATGAGCTTCAAAGGGTTATACCTGTCTCCTCCTGTGTAGAAACCACCGTCGACACCTCTGTCATGGCAAATGAGATGTCAGTCACATGACCGACACAACCAATCGGGCAATCAATAGATGCTACATACCTTGTCTCACTTCCCCATCTGTCATTGACGACAACATCATCCTTTACACTGCTGTTGCTGTAGAGCCATGAGATGAAGTCTGTGCTCTCCCAGTATTCGGACAGTTGCTCCCATTCACCATCGGCCCAGACAACGGATGGCTCATACCTGTTGACGATATCACGCAGCTGTGGCTGGAGCACCTCAACGACGTAGTCATCGGTCAATGGTGGAGATCCAGATGCCTTGTCAGCTAGATACAATGGGTTGAACCATTCGTAGAGCGAGTGGTATAGTCCCATCTTGAGTCCTGCATTCTTGACTGACTTGGTCAGCATTCCGACCAGGTCCATGCCAGGGCCAATGTCGACAGAGTTCCAGCCCCAGGCCTGTGGACTGTCCCACAAGGTGTAGCCCTCATGATGCTTGGAGGTGAGCACGACGTACTTTGCGCCAGACTGCACAAAGAGGTTGGCCCAATCATCTGGGTTCCACATGGAGGCTTTGAAGTATGGTGCAAAGTTCTGGTAGGGGTAGCCAGGACCGTAGGTCTTGTTATGGTAGGCGGCAGTCAGTCCACCGTCCATATCTGGGTTGTAGACACAGTACCAGTACCACTCTGCTCCATCAGTTAAATCAGCATAGTGAGGCACAGAGTAGACTCCCCAATGAATGAAGATTCCAAACTTGGCTTCATCATACCAAGCTGGGTTGGGTCTAGAGTTGATACTCTGGTATGATAAGGTGAGTTAATGAGTGAGTGAGTTGGCGCAGCAGCGACATCAGCAGCATGTATACATACAGTCCAGTTGGAGGTGTATGTTTGGCTGTGGGCAACAGAGATGGCCACAAGCAACATCAAAGCTGTTATAGAATGTCTATTCATCTTTGTAATAATTAAGTATTGATTGATTGAGTGACTGATTGAATGATTGATGTTGTTCAACACTCCATCTAGACTTCAATCATCAAGACCCATTATTGATTCAATTCCTGAAGGACCACAATGGGGGTCCAATCAAGGCCCTGGACTAACCCCACCCACACACATTCCTATCAATCAATCAAAGTATTGCTAGATATACTTTTTAAGTCATGACACAAGAAGTAAGGGTACTAACCAATGCAAGGCTTTATTTATACATTGACTTGACAGGTCGAATGATTAGTGTTGGAAGGAAGGAATGAGCAGCTTAAGAGCGAGTAGCGGATCTCTTCTTGTCCATTGTGCTCTTTGCCATGGCGTTGATGTTGACCTTGATCTGCTTCTCAACGATTTGTTGAGTGTTGTTCATGAAGCCAAGCAAAAAGATGATCTCGAGCGTTACAAAGAATGGTGCGATAAACACCTGGAAGATGTTGTCCATCAAAGCTGGACGGCGACCCTCGTACACGCCATGTCCAACAAACTGAGCGATCCAAGACACAACATGAATGACCAGAGCGAAATAGAATGGGTTCTGGACGGTGTTGATGGTGACCTCGGCCAAGTAGTTGGCAGCCATCACCCAAATGAATGCGACAAGCTAGATACAAGTTAGTTTGAGTTGTTAATCTTGGTGACCAGTGAGTCATTCAGTCAGTCAGTCATCGGGCTATACATACTCCGACCTTAGTGTGCAAGATGACGTAGTAGGAGGCGATCAAAAGGGCAATTGGAGTTGTGATTGATACTGGGAGGAATGTTGTGATAGAGTTGAGCATTTGGAGGAATGGCACAGCAGCATCCACTTGAATGAATGACACCATAACGAATGCAGTGTACAATATAGCAGGTACAAACACAATGTGAATGAACTTGTTACTGTTATTATTATTGAGTTGAATGTTTGTTAGTATCTAATTCATTCATTCATTCATTAGTTCATCCGATCATACACGTTGTTGTGATGGTATGCTCCATAGGATGCAGCTTGATCTATGATATTGAAAACGGCCATTATTTGATACAAAAGTAGTGTAATTATATGTATTGATAGATATATATATATATATTAAAGTTGTAATATTAACTTAACTGACTTGCATTGGAACTCGACATGGACTTGACTCATGCAAGCAGCAAAGGTCCCTTCACCCGATCCATTAGAGTCAATTTGACGATGGTGACCAAACAGTTGACGACACCCTATTCCTAAACTGAACAAATAAAAAAAATATCTCTCTGGTGTGTATGGAGCGTCAGTGTGTCGCACCGAAAGGGGGCAACACTTTGTAGCCCAATGGTATCAAGTGTAAATTATGCCCTATCAGTCAGTAAGTCAGTTGGGTTTTCATGTTCAATCACTTGAAATTACACATAACATATCAATATATATATATAAATAAATATATAAAAAACATACAGATACAGATACAATGAATAATTGATTGAAATGAATGAATGAATGAATGTCACTGGGTCTCAAGTTGAAGTCGTTCATGGCAATGGATTGAATTCTAAATTGGTCTATGTTCAACAACAACAACTGTGTGTTTGTTCTGATTGATCGTTTAGAGGTTTGGACCACACACACACACACACACACACACACCCTTTAGTGGTTGTTGTGTTGTGAATACGAATGGTGGTGTGGACCTGGTTATTATTTGATTGGAATTGCCGCCAAACACATCAAGTACAAGTAACATCACCTTTACCACTACCTATTCACATCACTTCACTTCACTTCACGCTTCACATTAATGTTGTGACCTACCTTACCTGTTTAGGCACATCAATTTGGTTAATTAAGGTATTCTTAATAGTCACTCAATTCAAATCAACTCAACTCTAAGAGTTAAAGGTTGGTGGTAGATGACAGCAACAACATCATCACTCGTACACCTAGGTTTTCCTCCCCAATCCCAAAGATGTTATTGTTGTGTTGGCCTGTCTGTAATAACTAATATATAAATATTCAATCAAGTACATACAAATAATAATTATTAATTATCTAGTTATATAAATTCTGTACAGTATCTCCAGATTGATTGATCATTAGTTAAATATAACTAACTAAAAGGGTAAGAAGAAGAAGAAAGTGAAAGAGATAATCCATCCATCACCTTTGTTTTGTTTCAAACAAAAAAAAAAACAAGTTCGCCAAGTGCAACTCAAAATAGAGAGATTTTGATCACAGGCGCATTAAAAGAATTCGATTGAATAGTCGTTGTTGGGATCACTTGTTTCGTCCAACCCTTTGTCTCACAAACCCTCCACTTGATCATCAAACTTGTCTTCCACTTCCTACCACGAAGACACCCGAGAGAGGGTCTCCAAGCAAGCGGAACCAGGATCAAACACACTCATTCTCACGCATTACAGTCACTTCACTTCAACTTCAAGTTGAACCCAACAACAGTTCTCTCTTATTCTTGCTCTTCTTTGCATAGTACACTGCTAATCATATAACTAATAATTATTTATACATACATATAATATGTTTACATAATTTACAACTCATAGAACAAGCAAACATATAACATTTTAAATATATGATGACGACGACGACAATGACAATGACGATGGAGGTCACTGGAGGAGCTGGAGGAGATGATAATGTACATCATGAGAATGATGATACATTGGAGTATTATTTATATTCGTGGCCAGAGCCCGATAAACATTTGACAAGAGTGATGCATATCAAGAACAAAGTGGAACATTGTATAAAGAGAAGGACTGGTATACCAGATATTCACAGGGCTTCCTATTGGAGGACCATTTCAAATCTAGACAAGATAATGAATAATCCAATTAATAGATCAACTTATATTGTATGTATAATATAATTGATTGATTGATTGATCGATGGACATGACTAACGAATGTTTCATTCCACAGACATGTCTAAACAATTGCCAGCCCGATATTGAGAGAGAGGTGGAACAGGATGCTGGTAGATCAGATGATGATTATAAAGAAAAGATGGCAATGAAGCATACAGAGTATGTACATTTATTGATTGATTGGAATGATATTGATGAGTGACTAACCTTGGCTCATAACTCCCTTCCCATCCCATCTACAGCCATATCCAATCATTAACCAATGTACTCAAAGCATGTGCACAATACAATGATGATCTAAAGTATAAACAACCAATGGGATACATGGCATCAGTATTATTATCCTACTTTGACGAAGAGGAAACATTCTGGATGATGAATATCCTTTTAAAAGAACATGGTGTATGTAGTCCCCATCACTCAATCACTCAATCAATCACTCACTAACTTAATCAATAATGATCAATATATAGATGAGACATGTTATAAGTGGAAGCATGGTACCAATGTTCTATCACAAGACATTTGGAGAGGAGATGGGCAAACACTTTCCAAAGCTGAGGCAGCATTTGGAGGGTGAGGGAGTACATGTGATAATGTACGCCAAGTGGATATGGGACACCATGTTTGTATATATACTGCCAGCAGACTCAATCTCAATAGTATGGGATTACTTCTTTTGGGGCTCCAATGGAAGAGGCATCGAGGTGTTGTTCAAGTTGACATTGGCCATGATGCGTATCCTGGAGCCTACACTGCTGCAACTTAGACTGCCACAGTTCTTCACTCTGATGAAGCGGCCACCCGTTGACACATTGGAGTTGGTACAACTGGCTCGTGGTGTTGTGTTGTCCGATGACACCATCAAGATACTACGTGATAAACATACTGCATTGGCAATGGTCGATCTATTGCAACAACAACAACAAGCACAACAACAGCATGATGGCAAACATCCAGATACATCATCATCTTCAAGTGAGCCACAGGCTAACAAGGTACCTCATTCGGCATTGACATCAGCATCGACACCCATTCACGACCAAGAGGCAGACGATGACATTGGTGAATATGACGACGATGCAGACAGCACTGATGTGATGTCAAGTGCATCACTTGGTGGTGCACTAAATCAACAAGATTCAATAGATGACGATGGCCATTGTCCAGATACTGACCACCAGCAACAGCAGGAGCAGCTCGAGCAAGAGAAGAAGCAAGAGGAGCTGAGGAAACATGAGTCGCTGCTGCGGCTGAAGGCCGAGGAGGAGGCTGCGGCAGTCCACAGCAGGAAGAGCAGTTGTACCATTTGTTAATAAACATTCATTGCACTTTGTGTGAAGTGCAATGGGTTGGTTCGTTGGTTGGTTGTCTTTGGATATGGTCTGGCGGAAGTGCCGCCGCCAGGCTCATTCCTCAACATCCATCCATCATTACAAACAAACTCGGTGCATTTCCGTCATTGAATCTGTAATATTGATATTATGTGATATGATGAGATTATGTGATCACAAAACATTAGTTCATATCAACAACAACCATATTTGGAAAGTATATGACCAGATCCAGTGATCACTTGGATCTGATCTGTCATGATTCTCATCATCCTGTCGACAACACAACACAGATTGATTAGATCCATCATCACACTCCACACCCACCCCACTCACCCACACGATCAATCAATCAAACACACACCACAGATACAGATAATTATATATACAGATACAATGTTGAGTGAACGAGATGGAGAATTAAGTTGGTGGCTCAGTGAGGTGCGTGTTTGTGTGTATGAGCGTGTGTGTGTATTCATATCAGTCAAGATGGATAAAGATGGTCAACTCACTCTTGGTCAGGTCAACACTTGGTGATGCGACGGATCTGTCAACACCCTACTGATCCCTCACTGTCACTGTCAAGGTCACTGCAACTGCAACTGCTATAACTACTACTACTACACACTTGTAGTCATCACATGCTCAGCACCTCATCCATCCAACCATCCAACCAACCAAACCAACCAATCAATGAATGAATCAAATTGAAGTGTCTCCACTCTACATTATTGATAAACTGGACAGCCAGCCAAGACAAAGACAGGACCTGCTATTATACAACAATCATTATTATCATCATCATCATCATCATCATCATCATCATAATAGGTTGCAATTGATAACCTATCAATCATTCTACATCAACCTACATCAAACAGTGCCGGCACACGGACGGCATCATCAACATCAACAATCTACTACTTTTTTCCAGAATTGACCTCCATTGGCCTGGCTCAACATTCAGCAATTCATTGACCAATTTGATTATTAGTGATGTATATTGGCTGGCTTGACCAGTCTCCATCCATCCAATCAATACAACACATTCCAATAGATCTATCAATTTAGGGCCTGCAAGACGCGAAATACAACTTCGTGTTCAACAAGTCAACCAGTCAGTCAACCAGTCAATCAATCAATCATAGATACAGATAGAACCCACTTTAGGTTTACAACTACACTTTACCTTAAGGTAAATTCCCGAGACAACATCTCCAATCACTCACACTTACAATGAATGATCATGATATTGATGGAATGATTAATTGATTGGATGATCGAATGGCAATGAATTGAGTGGAATGAGTTGAATGTCACATGTGAATGAAATTAATACTTCATTCCATCCCTACTTCCATTCATTGCGATAGTTTATTCGTCATCATCATACTTAACTTACTTCCATATACATACTTTGGACATCATAATCAATTTACAAATGTATAATTATCATTCCAAGAATCCATCAGTTACACATATTGTACATACTCGTTCAATCATCATGTTCCACATACTTCCATATCAATATTGAACAACAACGATCACATCATGAAGATCACGATCACGATCACGATCATGATTAAGGAAAACGATGATCGGCCCACTCACAGGTCGTCAGTCTCATCATCACTTACACATTCATTGATAATCAAATAATAATAAGTGTACACTCGAATGAATGTATGGATCTCAATATACAATCATTCCAGCTCAATTTGGAATTTGTCCATTGGTATGGTCCATACCACATTTCTGACCTGACTTGACTTGACCTGACCCGATGCATTGCATTGTATATTGCGATTGCCTAGGACTAAAGTACCGAATATAGCGGGCAGGTCAGGCCAGTTCACACACATTAACATCCAACCCATCACATCCCTATCCAACCATATCCGACCATATCCAACCAACCACGATCAAGTCAACGAGTTGCATTGAACAAGAATGAGGGTCAATCAACCACACACGATATTGCAATACTCGATCATTCTTGGATGTATAATAATATGTGTATTAATTTGTGTGTTCCATCGTAAGATTCTAGAGCAATCCATCATTCTGTGCTCTGATTTGATCATCACATGCGTCACTAGTGTACATTCACAATCATCATCACCACACACATCATAATAGCATGTTCGCCATCACCAATCACCTCGTGCCCCACACTCGGCTATCATTTTCCATGTCCACTAAGTAAGAAGATGATTGGTCAGATTCCCCAGTTCCACACACAACTCGACTCACCAATGAAATTCACAAGTCATACTACACTCTTGACTGCCTGTCAGGCAGTCAGTCAGTCTTCTATTCGTATAAGCATCAATCACAATCACATGATCAGATGTTGCCACTCACACCAATATTGGCACGCACGACCAATCAGTCAACCATCCCTCCAATCCATCAATCCATCCATTGGCAAATGTGACCCACCACCGGCGACAGCATAAGCAATAGTGTTGGGCACTTCACTTCACTCACTCACTTAACTTGATTTCAGGTGATATCACACGCTCCATCTCATGAATCACAATGTAGTGTCTTTCCATATGTTATCATATCCATCACGTCCATCTCGTCAATCATGTGACGGACATCAATCACTTGACTTCCACATCACTCTCGTGTGGTGTGGGTTGACCTCTTCACTCACTCACCCACTCATCAACCACAACACTCACACACACAAACACTCGATCACTTCCATCACTTCGCTTGAATTGATTGAATGAAAGAATGAATCCACTGCAGCTGGACTCTCCACTACGGATCAGCTGGCAGCGATGGTGGGTGGCACATCTTACACCAACCTACACTCCTAAACTAGTTGGCAAACAGTTGCAGAGTCGGACAACAATTAAAAAAGCAATCCAACTCCGTTGAGTATATAATGGTCATCATTCTATAACCATTCTACCATTCACAGCAGTACTCTAGCTTGCATATGCACAATATTGTTTTGTTGTAGAATATCACTACCATTAAGTTAAACCCCATACCCATTACTCTCTAGACATTTGTTCAACTTCAGTCATTTCCCCCCCTGGAACTATACCATCACCACCTCATATATATTTGTAACATTGACTCAGTCAATTATTAATTCATTCATTCTTTCTCTTCATTCATTCATACACACTATAGCTCATTCATTGTCATCATACATCATACATTTCACAGGTACCCATTGTCCAGTACGACTAATAATTCTTATTCTTCCATTCATAAACAGATAATAATTAATAATAATAATATATATAATAATATTTAGTCTTTCTTCAGACCGATTGTTAATATAATATAATATATAATATATATATACTTTATCGATTATAATAATTAATATATAATATATAATAATAATATTTTCCAAATCATATTCAAACTCAAACTCAAATATCAAACATCAAACTCAACACTCACCCACATTAAAACGCACACCCAATCAATATAATATATAATATATAATATTTATAATAATAATTAATCAAAAATGGAACCAATGAACATTGATTATAACGATCACTCTGAGATCCAGCTGAACACCATCAAGACAAACTTGGATGTGGTGTCCAAGGCCATGGAGATCTGGACTGAGGTTCATTCAGAGTCGATGAAACACGCAGGTACCGACCCATCAAGTTGCCAGCAAACGATTAATATAGCCGACTTTGGCAGCTCCTATGGCCGCAACTCACTGGTGCCTCTGTGTACCATCATTAGCAAGGTTCGCCAGCTGTTCACACGCAACGACATCTCGGTGTTCCACAACGATCTGCCCCAGAACGACTTTGGTCACCTGTTCCAAGAGATCTCGACCAACCCAAGCAGCTACCACAAGCTGTCCAACAATATATATAGCTACGCAGTCGGATGCTCCTTCTACAACCAGGTGTTTCCGGCCAACTCGATCCACATTGCAATTGCCTTCTGTTGCCTGCACTGGGCGTCCAAATTGACGTCCCCTATTCCCGACACTATATTCTACCAACACTCATCCCACTCTGAGCTCAAGGAAAAGTGGATGAAGGAGACCCGTGATGACCTGATAACCCTTCTCGAGAAGAGAGTATGTATACATATCATGTTTGGGGGATAGGAAATGGAATCATTCCAGCCTTAGCCTCACCCACACCCCACCACATCCAAACTGATTGATTAACACTCAATACCAATCCAATCCACAATAGGGTAACGAATTGGTTGTTGGAGGTATCTTTATTGGTAACTTCTTGACTAATGATAATGACTCGTTCGAGTCGTCAAGGATGTTTTACCGCCAGGTCAAGTTGATCTGGAATGATATGGCCAGAGATGGACTGATCTCCGAGGAGGAGGCCCACAACATGGTCTACCCATTCAGGTTCTACACGCTGGAGAACATCCAGTCGGCCATCCGCCACCCCCGCGTCAGCCCCCACGGCCTCGAGCTCAGATACTGCGAGCTGAGAAAGAACAGCTGCCCATACCAATCGTTGGTCGAGCAGCATGGCGCTCACTACTTTGCCGAGAAGTTGTTCAAGGTGTTCTCGGCCTTCATCGGTCCATACTGGCGCTCGAACCTCAAGGCTGGCGCCTCGTCCGACCTCGTCTGGGAGGAGTACACTCAACGCTTCATCGACTACTTTACCGAGAATCCACAGCATGGCTGCATCCCCAACAGCTACCATATCGTCATCTTGGAGAAGACGACGTCGGGCGATCTGCAGCAGAGACCAGGTGATGCATCGTGCTAGACACACGACCTGCAGCCACACACGCGAACACGCAACACGTTTGGTCAATAAATGGGAGTGTGATGAGACACATCTTTGACCAAAGAACGATTGATTGATTGATTGATTGAGTGATACCTATTGTTTGTTATTGTCGTTTGTCTCGCATCGATCGATCGATCAATCATAATTACTACTACTACTACTACTATTACTTCTTTGTGTTCTTCTTGGCGATGGACTTGGACTTGGAGATCAGCACTGGGTTTCTTCCCTGCTTCCACTGCTCGACCCAGTGGAGGATCCACTTTCTGTTCTGCACGGGTATCTGCATCTCGTGCTTCATCTTCTTTGAGTTAGAAGTCATCAGATCCTCCCAAGTTGGGAACTTCTCTACAAAGGCATCGCATCCTCTTCCAATCTTCTTCAAGAATGTCTCGACAGTGTATCCATCTGTATGTTCGTCACGTGATTGATTGAGTCAGTGAGTGAATGAATGAGTGATCGAGTGAGTTAGACGCGCCACATACCTCTTGGCTCGGTGAAACGGTAGTATGGCTGCTTGGGAGCGGGCCTTGCGTAGGGGTCGACGAATGTGAGGATGAGTTCCTCGATCGATTGAGGTCTTTGGTTGTCAGCATGTGGGAAGATGCCTCCATATTGCTCGGTGGTTGACCTGTGCAGTGACTGACTAAAGTTCGATAGTGTCTGTTGTGTTGTATTATTATCTATATTATTGTTGTTTGTATTTGATATATCGGTTGTTGTTGCTGCTACTGCTTGAGACTCCTCCTGTGCTGCAGTAACATCGAGTGTTGCAGCTGCAGTTGATGCAAATGATCTCTTATTCACAGAGTATAATGATGATGTTGATGATGCAGTTGATCGAAGTGCCAATGTGCAACATCTATATGAGCTTGAAACATATCTCGACAACATCTTGTATATGTATCTGTATCTGTATAATGATGTTGATTATGTGACTGAACTCTGATACATGTGTGGGTAATCGTCTTCCGCCCAGTCGACATCAAAATCATCAAAAATTGGGACAATGTCATACAATCAATCACAAAGACGACAGGATTAGTTTACATTTAGTGGTGTTTATTAATAATAATAGACTAGACTAGACTAATACTAACTATTGTCGTTGTTGACGGACGATGAAGAATGACATGTGAGATAGAGAGAGAGTCCAACCAACTTTCTAGCTGGCCTCATGATGATCAGTGTCTTCATCTTCCTCATTGATCATCTCGGGAGATGGCACCATATCTTCATCATCCACGACTACATTGGAGACGACACCCTCTTCGCCACCCAAGATGTTCTCAACCGGTTGTTGTTGTTGCTCTGATTGTTGCTGCTGTTGCTGTTGCTGTTGCTCGGATTGTTGCTCAGACTCCACCATTTCAACCTCGTCTGACATTGGCGCGTTACTCTGTGTATGATGCTCATTCGCTGACGAGTCGTGGATTTGTTGCTGGGTGGTCTGTGGCTGCTGCTGTTGTTGCTGTTGTTGTTGTTGCTGTTGTTGGTCGTTGGAGATAAGTTGAGCGGCAGCTTCCTCGCTGGTCATGGTGGTGTACTCCAATGAGTCATCCTGGGTGGCACCACTCAAACTTGAGACAGACTTGTCCAGTACTGAGAGGTCTTGAGAGGTCGTAAGTTCAAGACCACCCTCATTGATCGACTGAGAGTCGTCCATTGACAGACTGCCCGATGGTGAACCAGCGGCGTCCTTCTTGCCCTTCCTTGGGGTCTTGTCCTTCTTCTCTGATGTGACGTCCTTCATCTTGTCCAGATTGGTCTGTGCGTTGAATGTCTCTCGTCGCAGATTGGTCCACACGTCTCCTCCGCCAATCACACCGCTCAAATGATCCTTCTTGAGAGGGCTCTTTCTGCGCGCCAGATGGCTCATCCAGTCGATGGCAGAGTTGCTGCCACGCAGGCCAAAGTAGAGGCCGAGGACATCGAGCAATGCCTTGCTGTTGTGCACAATGAAGTGGATGCCTTCGTGGTCCCACTGACAGAACTTGATGAACAGCGGATTGGTAAGCATGATCCAGAACAGACGGTATCTGAGGGTCCTCAGCGACTTGAACGCCTCCATCAGCGCCGAGCGGTGCTCGTGCGTCAGGCCGAGCTTCTCGGCCTGCTGTATGAACTTGACAGTGTTGTGCTTCTCGACGATGCCCGACTTGAATGGGAAGCTGTCCGATGGCTTGTATGGCTCGTAGCCATGCTTGAGCAGCAGCTTGTAGTCGGGGTTGATCGGGTCGTCGTTCTGCATGGATGTGGTGGCCAGGATTCCCAGCGACGAAGTTTCGAACGTGTCGTTCTGCTTCTTGTACTCGCTCTCGCTGACGCCCTGCAGCGTGGCTCCGATGTGGCTGTAGCCCTTATCGTAGGCCATCTCCACGGGGTACTGTACGGAGAAGTTGGGCACGTACTGGTCGGCGCCGTGCAACAGCAGCTGCTGGACGGCGTTGGTGTTGTTGGCCTTGGCGGCCCAGTGCAGGGGCGTCCAGCCATCCTTGTCCGTGCGGTCTGGGTCGGCGTTGCACTTGAGGAAAGTACTCGACCAGGCCGTTCCAGTTGTAGGCCGCATGCGTAGTGCAGTGGCGTGAAGCCGTCCTCGTCGCGCTTGTCAAAGTCAAAGACGACCTTGCCTGGCTCCTGCGTCCTGCTCTCGACAAACTGGCGCACATTCTCCACGTCGCCAGAGAGGATCTGGTTGAACAGCTCCTCGTTGAGCTGCTGGGGCGGTGGGACGACCTCTCCCGCCTTGCTGGCCTTGACCTTCTTGCGCTTGCTTGGCGTGTTGCCAGCCTGTCTCTTGTTGCCAGTGATGCGCTCGTGTCTGGCCAGCTCCACGACGACGACGAGCAAGTTGCTCCAGACGAGGTAGTCCTCCTCGGTCTCAAAATGTGTGATTGTGGTCGTGACACTAGCCGCCACGTTGTTGTTCGCCACTGGAGTGGATGTAGTTGTTGTGGTCGTGGTAGTGGTGGTTGTCGTGGTTGTTGTAGGCAGGCTTGGACTGGCCTCGCCGCTATCCACCACCAACGTTCCATTGGACTGTTCGTGAGTATGTTGCTCATGAGTGTGTTGCTCCTGATGTTGCTGCTGGTCCTGTGCCGACTGCTCATGGGTATGTTGCTCATGCTGATGTTGCTGTGTTTGTGGCTGCTCATGATGCTGTTGTTGCTGCTGATCGGTATCATTGATTTGAGTAACATCGGCAATCTCAATGCCAGTATGTTGTTGTTGTTGTTGCTGCTGAGCGGCCTGTTGTTGTTGTTGTTGTTGCTCATGAGTGTGTTCATCGTGTTGCTCCTCAGATATCTGAAGACCTGAGGACTCCTCCATCTCCTGACCCGCACTCTCAGTCATTACGACATCCACATGTTGTTGTTGTTGCGACTGTTGTTGCTGCTGATTATGAGAATGATGTTGATGCGCGTCTTGATGAACTTGTTCAGTATGCTCAACAGTCGTAAGATCAATATGAATCTCCTCTCCTTCTGATGTCTGTCCATTGGTAGTGGTGGTAGTTGTGGTTGTGGAGGACGAGGATGTTGATGTAGTTGATTGTTGCTGCTGCTGTGCCTGTGTCTGCTTGGCATGGGCTGCACCATCCTGCTCATTGTCGGTCATGGGCGCAAGGTGGATTGATTGAATGACCTTGTCATTCTGGAAGGCTTGCTCCATCTTCTTGCAGTTGAATCCGACGCGCACGTTGTACGTGCCGGGCATGAGGTCCGGCACAACGACCATTACACACTTATCACAACATGGGTTGATGTCGATGGTGGGCACATTCCGTGGCTCTTTCTCGCCGACCGATGAGTCTGGAATGAACTGGACGGACAAATACTTTGACATGCCTGGGAATGGCTTGAGGCCCTCGCCACGTATAACAACTGGAGCGCGAGCATTCAATGTCGTTGGAATTGAACTCTTTAACAATGGCTTTGGTACCTTCTTACCACTTGGGAATATGATAAAATCATGGTCCTTCTTTGTCAATAACCCTGTTATGTTGTTGTTCAATTGAGTGTTAGTATTCATTCATTCATTCATTCATTCATTCAATCGATCGATCATTCATTCGTCCGATCAATCAATCAATCAAAGAGAATAAATTATCTCGCGCGCCTAAATTATTATTGTCATTTACATACTGGTAATATGAGGGTTGTATGCTATTTGATCATCCATGACTGTCAATGAATCTTATATCTTGTGATCAAGACAATGATGTATCACCTATGTATCATACATTGGATATATATTGAGTATAAAGTTAATATATATATATCAACAACAATGTCATAGCCATTGACATGATTGACATGATTGACATGATATCCGTGTCCACTTCTGGCTGTGCTGCTGCTTCATCTAATGCCTGTTCATGATGATGTTGTAGTTGTTGTGATGGTGGTACTTGAGAATGTACTTACAAACTAAAGAGTATATATTAGTTGCCAACTCGTTGTCAATGTTTGATCTCGGAACCTCCTATTCTCTGTTACTTAATCGTACTTCAATAATGTCAATGAATATGAAAGTTGCTCTCGTAGTTCCTTCATTCATTCATCCTTCATTCTCTCGTACACACACACATAGAGAGATGTTGTACAAACAAAACACGTTAAACAAACAAACAACAACATTATATTTAAAATTAATAATAAAAATTTACGTAGATTGCCACACACTCACACAGAAGTGTTTCCATTCTTTTTCACCCTTTTTTTCAGGTTGTGACTGGAAACAACAACAACGACTCCCTGTGTGCAGCTACACAACGACAACATCCCTTCCAGAAATGTGACTGCTACATACACCAAACCCTGTTATTCAAGTTTTCAAGAACACCACATCCATTACTTCCCATTCTTCTGCTCCCTTCCCATCCATCCACCCATTCCTCCACTCCCTTCCCTTCATTAATCACGTTCATTTCATTTCATTGCAACTCAAGCCTGGTTATTTCCACTCCTATCACAACAAACATAAATAATACATAATACATAATAATATATACTTGCTACGTTCAATCAATCACTCACTAAACTTACTCAATCAATCAAAGCAACTTAATCAATCAATCAATCAATCGTTCATACAAATACATATTACGTACAAATACAGTTTTATCATAAACTTTATTTAACAATCAATTATCTCTTATCTCTTAATTAATTACCAATTATAACTTATTACCATCTTCAATTAGCTCAATGGCTTTTATGTTTAGACATTCCACATCAACATCATCATTATCGCCATTTATTAGTAATATCATTGAAGACGTAGCCGTTCACGATTGTCAACCTAAGACTCAACAGCATCACCTATCTTATTAGACTACTTTAAATTATCAATCCATCAACAACATTAACAACAACTTTACAACAACAATGGATAATCCACTTATCAATCATGATGATATTCACCATGATCAAGAATCACAAGACGAAATCATGAAGAAGATCACTGAAGAGAAACTATTTGCCGCTGCCAATGACGCCGCCAATCAACATCAAGAATTTTATCATGGAAGTGCCGGGTCAGACGGGAGCGACGTCGAGCAATCAGACGCCGAAGACGATTCCATCAGTTCATCATCTGGTGATGACTCCTCTTCATATGAGGACGATGAGGAGGAGGACGACGATGAGGAATACGAGGATGACGACGAAAGTGACGACGACGACACAGAGGACCAAAGTGATGAATCTAATGATCACTGCCATTTTGACGACTTGGAGGAGTTCCAGCAGCAGTTCACTCAATCATCATCATTCTCTTTGTCTCTCAGATTGAAGGGCGCAACATTACCATCGCCAACAACATCATTATCATCATCATCGTCATCACTAAAGTTGGTCACTTGCGATTTTATCTCGGACGACGAGGATGAGGAGGACTCAGAGACTGCCAGCCTGAACGTAGAGCTAGTTGATGCACTCAGGTCGACTGCACAACAGCTGAGCGTTGGTGGCAACGTCAAGCTTCACACTCCCTGGTGGTTCAACAACGAGGACGAGTCCCATATCAAGGCCATCCTACAGGCGTATGCCGATCATTTGGAGCTGGACGCACATAACCGTGCGGTCATCCGCGCACCCAAGTCCTTCATTGGACGCGTGCATCGCAGGATCGTCATCAACGACCACGCCACCTTCAAGACTATCGACACTGTCAAGGTGTACCAGTGGACCCTGCAACCGATCGGGCTGCCACTGGACCCGTCAAGAGACAACTACGTCATCCTCACTACGTGGGACCGCGAGTCGGGCATGCCCACCCACTTTGAGACGCAGGCCGTGCACTCCATGCAGCGCTATTGGCATGACACGCAGTCGATGTGCTCCAAGCAGATGCTGCAGCAGGGACAATCATTCCTGTTCTGCTCGCCCGTGTTTGACTCGCGCGATCAATACCGCTTCTGGGTGGACAGTGTCAAGTACCCCATCGAGTATCTCGTCGGCAGATCCACTCGCCATCCCTCCATCCAGCCTCGCTTCCCTCTCCTATGTCATTCGTCCAACATCTACTCCCACAGTCTCATTCCCCATCTCAAGATCAGCAGTTCATCCACCTGCAGCGATGACATCAATGATTGTGTCACAGCCTAATTCGCTTGTTGACAGTGTAATTAACTACTATTATGTATTGTGTACAAATAAACTTACAACCTCCTCCATCATCCAACATCTACATCTGTCTGTCTATGTCATTACATTATTGTTCCAATCTGATCGTGAATACTACTGTATGATTGTGTTGTATCTCGAAGCCTACTGATGTCTTGTAACCAAAGTTGGCCATGGCGCCTTTGACGAGGCCAACGGCAAAGTGGACGTACTCTGAGCAGTCCTTGTTGGTGGAGCTCGGATCGAATGAGAGATGCAGCAGCCATTGGAACTTTTGCTCCGTCAGCACAAAGATGCCCTTATGATTAGTCCTCAAACTGTCCACCGACTTCTTGAACACGGCCATCCAGAACACCTTACAGATAAACTTTACAATGTCCAATGGGTCTGTGTACAATGTCGTTGGGTCGATCGACAGTCTAAGTGATGGGTCAAGATTGATTGATTGATTGATTGATTGAGTGATTGAGTGTTAGTGATCAATCGATTGATCGAATGGTCGATGGATGATGGACCCTTACTTGTCGACTAACTTGTGTCCCACTTTGAAGCCTAGCTTCTCGAGTCGCTTGGCGATCTGTGTCTTGTCGGTCTTGCAAGAGGCAACTATATATTGAATGATTTCGATGTAGAGGTATTCGAAGCAACTGACGCTGATCTCTTTCTGTGGCAGTGTCATTGGTTGTGTCGATAGAGATGAAGGTACTCCACCAGCAGTCGCAGATGATGGTGTTGTTGTTGTAGTAGCGCCTGTCATCATCATGTTATTACTAGAGGTAGGTGGTGCATTGCCAACGCCAACACCAACACCACCGCCAACTCCACTATATGATGATTGATGAAGTGATGTCAATGGAGAGTTGGAGGCAGATAGTGACGATGGTACGCCAGGTGTGAATGTAGACAGTGGACTGATCGTAGGGTTGCCCGTTGACGATGATATTGGATTGATCTTCTCGCTGACAGACACTCCAGACTGAGATGACAATGACAGTGAGGAAGTCTCACTAGGTGATGTTGGATTGCTCATCTCTTTATATACTATATATCTTTATATTCTTCAATATTATATCTAACAACTAATAACTTAATACTTTGAATTGATTGATCTTCTGAATCACTTTATGAAGTCTGCAAAATTAGTGTGAGGGTATGTCTGCGAGGGTATGTCTGCGAGGGGATGTCTATGAGGGTATGTCATTCTATTGGATTGTCGATCCAATCCATGGAATGAGTAGTTAGCTCGAGACCATCTCGATCAATAATACTAAACAATCAACTCCCTCCCTTGACACAAGATTGCCCAAACATCATACACACAAGGACATCCTTTGCAAAGTCTTTGATTATATCTACTTCCATGCCAATGAATGGCTACGAAAGAGTTAATGTAATGTTATTAATAACAATAATGGCAATATTACAATGTGTTCTCGGGTGAATCATCAGATCAAGTTGATCCAGATCCAGTTCCAACTCCACCACTTGATCCAGTTGATCCACCAGTGCCCCATCCTGAGCCTGTACCAGATGTCGATGTTCCAGAGGTTTGACCGCTGGACGATGATATTGAAGTGGGTGTGCCGCACAGACCGCAGGTGAAGCACGATTGGTCACATGACTGACCCTGTTGGATACTCTGTATCAAGCGAAGTCCATAGTTTTGATCCATTGAGATGCATGTGGTAATCCAATCCTGATCGACAAACACCGTGCACTGATTCTGAATATTGGCCTGGATGTCATCGTCGGTCATATTCTGTTGAAGGTCCGACACGATGACCTGTGCCATCCACTCGCAGATTGGGCAGTCGGAGCGAGGATCGACCGCCTCGGCCAGCGAGCCGTAGAGTGCGGTGCATGCGCCAACCTTTGAGCAAACGATTTGAGGATTCTCCTTGCTGTCCAATACATTGTCAATGAGACCTGAACCATATAGCTTGACCTCTGCCAGACAATCATCCTGCCATGGTCCAAGTACTGTACAATCCTGTGATAGATAACCGAGTATTTGATCATGTGTTGTTGTAGAGTTATCCTGAATATATCTCTCTACTTGGCTAACCAAGTATTTACACAAATCACAATTCTCCTCCTGTTCCTTTGATCTTATCTTTCCTTGTATTGTTGTTGGTAACAACAACACAATCACAAACAATAACAATAATGTAATCCTACTATTCATTCTTATCTGATTGATTGATTGATTGARGTGAAAGACTGAAAGTTATATTTATGTTTTGTATGTTATATTATGTATATCAAGTTAATGTGAATGATATGTCTTGTGACAAGTTTATAAGATGGTTCGGGATCATGACAAGTCTGAGACAAGTTCTGTTTTATGTTCAACCATTCCATTACATGCCATCCTACTACTGGATGCCAAGAACAAAACTCCAACGACTTTTTTTATTCGCCCAACACCCCAACACTGCAACGATATTTCAGCCACAATGGTTATTGTTGGGCTTGTTCATGAACTTAAGTTCAATTGAATCCTAATTCCATGTTGTTAGTTGTTACCAACTTGTATAAGTTAGAACTAGATGTCGATCAAATTCATTGAGATGGATTGAAAATAATTGGTTCATTGGAATGAATGTGTATTGGTATTCTATCTATCCAAATCAAGTTCGAAAAAATTGGGTCACTCTTTGTCTTGCAATTTCAACTTCGAATTGATTCAACATACGCACTCTGACTCTTTAGTCAATCACTTTCATGTCAATCAATCACACACCACCTTATTATTATTAATAGATATATATATATAGATAGAGGTATTGATTGCAACAACAACAACAACAACGACAATCATACAATATAATACAATACAATACAATCAATAGAGAATGGATGCGCTGTCAAAGAGAATTATAAAGGAGACACAAAAGTTGATGAGTGAGCCTGCACCAGGAATCAGTGCTACACCCAACAGTGACAATCTTCGCTACTTCAACGTCGTTATCACAGGACCTGCTGACTCTCCCTTCCAAGGTATGTTAGGTGTAGTACTATCTTCAACAAACTTCAATTACTCGCATACTTACTTTGATGATGATGATGATGATGAATGAATGAACATGAACAGGCGGTATCTTTCATTTGGAACTGTTCTTGACTGATGATTATCCAATGTCTGCACCAAAGGTTAGATTCTTGACGAAGATATATCATCCCAACATTGACAAGCTCGGAAGAATATGTTTAGATATATTGAAGGACAAGTGGAGTCCAGCTCTTCAAATCCGTACAGTGCTGCTGTCTATTCAAGCTCTGTTGTCTGCTCCAAACCCTGATGGTAAGAGGACATTACATGATCAATCATTCAATCAATCAATCAATTAATCAAACTAACCTTTACGGTGTTGATCAATTCAACCAGATCCTTTGGCAAATGATGTTGCCGATCATTGGAAATCCAATGAGAAGGATGCAATCCAGAAGGCTAGAGAGTGGACGAATGTGTATGCTGTACAATAGTGGACGACGATCGACAAACTGCGCGACTTCATTAAATATAGGACGGTGAGAGATCACCATTCATTCAAGTGAATATGGATAGGATAGGATTGGTTGTTGGGAGATGGGATTACGATTACGACTTCGATTACGACTGCATCAGCGACAGGGTACCAAAGGCAAGCTTGTCGACAAGCTTATTGACTAAAGAATTTATTGATCACTTGTGCGAACATCTGCTGATCTGGATTGGTCTTGATGGTGGCGATGGCCTTTTGTCGCACTTGTTCATCGACGTGACTGATCTCATTGTGGATCAGGTCGATAAGGTGTGATGGTGTGAACTCGGGATGACCCTGGAATGTGATGATGTGATACCTGGAGGAGGGGGATGCGCCAGCATCACCGCTCGTCGTCGATCGCTTGCAGAGACTCTGTATCTTGCAAATGTCGTTGGAGGCCAGCACAGTCATGCCAGGCGGCACGCGCGTGACAATGTCCTGGTGAATCTGCAGAATGGTGATGGACTGGCGATCTGCAATGTCAAAGTCGCCAAAGAACTCTTGGCCCTCGCTCGTGAGGGGCACGTCGATCTGGCCCAGCTCCCAGCCCTTGGGATTCTTCTCGACCTTGCCGCCCAAGGCTTCGGCGACGATCTGATGGCCAAAGCAGATGCCGCATATCTTCTTCTCGAGACGATCCAGCTCAACCAGATTCCTCTTTAGTTGCAGTATCCAATCGTCCTGATCGTATGAGTTGGCAGAGCTGCCCGTCAGCAGATAGCCATCGTAGTCTGCGGGGTTCTCTGGCCATTCATATCCTACGGCATTAAACAATGTTGTCTCTACATTCTCCAATCCATACAATGATGCAAAGTTAATGTATAATGCATTGAATGCTGGTATATCGCTTATTGATGGTTCGGTTACAACTTGAGTTGTTTGTTTGAAATAGGTATAAGTATTGTATTGTATTGAATTGATCATGATCATTTATCATCATGAAGTATGGTGTATACCTACTGATGGCAATCTTCATTCTATTTATCTTATCTAAATGTTATATTGTTATTCTGTGTACAAGTGTAGTTATATAATGTATATGTATGTAGTAGTAGTAATAAATATTAGTAATATATATAGGTGTGTGTGTATGTGTGTATCTGTATATTTGTTGATTAGTTGGTGAATGTGGGAAAGTGATTGATAAGGTGATAGATTGATTCACTCTAACCAATCTAACAACACAAGCTCAACAACGACCTTAATCCTTTAAAGAGAGTCCCCCAACAATTTGTTCGAATCAGTTCCCAATCAAAATGAATACAACACAACACTGTTATACAACCACAAATCAAATCACTCAAGAGTAACACAAGATAGAGAGACACACATTACGAAGGCATGCCCATTGACTCTTCTACTTCTTTGCAAAGTTGGGAACTGTGAGGTGATAACAACCAACTCTACTTCCTTACTCAATTTCATCGCAACAACAATCTTCACTCCAATCCACTCAACTCCACTATCTTCATCATCTTTGTTGTCATCATTATTAATCAATCTATTATTCAAATAGATAATTGTCTGTTTGTTTGAGTTAGTAATCATATTCATAGACATAACAACAGGATTATTCCGACAAGATAGTACCTTACAACAAACACCACATAATATATATCTACTTTCGGTTGTTGTTTGGCAGAGAGTACTGGACACGAAGAAGGGAGCTCTTCATTGAATGAGAGTGTTTTGTGTTGGGGAGGTCTGATCGATCGGTGGTCAAAACATTGATGAATCGGTTATTTATTACAATTTTTTGAATTTATCTTGATGGAATGTCGATAGACGCCGTCTCCCAAACTGAAGGAGGTGTCTGTGTCTCCTGTACAATGCATCCTTCCATGAATCATTCATTGCATTCATTTACTTTCCTTCCTACCCTTGTCATTCATATCATATCATATCATTACATTGTAGAACATCATCATTAAAATCAATCAAATAATAACAAAGATAGACAATAATATTATTATTACTTGTTGTCAACAAAATCAGAACAGAAACAGGACATCAACAAGATATTAACTTAACAGGTGGGTAGGTGAATGTCATTAATTGTCAATACAGCACTGCAGCCTATTTTCATTGCAACATAACAACATTGTTGTTGTTGTTGTTTTCTTCCAGATCATGATGATCGGACACCACTTATGAGATCATTCAATCAATCATTCATCCATCTGTATTTAGATCATAATCCATCATTGTGTGTTCATGTGTGTGTTGAATGTGCAACTTATAATATTCATACATATTATAAGTTATACATCATCATCCATAATACACATAATCACTCGTTTAATCAATCAATCACACAATCATGGACTGGACCACCCTCGCACACTCACACTAAATTATCTTAACAATGTTGTTGTGTTTCATTTCAAATTCGATGTTGCCGTTGAGACGACATCGCGGTGTGTGCCGGCTCCAACTCCAACACCAAACACAACAACAACAACAACAACAATCCTTATCCTGCCTGCAATTCATCGACAATCCATATTCATTCATACAATCAATCAATCACAATCATTCAATTATAGCTAACAATCATTAATATATTATCTTATCAAAGAAGATATTATTATTTGTACACACAAACAAGAACAACAACAATGGATACAGATACATCACCACCTGCCTCAGCAGCGGATAGTGAACAAGTCGTTAGGTTCAAGGTGGAGGACACACATGACGATCATGATACAACTACACATGATACTACTACACATGAAGACGATGATAGTATAACAAGCAGTGAGGAGGAGGATGACGATGATCATGATAGCAGCTCAGACGAGTCAGAGAGGGTACCATCAAAACAACAAAAGAGTAGTAGAGTACAACACCAACACAGAGATGATGATGATGATGAGGATGAAGATGAAGAAGATGATGATGACGATGATGACGACGACGATGATGATGACTTTGATGTCTCAGACATTGAGATCAAGAAGGAGGATACAATGGAGGTCAAGAGATTAAAGATAATGCTGCTCAAGGAGAAGGGCAGAGTGATGGACGCGAAGGAGACCGTCAGCAGTCTGGTCGAACAGATCACTGCGTACAAGTCATCGGTGGAGGAGGACAAGGCCGACATGGAGGCCAAGTTGAAGCACGAGAAGAAGACCAAACTGGAGATATTCGAGATCTACAAGGACTTGGAGTCGGAGCGCGACAATCTGGCCAATCAACTGGACGCCGTCATCAATGAGTGCGAGCAGCTGGATCGCGAGAAGCAGGCCATGTCCAAGGAGAACATCAACAACCTCCAGTCGCTCATGAACGAGATCACCAACATCGAGGAGAGCAACCTGGCGCTCGAGAAGGAGCTGGACAAGGAGCGCGCAGAGAGCCAGACCGTGCAGATGCGTCTGGCCGAGCAGCTGTCACTTAATCAAAAGCTCGAGTCGCTCAACAGCGAGATGAGCGCCAACCTCTCGTCGTCGGCACCACTTGTCGGTGACTCGCTCACAGTCGCCTCGCTCAAGAAGCAACTGTCTGATACACAAGCCTTGTTGGTGAAGGAGCGCGAGAAGCTGTCCGCCGTCGATGGCTTGATGTTCCAGGCCCGCAAGATGCTGGGCTTGGACGGTGCTACCGCCACAATCGTCGAGCAAAACAACGCCATTGAACTGAGCAACATCAAGGCGGCAGCTGATGCCGAGAAGCAGCAGCATCACAAGACACAGCTGCAACTGGAGGAGGAGCGCAAGAAGTCTGAACTCAACAAAAAGACCGCCGACAACCTGGTGGCGCGTATCAAGGATCTGATCGCGTCGCAACACGAGACGCTACAACAACTGGACGACGAGAAGGAGCACTCAATGCTGCTGCAGGATGAGCTGAGCAAGGTCCGCGAGCAACTAAACACCACTGTACAACAACAACAACAGCTGATGGCACAACAGACACAGCAGCCACAGCAACAGCAACAACAGGATCAAACACCAAACAGCGCGTCCAACACACCCAATGTCGAGAAGTCACCTCTGACGACCAGCGCCAATGTAAATCAATCAAACTCGTTGGAGTCCACGCCATCGGTTGGCTCGCCAACCATCCAGCTCACCAAGCCAGCACTGTCGTTCACCGAGAACAACCGTGAGGTGGCCGACGTGTTGAAGCATCTCCCACCGGCACCCACCGCCATCACTACACCCGGCACACCCACCCGCCCACAGCTCCAACACACGACTGCTGCGCCCAAGGACAGCCTGTCGCCGACTGGCCAGTCAAACATGCCAATGTACAAGACAATCAAGCGCAATCAGACCGTCCGTCAGATGGGCATCGACCTCAACATGTTTGAGAAGCCACCCACCCAGCTTGGCGCGGCAATGTCCGACGACACCAAGACCACCTACCAGTCCAGCCTGACCCTGGGCAGCGAGTCCAGCACCAAGGAGTTCAAGCTCGAGTCCAAGTCACAGACGTCGGCCGCAAGCATTGGCGCCGGCTTCAACTTCACGCAGGCACAGACCAACCCGGGCACGATCGAACGCAAGAAGTCCGTGTCCAACACCAACAGCGGTAACAACATGACAGACAAGCGCAGCAAGAAGTTGGAGAAGGAGATCAAGGAGATATCAAAGAGGATTCAGAAGGAGGAGAAGGAGAAGCGCGAGAAGGAGGAAAAGATGAAGGCCAAGGAGGCCGCAAAGAAGAAGTCTGACAAGGAGTCGTCGTCACCCAAGACTTCGAGGAACAGTGGTAGCGAGGGTGGACACTCCCCTGTGCTGCCAAGCAAGTCCGAGACCGATCTGTCTATTGGTATCACCAGCAGCAACAGCACCAGCAGTAGCAGTCTAAGCACCAAGGATCTGCCCGCCTACCTCCAAACGGCCGAGGCCATGGGTGAGGTGTCACAGAGCAAGGGCAAAGATACAGCCAACAAGCGCAAGTCCATTTGGTTCTTGAACAAGTAATCACTCAATCCAGTCGGATCAATCAATCAATTATCATTGGTCCAAAATGGAGTCTCTAGGTTTGTTCCACGACGAGTTGGATGTAATACTACAACAACAATATCATCTGCACACACATGAATACACACATGCCGAAACTGGGTCGTGTCCATCCCTTGTGCCAACACCGTAGAATGTTGGCAGCTTGTCTGGTAGGCCGAGCCATGTCCATAAATAAAACACTATTAAAATTAAGTCAATTTACACATTCTGGATGGATCATGATACTTACTAGTATGAGTCCTAGTTGGAGGGTCATTTGGAAATATTATAACATGGCAATACCAGCCAGATAAAATGTTTAATGAATAGATGAAACTTGATAGGACATCCACTCCACTAGCTCGAAGAACTTGTCGTCTTCAATTGTGAATACATTTGATAAATATATATTTCCAGGAGTCAATTATACAACTGATCCAGCATTGTATGTCTCTGATGTTGAAGTAAAGTTATTGTTGCTGTTACTGTGATATCCACTGCCACTGCCGCTTCCATCTCCGCCAGGACCATGACCCCAACCTTTTGAACTTATTAGGGACTCGCGTGTATAGTAAGAGGAGTGAACACGTAGTCGTCCACCAAGTACTCTTATAACAGCCTCGTGATTACTGGAGTAGAACTGATCGACACCAATCAGGTCGTATAGACCACCGCGTAAGAACATTCTCTTGATGTTCTCCTTGAGCTTGACGAAGCATACGACAATATTTCTCTTCTCATAGTTGGCTACAATCTCGTAGACCATCTGGATGGAGCTGGGGTCGATCTGGGGTACATTGCGCATATCAAACACGACGCCCTTGAGTGGCGCCTGGTCGTCCTTGGTCTCGGAGGGGTGCGCGGTGGCCTTGCCCATGTTCTCAATGCGATAGAGGATGTCCTTGACCTGGCCAATGTTTGAAAAGGATATGCTCTCCTCGAATCGGATGATGATCACGCCATCCACCTGTCGAGCATCGGTGAACAGTGTAATGTCCTTGTACTTTGTGGACTCTGGCAATCGTCCCAATACAGAGAAGTGTGGTGCAGATGAATGTTTGATCACCATAAAGCAGGACATGCAGATGCTGACAATGAGGCCGACCTCAGTGCTGAAGATGAATGTTGTAAGGAATGTGAGTGTGAGAAGGAACAAGTCCTTCCACGCACGTACACGCACCAGGAACACAATATCATGTAGTTCAATCAATCCAAATGCTGCAACAAACACTATAGAGCTCATTATAACCTGTTGGTTAATGATTGTTTGTTAGTCATTCTTTCATTCATTCAATCAATCAATACAGGGTGTCAATCAAACATATACTTACTCTTGGGAGATACTGGAACACTGGCATGAGGAATAGACATGTGAGCAGGATGACGAGGAAGGTGACAAATCCAGCCATTTGGGACTTGGCACCGGCTCGGTCATTGACAACCGATCGTGTCATCGAGGCAAACATGGGATAGGCCAGGAAGAACGATCCAACAAGGTTGGACATACCAATGGCCACAAGCTCACGATTGGTCGATACTTGGTAGTTGTGCTTGGTGGCCATTATCTTGGAGATGGCCATCGACTCGACGAATCCCACGATGGTGATGAACAGTCCAGGTGCAAGCAATGAGCTAAACACATCCCATTGATTGAGTTTGGGAAGTGTTGGCGTGGGGAAGCTTGGCTCTGTGTAGCCAAGTATTGCCAGGCCCTTGTCCTGCAGTTGGAAGCCCGAAGTGACAGAGATACCAACGACCACAACGACCAGCACGCTTGGAATGAAAAATCCAATATGATGAATGATCTTTGTCCTCTTCTCTGGTATCATCGACTTCATTTTCTATTTGTGCGTACCAAAGTCAGCAATAAATCAATCAATCATCAACCAACTTGGAGATGGATACTTACATTCATCGCAAAGAGTGTGAGGATGCTGGCTATACTCATGCCATAGGCGATTGGTTGTGCCTTGCTGATGTTCTTGAAGATTGGCACCACTTTCTTCCATCCAGTGCCAGTGATTCCAGGTATGCCCAACAGCGTGTCCAGCTGGTCGAGCACAAGTGTCGCAGCCACCGCCAGGATGAAGCCTCGAATGAGTGGTCGAGACAACACCTCGGACAGGAAACCAAAACGGAATAGACCAAGTGTCAGCGAGAATATACCAACGATGAATGATAGAATGGTGGCCATCTCCACCAACTCGGCACTGGTGAGCGGTATCTCATTGGCGTCGGATATCTCGCGCAATGTTGTACCGACAATGAGACTGACGGCGGCCTCGGGTCCAACGCTCAGCTGTCGCGACGTACCAAAGATACAGTATATCAACACGGGCAATAGTCCTGTGTACAATCCATTGATTGATGGGATGCCCACGAGGATGGCATATGCCATGGCCTGTGGGATCATCATTATTCCAGTTGTTATGCCTGCCACAACGTCGCCTGGCAGGTTGCGCTTATCATACTTTGGTAACCAACTAAGTACAGGTATATAGTATGGTGCTCTGTTGGATTGTTTGATTGAATGGCGAGAGGTTAGTGATTGATTGATTGACTGTCTGGCTGGTGTGGCACATACCTCTTGCGCATAGTTCGTGTCTTGGACACAACGGTATCGTAGAACCGACGTCTACGAGTACCGCGTGGCTCGCTCTGACTGCCAGAGGACTCGGGTGGCGGCACCGGCCTGATATAGCGGCCCGATTGGGTGAGCTGTTCCTTCTTTTGGATGGTTCGCAGCTTATTTACAAAGGTTCTCCAGGTGGAGGGTGTCTCATCGTTGCCATGCATGGTGATTGATTGTTTGCGTGGCGCTGGCATCGAGTCGCCGCGCGAGTGCTCGTCATCGGAACTATCGTACGGCTCATTCTCGATGATGTTATATATTACATCGTTATGGTTGGTGGACTGTAGGCTGTTGCTGTCGACCATAATACCATCCAACAATATACTATTACTGTTGTGATTGCTATTACTTCCATCCACATGTCCCTGGTCATTGGCCACGTTTATTTGTTCGAATGGTGGAAGTGGAGGTGTGAAGCCACCTGCATCACCGCCACCGCCTTGTGACATTGATTGATAGCCAGTATGTTGTGAAGATGACAATAAAGGACTTGAATCGCCAGACATCCCATTGCCATTGCCATTGCCTGTCACTCCATTAGCATTGTCCCTCTTCCAGAATCTTGATATCCAAGATGACATTGTCTCTTCTTTCTTGAGGTGAGTCCTCAAACTAATGTTTAAGTTTAGTTTCTGCTGTTGCTGTTTGTTGGATGTTGTTGCAACTACAATGTAAAGTATTATGTGAAAGACTGAATGATTGAATGAATGTATATATGAGCGAATGAAGTGTGAAGTCAGCGGACGGATCTCAAAAGTGTGTTGGCGAGAGAGTTGAAGGATTGAAGGATTGAAAGAGTGAACAAGAGTGTGAATGAGTGAAATGAGTAAGTGTGTATCTGTATCTGTATCTGTATATGTATCTGTATTACTACAATGAATATATGATTGAATAGAATGAATGAATGAATATGTATGTATTATTTATATTGAAGTGAAGTTGAATAGTTGACCAAAGTAAAGTGTATTAATTGATTATGCCGATGAAGTTTCTGGTCTTAAATGATAGGAGTTAGAAGTTAGGAGATAATGCAAATGATGGATTGATGATGATGGGTTGAAGATAGGTGTAGATGGTGATGCAAACAGTGTTTAGTATCACGTCAAATGTGATCACTGTTGGGGAACTTTGACTTGTCCAAGTAAAACGCGCAACTGCAGGGTGTGTGCGCGCGAAGCTGCAAACATAGTCCTTTGGCAACTTGTTACCAGGCCCAAAACAGGAGTGGTTTGGTTTGTTGGTTGTGTACCTGCAAAAGGAAAAAAGATTGTCCCCAGGGCATCAATAACATCGGAGTAGAGTGTATTGGTATCTTTWATTACCAAAGAGTACTAATTATAACATACATGTAGTTTGGGGTTATTGGTTTGACCTTAACTCCTAACAATTCCGACCAAAAGGACCAAGGCCTTTGGCTTCATCTCTGTCCGATCTCCGTCTAACGAAGTTACAGCGTTGTCGACCCTTCATCACTACTACAATTATATCGTCATTGGTTGAACATTAAAGTTTATTGACGAGGACAATGTCAATGGTGGATCTTGTTTGGATGAATGAATGCTYTTGGATGGAGGGAGGAGGAGGATGTTTATGGACCACCACATGAGCCAGACATGCAGACACTGGTGTCGGCTGGGATGGTACGACCACAGTTGAGGTCTGGGTTCAGTTGAGCGAAACGGGTGTTGGTCAAGAGGAACATCTGGGCGAGCTGGGTGCACGAGGCAGCATTGGGGATCTCGCAGAGGTTGCCACACTCATTTCCATCGTCGACACACTTGGTCACGGGCTTGATGCAGGCACCATTGGCAAAGAATGGAGTGGTGTCCACGGTGTAGTTGCTGAAGGGGTTCAGGATGATTGAGGTGGAGCCGAGGGTCAGGGCGACCTCGCAGTCGGTGGTGCCCTTGGCAATGGTGGATGGTCCCAACCAGACGTCGACGTGGTACTTCTTCTGGGAGTTCCACTTGTTGATGCACTCCTCACACGAGTCCTCCATGATCAGGTACTTCTTGTAGGTGGGCGAGTAGATGATGGACTTGGTGGGGATCGAAGCCTTGGCGCCGGCGAATGTGATGGGGTTGGCGTAGGTTCCGAGACCTCCGGCGACTCCACCAGACTTTCTTGGGTAGGCGATAGCTGGACCTGGTGGGCAGTTGTCACCGGCGGCGTAGAATGACATGTAAGTGGTGACAGTCTTTGGAGAAGCGGCATCAGTGGCAGTCAAGGCCACGGCCAAAGTAACAAACAGGGCAATAAAGAGCTTCATTATTGTACTAAGTATGTTTGATTGATTAATTGATTGAATGAATGGTCAACTGACAAGACACTCTTTAAGTACCTACTTACTTGGATCGATCATCAATCAGTTGGGTTAGTAAGATGACCGATGATGATGGTTCAATGGCTTGAGGACTGCCTCCAAGTCAACTTCAACAACCACATCCACATCCATATCCATTAATTCAATCATTTAGAGGCTAGACATAATCACTTTGAAACAGGGTCCAAAGGGACACGAGGGAGGGGGGCCAAATGAGTTGTTGATTAGTTCGAAGCGGGTATTCATTAATAATGAATGATCAATACCCGTCCGTCGTCAAACGGCCTGCCTGTCTGGCCTCAGATATTTAAAACATTATGTTTTCGTATAATACACCTGTAGACGAAACATCGTCTTGCTCACATTCGGTCTAAAGATGGATTCTCGATAACTAACAAACTAATCAGGTCAACAATAAACAGAGTTGGAACTGATTGATTGATTGGGTGAAATCTAGACTTTCAGACCCTCGACATGTCCTCCAAAGGACACCTTACATTCCTTACATTATGGGATCAGGCCATGACCCTTCGCCGATCACCACTATCCAGGTCTGTTCAACAGCTATCCCGTTGATGTCTTTTGTCTTGGTTGTGGGAGCACTACCATCCGAATTGCCGTAAATGTCAAGTCAGTCATCAGTGCTGTTGTTGGAACTTGGAACTTGGAACTTGGAACTTGTAATGGACCGGCTGCACTTGTGAAGGGCCAGTTGATCAGGTCATTGATTGAATGAACGATTGAGCCAACACTTGGATCGATCACAACACTTGATGTATTTATATAAGCTATATGCTACAAAACGAACGATGAGCAGGTTTATTATCACTGATCATCAGTGCTGAAGGGGGTAGGGTAGGGTAGGGTAGGGTATGGATGTAAACATGTACATGGATGTGATTGATTGGAATGATTGAATGAATGGAATGATTGAATGAATGGAATGATACAATCGAGCTAGGGATGAATGAATCGATGAATGGGTGGTGCCTAGCTCCAACCAACCTAGCAACGACAATATCAAACTTATTCGAGGAATCGATTCCTTAGATGGACGTTGTCCTTGACGAGTAGTACCTCTGGCACACGCTGCAGTCGTTGCAGATGGAAGTCCTTGGCAGTGCCGTAGAACTTGAGATGGGGGAATGTGACCAGCAGGTTCTTGATCTTGAACTTGATGTTGTTCTTCACGAGCTTCTTGTTGATGCCCGACGTCTCCTGCTCGGCTGCTGGCACCAATGTCGTCGCCGCCTCACCACCCGAGTTGTTGTTGTTGGCACTCGCGCTGGCATTGGCGTTGGCGCTGGCGGCCGCTGCAGCCGCTCCCTTCTTGCCCTTGGCCTTGATGAGGAGCACGTCGTAGAGACGGTGGTAGCTGAGCTCGATTGGCAGCTGGCTGGTCTCGAGCAGCGTGTCGTAGAGCACGAGCAGGTCGATCTTGAGCGTGTCGTTCTTGATGTTCTCATTCTTCATCGCAAGGATATCGCCCAGGTCGCGCCAATCGCGACTGGCACGCATCGCCAGGATCACCTCGTCCTCGCGACGCACCTGTTCGGTCTGCTGCACAGCCACCGCGTTTGTGCCATTGATGCCCGCACCGCACTTGGCAAACTGGCGGCGTCGGTACGAGCTAAAGTGCGCGTGGCACAGACAGAAGCGGCGGTCGCCCGTCGGGTATGCCAGGTCAAAGTAGTTGCAGTGGTCCTGGTTGAGTGGATGCTGTTTGTGCACGGCGTCCGCGCCCTTGGGTGGTAGGTACGTGATCGACTCGCATATGTAGCATGGCAACAGCTCCTTCTTGATGCCAGAGTTGTTGTGCTCGCGAGGTGACGACAGGGTGAGGCTGTCACTGCCAGACGACGTCGTGCCGCCGTTGTGTTGTTGTTGATGTTGAGGGTGGAGGGCCGAGGCCGTGTGGTGGATGTTATGTACAAGGTTGAAGGAGGAAGCGGGTGGAGATGAGGAGAGCGACGAGAGCTGCGGCGAGTTGAGCGACAGCATCGAGAAGTCGTACTCGTTCTTGCTGATCTTTCGCTTCATCGTTGAGTTCCAATGGTTCTTGATTGCGCAGTTAGTGCGGCCAGGCAGCAGCTTAGAGATCTCGGCCCATTTGTTGCCATGGACGCGGTGTGCCTCGAGGATGACCTTGTCCTCGTGCAGAGTCCATGCGTCACGCTTGATGTCTGGGTCCAGCTGATTGGCCCATCTCTCGCGACACTGTCTGCCATTGCGCTGGCCCGTCAGACTGGCAATGTACTTCCAGCGCTTGGTGCCATACTTGTCGACAAGCAAACGCAGCTGATCATCCTCTTCCTTGGTCCAGTGTCCCTTGGACGTGTGCTTCTTTGGCTTGGCAGTGGCCGAGTCGTCCTCATCCTCAGACGAAGACTCTTCCTCCGAGTCATCACACGCCTGGTCCTGGTCCTGATCATGATCTTGGTCATCTTGGTCGTCGAGCTGCTCGTCCGACTCTGAGCTCTGATCGCTCTGGTCGCCATTGTCTGAGTGCTCGCTTGAGTCGGTCGACTGAAGGCTGTCCTGCTGGCCTGAAGTTGGCGCCAGATGGTGAGTCTGCGTGGTGTGTTGCATGGCCTCGGTGGTTGTGGCAGTGACGTTCCACGATGGCGAGAACATGTAGTCCGCTTGGTAGGACTGACAGCTGACACACAACCACTGCTGTGACAGTTGCTCACCATAGACACACGTGCGGTGATAGCTGGCGTGGCACGACAGGCATGATAGCATGCTGCTTGCGTCGACGATCGATCCAAAGCATTGCGAGCAGCTGGTGCCCGACACCTGGGCAAAGAGTGACGACGTGTCTAGTTTGGAGAGCTCGCCTGACGATAGCTCGCCCTCGGCACAAAAGTCCACCATGGGCTGGTCGATAGGGGACTGCACGCTAAGCTGGTGGTAGATGGGAAGTGTGGTGGGGCTGCTCTGTGATTGCATGCTGTCCATATAGCCGGCGCCGCTGGGCGACGTCGTCGAGGTTGTAGTCATACATGTCTGTTGATTATGGTTGATGGAGTTGATGTCGCCGTACAAGGACATCATCGATGGCTCCATCATAGTCTGGTTCTGTTGCTGATGTTGATGCAGTTGATGTTGCTGATGTTGGTGTTGTTGCTGCTGATGAAGCTGATGCTGCATTGAGACCGAGGGCTGAGGGATCACCATAGTTGCGGCAAGACTGCTGTTTGAGAGGTTCTGGGGTGAGCTGGCCGCCGACGAGATGTTGCGTGGCGAGTTGAAGTTGGAGCTGCTCTGACTCAGGGTAACGTGCGAGTCGCCGGCAATGTCAATCGATGATGACGTCGGATGTGGGGACCTTGGCGTCGAGCCAGTCGACGACGACGTGGAGTGTGGCATAGCTGTGAATAACGGGATGGATGTGCTCATGCCCAGACCTGATGCAGGCTTGACAGCCGTGGACGGCGACAGCGGCAGCTGGTGGGAGAGCAGACGCGGCGACGTCTTGGCCTTGGCCGACGTAGCCGACGAGCGTGGGGAGTAAGGCTTCTTGGTGACTGTCGATATAGAGGCCTTGGGTGAGATGGGACCTGTGTTATTGGTCTGTTGCTGTACATTGTTTAGTGTGTGCAGAGGCAGAGAGAACTTGGGAATGGTCCTGATGCCGCCACTGCTGCTTAGCGGACTGCTCTGCTGAGGTACCACCACGGGCACGTTGGCGGGTGGTGGCGGCGAGCCGCCCGAGTGATGAAGCACGCTTATTGGGCTGGACACTGGCGAGTTCTTGATCGGAGTGTTGCCAGACATGGGTGGGGAGCTGCTGTAATATGTTGCCATGTGGTATGCCGGGTTGGGATGATGCTGTTGGTGCGTCTGTTGTGGCATCATCATTGGCTGTGAAGTGTGTTGTACCATTGAGTATCCAGCAGGTTGTGTATTATTATACACCTGTTGTTGTTGTTGTTGCTGCTGTTGAGAAGTGGATGGCAAGTAGGTAGTGTAGCCCAATGCAGTCTGTTGTGGATGTTGATGGTATTGTACATTGATATAGCTTGGATGTATGTGTTGCTGTTGCTGTTGCTGCTGCTGTTGATGTTGCTGGTGCAGAAGCTGCTGCTGATGTTGTTGTTGTTGCTGCTGTTGCTGTTGTTGCTGTTGATTATGATGTACATGATGGATCTGTGAGTAGCCAACAGGCGATTGGGACTGTGGATAATGTCCGTACAATTGCTGCTCCATTCCAAAGTTGGCGACGGCTGATGCCGATGTCGTTGTGGCCAAATTATTATTAGAATACATGTTGAATGCCGGTATGTCATTGAACTCCATTGTTTAGTTTGGATGGATTGATGGATGGCTGTTCGTGTTGAGAAGGAGTTTGTTAGTCACGTGATTGGGTTTGGGTTTGTGTGGGATTTGTTCCAGGATTCCTGGATTGATCAATCAATCAATCATGGAAACATACCTTAAGATGTAATTAATAGTAATAGAAATGATAATAATAATAATAATAAATAGAATATATGGGTATGGTTATATGACTATAAATATAATATTATATGTTATAATTATAGGTGAGTTGTTTGTTTGTTATATATATGATATTACAAATTGATATCGTATTAGAGTGATGATGTTGGTGATGATGATGGAAGTATATATATATATATAAATATAGAGATATATATAAAGATTAGATGGATGTTATATATGATTGTTCCTGATGTACATTGATGTGAATGTGACAGTGAGTGATTGATTGAGTGAATATGGAAACTGGAATTGTTTGATTGAAGCAAGTCTGGAATCTGAACTCTGATAGTAGTAGTAGTATTACTAAATGATTGAATGATTGATTGGTTTGTTAGTTAGTGAATGTCAATCAAACATCAAACTTGATTAGTGTTGGCAAGTGGCCATTATGTGAAATAGGATGATGAAGGTGCCACTGATCACTGATCACTGATCACATATGTGCCCGCTCGTTTTGCTCCCCATATATCTGGATTTGTTGTTGGAGATGTGCTCGAGCAAACATATGAGCGGGATGGAGATGCGGATATGGATATTGATGTGGATGATGAGGTGATGGTTATGACGACACGAGATGTTTGAAACAGGCTGGCTGGCTGGGGCTGTAGCCTGGGGTGGTGGTGGTGATGTGGAGTAAGGTGATCGAGTAAGGGAGGAGGGTAGGGATGTGTCCTCTTCTTCCAAGTGGTCGTCGGTAACTAAGTTGCCGCCGACATATATACAACACATTAAACAGGGTTGATGTTGTCTCGGTGATATATGTCCATATATCTTTAATTTGTTTGATCAGCGAGTGTGTGTGTGTGTGAAGGGCGAGTGTGGTGGACCTGGGCAGGGTGAGTGGGATGTGATGATGATGACAATCAATCGATCAACACACACACACAACACACCCAGCAAATAAACAGCAAACAAACAAATATATAATATATACCATTAATATATATATATCTTTAAATAAATAAGTTGTTGTTATAAAGAAGTAGTAGTTGTTGAAGCTACTGTTGCTGTTATAATAATGGTGATGGCAGTGAGAGTGAGTGATTGATTGATCAATCAAGGTGGACTATGTATGGATGCCGATTGATGGACAACAATCCCAACACTACACTTGTGGTTGTAGTGGTCTAAGGTTTTGTTGTATGTGTGTGTGTTGGATGATGGCCGTGGTACGGGGTGATGGGGTTTGTGATGGTGATGGCAGTGAGTGTGATTGATTGATTGATGAGTGTATGTAGTGTGTGAGTGTTGAGAATGCGTGTGTGGGTGTGTGGTGTTGACAACAAACACTGTCAAACAAACAAATAAGGTCGTTTAAGGTGTGGAGGTGGAGGCCAGACCAGAGGCCAGGGACCAGGTCCTAGATGGCATTGTGCCAGTCACAACACTGTTTGTATTTTGTTTGTGTGTTTGTGTATGTGTGTATGTGTGTGATGTGATCTGATGTATGACACAAACATTTGCCAAGAGACACGTTGAGAGCTATGTTCTGCTGCTCCTCCTATGCTCCGCGGAGTGTGCACTCTAATGTAATTGTCGTTGTTATGTGTGTGATAAGATAGGTAGGAAGGTAGGGATGTGATGGGATAGGATACTTTTGTTGTTGGTTTGAGTGAATGATGATGACTTGAAAAGTGTAAGTCAATCAAGGTTGTATGTTTGTTTGTTCAATTCAACAAACAAACCGTGTGTGAGTGGAATTGATTGCAGCAGGAGAGAGAGAGTAAGAGAGGAAGAGTAAGTCTCCGTGGATCTCACTCTATGTCTAACCGCAATGTGTATGTTTGTATGTATGTATGAGCTAGGTGTATGTACACTGAGTGGAATGCGTGAAGTGATTGAGTGATGAACTGAATAAAGATCCAAACGAGATAGGAGGGGCAGGTTCCGTCGACGTGATGGATCCCGCTGAGATAACTCTAGAGAGTGTTGTTGTTGTCTCCATGCATTGTGATGGATGATATTGCTGCAACATGTTGCAAGGCCCAATCAAAAAAATAAAGTTGTGTATGTTGGATTGGCGATTGATGATTGTGATGGGCATTGATCATGGTAAGTGCGAGTGTGTGAGAGTGTATGTGTGGTATGGAAGTGGTGTTGGTCACATGACCAAGACCAAGAGTCGGGGAGGCGGGTCAAGCAAGGGTCAATGACGCATACATGCTCGACCTTTGGTCTTTTTCAAGTGTAACGATCGTTAACGTGTAGGAGGTTGTATAACGACGTTCAGTGTTGTGTTTGATTGTTTGATTGTTTGATTGTTTGATTGTTTGAGGTGGACAACCAAACCAAACATGGGGTGTTTGTGTTTACACAAACGCAAAGTGGAACATGGGGCGGGTGGGTGAGTGACGATGGTGATCGTTCTGAATGAATGAATGTTGAGGAGACATTGCCGCCCTTCCTTCACATCGGTCCTTGTTGTTGAAGTTGTTGGTGTTGTTTGAATGATTGAATTGAGAGTCCTTACCTTATGTCTGTCTATGTTTGAGTCAGTGATCAGATGAATGAATTCCAAAAGACAGGTGATTGTAGTTGACTTTGTCGGGGTAGTGTAGGGGTATGTCTCTGTCAAGTCTGGATTGGGATTGGGGATTGATCAGTGAGGTGAATGGGATTGGATATGTATGTTAGAAGGGTTGCATATGCAAGATCATCAACTTCACTCAATCACTCGACATACCTTGGTCTGATGACAAAGTGTCTTTCTGGAAGTGCCTGCTCACCAAAGGCCTTGCTGCTGTGGCTGTCTGAACTGTTCTTCTAGCTTCTCTTCTACTTTGTAATTATTATTATTGTAGTTATTGTAGTTATTGTAGTTATTGTGATTGGATATGTTTGTCCAATTGGATTGGTTGTCTGGCGTGTTGCAAATAAACAATCTGAAAAGGGGAGGAGGAGAGTGAGAGCTGATCCTGATCCCGGGGGAGGTGGTCGCAGGAGATATGATCGAGAGTCAAACAGGGCAGTCACGGCTGTGCAATCGGATGGCCAAACTTGGAGGAATATCTGGATGGGTGCGGGACGATCGAGGACCTGGTCTGTCTGTCTGTCCGGTCCGAGAGTAGTATTAAATGTGTTTGTGTGTGTGTGGTGGGGGTGGCCGGATGATAAATGATGTGCGGGTGTGTGTGTGTAGGTGGGGGTGATTGATGCAGAGATACGATGTGGGTCAGTTCGAACTCGAGCTCGCTCGCGGTTATAATCTGACTTGACTAACTAACTAACTACCTTAACTGACTGATTGACTGATGGACTGACTGAGTAACTGGATGACAATGGTGACTGTGCACTCACCTGCCTGCTTTGGTGACTGTGAGGGATTGATTGAGTTTGATTGGTTGGTGGAATGGATCGTGATGGAGTGATGGATTGAGGCGTGCCTCAGTGTTGACACGCGAGAAGTGGAAGTGGAAGAAGAGGAGGAAGAAGAATAAGTTTGATGGATGTGTGGATCACGATCAACTTTGTGTGATTTGAGTATGTGATTGGATAAGAATATGGATGGAGTTGGTGATGGCTGGGTCAGCTCAGTGTGTTCCTGTTTTTATGATTGATTTGAATGATTAACAAACAAACAAACAAACAATTAAGAATTATAATTCTTTGATGGCTTGATGGTGATGGCGGCGATTAGATCATTGTTGACATTGTGTGCGATCCCCATATCCAGTAGTACATACATAAACTCAAAGAAACTCACTCACTAATCATTCACTTTGTACATATCATACACGCGAATGTAGGTTAGGGTGTGATCAAAATGAGCACCCTGTGTGTATGATGACATTGATTTGATTGTTTTTTCTTTTGTTTGTTTGGTTTTTAGTTTAGTTTTTTGATTAGGTTTGAGCAATATGTGCCCCACCCCTACACTTTGGTCGTGAGCCCCTCTTGTCTTGGCATAGCGGGGCAGAGTCCAATGTAACCAGTGCAATGAGTCCAGTGCCCCCCTATGCCAGAGTGATCGTTGGTGCACCAGAGGTCCTCGCACACAAAATGTGGGGGCTGGTCGAACAATAAGAATCTCCCATTGTTTGTGTGAGTGGTAGTGATGGTGATGGGTGGGCGATGCCGAAGCACCTGATCAGTCTGTGAGTCCAGTCGTCATACCCCATGGAAATAAAAACAAACATAACTAGATGAGATGTGATCACATTGTACTATTATTATGTGTGTGATTGTGTGATTGAGTGCGTTGGTCTTGTGGAGGCCCACTATGATCGTGAATCTAGACAAACAAACTAAACCTATCTATCTACTAACTAACTAACAAACTACTTTCATTGAATGACATCAGGGTTGGTGCTTGGTAACAAGCAAAGATCATATATATATGTGTGTGTAATCTAAGAGTAGAGGGATACGCACTCAGACATCCTACCATGTCCAATTCAATTTGGTCAATGTTGTAGTTGCGATTGATTGATGGGTGTCGATGGGATTGCACTTGTAACTAGCACATGGGCAAATATAGTTGTTGGTAGTGTGATGAAGAAGATACTATAACTCTCAATATCACAAATGGATTGATTGTTGATTGATTGGTTAATGAATGGATGTCCAAGTCACCTTAAATGGACTGGCGGGTCATATCCAATCATGAATTCAATTTCCATCACCGGGACCATAGTGATGATGATTATGATGCTCACTACTATTGTCGTTGTGATATGTAACCTTGATCAGAGCTAGTGACCAATGACGGTCCAGGACCAAACTCCACGCAAAGATAAAAACTGGATGAATCAGAGTGATGATCAAAGGGTGGAAAGAAGGTCTACAATCGTCTTCCCACCTCTTCTACTATATTTATTATATTTGCAAGCTTCTCAATCAACCGCGGACAGTCACAATATGCCAAGCTGTCAGTCAGTCAGTCAATCAATCGATCATTCAAGGCCAAGATCACCAAATGAAAGGGTCGCGCCAACTCCAGCCAGCCAACCAGCCAGCCGCAAGCCAGCCAGTCTTGCCAAGACAACTTGTGAAGTTAGAGAAGCTGCTTGTCACGCTTCCTTTGATCCTGCCTCCACTTTGGCAGGGCGCTGAACTGTGATTGAGACATGCCGAATATCTTTACAAACTCCTCGTCGCAGAGGTAGGTCTCCAGCCTCAGAGGATCAAGCTCGGCTCTGGTTTGCTTGATCTGCTCGTAGGTGAGTGTCTTCTTTTCGCCATGTCCGCCATTGCAGTACTCGGGCTCGGAGGAGGAGCGAGACAGCGATCCGGGCGTGACGGTTGGCGATGTGTCTGAATGTGCCGAACTGACATTTGCGCCCTCGCTATGTGTGGAGTTGTTGTCATCTGCCGTCACGTGGTCCACGGTGATGGCAGGCAGCTGGCCGTCTGAATCCTCGTCCAACGCCGCCTGGTCCAACTGATCCTTGTCCTTCTTCTTCCTGAATGTGCCAGTGAGTCTTTGCAGACGGGTCTGCGATCGAGGTCGCGAACCGTCACCACTGCCCTCCTCCTTGGACCTTGGCTGCTTCTTCTTCTTTGGTCTGTTTGCTTTGTTCTCTTGATGCGCGGAGCTATGTGTTTGGTCTGGTGTCGTTTGATCAGTGCCTGGCACTGATGTGGTGTTTGATGACTGATCTTCTGTCGTGATTGATGATGATGGCGTGGAGGTTGAGGATGGAGTTGTTGGCGTTGGTGTTGTTGATGAGGGCTGGACATCTGGAGATGACTTGATCGATGTGTCTGCGGCGGCGTCATCGCCACCACTACCACCAGTCATTGTCTGATGCTTGTTCTTGTTCTTTCCAATCCTCTTCAGTGTGTTTAGGAATGACTTCTTGTTCTCAGTGGTCGACGAGGCGGCCGCAGAGGATGGCGAGGGCGGGGACGCGGGAGATGCCGGCGTAGTCTGCGGCGGTGTGACCGAGACTGGCGCCTGTTGCTCGCCACTGTTCCTCGATGGGACTGGTGGCCTGCTGTCCAATGATGAGCGCATTGGTACGGCGGGTGAGGGTGGCGGATTGGTCGGGAGCGAGTCCACACTGCTTGTAGACAGCTTCTTCTTCTTCCTCTCAGACAGCTGCTGTTCGATTGACGTGTCCAGCTGTGGCGCGGCAGCTACCGCTGATGCTGCATCCTCGCTGACAGGGTGATTGATCCACTGCCTTGTCCCTTGCCTCCTTGATCGCATTATTCAGCGTGTTGTACCACTCGAGGCGCTCCTTCTCACTGTTTACAATGAATGCTACCTCATTGTCGGTGGAGTGCAACGTGAGCTGCAGTGGCACGGACAGTGTCTCGCCCACTGTCGTGTTGGCCAGCTCCATCTGTCCCTTGTACTTGACCTTTAGGGGGCCAGTGGGACTGGCGCCAATTGGTATCTTCATCCTGTGCATTGGTCGGCCATATACCAGGATGTCTGTGAACAAGAAGATGCTCACCTCCTCCTTCTTGGGAGTAGTGAACACTCCCTCCTTGATGAACTTCCTCGTGCGCTCAAAGAGTGGCTATGTGATTGATTGAGTTAGTGACCATGCACACACACGCACGTAGACAAGTCTATACACATACAGGAGCCTTCTCAAGTGATGACATGATCTCGATGAACTTCTTGGTGTTCTCGCCTTCACGCTTCTTCTCGTTCAGGAAGGTGGCAACAGCCTTCATTCGCTCGGTGGCGTCCACCAGGGTCTTGTAGTCTGGGTGATCGGTCCACGTGTGCTTGACCAGATCGGACAGCAGTAGGCTGTAGCGAGGCACACGTTGCACTGGCATGATGAGGAAGTATGTTACGTCGAATGTCTTGCAGGCGGGCGATGCGCGCATCTCTGCCAGGGTGGTGCCCACCTTCTCCTTCTTCTTGACCTCCTCCAGCATCTCCAATGCGTTGTTGTAGTTCTGGATGTAGCCAGTGTACACCCTGAACGACTCTGAGATGCCAAAGAAGATGTCGCCCAACTTCTGATGATGGTTCCAGTTCTCAACGCGTGGCTTCAATTGATTGATCAGCTTCTGGCCAAAGTCGCGAATCACATGTATATCTGAGAAGATCACCTTTGTCTGTTCCTTGGTCAACAACTCCTTATCTGTCAATGGTTTCATATATTCCTGTAGTCGATTGATTGATTGATTGGATTGAGTGAGTGAGTGAGTGGATGATTGATGGACCTACACTCGCGAGAGTCCAGTCCACGTACATTTATACATATTTCCAGGTTGGCGACATAGTCTATCTCGGTCTTGTATATCTCATGTGTGATCTTGTCTCTGTATGCACAGTCACGCTCTGTTTGAAAGGTGCGCGAGATTGTATGTGTTGTGTTAGACCTCGCACATGACCAACTTCAACTTCCAACATCCAACTTCCACCTTCCACCACTACCACCTCCTCCTCCAACAAGTTGATAATGCATACTTCTCTTCTTCAGGAGTTCTCTTGCTTTGAATCCTCTCCATAGTGATTGGAATGCAATGAATCCTTTCTCGCACTTGGCAACTAGGTAGGTGAGGAAGGGCGTTAGGATGAGTACTGAGCCAACAGACACATCCGTGCCAACAAACACACTTACAATCGACATTCTTGCCAGATAGCAGAGCCATCTGAGTCTTCAAAATGACAGCACCTTTGCGAGCAACCTTGACCGTCTTGGCCTCTTTGATCTGCGCCAGATAGTACTTGAGCTCGGTGAGTGCCTCGCCACGAGGCATGGTGATGGCAGTCTTGGGTGGATCAATGGTCTTATAGACTGTGGGATAGCCACGGGCTTCAGCCACCTGTGACAATGCCAACAGACACTCAACCACTCTCACCTTGTTACCATACTCATACAAGTCTGATACCTGAAACATCTTATGTCTTGGTATTCCAAACTCCTCTGTCAATGCTGCCAAAAAGAAGTTAAGATTCTCCAACAGTTTGAACTCCTATTATTGTTGTTTAGATGTCAGTCAATGCCATATTGTTGGTTGTTGCCGCGCCACTGTTTGTTTCCGTTCTGTCGCCACACTTGTTTCCACTATCGCCACACTTTCGCCACACTGTTGCCACCAACTTACAATCTTTGTGTTCTCCTGTATCTTTGGCACGGCATCATGTGATATTGAGTTGGCAAGATGGCATAGGGCTATACCATTGCGCAACTGTTCGTAGAAGTCACCTCTGAAACGTATTTGCAACGACTCCTCTATCCATCTGCGCACGTTGAACTCTGTCTTTAAGAAATTGACCACGCCCTCATCCGTAATCGATGATACATTGGCATTCAAATTGAAGTTGGACTTTGTCCCTCTTAATGCTGGTCTACTTGTCATCCTATCTCTCTCTCTTTCCTCTGTTGGTTGTCCTTTGATTGATTGTTATAAATGTACAATTGTTGTTGTTGTTGTTGTTATGTGGAAGTAATAAATAAATAAATAAAGATAGATAGATAGAGATAGAGATAAAGATAGAGTTGACTGGACTTGTACCCTATGAGTATGGATGGATGGATGATCGATGAGTATTAGTATACTTATACTAAGTATATGCTGTGGATGGATTGATCAATGTGTTTGCTAGCTCATCAAGCGCACATCAATGAATGGGGGATGAATGATGAATGCAATGTTGCTGTGATGGATGGAGGGTTGGTAGTTGGCAACACATACACACACACTCACTCCACACACCAACCACATCACAACAGTTGATTGATCAAATGCCGATCCATTCAATCATTCACACTGACTGGACTTGACTTGAGGACACACAACTTTTAAACTTACCAATTATATGTTTGATTGATTTGATTGATTGATTGAATGACAATGAAGATGAGTCGAGACGTCTATTGGTCCCGGCCGGACGATGTACTTCTTCTCCTGAATGAGTCAGACTGAATGGTGGATGGATGGACGGGATGGATTGATATGACACTGATCGACCGCGATGTAATATTATTGTTGTTGTTGTTGTTGTTGTGTCTATGATGTGTCAGAGGGGCAACGAGTAATGAACAGTAGGTGTTTGGTGCAAGAGGAGGAAGACATGTGCAATGTTTATTGTGTTGGCTCAAACTGATTCGCCAGCCACACCACATCACGCCCTTTGGTTTGGTGGCTTACCGGCAAGGACCTTTGTGAAGGGTTGTTGTGAAGTCCATCGCCCGACAATTTTTGATCAATTTTGTCGTGTTGTTGTTTGTGTTGGAGGCAACACAGATCTTGGCATACATGCATGAGTTGGAGATGACTACATCGCAATCGTGATGGTCTCATTCCTCTCTGGCAAGAGGCAGATGTACCATGGTATATGACATTCGTTTGTTTGACCACAGTAAAGTATGATTGGTATCGATCCATGACAGAGATGGTTATGCGAAAGGGTTGGGTCTGATGGACCTGGGTCCATTCCACTTGGTGCACGACTACATCTCATCCTCATCGAATGATAGCATCCTGGTGGATGTGTTGGCATCGACTGTCTTGGTCTTTGACTTGGACTGCATCTGAGCCTTGGGACTCTGTTTGGTCTTCTTGATTTGTTGAAGTGTCTGTTTGAGATCAGTTGACGTGTTGCTACCTGCTGCGCTACCAGGCTGTCGTGTACTGCTCGTGTTGATGGTGGAAGACGACGAGCCAGCGCTGTCTGATGCATCCAACTTCTTGAGTGGCTTTTGGAACTTGATCTTACGCACCTCTCCAGTGGCCTTGGCACGCTCCTCCTCCAACTGATCCTGCTCGATGCGTCGTTGACGCTCCTCCTCGAGCGCCTTCTTCTCCAGGTCGTCCTTCTCATATAGACGTGCTTTGCGCGCTTCCACACTGACATTATAGGCATCCAGTGCTCTTAGTCTTGCCTCCTTCTCAATCTCATCCTCTTGTTGTTCATCGTCATCATCTATATTGTCATTGCCATCTCCGCCACTGCCATCCTTTGACATATACTCCTTGAACTTATCATTGATATCCACTTCATTTGGTAGATGTTGTGCCTTTAACTTTTGCAAGAACTTTGGTGTTGCCCTTGTATATTGCAAAGTATGCTTTCCCAATCCTCCCTTCTTGTCACTCATACTAATATATATATGATAGTATCTCTATCTCTCTCAACTTTGAATGAATGAAAGAGTGTAGTGATGAGAAAGTGTCAAAACGCGAACTTTCTTCAAAGTTGTTGTCGACTTTGTGTGATCCACACATCTGCATTGTGCACAATTAGATAATAATCATCTATCTACATATACATAAATACACAATGTTGTACTCACCAAAGGAACTGGCAATGAGACTGCTGAAGGTCGGCGCACGCAAAATATGGCTAGACCCAACAAAGATGGAGACAATTCAACAGACTAGAACGAGTATGACTCATTCATTCATTCATTCTTACAACATGTAAAGATGAGTAACTAACGAATCGATGAATCAATCAATCAATGATATTTAACAGGATCAGGTATTAGAGACTTGATTAGTCAAGGAGTTATCAAGAGAAAGTTTACGATTAGAGGAAGCAATAAGCCATCGAGAGGACCATTCTTGATTCCAAAGGTAGATCTGTCAGCAACGACTGTCAGTCAACAGTAAACAAACAACGAACGAACGATAATATATATACTAGTACAACAAACAAACACGATGATTACGACTATGACTACGACTTCGACAGAGACAGAGAAGACACTCTTTCACACTTTATTGCAGTACATCATCAATCAATCAATCAATCAATCAATGGTTGTGACCATGAGCATCACCACCTGCATGACTATGACCRTGATGATCRTCACCACCGGCATGACTRTGRCCGTGGTGTTCAGCATGGCTRTGTCCGTGGTCTTTAGGTGCGGCGTG